GGATGAGTTGTCTAGGGGATGAGTTGTCTAGGGGATGAGTTGTCCAGGGGATGAGTTGTCTAGGGGATGAGTTGTCTAGGGGATGAGTTGTCCAGGGGATGAGTTGTCTAGGGGATGAGTTGTCCAGGGATGAGTTGTCTAGGGGATGAGTTGTCCGGTTACCCTTGTAAATTATTCACAAGTCAAAACTGAGAATCTATCTATAAAGCTCAATTAACATTCTTAATTACAACCATAAATTTTTGAAAGTCCTTTTGTGGAATCAAGGCCAACTCAAATTTAAATTCACTAATATCGGTTGAAGAAATCTCTTTGTCACTACGACTACTGTACATGTAAGCCCTTTGAACAGTATTACTTCTCCACTCTTAACCGTTCTGTTCTATACTCTGTATGTACGTGTACAGTGTACTTCCGAGTTTCAATTTGAGTTCTAAAACGTCGAATGCTCCATATATTATACTCATTTTGAGTATAATTTTGAAATAAAAGCAAATATCCCAAAAATCATACAATTTCTAGGTGAGAAGAAAAGGCGCGGTTTGTTCAAGAAGAGGCGCAGCAAGGCAAGGCAACAGAGTGTTGAGAGTCAGGAGAGCTCAATATCCCAAGTCTCTGCCCAGACAACCTCAACAGAGATGTCAGATCTGAGCAAGGTGATTATCCTATCTATACTATACTCCCATCTTTTGACTGAAATGGTGACAAATGAAAATAAGACAAAAATGAGATAATAAACTGACATAACATTGATTTTTAGGTAATTATTGACATGACTTCTCAGTTGACTATTTAATTTCCATTTTGACTTACTCATGTTATTTTCATCGGCTTTCGGACAAGCCCAGTTTCGGACAAGGAGTTGCAGTTTTCTAGTCTATATTTTAAACATATTTGATATTTCAAACAACTCGAAACATATTTCATTATAGCTACCTTTACTTAAATTTAAGCATATGAGTTGTCCACTCACCTTTCATCCATAGTAGTAATAATGTTGAGTAGAGAAAAATTGTGTATGTGGAACCAATGGTTTTCCTAACAATTGCAATATAATTAAATTGATAAAAAAAGTGAGTCATGTTTTTCTCTGATATTGAAGGTGTTCTCAATTTTATTGCATGTGGTTTTTTATAGATGGTTGCAGGAAGCAGTGTGGACCCCTTAGACAGGAAAATAGAAGAATTATTACGCGACTGGCATCAGAGTGTCGATATGATGTTCTCAATACACCCAGTAGATGGAAGTTTTCTTGTTTGGTATGTAAAATCATTGATTTCCAATCTTTAGGCAGTATAACACTAATTCAGTGATTCACATGCTTAAATTGGTGGAAATTCTGATATATCTCCAATGTCTGTATTTTATTATCTGTAAATCAAGGGTAGATCAGATTGTAAATTTTATATTGTGACACATACAGATTAATGAGTTTGTTCATTGGGATTTGCTACTCCGTAGAGTTGCCATTTCCAAGTTAAATAGCAGATTATACATGTACATGTATATTAATAAAAAAAAATTGTAATCATAAAATTGACCTTCTGCTCATTCCCCAGGAAACCCCGCTCTTTGTCATATATCTTCCATCCTTCTCCATTTTATACATTCCATAGCATTGTTGGTCAATTTATCAATTTATATCAATTTATTAAATTCTCGTCCATCTTAGAAAGAAATATATTATAGTATAGGGGTAATATCGTTTAATACACCCTGCAGGGCTAGGCACAAACGTTTTCTGTTTTTCTGTTCAAAAGCTTTTGTGCCTAGCTCTAAGGGGTGTATTCAATGATATTACACCTGCTCTGAGGTCTATATTACGATTCGAACATGAAAACTCACCAAAATGTTTTGAATATTCATTATGGTCCGCCATTACTATGGCCCGCCGTTATGATGTCACACATTACTTGTATTACCAGGGGTATTGTTCAGCATTTAAAGAAGGCGTGAATACAGTAAGAATTTCCATTACACCTCATCCTCTGCTTATTCCCCTGATCTCCTCTTTGTTATTTATCTTCAAAATCTTTTACATTTCATAGCATTATGGTATATTTCCAAATTACAGGTTGATTGACTGGTTAGATGAGTACACTCCAGGCGCGTTCAGGCAGGCCCAGCTGAGCTTCTCTTCTCGTATTCCGAATGCTTTTCCTGCTGGGGATGCAATCTCTATGTCCAGTAACCTTCTACTCTACTCGAACTACCAGGAGGTATCTGACCCAGATGTTTCACCCACTGCAATGCCAGCAAACGCAATGGGCAAATCATCCCCTGGTCAGAATGATAACACCCTCATGCCGAATGTATTGATGCTGTCGAAGCATCTTAATGGAACATTAAACCAATGGCAGTTGAGTTTCGCTGAGAATTCAAAGTTTGCAACTGTCCTCAGTGTTGCTCATGCGTCACGTGCCTGTGGGCATAGATTCCGAACCAACACTGCAGCCTGTCATCCAGTTCTCCCTCTTCTGCTAACCACATCACACCATAACATCCCAGAATCCACTGCCTCTAACATCAGTGAAAATCCAATCAAAAGAACCTTAAGTAACAAGCCCGTTGACCCTGGATTCTGTAGCGAACTAATCCTGTGGAGGGTTGACCCTGTAGGGCCACTGTCAAAATCTGGTGGTATTACCGAACTAGCTAGGATAAACTCCCCAGAAACTTCAGCATTCTCTAATGTGGCATGGCTGCCTACCCTCTTGCCAAGGTATTTCTTTGAGCAAAGTTGAATTCATGTACTTTCCATAAAGAAATTAAAGATGACTATATCTGTCTATTTATGTTATGTTCTTTTGTGTTAAATGTGTTTATGTTTTGTTAAAAGTGCCATCTTTTAAAGGATTACAAAACTTCTAAATAATACTAAATATGAAATTCTACTTGATTTGTAAATTACTGTATTATAAATTATCTTTATTATTTTGTGTTGTTTTCATATAGAGGTTGTATTTTTTATTTCAGTTCCACATTAGGATCAAAAAGTAACAGCCCAAGTGCATTGTTTGTAGCATCTGATGGTCAATGCCTCAGAGTATACCAGGCTGTAATAGATGCTAGGTCTTTACTCACTGGTGGTGCAAGTGGCAAATCTCAGGTATGTACCTCTTCGTTTATGGTCTCATAGAAAACTTAAGTGTTGAAAGGTCTTTACTCACTGGTGGCACAAGTAGCAAATCTCAGGTATGTACCTCTTCGTTTATGGTCTCATAGAAAACTTTAGTGTTGAAAGGTCTTTACTCACTGGTGGCACAAGTAGCAAATCTCAGGTATGTACCTCTTCGTTTATGGTCTCATAGAAAACTTTACTGTTAAAAGGTCTTTACTCACTGGTGGCGCAATTAGAAAATCTCAGGTCTGTATTTCTTAATTAAGTCAATATTTGTAGATGGTTTAATAAAAATCTTTAGGGTTGAAAGGTCTTTACTCACTGGTGGAGCAAGTGGGAAATCTCAAAAAAACTTTATTGCTGAAATATCTCCCATCAATCAAAAGCAGTGGATGGATAGGTATAGATGGGGTTTCCCATGAATTAATCAAAACCTCTATGTAATGCCGGGAAACATGCAATCTATAATTAAGCCGTTCAGGTATATGAAAGAAGAAAAGTTGATTTTGGCCAAAGAATAAAAGCACAACACAACAATTGCAATTAATTCAAATTTCAAAACATGATAATCCCACTGAGCAAATTTCTATCATGAAATGTTCAAAATGACAAGTGATTTGATAAAATATGTTTTGTTTGGTAGGTAGCTTTTCCGGGGAGTTGCTGTTTACTTGTTCACAAATGTTTAAATGCAATCCAAAATTCAAAATTACAATTTCATACAAAATTCAACAAACAACAAACAACATGTTCATATTGTTTATAGGTGTTGAGTGAATCAAGCAGTAACAGCTCATGTTACGTCATGAACTCCCCAGAAGAAGTTGAAGCACAGAGCCACCTGGTTAACATCGTGAGTCTGCAGTCAACAGCACGTCCTGGATGTATCTTAGAGCTTGGAGCTATAGCTGAGGCAAAACAGGTTAGTACAATACCCTACTTGGAGTTGAGATATTAAGTGTGGTGTTTAAACCATATGTTTTGTTACCCTAAGTTTGGTGTTTAGTTTGTTTCTTAATTTTGCCTATTGTGATTCTTATTTTATTTTTTTGTTGATATTTATATGACTACTTTTACAAAATTGAAATGTTTACTTAATTGCAGTTCTTTTCATTCAATTAGTTTAAGTTTAGGAGCATGCAAGTTATATTACATAGAAGCAAAAAGTGAATGACACTGTAACTTATGTCACATGGTATTGATAAAACAACATACAGTACCTTATGTCATGCAAATGATATCACATGGAAGTCTGAAGTAACATGCCCAGTGATAACACATGGAAGTGTTAACACTACATAAGTCTTGTAACATGCAAAATTTATCACAAGGAAATGACCACATATTGCATGCATATATTGTAGAGTTCTTCACTAATTACTCAGTTACTACCACTGACTAATCGTCAACAATCAGTTCCTCTCTCTCCACAAGAGGGCGACACTGATCTGCCACCATTTACCCAGGTACAGTGTATCTACGAGTCACCCCTCAAGCACATAAATAAATCTATATTCAACCCCTGTCTCCAAACAGCCTTCTTATATAGCATACATACGCATCCAATAAAATAAAGGCTTTTCACCTCTACTTTTTCCCAACAACAATTCAAGATTGTTGTTTTATCCTTTCAACAACCAATATTTGGTCAAAATGACCATATTTGGTCATGCAAGGCTTACACAAAATTATTGCCACTTCCTATCACCATTTTCCATAAGCAATATTCGCATGGCTATTTCCTAAATCATTATCATAGAATCTCAATTCTTAATTCATAATCCCTTATGATTAATTAAAGTCCTCCTTCCTCAAATGATATTCACAAAACAAGTATAAATATGATGTAAAGTTCATTAATATATTTTCTATTTCAGGGGTCTAATATTGTCTTATATTGACTTACAAGTAAATTTACTGATCTGAAATAAAACTTCATAATGTTGAATTACACATAAATAACACATCTTTTCCCCCAACTGCAGTACTTCCTATGGTTAATACAGTTTTTCATCACGCCGCGTATTTCATATGTGTATATTCCAGGAAGCTTTATAAGTTCAGTATGGTGGCCACTGAGCGTCAATGGTGAGGTGCCATTCCCTGATTCCACTATGAATTTTCTATGTAAGCTACAATGAAAGAGTATATTGTGTGAAAGAAAGGGTTAGGTACTAATAAATGAGATTTAGAGTCAATTGAACTTTGCAGACCTTGTAGATGCATTTGATCAGTTTGATAATGGCTTGTTTATGAGAGACACAAGTGTAAGTGGTATATAAGATTGAGAGATGAGAGATGAGTAACCTTTCAGGTGACAATATAACATTAATTCTGACTTAATCTCTCAAAAATTAAAAAGTAAAAAGTGACCAAAGTTTCTTGTACTCACATAAGCTCTGCTTCAATGTACATTGGTCCTTGTGGTCCTTGTCTAACAAAGATGCATGAGTATGTCACATATACGTTGTCACCAACCTTGATCCTCTGTGGGTTTTTGGGATTAGGACCTACACATGAAATATGACATGTAACCGCTTCTTCTGCCTCTGAAAGTAACATACATATTTGTAATAGTTAGAACACAGACAGTTGTAAATTCATCCAAAATAGGATCTGTATTTCGTTTAAAATTACTTAGAAGCTTATTATCAGTCTGTGTGACCACCATTTTATTCATATATATTTTGATATTGTTTTTGTTTTATATACAGTTTTATGCACAGTTTGTTTTAAATCTTGACCCTTTTAATTTATTTTCGACATAATCACATTCAAGCATTAAAATTGTTGATTATCATGTTTACCTTTACATATTGCATTTTTGCAGAATCTTTTCTTTTGACATTCTTGATGACGAGAGCATGCTTCTCCATCAACCTTCTGTGGTTCGCAGTAGCCTTTCACAAGGGTCACTAGTCCTCCTGAGGTGCAGTATTTTTTCCTGCCCCCTTTGTACATCAAGCAGTCAGCATCAGCTCGGCATCTCTCAGTACATCTTTTGTCTATAAAATATGACATGAATTTCTTTAAAGATTCATTATAAAATTGTTCTAGTTATTTAAAAAAATATTTAAGTTGAATTCACTGAATTCAACTTAATTGCTTTTCAAAAATCACCTACACTTCATTCATAAAGTGACACTGACTTTACATAGGGTGTTAGAGCTTGATATATTTTTGTAATATTGTGTGGTTTCACAATCAAGTTTACTCACCTGAACAGTAATATCTCACTTCATAATTTTGGCATCTACTACCTGCCTCCTGTTGGTTATTGGTGCATCCTAATCCCCCTTCTACAGTGCAGTTGGTTGATGTATCAAACACTTGCCCTGTTTCAGCAGCAGGAATATGGGTTTCTACTGTTCGGCATTCAATTGCTGTTGGATTGTCGCATGTCAGCATCTAGCATATATGACAAAATGTAAGCATTGAATATCTGTTATAAAATTCAGTTGGATCAGATATGTATATCAAATAAAGATATTATTTGTAGAATGTTTACAATATTAATGACGACTTAATATAGAATTTGGATACCATATGGAGTCAATCAAAAATAGCTTAAAAGGATTGTTATAATCATATAATATGCTTACGCCTTCTTCCCTAAAATCCTCTGTTAATTCATAATCACCCTTACCACTAGGTTTATCTTGATTTAACCATTCAGACCAGCCAACTGGAAGGCAGATATCTAGTATTAGTTCAGTGGTATGACTAGTCAAATTCTGCCCATCATTAGCAGATCCCAAATGACTAAATAAGTTCAATTATTTTATTTTTACTAAAATCTGTGGTCTATCCAATATATTAGATTATTATATTTTTCCACAATGGAACCAATTTGATCAACGCATTGGCCACAATATATACTAATCTATTGCATTATGAGCAATCAGAAGTAATTTTGATAATTGCCACATCAGTCTTAGTACAACTAAGTTTTTCTTGGTACGTCTAGCAATTGCATCCAAAGAAATATCTAGACTATTTTCATGTTCTGTTGACAAAAGCTCCAAGCAAGTCTTCTTCAAATGCCTGTTTAAACACCTAAAAACGTGGAGTCCCTAGACCAGCTTGGTATTTGAAGAAATTACTAGAAGGTCTTGATTTCATGCAGTTTATACTACTCACCACTTTCACAATGGGATCCTCCAATACATTCTACGCTTCTATCACAAGCCCCTGGTGGTTTAATCATCTTTGCACATTTTCCATCTTTACAGTACCATTTTGAGGGACAATAGCCATGGTCATCACAGTCTTTCGCTTCAACTTCAAACAACAATAGCAAATGTTTAGTAAGTCATTTCATAGAATTATATAGGATCAATGCAGTAAGCCATTTGCACCCCCAAGTACCAGGAGTCAAAATGTTCTAAGATGAATTTGATTCAGTTTTTTAAAAGTACCCTATATGATCAAAATATAATGTTTTCTTTGCACTCCTTCCATTTTCTGCATGTTAAAATAATGAATTCTGCAATTGCATTAGCCAAGGGGAAAAGCTGATTCCAAATTTTGATGAAAAATTAGACAAATATGACAAAATACTCATTCAAACCAAAACCAACCCTTATTGTGACTGTAGCAAGTCTATAGTGATAACTATATATTCTACCTGAGTGTACATACCTTATATGTTCCGGCCATTATATTTTGAATTTGGTTTTTAAATTTATAATATGTATATAATATTTTTAATTCACAATGCCTACCTGTGAACACAACCACAACTATGAGATATATTATAAGACTCTGCATAATTCTGCCAGCTCCTTAGTAACAGGGAAACAAATTGTGTCTGTGATCCTGAACTCTGAGAGTTTATAGTGTTCGTTATGGTGTGAAATTTATTAATAAAAATGTATGGTGCATGACTACTAAATCTTATTTATGAGTTGCATGTTAGTTGTGAGTTGCAAGTTAGGAGTTTATGAACGTGATATAACACATGTTGACTTTGGTAAAGGAATATTCCCCTAAACTGTTTACCTTCTATCTTGAAAACTCAAAGCAAAGTAGGCGTTGTAAATGAGAAAATACTAGAACAATTTACAACATGAACACGACTTTTAAAATGTCAAGCATGATTTGTAGTATTTCATGTTAGTTAACATCGATAAACATGTCATGAAATTTCCTCACGTATCAAACCTTACTTGTGGTTTTTAAAATGTTCCACGACATGAATTTTATAGTTTACCATGTTAAAATGATTTAGTTTTATAGTCAATATATTTTTCACTTCCTGAAACTATCATGAGCTTTGCAAAACATCCGGTCAGGACTCACGCCTGCTAAACTTTACCCTCTGTAGTGACTTTGTCAACATTCTAGTACCCTAAATCTCTTCTACAAAAATTTTTTCTCCTCATTTTAGAAACTTATGAGCCACTTATACTAGACATATTTCCATGCATAAGACAATGGTCATAGATTAGAATGATTACACATAATAAGTCGGAATTGTTCAATCAAACATTTAGTTGGATTTAAGATGTAAGCACCCTCCTTCTAAAATAACTATACTGAACAGTAAGCTACCAAGGGTCATTTGACTAGCAGATGCTATCAGTTCACCATCAAAATTAATTCATTGTGTAAAGAAAATTTTGATATTACATTTTAGTATAAGAGTGAAGTGAAGGAAAGTGACACCCAAGTGTTACCTCATTTTTGAAATTTCCTTGGAATAAAACTTATTTTAACTCTCTATATAAAATAATTCATCATAACTGTTGAAGCCAGGGTGTTGGGTTTGGTAAAATAAATGGATAGATAGTATATTTAATTTATATAATGATGAAAAGAAACTTATTCCAAGAAGTATATTCCCCAGAATCATACTTAGACTTAGCAAGATACATTGTATAGTGCTTCAAATTAATCATATATTTATTTTCATAAATTAACTTCTGCATAAAGCAAAATACTACAAACAATAAACAGGCTGTTCAACATTATATGTAGTTCTATCTTCACTGATTCTTTTATCTGGATATTTATGGGATGTGCTATCTATTGGTGAGACATTGTATATAACTATCTGCTACTTCTTTCTTCTTTTCTATAATATAAGTATGATAGGGTATAATGTCGTATAAGTACTATAATTTTGTGCCTTAATGTGTATGGCATCTTTGCTTAGAATAGTGTTATAATGTTTTATATTACATTGTTCTAGATATTATCGTATGATCTGTAAAATGAAGCCTTCTGATTGGTCAGTTCTTATACTGTACCAATCTGTATCACTATTGAGATTGTCCCCATTAATCATCTCCATCGCAATACAGAAAATATTGGTACGGAGGGACATTCTCAGTAGCATTAGAGAGAATCACATGATAAAAACGTCATAGAATGATTTGAAGTACAATACAGGATATATTCTGCTCTCGATAGTCAGTATTGGCACTCAACTTCGTCTCATTCCAATACGGAATTTCTCAAGCAGAATATATCCTGTATTGCACTTCAAGTCATTCAATATCTTATAGTATTATTGTTCTGTGCTCAAACTATATTTTAAGAGAATGATTAAATATTTTCAGCTCCTATTGTCTTATTCAGATAATATGTGAATACCTATTGGCCTATGTTATGTATGCACATTTTGGCTGATCGGCAATGATTTTTATCTCCCCTACAGCGTTTCATTCGACCAATTATTTCTGCTGTGAACTCTCCTTTTCGCGCTATCTGTGAAACACTCCCGTTGAACGTTAATGGTGAAGTGCCATTCACAGACCCGACAAATAACTTCCTGTTTAGTCTGAAAGATAACCGTGTCACTAAATTATGATTTGAGTATTTTTTCATTAATAACAGCACATTGTATTAAACAATTTTTTTCATTCAAATATTGATTTCATTATACAAATACACATTATATAACTGTTCATTGATAGATATTCACAATTATACTGTAGTCTGTAGTTAATATTATTTATCATGTTCTAGCCAATCAAAACATTGCGTAGCCATTCTATATTTTACAACAGATGAATATTAGTAAAAGTAAAACTGTAATATGGGGAAAACATTGACTTTTTGTGAAAAGTGTGGGTCTTAAACCCTTTAACAACTTACGTTAATACTGCTCTCATTGGTAAAGGTCCAAACTCCCCTCTCCTAACAAATGTACATGAGTATGTAACATTGATCATATTCCCTGGCTTGATCCTAGGATCTCCTGGCTTAGGACCTACACACTCAATACGGCATGCAACAGCTTCTTCAGCCGCTGAAAGCACCATATATAATTGTTTAAAGTAGGATGTCATATATGGAGTGTTTGTTTGAATCTAAGATACTGTAGATATTAAAACATGAAGTTGCTCTTTGACTGAAACCATTACCTTTACAGATAGAATTTGAGCAAAATAGATTCTTTCTACATTCATGAGAACGGGAACATGATTCTCTTTTCTCCTTTTTTGGCATGCAGTAACCTTTCACAAGAGCCACCAGGCCCCCCGTTGTGCAGTATTTCTGCCTGCCTTCTCTGTATATTATACAGTCAGGATCAGCCCTGCATCTTTCACTGCATGTACCTTGTAATTAGACATAAATATAATGTAATATATAATAAAATGTAGATATATTGAATTTATTGATCATTTATTATGTCAGTGCATCGTACGAAAGTTTCAAAGCAAAATTTGAAATAATTGAAATTATTGATCAAAAAATATGTTACTTTGTCCTATATGTGCTTCAATAGGATATATATGGTTCGGTATGTTCTGAAATATGCTAATTGTCTTGATTGTTAAATTACAAAATAGGTTGGGTGAAGAGTCAGAGCCATTTGATCTCGTCCCAGAAGCAATATTTTGCCATTTCTAGCACCGAGAATTCCTTTAATATGACTCACCATTTTCACATTGGGATCCTCCAATACATTGTGCACTTCTATTACAAGCCCCTGGTGGTTTAATCGTCTTTACACATCTTCCATTTCCACTCTTTTCATCTTCACAGTACCACTCAGATCTGCAGTCTCCATGATTGTCACACTTTCTTGCTTTAGCTTCAAAAAGGTGTGACAAGATCTGACAGATGTGACAGGTTTTACCCTTTCTACATTTTAATATGACATGGTCTTCATACATGTAAATATGTATAAATGTATTCTTCATTTTCTTATTTACTTTCTTTGTAAGATATGGTGCCATGATACAAATCTTATACTTTCTATGGGAATCAAAATTAAGGAATAGATTGAATTTTTCAGCTTTATATATGATTTAATATTATTCTGGTGTACAAAAAACTTATGCTCTCTATTTATCCAATTATATAGCATGTTCTCTATTTATGACTTCTAAATTTCATAAGTCCGAAACGTTGTTTTCCTGGTTTGTTCATCATATTAGAATCATAAAGACCTCAATTCTATGATTTATGGTACAATATTTGACCTCAGATTTTATTCTGACAGTTGCCAAATGTGGCAAATGCTCTGTGATTTTGGTCTTCTGAAAATGATCAGAAAAAATCACTAGACATATATTGCACTATATAGATCATAGAATCATGGCTTTTATTCCTTAATTATAGTACCACTTACCTAATGATGTAGCCAGTGTTAAGAAACATATGATAATTATACCCTTCATTATCCCATTCAGTACATGTACTTTATAATTGTAGTCTCAGATATCTAAACATTGAAAAATTATTTTCCTTTTGACCTTTAACGTTATGAATCCTGAAAAGTGCATAACATTTTTATTTCATTTATTAATATTGCTGCACTGATCAATGACATTATATGTAGATTATGACTTTCTGTCTGCCTGTCAGTAGATCCTATGCCAATAACTAAAATGGCAAAATTGTAAAAATTCTCATATTTTTACGTATTTTTAGTGTCCATGTGTGCCCAATTATCAATATAATTATATCTATTAGGTTGTATTGAGGATTAATGTTTTCCCATCCATGACAGTCATCATGACCCATCACTTTGTACCCCTAGGTATATGCTTTCCCATCATGTTGCCTTGCTTAAAAGTCAATGCCCATGTTTACTAAGTTGATTGATCTCATTGATCATAATGTTTCAGTTTTATCAACACTATTTACGATATTTAATGTTGCGTTGAACGTAATTATAAACAAATTAACATTTACAAGGATACGGCAGGTTGGTTTGATTCAATTTTAATTAAAATTGTGAACATCATCATCGTCTATGTTTGTTTATTTAATTATTAGATGTGGAATGTTGATACTTTCATAACAATCAACTGTAATTTCCTTAATGGTTAATTGTATAGGCTAGGATGTCCAAGGCCTCTCCTTGAACCTGCTCTTTCGTTAGGAATCACATGTAAAAGTGCATATTGTAAATTCCAGGATACTCTAGAATCCTATGCTCTATATTTTGAGGGGTTCAGCTGACATGACTGGTACATCATGCATATTTTTAAGGACACAATGTCTCTCAGATAAGCTTTTTTTCTATGGGTTAGGATAACATGATGGTTGCATATATTTGAGGACATGTCCTAGATCTCTAAGATCACATGATATGATTGGTGCAATGGTGCATATTGTATAGGACAGGATGCCCCAGAGCTCTCATGCTCCCCTTTTAGAGGGTTCACATGACTACGTACGAGGATGATCAAAAATTCATAAGTTCAAATCTGACTTTAGATTTGAGATTTGACCTTCAATGACCCTCTCAAGGTCAAAAAGGTATCAAATTGACCAATTTTTTCAAAATCATCTACAAGATCTCAGAAATTCAAATCTGATTTTTAGATTTAATACTTGACCATCACTTACCTTCTCAAGGTAAATTGGTCAAAATATCTTTTTTCAACAAGATTTAATTTTGATAATGGAACTTGAATGGTGGTGGATTTTGGTTTGGGATATTTGGGGTTTGTTTTCCATTTGGCTGGTTTACTCTTAGATAAATTTTGTAACAATTTTTGGTCCTTTTTTGGCACTTGTACCTACATACGTATTTATATTCAGCCCTGCATAGAATACCCTCTTACCACCTTTGTTAAGGGGCAATTGAAATATAATAGGGACAAACTACTCACTCTCCCTATTAGTGACATTTTCCTGTTTAAGCTGAATTCATTGATCAACTTATATACTAGTTTTTTATGGTACTTAAAATTCCTGTCCTTTCTTATTCCCCATTTGTTTAATATAGTTCATATGATTTGTTTGGATTTGCTTTTAGAAATTACATCATATTAATTGCAAATGTTTCCCTTTGTGGTTTCTCATTTAAGATAAGAAGAACATGAATACATGTAAATATGTTCAATGCAATGTGATTTTATTCAGATATATCATAAAGTACAATCAAAGAGAAAGTCATGGTTAATTATACTTTCAAGTGAATATTCTGAGTTGATGTTACTACTTTTGTCCAGCATATAAGTAACAATGTCTGTTAGCCTGGCAGGAAGACTTCAGGTTCACACATGGTTTCATTACAGCTCCAATATTGGCAGTGAACTCTCCCTTCTTGGCAACCTTGGTAAGGAACCCAGTGAAGCTTAATGGTGATAGACCCTGGATTTTGCCAAGTAAATCTTTTTTGTCATATCTAAAGTAGGAAAAACAGTATTAATATGTTTTGTTGTACACAATTAGGAGCAGATGTGTTATAGAACTCTTTTGTTACAACTCTGATTCTTTCAGTGAATGAGGTTGTAACTAACTCAGGTGGACCAATTTTTCGCCAATGTATTCTAGAATGATTAAAATGCCATTTCTAATGAAATAAAATGCCTAGCTACTTTAAAAGTATGGCTATTTTTGTGTGAAACAGCGTATTCAACATACAGTTTTTAAATCCCAAGGGCCTATATATTGGAGGGAGGTTTAAAATGCATTTTGAGATCATTCTACAGTATGGCTTTGTTACATTCTAACACTCAAGTTACTGATTTGCTGGAGAAGTAAGATAAACATACCTGATTCTAGCTGTTAGATTCTGATGGCCAAACTGGCCTCTGCGTACAAAATCACAATGGTAGGTGACATTAACGATGTGTCCTGGTCTAAGGTGGTCAGGTCTTTCTAGGTTTGGTCCATAGCAGCTCAGACGGCATTGAACAATTTGCACTGCCACTGTCATGAGATGAACACAAATAAAATATGACATTTAGAAAAAAATATTCCATTGTTCTCCTGGTTCATTTATTGATATAATTGATTAGAATGATTTGAAATTGATAAAAGGAATGCCTATAGAGATGTTTTAAGTGTTCAAAATTGTCCATAACATGGCAATGAACTATGGGCATTGAAATATGACAAATGTGAAAATTTGTTAGTCAGATTGACAGTCATTACCTATAGACAGGTTATAGATATCTTAAGATTTAAAGCTATATATTTGTTTTCATTGCAATGCATTCTTGTTGTTGCTATTTTGCTTATTGACCATTAAGTGTTTCCAAATATTTTGCTCTATTTGATATAAATGTACACATTCAACTTTTTACTTACCCAGGCATTGTCCATTTCTGCAGAACATTTTCCCTTGGCATTCAGCGCTTCTTCCACATCGATATCCCCTCTCGTGCTTCATCTCACATCTGCCTTTCTGTGTTCCACCCAACCCTCCAGCAGTACAGTACTTGTTTCTACCATTCCTGTGCTGTAAGCAGTCATTGTCAACTCTGCACGTCTCCTCACATGTCCCTACAAATGTGCTCCATTCTGTTAACATTTATCGAATATATTTCTACATTTAGTGTCTTGTTTTTATTTTAAATTGTTAAAGATGTAGTATACACATACAACAAGTATTATCTTTCACTGACTTGTATCACAGTTCTTCTTCAGTGAAAACAAAGACATATGTAATTTGATAAATTAAATACTTTTTTAAAAAAAAATATTTGCACAAATGCAAAAATAATTTTTGTCTGTGTTTCAAAATGCATATATTAAATACTTAAATAACCTCAAAACTTGGAAAGGTCAATGAACAATAAAAAATTTATATTACCATTTCCCAATGGCACACATTTAGAAAGCTGAATACATTCATCATTTTTTCTGCAGGGTTTCCCTATGCCTACCATAGGCAGGCATTTATGTAGCTTCTTGTCACACCAATATCTATATTTGCATTCTTCGCTGAAGTTACAGTCACTTTGAACTCCAAGCACTCCTATTTAGAAAATAAGTTTTATCGTTTCTTTTATATTAAAAGTGCTGTATTATTATTCTGATGCTAACTTAGCCCAAGAATGTTTTTTCATAATGATCTCTAATTTGCATTTATAATAGGTTTTGTACACTCCACTATGGCCAGTTTCAAAATGAATTTTACATACTTTACCTTATAATTAATTAAGTCAATCGATTCAGTCTCTTTGAAAATTACAGTAAAGCCTCAATGGATTGTGCAAGTTAAATATCTTTACAAAGTTATATTTTAGGGGTAACTTATATTTTACAGGTAGTGTCCAATAAGTTATGAAAGGAAAAAATGTGTTCCCTTTAAGTTTTAGAAAATGCAAGAATCAGAACTAGATAAACAACCTGTTACTTCTAACTTTTCCTGATTTTTTTTGGTCAGAAGTTACTCTAAAACAAAATTAAAAAGTGCAAATCTCTGTTATGAGTAAATATTTCTTGTAAGTCAATGTTTAATAAAAAGTCCATTTAAGTATAAGATAATAATGTAATTTCCTCTTACCTGTTGTTGCTATGACGACAACTGCTAATAAGAAAGCACTCATATTGATTTCAATTCTTCTCAGATGTTTTAGGTAGAAAACCTTATACTTTTATAATGTTAAGAATTATGGAACATATGATTTGATTACTAAGTTTATGACCAATAGGAAATCATGATATTTTAAAATTATGATGACATATCATTTATTAGTATCGTAATATAATGTTTTTATTACATCCATATAATTGCTTGTGGTTGGATGATTTCACATTGTCAAGGATATCATGGTATAAATTGTCTATCAACTTGTTAAACTTTAGCATTGTTCTTTTTCTTCTCTTAATTTTCCATTTTAGATGTTAATTTCTCTCATATATACAAATACTTTGGCTAACAGGGTTTAAGTTTGGTCCTTTTATTACTGTAATATTATTATCATATTGTCCCAGAAATAATTCCCAACTTCATGTCCATTCAGTGAATAACCTCTATGAACTTTCTATGACATAAGACCTACCACTCTTTATCATTCTGCCATCTCCAGTCACAACAATACCAGGCCTCTTTGGCTTCCACTAATGCGATAATCAGTTCCGACCTTACGAACTAAGTTCCTTCCACCCGAACCATGTTTTTTACAACGTAAATGTTGATTCTTTATCACGAACCTCTTTTTCCCCTCTCCCGAACATTTCTCAACGTGGGAGTTCCCACATTGCAAACCACACTTTTTTTACTCGGATACTTATTTTAAAGTATTGCAAATGTTTTTAATAACCTGCTTACATTTCATTTTATGTGATGATCACACATTAAAACAGATATTCTAGAACATAGATATGCCTGTATGCACAATAGTAAAATATCTTTCTATGACCTTTATTGTTCTCTCTTCATATAAGGGGTTTAAGAAGTACTACACATCAATTTGTTGATTCGAAATTCATTCAGTCATTGCTTATTTCTTATTTATCACTGGTCAGTATCAAATGAAGATAACGGCAGTAACCTGTGCATCAAAGATGGTCGATTATGATTGTCGATTTTGGTATTTTTAGTTTTCTTAGAATAAAACTTTTTTATAGTTGACATAATGCTTTGATATTTGAACCAAATCAGGCACCACAGTTCAACAATATCTCTCACTGCTTAAGGGAAGATAACTGGAAATGTATGATATGGTAACGTCACGTTATGTCCCATATCAGTTATCTTATCATCTGTTAAACCAAAATATCAGTTACCTTCCCTTAACAGACCACCTAGACTTCCATCAATGTGAACATTAGTTCTGACCTCGCAAACTATGTTCCTTGCACTTGAACCACAATTCTCACATCACAAACATGAAATCTTTAGTCGCGCACCACCATTTCCTCGTTCCTGAACATATTTCTCCACTCGCAAATAGAGATCCGTGCTCCCGAACCACAAACCTGATTGTCGGGCTTACACTCCCCATCATCGTCACAGGATTTCACAGCATTGACTAGGAAACATTAAGATGTTACCTTTATTTAATCAAGTCATCATCTTTTATCTCCAAAATGAAAAAGTCGATTCCTAATTCTTACTTATTGCTTGTTTGTGTGAGGGTACCCAAAATATCCATAGTCACCAAATGTAAAATCCAGTTTGATTTATTTCCATCGAACGAAGTTCGGAGGGATATAGGGAACGCCTCCGTCCGTCCGTCCGGGCAATAACTCAAATACCGTTGGCCCGATTTTGTTCATATTTTGTACGCATATACCCTATTGGGGTAGAAGTTCTGCTTGAAAACCAATTTTCAAAATGGCTGCTCATTTCAAAATGGCGGCCATTTTAGTGCCGAATTTACAGTAATTTAGGTGCAATATGTAAAAGTGTAATAGCAATATGTTTTAGATGTAAAAAAATTAAAAAGGACATTAATAAAGCTAGAAATGTAGATATTAAAGAAGCACATGGCAGCCATCTTGAAAAATGGCGGCCTTTACTTGTTATTTTACGATTTTTGCTGTAACTCGAAAAGTAGTGCAGCGATTTTGTTCATATTTGGTATGTGAATACTTTAAACATTGCACACTGTCTAAAGGCACTTTTGGTAGAAGGCGGCCATTTTGAAAATGGCCGCCATTTTGAAAAATAGCCACCATTTTAACGTATTTTACTAAAACTCGAAAAGTAGTGGAGCGATTTAGTTCATATTTGGTATGTGAATACAATAAGCATGGCACTCTGTCCTATGACACTTTTGGTAGAAGGCGGCCATTTTTCAAAATGGCCGCCATTTTAACGTATTTTACTATTACTCGAAAAGTAGTGAAGCGATTTTGTTCATATTTGGTATGTGAATACTATAAGCATGGCACACTGTCTAATGACACTTTTGGTAGAAGGTGGCCATTTTTCAAAATGGCCGCCATTTTAACGTAATTTACTATAACTCGAAAAGTGGTGGAGCGATTTTGTTCATATTTGGTATGTGAATACTGTAAGCATGGCATACTGTCTAATGACACTTTTGGTAGAAGGCGGTCATTTTTGAAAATGGCCGCCATTTTAACGTATTTTACTATAACTCGAAAAGTAGTAGAGGGATTTTGTTTATATTTGGTATGTAAATACTATAAGCACGGCACACTGTCTTATGGCACTTTTGGTAGAAGGTGGCCATTTTGAAAAATGGCCGCCATTTTAACGTTTTTTACTATAACTTGAAAAGTAGTGGAGCGATTTTGTTCATATTTGGTATATGAATACTATAAGCATGGCACATGGTCTAATGACACTTTTGGTAGAAGGTGGCCATTTTGAAAAATGGCTGCCATTTTTGCTATATACTTTGTTTGTAAAAATGCCATCCATGGCTGTTCGATGGGATTCGCTACGCTTTGGCGTTGCCGTTGTTCTGGTTTAAAACATACAACTTGAAAATTGAATACAAGAAAACTACCAAACAGATTTTTAAAAATGATACTGAGAATGATGTTATTCTGGTGGATTATACTGGAATGCTTTTATGATGGTTGGAAAAAGTGGTTTCATTTGAGATGTTTCTCTGTTTGTCTGATCGTTGGTTGGCACATTTGGCTTCATTTCCTTTTGATCAGTTGTGGTTTTACATCTGCTTTGTTTATTAAACAGTCCTGTTGGGATGTTATTTTTTGGCATAGTGTAGGTTCATTGCTTTTGTTGGCTTTTCTATTGGAATATGTCTTTTAATGAAATTCCAAAATACTTGATACTTGGTTTAAATATGAGTTTGTATGACTTATGCAGTTTTGTGCTGTTTTAATTGAAAAAGAAGACTATGGGAATATGGTATTTTGAGCTTGTCTTTTGGGTCGTCTCAGAATTTAGGTATATGACTTCTTCACTATTCGCACATGTAATCATAAAACAACAGTTTCTTTCAATTTCATAAAACTTTATTTTTTTTGTACGTAAAGTAAAGTCAAGAGGTGAATTTACCTTTTGTAAAATTTGTTCTTTTACTTAGAATCCATAGTTACTACAATCGATTAAAGAAACTTAATTTACAAGAGGTAAATTCAGCTGAGGATAATTTTAAAATGTCCATTGTATTGTTTCTATGTAAAATATGTGTCTGGAAGGCAAGTGTACTGTTGTTCTATTGTCCTGCGAATAAGATGCAGTGTCTATTAGCCCCGCATGTTGGCTTTAAGTTCACACAAGTGCTCATTCTTGCTTCTAGTGCAACAGCAAATTCCCCCTTTCCGGCTTCCTTTGTGTATGAACCACTGAAGATCTGGGGAGATGTACCATTCACTCTGCCGATCAATTTGTGTTTGTTTAGCCTGTCAAACATTGAGATAAAAATGTGTTCTATTACAATAAAGTAATGATTAATTAATTACTTGTTTCCAAAATGCCTATTTAGGTAGATAGGCATGACAATAATTTTTGTGTAATTCTAGTGACAATATAGGATAATTTATGAATAATTATTTCTATCAGTAGTGACTTTCATTACTCTCTAAAGTTTCTACATGAAAATTCTGATTAGTCAACATACCATATCTTAGCTCTAACATCCATATGACCAAACTCTCCTTTTCGCAAGAAGATACAATTGTAGGTAACATTTACAATTGATCCTGGTCTGATAGCATCAGGTTTCTTAGGGTTTGGCCCAACACAAGTCAGACTGCACTGGACCACTTCCTCAGCCTCTGTTAGAAAATGTGTAATAAAGAGAACTGTATCAAGAAAGAACCATCTATGTTACAATTATTTCAGTTCCTTATTTAGATAGTAGTTTTATAAAAGAAGGAGTTTACTTGAGAGATCTCTGGGAGCACTGCTCCATTCAAAGCAGAGATCTCTCCAGCATTATAGCAAGTGGGCGCAGCACCCACCTGAGATTTTGAAAATAGGCTTGCACCCACCTGAAAATCCATTTGCACCCACTTGAAAATGAGAAAAATCATTAAAAATGAGCATATTTTACCAAATTTGCTCTGAATTGTGAAAATGAGAATTTTGCACCCACTTGAGAAAAAATCCTGTGGTGATCACTGCAAAGGATTCACTTTCTGCAATTAAATGTGTTCATTTTTGTAAAATATACATAAAATATATTTACTTTTACATTTCCCATTTTTGCAGATCATGTTACCAAGACATTCTGGACTTCTTCCACAGCGGTACCCGAATTCATGTTTCATAACACACTTTCCTTTTAGTATTGCAGCAAGTCCTCCTGTAGTGCAGTACTTCTTTCTGCCATTCTCATATTGTAAGCATTCATTATCAATCTTACATGTTTCCTCACAAATGCCTACAATCAAGACCTTGAATTAAGTCAAATGTCTTTCTTTTCCCTTTATTGTTCTTTCTTGTATTAGGGAGTTTAAGAAGAACATAACAATTGTTTGTACTACATCCATTCAGTCATTCCTTATTTCCCCTTCATTGTTTTGAAAAAAGTTGTATACGTTGGCATATTCTTATATCTCCTTTTTTGGCATCTACATTCAATTATCTCTCAGTAAAATGTTATAATTTTCGAGGCTGTGGCATTTAATGTTATTGCTTTGGTGTAAGTTAGTTTTTAGATATGGTTGGAAAAAATTTGTTTGCATAAATAATAAAAATGTCATGAAGGGATTACAGAGTAATAATATTACTCTTACCATCTACACACTTTGACTGCCCTAAGCATTGATCATTCCTTGTACAGTTTTTTCCAAAAATAACCATAGGAACACATATTCCATTGTCACACCAGTATCTGTACTTACATTCATTACTGAATGTACAGGTCTTTGGTGGCCTACTTGTTTGGCATTTCTCTGTAAATTGTTATACTTTATCAGAAAGTAGCATTTTGTCATATTAATACCTTGATACGATTTTAATGCTTCACTATGATTGGAAAGGTTAAAAGATTTAAGCCCTGGACTTGATGTATTGTTGGCTGATTCATTCCACGAAGGTGTTGTTTTCAGATCTTTGAATGACTTTAGCAGGAATGCTGTCTTAATGCAGTCTAGGAAACAATGCCTGAGTACTTAAGTACAAAATTAACCAAATTTCTATGCAGACTTAAATTATTCTTGGCTCTTACTGTTAGATACTCAAAATATTAAAACCTTAATTTCCATGTGAGCCCAGTACCCATGGTACTATATTTGTCTTATGATACTTCTGCTTTTGTCTTGAAATTATTTCAGAATATACTGAACATCTGACATGTTTCTCTGACAGACTGAAGTATGTCAATCTGGTAATTTAGATTTGAGGCATTACTCAATATCGGTCTAAAATTGTTGCTTTGAAAAGCATCCTGAAATCTGAAGTTTTTCAAATAGACCCCCAATGTTGGTTTACATTTCTTATCGAACGCTCCTTGAATATGTATTAATACAATTTCATGAACAACTATAAAAATAAATTTGTGTACCCCTGTATGCCCTGTGAAATTATCAAAATCCATGGATTGTCAAAAAATATCAAAATGTTTTTTTAGCCCACCCTGTATGTAATGTAATTAGTACTCTTACTGTCTACGCATTTTGACTTGTCCATGCATTGAACATTCTTTTTACATTTTTCTCCAATATTAACCATAGGAGTACATGTTCCTTTGTTACACCAGTATTTGTCTTTGCATTTATTCTTGAAGTTACAGGTTTTTGGTTGACTTGGGACCTCCAAGGCTAAAAGAAAATATGAAGAGATAGAGTTTGAGCTTTTAAATGCTTATATTGAATCTGAAAGGTTTGATACTCATTTAGGCCTAAATGCCATGGTACTGTAACATAACATGTAGCTTACTCTTTTGATTAAGCTGTTAACATTTTACATGCACTTACAGATACTTGTTGACAAGTTTGATTTTCAAAACCTCACACTATAAAACCAAAACATTGTTATAAAAATCCTTTATGGGCTTTTCTGAAAGAAATTTCATCTATAATAAGTCATTTATTTTGAAGTTTCAAGTTAATCACCACTTGAGATGCTGAAGGATTAGATGTAGAAATTGTTTAAGAACTTAAAAATCCATTTCTGGGCTTTCCTGAAAAAAACTAGTCATTAATCTTGATGTTTCAAGTTTTACTACTTTCTTGCTTGGTTTCTTTGAGGTTTTTAGTCTTTTCCCTTTGGCATTAGATATTTCTCAATCAACAATTAAGTCTTTGTTCACGATTAATGTTTAACATCTGCCCAGTCAACCTCCAAATCAGTCAACAATTGTATATTGTTGACTTACTATATCTGCAGTATATGGTTCTGTCTCTGCAATTATTTCTGGTCCAAATCACCCTTGCTGCCTTGTCAATTGTAGGCCACCAAGGTTTACCATCTTTTCTCCCTACTCTGACAGTATGATAGGAGTTGTCACGGTGTGTACTAAATTCTACTGCTGCGGGCCAGTTTCTACAGAAGCGTTAATGACTGTTTCAGCTAGCTTAATAACCAGTCACAGTGAATTTTTACTCTTATGCTTGAAATATGCATTGACTTTTCAGTATTTGTTTTTGCATTTCCAATAATAATTAAAACTATAATTTATACTCAAATGCGAGTAGGTAGTTTAGTTTCACCACCAGGTGGCTAAATTTTCAAAGTTGTTAAACTCTTTTCAAAACCACATTTCTAGGTGTAATTTTATGTGTAGATTCCAAATATGGCATCAGTTTGACTGAACTTTTAATGACATAAATAAGATTAGTTCTACTCCCATCTAGTCTATTGAAGTCATGTTTGACATCGATCAGCTCTGCAAGGTTGGATTTTGATTTGAGCAATATGTTTTTATAATTATTGAAATATTTTCAAAAAGTGAAGAAAATAGATGATGTACAACTTAAAACCCCATAAAACTGAATATATCAATCATGTGCGAAACGCATATGTTATTTTGCCATTTTCTTCATCTTCAAAATATTATGTACAATGTATTTAAAAGATCTATCTGCCAGTTTGCATATAAGCACAAGAAAAGCATAATAACGAAAACATTGTGAATTGTGAGATTTGTATAACATTACCTGTCATTGAACCCAGGCTGATTCCATGATGGATCAACATATCCAGTGACGCATTTCCAGCTACTGTTAGTATTAAGAATGAAATCGCCATAACGGAATGAAAGAATGAGTCCCGATACTATGCAGAGAGTGTCCCATGCTGTATAGGAATAATTAAATATGATATGTACTGGTACATACAGTCCAGATATGATATTCAATCAGTTTTACCATTTCATTATTTTTCTTGAATGATTGTATGTATATATTTTTTTAAATATAGGATTGCAGACATTGATGTTTTGCATATTTCCAAAATTGTTGACTATGGTTGTTATGGTTGTATTGTGAAACTTTGTCTTACTCTCAATAAGCTGTTAAACATTAATACAAGCAAACAAACAAACAAACAAACAAACATGGTCAGGAATCTATTCACACACATTGTCAGCCCTTCCAACATTTTCAAGAAGGTCTTATAATTAGTTTGGTGTGAGTAGGTATCATACGTACCCTTTACGGCAATCACTTTGACATTCTCTGGGTTATCAATTGAGTAGTGTTGTGGCTGATTCCATGCATCACCAGAACCTACTTTCTTACCATTGACAAACAAGTTGTATTCATCATCAGCAGTAATATCAATCGTACCTTTATGTATGTAAATATATATTATGAAACCAGTCGCTTAAAATGGTCAGTAGGGATATAGTGGAGCCCTCTATCTGTCTGCTCATTTATCAGTCAGGTTGTCTGTCCGAACGATACCTTGAATACTAGTAGATACATTTTTTCATATTTGATGGAAAGATGTACGTATATTGGTTAATAGTTTCATGCAAACTTTTGCAAAAGTTTTTCATTTTTAACCAAAGTAATAAATATATTATTGTTTGAAATTTTGGCAGTATATTCACAACATTCCACATATCTATTTCGCATATATTCTGTGTTTTTCATCTACAATCATTCATTCTGACCATTGGGCTATTTGACCCCTTATTGCACCCCATCCTTTGTTGCTGCAGTGTGGACCTGCATTCTGTGAAATCAGTCCATGATTTTAATGTTTTTGTATATTTAATTACAATGAATTATCTGTCTAATGCTACATACCTTTTGCTGCTTCTGCTCTTGCTATTACAAACAATAGCAGATTCAAAACAATCCACTTTCTATTCAACTTCATTATATCCCAGTATTGGCAAGATTACAATTCTACATTTAGTTGTTACAATTCTGACCTTTTATTTATTCTATGTATACAAAAAATCATGATGTGGTTGTGTTGACTATTCATGCAGCTATAATGTCAACTATGATGCTACACCCACTTTACTGTTATATCTAATGAGTAAGGGTATTGGTAAGATTACAGGAAGTAGGAAAAATATTTAGAAATTATTCCTAAAGAAACAAATATCTTAGATTTTGTTTAAAACTCACACACAAGATGAATTTTATCAAAATGATGTGTTTGTTTGAGAGGGGGTAATTAGAAATTGTTTCTTAACATGGATTAGATCATAGTTTGGGATATTTGGGATTTTTTTTTCTTTATAACTGGTTGTATTCTTAGGTGTTTCATTTTCTTGATCTTGCATAAATATTTCTCACTTTGTAGTTGTGATATAAAATATAAACTGCTTTAATAAGTCATATATCATATTGATGTTTTCTCTTTATTTGTTTGAAATATTATTTATCTGAATTATCTTTCGAACTTAAACTTCATTGTCACAGCTTCTAATTATTACTAATTAATGAAATCGGAGAGTTTGATTAAGAGATGGTGTCATTGATGCATGCACATTAATCAATTTTGTGGTTGAATATCTATCTGACTACTAAAGTGATGTTCATGATTGTGTTTATTGTGATTGCAATGTTTTTCACAAATGATATAGATATAACTTAATGCCAGAGTCGTGAAGTTGATTGTCATGATCATCGTTGTATCACCATTTTTGTACCATCAAATTTTTTATCGCTGACATTAACAATAGCAATTTAATTTCTTGTTCATGCTTGTGATTTTAAATACCTTTAAAAAGCTTAATTTAAATTGCTGAAAATGATACTGAATATGATTTTATGATGGTGGGAGAAAGCGGTTTCATTTTAGATGTTTCTGTTTGTCTGATCTGGTTGGCACATTTGGAATTATTTCCTGTTGACCAGTTGTGGTTTTACATCTGCTGTGTTATAAACAGTCCTGTTGGGATGTTACTTTTTGGCATAGTGTACCCAGCCCATTGCCAGGTATGGTCAGTATATACTGACAGGTATACTTTCAGTCTATACTGACAGGTCAACTTTTAGTCTAGTTTCAGTATACTTTCAGTATATGTCCCATGTTATGATTCCATTGACAGGTATGTTTCAATTATGGTAATTAGACCTACCAGTATGGTTTCAGTATACTTTCAGTATAAACCAATGGGTATACATTCAGTATACTTTCAGTATATACATACCAGTATGGTTTCAGTATAATTTCAGTATATACCAACGGGTATACATTCAGTATATATGTAAAGATATACTTTCAATATGGTATCAGTATATACCTATAGGTCAACATTTAGTCTATACTGACAGTCTTAACATGTCAGTCTGTAGACTGATATGGATGAATATAACTCTACCAATGAGATCCTTAAATTTTAAATCATTCTGCAGATGAGAAAAATTAGTACATGTAATTTGGATAGCAGTCTTATTAATTTCTAGCATTACATTATCTAATTAATTAGATGCAGGATTATGAAGACTTCAAAAAGACATACCACAAATAAAGTAATATTCTTATATTAACTATATTCAAGTTTTATTCATGATGTATTTTTGATGCAAAGTTTTAATTTTCAAATTTTAACTGTATTTCTTTTTTAAATTTTACTATGACTGTATCTTTCATATCTTTCTCTCATTTTTTGTGTTTTCAATGTATAAAACATTCAATGTAATTATGAGCAGGAATGCTCCCCTGCCACCTAGTCTGATAGGACAGGTTGTGGAAACAAATGGTCATAAAATAGAACTTACATATGAATGATTGTTGACTTATAGTTTTATCATGAATTTTGCATTTGCCGTTTATATTATAAAATGATAAAGTAGAACTGGTATACGTTCAGTCTAATCATTATTTATCAGAGTTTATTTGGTATGCTTTCAGTATACTATTGAAAATCATAAGTAAAACTGGTATGCTTTCAGTATATTCAGTATTTATCAGAGTTTGTGTGGTATGCTTTCAGTATACTATTGAAAATCATAAGTAAAACAGGTATACTTTCAGTATATTCAGTATCTTCATACCTATTTACAGATCTATATTCAGTATATATACCTATTAATTGGTATGGTATCAGTCTGGTATCAGTATAGACCTATCAACAAGGTATACTTTTAGTATACTTTTGGTATAGACTGACAATACCTGGCAATAGGCTGGGTAGGTTAATTGCTTTTGTTGGCTTTTCTATTGTAATATGTCTTTTTGAAATTCAAAAATAAATGTACATAGAATGATTCGGATAAGAATTACTTGACATTTAATACTTGTTATAAATATGAGTTCTTATGACTTATGCAGCGGGAACGCCTCCCTCTGTCCATCCGTCTGTCCAGGCAATAACTCAAATACAGCTGGCCTGATTTCATTCATATTTTGTACACATATACCCGATGGGGAGTTCTGCTCGAAAGCTGATTTTCAAAATTGCGGCTCATTAAAAAATAGTGGCCATTTTAGTACAGATTTTTCTGTAATTAAGGTACAATATGTAAAACTTTAATAGCAATATGTTTTAAATATAAAAAAGGTTATATATAATAGGATTTTGTTCATATTTAGTACATGAATACAATAAGCATGGCACACTTAAATGACACTTTTTGTAGAAAACTGTCATTTTGAAAAATGGCCACCATTTTAACATTTTTTACTATAACTCGAAAAGTTGTGGAGCCATTTTGTTCATATTTGGTATGTGAATACTATAAGCATGGGAAACTGTCTTATGACACTTTTGGTAGAAGGCGGCCATTTTGAAAAATGGCTTTTATTGACATGTACGTGTGTGCGATTTTGTTGAAATTTTATATGTGCCTACTTAGAATCATATCTTTCTGATGATAATTTGGCTACAGTGAGCAACCATTTTGAAAATGGTGGCCATTTTTTGTGTGCCAGCCATGGCTGATGGGATTTGCTACGCTTTGGCATTGTTGTTTTCTAGTTGAGTTTTCATACTTTAACTATTTAGTAGCTTTAAAAATAATTTCATATGTCCTGTGTTATAAAAGCCTATGTTACTGTTAACAGTAGCTGTATGCGATAATTTTGTAAAAAGAAATTAGCAAAAACTACTATTTTGGATTTTTCCATCCTAAAATCTTGTCTGTAAAGTCTCACTATATCTCAAACAATTCTCAGTGAGAAAAATAAGACATGCTAAACATCTTACCTTTTGATAAAATTTCAATAGAATAACTGAAGTCATCATAGATCTATATTTACAAAATACTTTTATTAAACATTTTGGACAGTAAATGATATGTTCTACTTTTTTGTTTTTCTTGCACGTTGAGTTGTAGGTTCTTCAGGTTAAGGTGTCAAAAGTCTTATGATTTGAATAATATATGTTTAAGCCTTAAGGATGCAGCGTCTTGATGCACGGCAAAGTTTTCTGTGGTTTTTACAGTCTTTCATCATTCCTTGAACTTCTGCTGAGAATTCTCCTTTTCTGGCTACCATTGCTTTTGAACCACTGATTGTTACTGGTGATGCTCCTTGAGCTTTTCCAAGCTTGATTTTCTTATTCAGACTGTAATTTGATTGCATTCAATTTATTTGATGAAACCAAAAGGTTCATTTGGCTGATGATCCTACATCGAATATTTATATGTTTGAATAGTTTGATTTTTGAGGTTATGCCTTATATATTACTGATTTGGTCAACTAATACAGGATGCACTTATATCACTATAACTCACCGCAATTCTGCCTTGATTGGCAGTGGTCCAAACTCTCCAGTTCTAATAAAGGTGCATGAGTAAGTGACATTGACTGTCTCTCCTGGTTTTAAGTTGTTTGGGTTCTTTCTTAGACTATTGCAGTCAAGTTCACACGTAACAGCTTCTGCCGCCTCTGTATATTCAGGTTAAATATTTATATGCATATGTTAACAGCCAGTTTGTAAATGATTATACTATTTGATACAAATAATGTTTCTTTTCCCAGGCCTTGTTTTTTAAGAAAAGACAACATTTAAGTCTAAGCTTAAAAATCCTGAGATTCCTGTAAAATGTTTGAGAGTGTTATTACCTACACACGTGCCATGTTTGCAAAAAAGTTTGCCTTCACATTCTGGGCTTCTGTTGCAGTCCTCTCCTTCTTCTTTTGTTGGCTCACAATATCCTTTTACCAGTGTTCCCAGCCCACCAGTGGTGCAGTATTTTACCTTGGGCTTATTACCATACTGCTCGCAGTCAACATCTGTTCGGCATCTCTCAGTGCATACTGTTTAAGGAAGAAAGTGTTTGAACCATGCATGTATTAATTACCAGATTATATGTAATGGTTTATTACGATCATAACAGCAAATAAATTAAAACAGACCATTTTTTATTATTACTAATTAGGACCTATTGCTTAATAACTATGAAAGAATAACATGAGGAAAGAATTGACTGATTTGAGTATTCTCACCTTTCTCAATTGGGTCGCTGTCTGGAACTTCTTCACAATTAGATGATCCTTTGCATTGACGGGTGAATGTGCATGGATCTCCTGCTTCAGATTGTCTCTCACAAAGGTCAGTTGTAGGATTGCAGAAAAATCCAGTCTTACACTCCCCATCACCGTCACAGGATTTCGCAGCATTGACTGGAAACATTAAGATATTATCTTTATTTAATCAAGTCATCATATTTTATCTATCTCCAAAATGAAAAAGTCTATTCCTATTTCTTATGTATTGCTTGTTTGTATGGGGGTACCTAAAATATCCATAGTCACCAAATGTAAAATTCAGTTTATTTATTTAATGTTTATCTGAGATTCATAAATGCTAGAGTTAATTGACTGAATATATAAACATTATTATTCAGATTTAGCCCCACCTTTTTTAGAAAACATACAACTTCGAAATTGAATACAAGAAAACAACTAGCATTCGACCATGGCTGATTTCAGGCAGTCATATTTGTGAGCATGGGTCTATAATTTTGAGTTATTCCTAATATGATTGTTGTCTGACCTTTTTTAAAAGTGTACCATTAAAACTTTCTTAAAAGCAGCTTAAAAAGCTTACCTGTCAAAACAGACAACATCAAGGCTAAGGCAACTGTCATGAGATTCATCTTGTAATGAAATATCGGGCCCTCTCAGTTCAACAGCTCAGCTCACTCTTTTTGAGACCCTTTTGGTGAATAGTGATGTCCCATAGGACACTCTTGGCTTTTATACACATTTTTCAATTCATGTGGTTTAATGGTCAAAAAGGACAATGTGAGGTTGTGATCTGGTTGTACAATGGTATCATGAGGGTGTGACTACAGTCATGATTATTGGGATGATGTGGTTCACTTTTCATTCAGGATAGGTTTGAGGGTTTTTAATTCCATATTTAATTAAATCCCATATTTGATTAAATTAAGGGATTAAATCAATATATCAATCTTCATGTTTTGGGATAAAATGCTATTTTATTATCGCACACATCGTGGCCAGGACAGAACAAATCATCAATTTTCATTATAATTACATCTTTTTTTAGAAATGAAATGTTAAACAAAAAGTGTGTGATGTTATGAATGCTTTAAAGTTTTTCCAGTGAAAATTTCCTAAAATATTATTGAGAGTTGAGAAGTTGTCAGGTAAACAGAGGTGGATGACCAATGTCCTGTTCCGGCTACTATATTATTCATTACTAATAATTTACTACCTCTGATTTGAAAAAAAACACCATCAATGTTCATTAATAATCCCCGGGCATAGTAGATCGGACTTGATATAAAATTTCATTTATGGGACATAATGAAATATTGACCTGGTCCCTCTAAATACTAGGGATGGGACGGTTCGTTTCGGTTCGGTTCGGTTCGGTTTTTCGGATCATCAGCCGTCGGTTCGGTTTTTTTCGGTTCGGTTCATTCATTTCAAGGATTTGTATTGATTGACATGATTAGCTGCTTAATTGATACAAAGATTTGCGCAAATTTGTATTTTATAGATGGAATTTTATGTTATAGTATTTCATGAACAATACATATTATTTAGAATACACGACTAAAGAATATAGTACCAGGGACCACATGATTGATTACCGAGGGATACGAATACGCGGATACGAAACGAATCTAGTAAACGAGTGAGCTAGCAACAGACAAGACAGACAAGGCAGGGACTAGGAATATCAAAAATGTTGCTGTAAAACAGTGTTTTTAACTGTTTTATTGATACTTGACCAATGAAATATTAATCCGAAAACGATCCGAAAAGCTGATCCGAAAGTAGGGCCGTGATCCGAAAACCAATCCGAAGGCTATGAACCGCGGTTTTTCGGTATTTCGGTTATCCGTCCCACCCCTACTAAATACATGCATCTATTCATAATGTATTGTCTCATTGTGTGCACACTTGCTCATGAAGAGTGAAAATAATATGCTGTTATTTTGATATTTTCATTTAATTAAAGATCAACATGATTTTGTATCTCACGTCAGTGGCTAAACAAAATGTTGTGGTATTTTCTATTGTTTCATTCTTGGTAAAGTGACATACACACTGGTTAATGTGTTTTTATATTCATGATATTTAGTCACGACAGAACATCCTGGTGATAAATAGAGATGAAACAAAGAGGAAATTCTCACTAACATGGAGGTTTAATGTGACATTTAAATTGTAAAAATATATACATGACCAGTATTAATTTATATGTTTTTATTAAAGGTGGCCATAAGTGTACATGTACATGTTTGATTATTAATTTTCTCAACATATTTGAGTAATTATGGCATTTGAGAATGGCTTCAGCCCTAGTGATTACAGTCAGCTTTGCATTGAACCCTAATGATGACCTCCCCCTCCTATACTTTCTTTAATTATAGGAATTATTTAAGCAAATAAGTACTTTTATATTATCACAACCATCACATATTTCTAGCTCTAAACCTACAGATTAAATATAGTTTATTTGTGCATGATTTAATATAAAAATGCAAGATGCAAACAGTGATATTTAAAATCATTATCTTGGAATATGTTGAATTACATTTGAATGAATAAAAAATGACTAGTATTTGCATTTAACCTTAGATATTTAGATTACTAATAGACTACAGCAAGCCCATTTTCCAAAGACACAGTAATACAACTTGAGCTAATCCCTTACCTACCTTTATTATTTAATTACAGATATTCATTGCCCTGTTACCCTTACCTTAATTTTTCCCTATTATGTTTACACCTGATACTGTAAAACCAAGCTGATAATGTCTGAAGGAACAGAAATGTACCATTAGCACGCCTAACCATTGCATAAACACCGTGTATACTGCCAGTAGGCTGTACAGTGATGCTTGTGCAATAGTTAGGCATGTTAGAAGGAAATTCTAAAAACCATATTAAAAATAGTTTAATATTGCCTCTGAAACAGTTCTTTTCTTATCTATTCATCCTGCTTGAAACAATATTGGAATCTTGATCAGTCTAATTCTTACATTCAAACATAGTAGAAAAGTATTTCACTGGTAGAACAGTGTCCATCTCAGAGAATTTAACAAAGATTCATTTAACAAAAAAATTCTCCAGAGTGCATGTAGCTGGGTGTCAACCTCAGGGAATTTAACAAAAATAATTCATTGATGAGATAGATTATTCATGTGAGTTTTTCCCATTATGCATTTCAGGACTGGCAGCATACACAGCTCCTTCATGTATTCCAACAACAGCTTGTGTCTGGAGGGTCCTCCCATAATGGAATCAGTAGCAAGGAGGCCATAGTAGATCTACGCAATGTGGCATCTTTCCAGGAGGACTTCTACCTGCTTGTTCTGGAGAAAGCGGGAGATGGAGGCTCATTGGTGCATATGTGGAGAATCATTATTGCATCTGATAACATTGCAGATGGTGAGGAATATTGTTACTGATGATTCCTGTTAAATTTGTTTTTTGGACAATTGTAACAGATGAATCCAGTTTAACTGGTTTCACTGACAATTCCGTCAGTTTATAACACACAAATAATCTAAGTAGTCTAGTATATCATTTAGTATATGAATTTTTTAATTAGGTGTATATAATATTCTTATGTCAGTTATTTCTCCATTCAAATTTCTTTTCTTCTCTTGGGTCTTTTTGACTTCTAGTTTAGTCTGTTTTTTTTCACTGTCCAAATTGTCAAACGGCAGTGTATGTATGAGCTAGTGATCAAGAATGGGTTGGATTAGAATCTAGATCTTTGATCTTTTGGATAGTTTCTGAAATGCAACTAATATAAGGTTATGTATATCAATTATTAAATGCAAACAAATCTTTATATTTTTCAGGTGCCCAAGATACTCCCAAAGTTCAGGTCGAAGGGGAAAAACAGTATGACAGCTTTGAGGCTCATCAGACATCATCTTCACTCAATATCAAAACAACAAAGGTAAACTTTACATTTATAAGGGCCTCAAAAGTTCAATGTATTTGAATAGTTTACCTGTGACCCCCTCATAACTGTATTTAAGAAATGACCCCCTTCCCATAACTGTTCAAATACTATTGATTTTCCGACATTGATCTTTTGAAATGCTCCCTCACATACTCATCCTTAAAGAGGAAAATATATATCTGATTTTATATACATTTTGGATTAACATGCTCACTTTTCTCTTACAATGTGGTTTGTCAGTCAAACAAATCCACACAAAATAATCAAAAGAGCTTGTTTCTTCACCATAAGCCACACTTATTGTTTGGTCTTTCATGAGGTATTTATTAAACAAAACCCCTTAATCGATATTTCGATATTGTCTCTGACTACTATTGGTGATATCAATGCTTCGAGAATATTATTAGCAATTGGTTTGTTTACTCAGTGAAATGAGTGAATTAACATTTATGCCAACCAATTATATATCAATTAAAACAAGTGGAACAACTTAAGCCGTGTATCGAGTATGCTTAATCATGTTTATTTGGAACGCCCTCCAATTTCCTAGAAACAGAAAATCAAAAGTACAAATTGATTTTTATTATTGTATTTATTGATATTTGCAGTGAAATATTTATTGAAGTTAGTCACACCTCATTATTAATTGTGAAATGTCAGTTATAATGTCATAAAATGCATGGAATATGATGATAAAATGAAGCATGTTTATTTTCCTGTTGTGCCATCTTTTTGAGAAATGTCAGCTAGTTATCCATTTAATAATTTTCAATACTATCTTTCACCTAGGTGTGTACTCAGATGCTAGACTTACCAGGTTCAGTTGAAGTCATCAACGCAACAGTCGCAGCTGGCCACCTAAGTTCTTCCTCCATTTACCCAGCATGCTTTGCACCTTATCTTATATCGACAGCATGCAGTGATTCGAAAGTTCGTTTCTGGCGCTGCAAGGCTAGTAAGGGCCAAGTGGTAGATGAAGAGGTGTATAATTGGGTTGAGTGGCACATGGTGAAAGACTCACCTGAATCTAGTTCAATACCCGTCAGAGGTGAATGTTTTATATATAGTAGGCTATATCTACTTGGAGTCAACTGCAGGGTGTGTCTAAACAAGCATACTTGATCCTGGGTGCTATTAAAGGAGATTAGACTATTCACTAGATTAATTTTGTTCAGTCTATTTTAAACTTACCATTGAAATTGTTAATTTATAATGTTCAAATGCTGCTGTAAATGTGTTTAATTTTGTTTGGTTATATTCCTCATCTTGTCTTTTAGGGAAGCCCATAGCAGTGTGTTGTGCATATAGTGGGCGGGTGGCAGTAGCCTATAGACTTGGCAGTATAAAAACAGAAGTCGAGCACCCTGAAACCAAGTTTGTCAATCTGTCAGTTGCGATATATGAATGTGAATCAACAGGTTGGTGGTTTTAAAGATGGTTTTTTTAGGAATAACTCTAATTTCAATATATGTCCCGATATGTCTTATCACTTTTTACATTCTCTAAATTGAAACAATTTTCAATATGAATTGTGTGTGTTATGATGCAATAAAACTAGAAAGTGGAGCACCTCTGAAAGTGGAACACTTCAAATTTCAATCCTCTCCACATTTTTGAGATAACTTGCATTCATAATAATGAATGGATTAAAATAAATAAAGATTAAACTGAAATTTTATGATTGCAGGTGGCTCAGAATGGACCCTTGAAGACACCATAGACTTGAAGCATACCCTTATTCCCGACCCTCATGAGGAAATCTCCATGCCGGGTCTTGCCCCTGGGCTCCATTCAGAGGGAGCCACCATCCCTAAATCCATGTCCATTCCCAGTCTTAGCTCTGCCCAGAGTGTGAGGAGGTCAATCATAGAAAAGGGGAACATCTATGGACTTTTGAAGCAGAAACATTTGGTTCAATTGGATTGGGTGTCAACGGAGGATGGATCACATATATTAACAATAGGACTGGGATTCAAGGTATTTATTCTTGTATTAAATATCAATAAAGGGTTGCTTGGAATATATTTTGTTAATGAATAACATGAGTCTTTGTATTTTGCTTCTAAGGTGAATACCATGACAGCAATAATATTTTTTAATGCTAAAGTTCCAAATTCTCTGTAAACTAATAATGCCATCTTTTATCTGAATATAGTAATGGATCTGTGTAAAGTAATCAATGATCCATAATTTATTGGTCATCCCTTGTTGATGAGTATCAGGTTGACAAGTGCAGAGTAAGTTACTTTTGCAACTTTTTTGATTCATAGGTGCTCCTATATGCCCCTGTCTCTGGAGAATTAGCCAACTCTGTTAGCCAGCGAGAACCTGAGAAAAAAGAGCACAAACCAAGAGGACGTGGGATGCTACAGAAATCAAAGTCTGTCATGGTGCTGGATTACGTTGAAGAAATTCGCTGGATGAAACTTCGTAGTATTGAATTCGCCACTGCTGATGCCCTCCCTCCCCTCCCTATGCACATCTCGTGGGTGCGTGATGGCATCTTAGTGGTGGGGATGGATAACGAGATGCATGTTTACTCCCAGTGGAGAGCACCTGAAGGGACATTAGAGACCAGCAGCTATGAAGATGAGACAGATGGAACTGACGACTCAAGGACCCTAAAGGAGGAAAACCTGGTCTCAGTCTCATCAAGTGCTAATTTATTAATGGTAACAAGGATGCCTGGGAGCCCTTTTAAGGGTTCCTCCAGTATGACCAGTATGAAGGTGAACCTCTCTACCTCTTCAAGCTATGCCACTGAGAGGAGATCAGAACTGAGTCAAGGAAAGCTGTCGAAGAGTGAGAGCAGCACAAGTTTGAATCTAATCCAGGAATGTGGTTTATTTGAAGCAGCTAGATTAGCAAATCCTGTCCTTCCTCAGTACCATCCTAAGCAACTACTAGAGCTGTTAAATTTTGGGAAAATACGTCGAGTTAAGGCCATACTTGCCCATTTGGTACGATGCATCGCTGGACATGCTGGTTTGAAATCCCTCGTTGATGTCTCTGATCCTCAATCAAAAGGTTTTGGTCGCCAGAGGGCTCTTTCGGTTGCAGCTGGTTCCAGCCCAGGGGAGGCACTTTCCCCAGCAGCGATAACTGGGGAGGTACAGCTTGATTATGTAGAGATCAACTCCATTCCTCCTTTACCTCTTTATGCCCTCCTGGCATCTGACAATGACACCCAACAAGCGTACAACGACACAACAGATAATAACAAAAATGAACAATATGATGACCTGTTTGATAGTGTCGACAAAGATGATGACGACTTAGATGATACATTTACCGATGAGGTGACATTTGGTGACCTCCCTGTGAGAAGAGAGCGTGCACAATCAGCCAATAAAATCTCACAAAATCCCAACTACTTTGGCACATCCCAGGCTGGTCTGTTAACAAATTACCTGACCCATACACACCTGCCTGGCTTGACCAACTTAGACCAGATGTACTTGCTGGCTCTGGCAGATACGGTGGCTAACTGTAAAACTGACTTTGGTGATGATTCTTCATCAGCTACAGGAGAAGGAACAAAAAATGGTGAGTTATTTTCATTAGTAAAGTACACAACAAACATTTATTTTTGGCTTTATATGTCACCGCCAGTAGTGGTGACAGTTCCCAGGTGACAGTTTTAGTCTCCAACTTTTTGTGGACAGTGTTTGGCAGTCAGTGGTTAGCATCTCTAAGAAATGGCAGATGATGACATTTTGCATGTTAATATCTTGTAAGTGAATATCATGAAATCAACATTTATTTGTAAGCTAGATGTATTATTTATTTTTATTACATTGCTTCATATTAATTTGATTTAGCTGCAATTATTGAACATTCACACTTGATGAGTTTAATATTACATACAATTATATTATATGTACCTAACTGCATACATGTAAATGATAAACATTGAAATAAAACTATGTTTATTTTAGTAAATGATTCATAAAACATTTACAGTAAAACATGTTTTAAAAATGGAACACCTTTGGAACCTCTAGAATGTGTACCACTTGGAAGGTGTTCCCCTTATAAACAAAGATGATGACGACTTAGATGATACATATAGGTTTATTTAACATTAAGTTAGTTGGACTCTGAAAAGTGTTCCACTTCTAGAGGTGTTCCACTTTAGAGGTTTCACTGTACAATATGTTGAATATCCATGTTATACTTGTATATTAATTCTTTAAAGAAACTTCACATTTAGGAGACTATACATTTATATTTGTAGAATCTGTTGATGAATGTGGGCTGAGGTTCCTTCTCTCTATGAAACTTCATATCTATCTATTGAGGTCTCTTCCTCTTGCACAGAGGGCCAATCTACAAAAAGAGGGACTCGGCTCTGCTACAATTGTCTGGGCTTTCCACTCTGAGGCAGAAGAGGTAAAATATTTTGTACAAACTTAAACATAAATGTTGAAATTGAACATGGAATTGTAGGATTTTACCTTATGGTCCAAAAGCTTTCTTATGGTCCTCTAGCTATTATGGTTCTATAGCTAATTATAGTCCAATAGCTATTATGGTTCCTTAGCTATTATGGTTCAATAGCTATAATGGTCCCCTAGCTATTATGCATGGTTCAATAGCTATTTTATGGCTCCCTAGATATCCAATGGTACCTTGATATGTTAAATGATTTAAGTCCTGGACTCTGTGCATTGTTTACTGAATCATACCATGAAGGAGTTCTTTCCAAACCTTTGCATGACCGCGCAGCGGTATTTACAAAGTTTAGGAAACAACGCCTGAGTGGAATAAAGCAGCTACAATGCATTGAGTCTTGGGCTTAAATTCTTTTCACACATTGCAAAATATTTTCTCCAAAATCATCTAAAAGGAACGAAATCACTAAAAGAACACATTTTCATTGAATTTTTTGCAAGGGTCAAGTTGGCAAGTCATCAAATCCAATGTGAAAAATCTATTCATCACCATGACAACTGTTTAACTAGTGACCTTGCATGTGTTATTGATATTTCACACACTGTTCATTATGTGAATACTCTGTTCGGATTGGCTGGAATTGGACACACCTTGCCTAGCTATGTGTGAATATGCCTTTACCCTTTCTAGTCTTACAATTTATTGTTTTCTGTTTTCAGGAGTTGCTAGGAATGATCCCTAGTGTTGCTAAGGGAGAACCAACATGGAAAGAACTGAGTCAGTTCGGAGTAGGTTGGTGGGTGAGAAATGATAATACTCTCCGCAGACTCTTTGAAAAGGTAATGTGTACATGTTATTGTATTTTGATGAATGGTTGATGATCTCATTGGTCTGAGGGCGAAATATTACTGTTTGTTTAATGTCCCCTCCATCCTATAACTAAAGGAACCTCAGAAAAAATAAATGAAAAGCTCCCTCCTATCAGGATGTTAAATATACATTGTTATAACTTTTAATAGTATGTTATTAGTATATGTCACTCTCCCTATAAGGGGAATGTTTTTTTAACATTTACATGTATGCACTGTCAGTGTGTTAATTGATGTAATAATATGGAGTAATGTTTTGTTTCTAGGTTGCCAAGGCAGCTTTCACAGTCAACAAAGACCCCTTAGATGCTGCCATATTCTACTTAGCAATGAAGAAAAAGATGCTGTTATGGGGCCTCTTTAGGTAATACATGTACTTTGTTATTGTGTTATATATATACTAAGGGCTACCACATCTATAAGTGGAATGTGTTATATTTCTTTTAAAATGTTAAGTAAAAACCTGTAATATAATTTACATGTGCATGTTGTTTTTGTTGTTATTTTTAAATCATATTTCTGGTTTACAGGTATCACATGGATTTTATTGTATTATACATGTATTCCCTTTGTTAATTCTCATTCATTCATGAGTTAGGTATTACATGGATTTTATTGTATTATACATGTATTCCCTTTGTTAATTCTCATTCATTCATGAGTTAGGTATCACATGGATTTTATTGTATTATACATGTATTGCCCTTTGTGAATTCTCATTCATTCATGAGTTAGGTATCACATGGATTTTATTGTATTATACATGTATTCCCTTTGTTAATTCTCATTCATTCATGAGTTAGGTATTACATGGATTTTATTGTATTATACATGTATTGCCCTTTGTGAATTCTCATTCATTCATGAGTTAGGTATCACATGGATTTCATTGTATTATACATGTATTGCCCTTTGTGAATTCTCATTCATTCATGAGTTTTAAGAAATGAATAATTTGCTCTCATTCCAGGTCAGTCCAAGACACAAAAATGTCAATGTTCTTCAAAAATAATTTCTCTGAAGATAGATGGCGACGAGCTGCATTGAAGAATGCGTTTGCTCTGCTTGGGCGTCAACGTTTCCAACATGCCGCAGCTTTCTTCCTGTTGGCTGGCGCCCTGCGAGATGCTATTGAGGTAAGATACGTTCTGTAGAGAAGAAGCAATGCTGATAGTATTGCTTATAGGTTCAAATATGAGTACACGATTCAAAATGGAGTAACTTTTTATGATCTTATTAGTCGTGTAGCATTCAGTTAGTTTGTATGCATACTGGAACTTCTAAAATATTGAGTGTGACTGCAGCCATAGCTCTATTGATATTTGAATAATTTATATCTTTATGCTTTCAGGTTTGCTTAAACAAGATGGAGGACATTCAGCTCGCCATGGTGATAGCGCGTCTCTATGAAAGTGAACTAGATGATGTCATGCCAGCCAACTTAAAGCGACTCTTTAAGGAAGAAATCTTAGGTTATGATGCAAATGGAGAAAACTACAGATCAGCTCGTGCACATCCAGATCCCTTCCTACGCAGCATGGCTAACTGGAACCTAAAGGAGTATAACGCATCTTTGGAGACACTCATGGACACTGGAATAGGACACTCACATCCTGTTAGAAAAAAACCTGGCTATGACTCTGGTGACACTAAACCACAAGTGTTCAATTTTTATAACTATCTCCGCACTCACCCATTACTGATTCGCCAGCAGTTAGCCTCCACAGCTGCCGACAAGGGGCAAAGTGTGCTTCTCTCTGGCTTTTCACATGGTGCTCAGCTGTCAGCTGGCTCCCAAAATGTGACTTATACAGACAAAATCACTCCAGTTGAACGTCGATTGTTCTTCAGTACAGCATACAAGCACTTTAGAGCAGGGTGCCCAGCACTTGCCCTAGAGGTGCTAACCAAGTTGCCCCTAATCATGGATGTCAGCACTGACTCAGACATCCACAAAGCTCCATCTATATCTGTCACCGACACTGCCTTGGATACAGGTACACTAGGTGACTTCACGACCCAGAAACCATTGGAAAGTGCCAATGACTTCGATTGGTCAACACCAGCTACACAAACAAAAGCAGAGGAATTTGACTGGGGTGCTCCAAGTTTTAAGATTGAAGATGATGAGCCTGATTTCGGTATTCCTGAGAGTGATGATGATTCTGATGATAATGATAAAGTTGAGGATGATAAACCTATTGAGGAGAACGACAAACCTGAGACTGAAGACTCACAGAAAAAGGTAAATTACATATTATGTACCAGTTATTTTAAGTGGTTACTTTATATCACTTATTTTCCTCTTTATATGCCATTACATCAAAATGCTGAATGAATTAGAATGAATGTAAATGAATGTTACTTTAGACAATCTCATTTTTATACTGTATTTTTGTGTACAAGCTTATTGTTCTTTTTCGTGATACCTGCTGACAAGGCCCATCAAGTGCAGCTTAGGTGGTTTGCTCGCGCTGGCATACGAAAATGCACCCTAAATCACAGGACATTTTTCTTTTTGATTAACTTCAAAATTAAAATGCAATTACTGTAGAAGTGGAAACTTTAACGACGTGGAAACTTTGGCAAAATTTAGCGTTGAAGGAGAGACGCCAAAATAAAAATTCGTAGAAAAATATGAAAAAAATATCGGTGGGCGATAATACCGTGAAGAATACAGATCGACATCTACATGCTGAATTTCGTTTCGAATACATAAATAATACATACCTCAGTGTTTCCTCATCGATTTACAATCATAATTAATACTTATTTTGTTTTGCAATCATGTTTTGTTGCCCTAAATGATGAATACATTACAGAAATAATTTTTCGATTTTTTTATCACAAAATCTGTAATTTGATTGGATATCTACTGTCACGTGACAACTTATCACTAACATGAATGACACGATTATTTTATAAGAATAGATCTATACTAGTACAATAGTACAATAAATAGAATAAAGTTTGATAGTGAATTAGCCGAGTTTGTTAATACTTATTTGATTGTTTGTCGGGAATTAACACCTACTGACGGTTTGAGCACATTGATTGGGGATTACACACAAACATAAACGACTTACCTTTGATGGTGACACGCTATTCCTCGAAAGGCAAGTTTAATTATAGGGTTAATAACGGTCATATAGAGCTAATAACTGTGATATACATGTTTACAACTCGGGGTTTACAAATTTACAAAAATGCAACCAGTCGTGTTGGTGAATAAATGCTTCATGATAACCTAATAATAAGCTTATAAGCTCGCCCAAGTAATTTTCCATTTTCTTGATTGCTGGTCCGGGAAAGTTTAATTCAGCAATAAAGTTTTAGGGACCATCTCGCTAAAGTTTTGTTTCGCTAAAGTTTCCACTTCTACAGTAATAAGTTGATTGTGTTTTTATTTTATTACCTCTCTATTAAGGGTTGTCATCAGTAACAAGTAATGCATGTTGAAAATATATTCAGCATAATAATATAACCCAGGGTACTCTCGTTTACAAAAATAACAAATACTTAGATGTCAAAAAAATTAGTAAATTAGATTGGAGATAATTATGTGTATAAAAGGCAAATGATTCTTGAATATCATTATCACTTTACTGTGATACTCAAACGATGAACAATCAATTTGAACACTCACAATTGGGATTCCTATTGAATAAAATTAGTCTAACATTTACGTTAAAACAGAAATGTTGACTTGGACAAGTAATACAATATAATGATTATCAAATAGGAGTATGAATCAATGTAATGCAAGTCTGACCAATGCAAGTCTTCAAGGAATTAGCAATGCAAGTCTGAACAATGTACATGTGAACTGTTCATGGGACTTCTGCCCATGGGACTACACTCACGACACTACACGCATTTGGTACTTTAACTTTGTTGTATATATAATACAAATAGTTGTGGTTTTATTTGGATTGATAGGAAACATTTTAGCTCTGATTGTTCTATCAAAAGACACAACAAAAAGCACACGTGTGTATTTGCTAAAGGCACTAGCTGTCGCAGACTTACTCTTTTTGACATTTGATGCAATATTTGCTATATTGGCGGGTATAGCTGCATTTTCAGTGAATAACCAATACTACACAAACACTTTGAATTCCATTGACTTCAAAGTGGGATTGGATATCAGAAAAACATTATTGACACTGTCAATATGGTTCGTTGTCTTGGTAACAGTTGACCGATATATTCACATTGCAAAACCACTTGAAGCTACAACTATTGCTACCATCAAACGTATGAGAATAGCAGTGGGACTTTTGGCAATTTCAGCCATTATATTTGACATTACAAGGGTTCTAACTTGCTGCAACCGAGAACAACTACAGATCTATGGAATTTTAGACATCATCTTGATATATGCTGGACCAGTGATAACAGTTTCAATACTTAACTTTAAACTGGTCCAGTCGGTCAGACAATCACGGCAGAATGTTGGTCAATTGAGTGAAGCTGCGGCCGAGGACAGAAAACAAACTTTAACAATGATAGCTATTGTGTCTGTATTCCTGTTGTCTTCCCTTAGTTTACTCATAAAGGAAGCATTTTATTCCTTGGAAATAATACATATGTATGAATGGACAGTTAGAGTATCAAGCTTCTTAGTGGTTTGTAATTCATCCTGCAATGTTATATTTTATTTTATCTTTGGGAAAACATTTAGAAGGCAATTAAAGAGAATTCTGTTGTGTAAATCAGCAACTTAAATACAGGCACCATGCATGAAATAGAATTAGTTTTACCGTAATCGCCATATATAATGCCAAACCCCTAATAAGCACCCACCCCACTTCACAAAGTTTAAGGAATAATGAGGAACAACTAAGTTTTAACAAAAAAAATCAGAATATCAGATTTCTTAAGAATTCTAGTGGGCGATAATAGATTACTTACACTAAAATGGAAATGAAAGATTTTGTAACTCGATGCATTTTTTCGATAAATATTGTTCCATAATCTGGTATCTTTCCCCACCTTAATGAACTAATATTTTCTCAAACAAGTCCTGAATGAATGAAGGAAATATTCAGAAGTGTTTTGTTATTTCATTCTGATGTTGTAAATAAGCAATATTTGGCAAGAAAAATTGTTACAAATGAAATTCCCCGATATTTTTGACTTCTTTCATATATGGGTGCTTGAATTGTCTATTAAGGAGGCATTTTGAATTTTCATAATCACCCGGGTGTTATTATCCCATCGAACGAAGTTCGGAGGGATATAGGGAACGCCTCTGTCCGTCCGTCCGTCCGTCTGTCTGTCCGTCCGTCCGTCCGTACGTACGTATGTACATACGTCCGGGCAATAACTCAAATACCGTTGGCCCGATTTTCTTCATATTTTGTACACATATACCCTATGAGGGTAGAAGTTCTGCTAGAAAGCCGATTTTCAAAATGGCCGCTCATTTCAAAATGGCAGCCATTTTAGTGCCGAATTTACAGTAATTTAGGTGCAATATGTAAAACTGTAATAGCAATATGTTTTAGATGTAAAAAAATTATATAGGGCATTAATAAAGCTAGAAATGTAGATATTAAAGAAGCACATGGCAGCCATCTTGAAAAATGGGGGCCTTTACTCGTTATTTTACAATTTTTGCTGTAACTCGAAAAGTAGTGGAGTGATTTTGTTCATATTTGGTAGGTGAATACTATAAACATTGCACACTGTCTAAAGACACTTTTGGTAGAAGGCGGCCATTTTGAAAAATGGCCGCCATTTTAAAAAATGGCCGCCGTTTTAGCGTATTTTACTATAACTCGAAAAGTAGTGGAGCGATTTTGTTCATATTTGGTATGTGAATACTATAAGCATGACACACTGTCCTATGACACTTTTGGTAGAAGGCGGCCATTTTGAAAAAGATTTTGAAAAATGGCCGCCATTTTAACGTATTTTACTATGACTCGAAAAGTAGTGAAGCGATTTTGTTCATATTTGGTATGTGAATACTATAAGCATGGCACACTGTCTAATGACACTTTTGCTGTATACTTAGTTAAAATGCCAGCCATGGCTGTTCGATGGGATTTGCTACGCTTTGGCGTTGCTGTTGTCTAGTTTATATAGAATACAGTAACAATAAATGTTGTGCCATAAGCTATATTATTGTGTTAATTTTCAATGTGTTTTCCAAGGATTCCTCTTGTAAGACTTTCAATAGTGCTCTTCATGTGATTTTCTCCTGAATGATATTACATGGAACTCTACCCTTTGACCATCATATCAATACATTTCCCTCTAACAAGGACAAATGGATCATTTTATTAATAATACTTCAATAGAGCTCTTCATGTGATTTTCTCCTGAATGATATCACATGGAACTCTACCCTTTGACCATCATATCAATACATTTCCCTCTGACAAGGACAAATGGATCATTTTATGAATAATATTTCAAAGGAGCTCTTCATGTGATTATCTGCTGAATGATACTACATGGAACTCTACCCTTTGGCCATCATATCATGAGTTCATTTCCCTCTGACAAGGACAAATGGATCATTTTATTAATAATATTTCAATAGAGCTCTTCATGTGATTATCTGCTGAATGATATTACATTGAACTTTACCCTTTGACCATCATATCATGAGTACATTGGCCTCTGACAAGGACAAATGGATCATTTTATTAATAATATTTCAATAGAGCTCTTCATGTGATTATCTGCTGAATGATATTACATGGAACTCTACCCTTTGACCATCATATCATGAGTACATTGGCCTCTGATAAGGACAGAGATCTCATTTATCAATAATATTTCAATAGAGCTCTACATGTGATTTTCTCCTGAATGATATTACATGGAACTCTACCCTTTGACCATCATATCATGAGTATATTGGCCTCTGACAAGGACAAATGGATCATTTTATTAATAATGTTTTAATAGTGCTCTTCATGTGATTATCTCCTGAATGATATTACATGGAACTCTACCCTTTGACCATCATATCATAAGTACATTGCCTCTGACAAGGACAAATGGATCATTTATTAATGTTTCAATAGAGCTTTTCATGTTACATGCTTTCGCCATGTGCCGCGCCAAAGACCCCCTTTTTGAGCATTTTTTCCATGTCAATTTCCTCTGAAGATTGAAAGTTTCCATGTATACTTCCTCTCGTACTTGTAAAAGGGAGTGAATTTCCTGAAATATTGGTGTATAACTATAAAACCCACTTTTTAGGTGATATATTCCAGACCTTGTCAACTGATTTTACCGATTTACTACCATTATTTGTAGAAAAACTGATTTTTGACTTAAAAAAGCCTCTCTCTTCGACAAATTTTCCATGCTTTTTTCCTCTCAGATTGGCCAGCTTCCATGGTTTATGCCCTAAGCCAAAATTGCCCCTGCTGCACATGCCTACCCAAATTATTTAGAGTGAACCCCCGGGATGCTTTTCAACAAATAACAACAAATTACAAAATTTGTATTCTGTGGGTCCCCTGGGTGGCATTACGAGGTGATTCTACAAATTGTTATATTGTATATAAAACATTAACCTTTTACACATTCATCACCAGACACAAAAAGGTGATCAGGATCACCTAATGTTGAATACTTAAGGTGTCAAATCAATTGGTAAATTGAATTGCATTATTTAAGCTTTAATTGGAAAAACAACAAAAATGCCAATGCATATATTACATAGAGTGACTAAAATTGTGTTTTATATATTCGACAATATATTGGGAGGGGGGTTAAAGTATATTAGTATTCTTTCATTTAATGATATTATGATTAAATTTGAGGTTAAATTCTGTAAATGATAAGATGATTTGAATTATGGTAGAATGGGGTAAAGGAGTGAGTTATTAAAGGAGCAACCATCTATAGATCTAGATATCCAGTCAAAAACTTCTTAACCAATGTCTGCAACTTATTTACAAAGGTCTAAGTATGTCACATCAATGCACTTTGAAAATGAGCAAAGCTAGGTCTCTTGATAATCATTTTAAATGCTAAGTAAACTAAGACATGTTTCTAACTGAATGAGCAAATACCCACATTGAACAGCAAATCATAGAAAACACTGTATAAGTGGTAATTAATCAGAGTGGTTAATTTGCCGATTAACCAATACCAATGTTTTTCCGAATTTCAATTTTTCGACGCACCAAACCTATTATTAGAGGTCTGAAATTAACTGAATAAGATTCTCAATACTCAATTAACTGATTCTCAAAATATCCCGCCGCGTGTAAGCTTACACGACATGATTGACCACCCAAAGTCAGGTTGGCACGCTGAGCACAAGACCCAAACTGCAAAACAAACTAATTACCCCAAAGACAAAGGCTTATCTGAGTTGTTTTTTTGTATTTTACTGATCCGAAAACATCCCATTTGTTTATTCAATGGAAGTATGCAACCAAGTCCAAGGTGAATGTTGGTGTATTTGAATTTAATAGTTGGGAAAATTTTTTTGAGGAATTTGTTTTCATGTGGATAAAGATGACAGCTCAATGAAGTGGCCATGACACCCCTCTGGAATAAGATTGTAGGGGTACTAATTGATATTATTTCTAAATACACGTGTACTAAGTTCTGATTTCTACAGCATACATATATGTACATAGCTAGTACAGAGATGAATACTCTCCTAAAAATTATTATTTTGATAGGCTGATGCCTTATTGGTCTCAGAAAAAACATTTATTTTCCTCCAAATACAGTGTTCTATTTTTTGCACAGGTTGTCAAAATAATTGATGAAAATGCAAATACAATATACATTGTAGTTAATAGTTTACTCCACTATTAAAGTTCTTTTAATACAGTATCCGAGTATCTACTGGGTGATAAGACACTATATACTATCTTGTCTATCCAGATTCACAGTGGTTGTAATACGTGTTATTTAAAAGTTTTCTCTATTTGACAAACTTTCGTTTTCATTATATTTGGTTTATTGTTGAATCATGTCAATCCATTTACCCTAAGCAATACTTTGGTTCCTTCGCTACCAGTGGTTGCGTTATCATCCATTTTTACAGGATTTGTCATTCCAATTATAGACATTGCAATTGTGCCCATATACACTGAAATGCACAAAGTGTAAAGGACCACACATGTTATCTTACTCCGCTTGCCCATTTTTAAATCAGGATCACCAAATGGAATTATCATAAATGAAAGAAACAGTAATGCGATCAAATTTGATATAAATAACACTATATAGGGGATGAAATTATCACAATTATATTTCATCAGCCAGATAGAACTTGCAGGTATATCCAACAGTGCCATCTTTCCTAGCCACGGTAATAGGCGCAGGTGTGAAGCTGGGTCAAACAAACTAAAACGCAGTTGAAGAGCCCACATCATAAGCATTCCAGTACAATATATTATCAGTTTTGCACTAAATGGACCTTCCACTTTATGAAGAAAATAAATGTATCCAATTAATGTTTCATTCATCATGAATACCAAAATGATGGCTGCTACAAAATATGATTCACAGTATTTAGTTTTTATTTTTGCACATCTCATCATGATTATGGCTGTCTTGAAAAAGGGTATCTTTGTGTTGAGTGCAAGTGATGATATCCTTACGTACCTCTCAGATATTGCCGAGTAAGTCAGACATTCTTATTGTTTAGATTTTTTGGGTGTATAGTCATTTTCATTGGTTCTGAGATTTACACCATTGTTCACATTTATGGCTAAAGATGTCAGCACCATGGCTTTAAACGTTTTATTGTCTAAACACGGGCACTACAGAATGGTACACTAATGATTGATATCTTTCTTAGAGTGTAGTATTACTGGCCAATTAGTGCAGCTGTCTCGTACTGACTTTTGCTTGAATGTCCAGCTGGGTCTCCTACATGTATCTGAATTTCTTTTTAGTTTTTACCCTTCAATTAATTGTTAACGGAATTTCTTATTGCTGATGACGGTATATTCAGATGCCTCTGTGAGCATATGCCTATCGAGATTGATTCACTTTGCTCGTCAACATGTAGGAACATGAATGTCACTGTCCTCCATTGTCTATTTCAACCATTGCTTTTTACAGCACTCAGATTTAATATATGGATACTTGCTCTTGTTCAAAGAACCCTCATCTTATTGTTTATAATATTAGTCCCATATGATTTCCAAATATTTTTCAGAACTGTGTTTCTATTTAAAAAAAACACAAATTTAGTCTCCTTTCAGAGGTATTTCTGTTTGTGCTTGTGAAGTAGGATATTATCTGTGCAAGCCTTCAAGACTTCTAATAAACTCTCCTAAGATGTCAATAACTTACTCATTCATGGCAGTCTGCAATAACACTTTTCCAAGGTCATTCTATTTACTAACAAACTTTGTTTACTGCCAGCTTCTCTATGGAATGAAGGAAGTTAAATGGATAGAGAGAGTAAAATGTTGCAATCTTTTCAAACAGCATGACAATTTCTCAAAACAATTTAACACCTTCATGCTCTTGAAAAAGTTAAGATCCAATATAGAAGAACTAATTGAATATTAAAGATACAGAAATGTCAAAATTCAGTTGGATTGAAAAGGGGGGCATCAATTTTTTAGTTTTTGCCATCTAACCTTAAAATCAAATGATCATCAAGAAATAAAATCGCAAAAGGTAGTAAAATAATTATTGTCCTACAGTAATTTCTGTTTATTGAGGAAATCAAAGTCATTGTGACCTACATGGATAACATCAGCGATAACACAAATCTACATGACAGATTGCACGGAAATCTATGTTATTTCAATTTATTTGGAAATTGCATGTAAAGCTCATATACAAATCAGCAATTTATATTTTTAATTGGAGCACTGTGTATTGAAGCTTCGGAATAACAAAGGAATCATTTTTGTGATGTTCCAAGAATCTCATCATATTCTTTGTATTTAGAAATCTTTAAATGGGTATGTTTTTTCAAAGCATGATATTGAATTGATAAACATATAAATATTCAGGTTTGAATCTTAGAGATTATGAAATACTTAATAGGGTTATTTTCTTTCAAAGAGCATTAATAGTGCAATTAAGTTGTTTTTGATAGGTCCATTAGCGAGACATTTATGTAGATTTCTATTGATTATACTATGAACTGATGTTGACAAAGAAACAAGCAATCTTTCATTAAGGAAATTAAGTGTGCTAGAGCCTGAACGTAATTCAGTAAAACCTGTCTTATCGGAACACTTTTTTGACTGGCCAAAAGTGTTCAGATTAGATTAGCAGGTGAAAGATTTTTTAAAAACATACAAAGAATATGTTTTTAGAATGAGAGGTGTTCAGAGAAGCAAGGTGTCTAGATATACAGGTTTACTGTACTGATTTTGAAATCTAAATAATATTTCCCCTAAATATAAATCAGCTACCATTTACCAAAATGCATGCTTTAACGAAATCTAATTGAAATCATTTATACCCTTTGTACAACTGATACAATGATGACGATTTTATCACATGTCAAGGAGTTTTTAAGCATTTTGATTTGGTCAGTTGTGAGTGTGGGCAGTATTATTGCTATTGACTCCGTATTGATACAGTCCACCGTATCACATGAAAATGAGACACTTGCCATGTGATATGGAATATGCAGCATCACAATTGACCAATCAAAATGCTTAGAAACTCCTTACCATGTGATAAACTTTCATATACATTCTATATGAAATAGTGGGTAAATAGTACTAAGTGATTCACTATCTAATATTATTCACCCTCTTCAAATGTTGTAAATTCTTGTTATCAGAAACTGAATGATGATGCAAGAGAAATATGACTTTTATATCCTGCTTTTAGACAACACTTTTCCTGGGGTTTATTCACTAGAAACTCATGGTCATCTTTCTAAAAAAACGGGATATTTCTTAAATCTTTACACTTGCTTTAGAGCTTGTTGACATAATTTAATTGCTTTTTATTATTTTATACAGGGTGTCCAGAAAGGTGAGATGGACTTGATGGGACAACAGCTGAAATATATTGCATGTTTAAAGATTATGATGGAAGAATTAAGCACCCTCGCCACAGGGTTTGAAGTTGATGGTGGACAGCTGAGGTGAGTCAAGTATTTGTACAATGTTAATTATGTCAAAGAACGAATATAACATCTTGATTGTCATCCTTCGAAAGCAGTGCTCCAGACATCATCCATTACGTTTCTTCCTCTGGAGGTATGAGTTCTGAAAATGATTTATGTTGGAAAGTACTTATTTTGAATTTGGATGTTTGACTGACATTGTATTACATGCATAAGATATATAACACATGGAAGTAGGCCATCTATTCACATTTCCATAAAGTAAAGAAAATCGATAATTTCCAGCGTGCTGATTGGCCATATGCAAATGAGTTAAATCAATGACGTCAATGACTGAAAGATTTGAAGAATTAATACAGCCAGCATAGGAATATTTTGAATTAACGCAGCAATAAAAAGGATTATATTTGCCTAATGCACTAATTATTTTTAATATATAAAATATGGACGGGTTCAGAATCTCCCTGAGAAAATCTTGAATTATGTAGAGTCCCCCCCCCTCATTACCATCACCATAATGCCATTTATTTCATGAAAAATTATCGCTAGGAAAATTTCAGAGAAATAGCGTATATTATATAGATTATGTTTATTGTTGATATGTTGACATCACTGATTGTTATTGAAATCGATGATCATGGCGAATAAATACCAAACGGTAACGCTATCGTGTACGTATTATGAACATATTTCAATTGGAAAATAATAAAGTCTAGCTTCTTGGATAGAAAATTTAGCCTCAACTTTCCTTTTTAATAGCCAATGGGTGTTAGTTTCCCTCATTGACGTGATCGATTTTTAAGCGGCTCATTATAATATTCATGAGCTGACTTTATGGAAAGGTGAATAGGATTGGTGATTCTTTGGGGGAATAATCATTGTGAAACACCCTGTACATATGCAAATGTTAAATATTTTATCTTTGGTAGAGATTACATATTCATGTGATCAAAATGAGCTAAATTAATAAGCAACAGAATATAAGCAAGAAATACAGTATATTTTCCATTTACTTCTGTTGCAGGTTCCAGCTTTACATGTGGCTTGAGAGAGAAGTTGAAATGTTGAAGCAACTTTGTCACTATGGAGGAACACTAACAGGTCTGAAACTGTCTCTTAAAAATTCTCAAGTTACTATTTCCAACTTATGATGATGTCTAAGACTGGTCAAAATATTCCATTTTTAAAAGATTTTCCACAATACACTGTATATCAAATTGGGTGTTAATAGATTTACAACTTGTTGAATGGCATCCCCCAAATTCAGGACCTACACAACAACCACTCCATTCCTTCCTTCTTTAATAGTTCCTACATTGGAGAGAATCTTTCTAAATATTAAACATAATATTGTTTTAAATCAATTTTGTTTCCATCAACAAGAAATGAGAGATTTTATTTGTAGATAGTTTTGATGTTTCCTTTCAGTTAATGAGCAATATTGTTTAATTTATTTTATCCTATTATCTGAAACCAAAATCTGAAAATCAAAAAGGTCCATGAATTCATTACAGAAGAAGATGCGAGTCAGCCAGCTAAAGGAACATCCTCGGAGCATGATGATAAACGTAACTCAAGACCAAGTCTTCATGAAATCATCCTGGCCGACCAGAGTGACTTTGAGGCTAAATTAGAGCGCATGGCACGACGCAAACAATGGCTACATGATAACCAGCAGTTGCTGCGTAACTGCCTTAGTTATTGTAGCCTGCAGGGTGAGTCATTTGATGTAGTTATCATAAAGAGATTAACATTGTGAACAATGATACTCAAGAAATCAGATTATTTAAATAGAATTCCATGCATTATTTACATACATTTTTGATATATTTTAGCATTTATACATAACCACATTACAATGATATATTACAATCCATATATATATAATAAAATAGTCCAAAATATTATATATATTATATATAATATATATATATTATAACATAGTAGCCGAGACAACACAAGTCCCAAGTCTGTATTTTTACTCTCATTTCTTCACTTTTAAGAGTTAAGTCAGCACATTTTGCATGCATATTCCTTGCAGAAATCCTAACATAGGATTTTATTGGTTTTGATTATAACTTATTTGTTGAAAATAGAGAAACATTTGATTCTGATTGGTCTATAATCAAAATTTGCCATTTTCAGCGACAAATGCATTATTTTAACTTTATATAAAAAATCACTACTTTTGGTGTAATAATTCCAAATTGACCACATGTTTCCTTTTTCAGCAGAAGTGTAACTATTTTGGGGTAATTGAGACATATCCGAGAAAAATGGTATGCAGGAACATGATATTTGAAATAAAACGGGGCCAAAAAGGACCCCTACAGATGCCTGCATTATTTGAGATTTTTTGCGTGTTTTAATTTCCTGAAAATGGATGGGGTAGAGGAGTGGCATACCCTTTGGGCTTATTCCAGTAACCATTTTAATCAAATGATTGATGACATATTTGGTATCATCTTAAAGCTTGTAATGTGTGCGTTAATTTGGTGACTGGCAAAAATATCTAGGATGATAGTTATTGTCAATAAAATTAGAGACACCATATTGTATTTATCATTTATAACTTCAATTTTTATTAATGACGTCAAAATGTTGCATTTGTTACACAAAATGGATAATTCTGATTATGGACCAATACAAATCAAATGTTTCTCTATTTTTAACAAATAAATTATAATCGAAACCAATAAAATTCTATGTTAGGATTTCTTCAAGGAATATGCATGCAAAATATGATGACTTAACTCTTAAAAGTGAAGAAATGAGAGTAAAAATACAGACTTGGGACTTGTGTTGTCTCGGCTACTATTTATGATATTACAGCACATACGAGATATACATTACAACATATATTTACATTACAACATATTATATGAATTACAAAATCTATACATTACAACAGGTGCATGCGGAGGAGGACTTGCTTCAGTCAGAATGGAGCTAATCTTGCTCCTACAGGAGTTACAGCAGGAGAAGACTCAACAGCAACTCTTGTCTCCTTTACCTTTTCCCACCACCCTCCCCTTGCTTTCCGCATGTGTGGCTAGTGCTAAAACAGTGATTGCTGACCCTATACGACATATAGACAGTCTCACAAAAGACCTGCTGCATTCCGTGGTGGAGTTTACTTCACCTCCTGATATAGATTCAACAAAGAATAAGGTAAGACAGGCCTGTAGCCAGGGGGGTTCGCAGGATTCAGGCAAACCCCCCCCCCCCCTCCCCCCCCTGGCCAAAAATTCTCTCAAAATCATGCAGTTTTTCACCATTTTGAGCACTTCTCAAGTGATTTTGGCCAAATTTGGGCCAATATTGTCAAATGTGAACCCCCCTGAAAGTTTTTGAAAACTGAACCCCCCTTGGCAATACATTGCATAGGTCAACTATATCCTGATATACATGAAGGTCAAGGTCAATATTGATTTCAAATTTAACAGTGGAGGGGTACAATTTATCCACTTCACCTTATGTATATGGATAAAGGTCCATTGACAATTTATTTGTGACTTTTAAAAAACATTTGGTAGATTCTCTACAGGTAGACTGAGTAAATTAGCTACCTCTTTTTATCCAATCAAAAGGGAGTATTTAGACTCAGATGGTAAATAATAATAAAGGACAATCCACTGTATTTTTCGTCAGTGTTGTGTGGCTAGTAACTATATTATTGACTGCTCATTGACAAATCAGATTAAGACATTCACATAAACTACATATCTTTTGCAGGTGTTTGTACTCCGCAACCTGAGTGCAGCCTTATCTGCCTGTATCTACCAGTGTCTTTGCGACAGTGACAGTTTCACAGTAGCAATGTCTGATAGCACGGAAATTGGAATGGAGGCCTTCTCAAGGTATATGTACATGATGATAACATTGAATTTCATGTCTTTCTTCTCTGTTATTTGATTTTTCAGTAAGAAACATGTATGAAACTGAGAACTTCCATGTACATCCATCGTTTTTTAATTTCCATAATTTCCAAAATGTATTGATAAATGTTTAGCAATTTGCAACTATACATGTAACATCTGTAAGCCCAATACTTGTATACAATATAGTCAGTCTCTCATTTGAATCAGCAATTAGTTTGGTATATATCAGAATAGGGAATATAAAACACATTAAACGAAACTTCTAAACTGGTCATTCATTATAGCTTATTCATATGTTTATGTGTATTTCAGTGTTGATGTTGTGAAGGATAACTACCTTGTATCAGGTGCAGTTAGGAGACGGAGACAGTCAAGCAACAGTGAGGACACCCCTAACTCTCAACCTTCAAAGTGGCCAGGTATATATAGACTGTATGTGGGTGGAATTGCCTGTACAATAGAGATGTCACGGAACAAAAAATCGGAACGGTTTGGTTTGGAACATTTTGCTTCGGAACGGAATTACTGTACATAGTCAATATAATAATAGTCTTAATATTGAAATCTTTATGATTATTATGTGTCACTACTACTACACCAAGGGGGTCCTAGTTTTAAAAAGTATGGAAATCATTCCCCAATTATGGAAAACTGTTATGATATTTCCAACAAATTCAGTTGTAATATTTATCACCACTGGATCCCTGGAGAAGGGGCAACAGATATAGACAGAAGGTTAATCCTCATACTTTTCTATTTTTCTATTTTTTCCTATCAGGTGTTGCTAGTCTCCGCAGTTTGTTAGCAAGAGAGAAGGATGACGATGCTCCTAAAATGAACATTCTGTTATGTGAGGCATTGATTGGCGTCTACATGTCCCTACTGATCCATGCGTTGTCCACCTATGATGCAAATACTCTATACAGGTTAGTACCTTACTATAGGTCATCATATTTCCATTGCTTGCTCTGAGGTAATATGTACATATGTAAGATCATATGAGATGGCACCTTACAGTGTTCAAAAATCACAGCTGCCTAAATGCTAATTGCAGTCTTCAAGACTTGTTGCCTAATTTGGGTAATAAAGATTGAATGCCAAATGATTCAATTCTGAAATCATTCTGTTTCAGCTTAGGCCATGAATCGTGACACTTTACTTCTACTATTTCAGGATCTGCTGGTTCTGGTTTGAGACATTTAGGATTCTTGTTAAGTATACATGTAGTCCTATTTCATCAATGTGTGCTCTATTGTGATTATGTCATAGGCTGGTGTCTCATGTATTCTCTGAGAAAATGTGGAATGTATTATTTGGTGGTGGACTCAAGAAACTTGTCAAGTCTACAGAATCAGCTCAGACAGTCAAAGGTATGTTAAGCATTTGAGTATTATATGATGTACCATGGTACATATACCATATCATGCCTATTGTATGTTCTTAGGATTGTCTTTATATCCATAGTTAATCAGGTCTATCAGATTAGTAGCTAGAATGTTGAATAGTCTATAGAGTTAACTATTTATATGGAAGCAGATCTATCGAGGTATGCTGAAAACCCCAATAAAATAAGGTATATGGTTTGCATAAGGTACACAGGCAAATTACATCGGACCCCATACAAGCCTGTACGGATCTTGTTGAGTCTTTGCTTAATCTCCAGGGCAAGATGATCTGTCTAAACAGCGTATCAAGTTCCACCTTAAGGTTCTGGGTCAACAAGGCAGCAGTCAGACTAGCAGTGAAGGGAAACAACAATACAAAGACAAGTTTGTGCCCCCAAAGCAAAACATGGTCACATACTTCATGACCAAGGTGAGTTAAACACAAAGTGATATTTCTTTGAATGATTACTTATTTACTCTGACGTCTCCTTAGATATTGTCGAAGAAGTCTATGTACAAGTTTGTGCCCCCTAAGCAAAACATGGTCACATATTTCATGACGAAATTAAATGAAACACATTGGTACAGGGTGTCCATAAAGTCTATTTACAATCACAATGCAGTCTCTAACTTTTGTAAAGAAATTTTATTGACACCCTATACTGTTTGAACATTTAGTTTGACTCTAATATCTCGTTGGTGTCGATGAAACTTATGTGATCTCAGTGATTGGCCCAGGATTTTTTCAGGAAGCTAAATGTCAATTCTAATTTACTTACCTTTTTTTCTTTTAATGAAAATTCCTGATATATCACCCATTTGCAAATAAAATAGATTTTCTACAGATTGACATTTTAGATTTCTAGCAGTGTGCAATACCCTTTGCTCCCATGCTTTTGAGAACACTGAAACACATGCATCCCCTCTATCATTGTAGCCATACGTTCCCCCAGATGCCCAGGGTATTGACTGTATAGACTATGACTCTGATGTGTCCTTGGACAGTGAAGATGACTACAATGATGAAAACAGCCTGAACCTGTAAGTCATATTCTTCTTTTGTACTCTTGATATTTTTCCTATGTTATTTAATTTCACGCAATTTGTGATTGTAGTAAAATCGCAGAAAAATAATTCTTGTTAAACAATAATGATGGTTAGTGGTTACAGTCAGGCCTGTAGCCAAGGGATACAAATGATTTGAGCGAACTTGTCCAGTGATTTCAGGCCAAATTTGTCAAATTTTAAACCCCCTGGAATATTTCCAAAAACGAAACCCCAACTTTACAAAAGCTGGCTTGTGGCCATGAGCCTTCAGTTTTTATGTGGCTATAAAAAATCTCATATGTATGAACTGTTTTGTGAATTTTTGTAGGCATGACAAAGTAATGCAACAGCATTCTGATCCTACATCCTACAGCTGGTGCCTGTTGAGGTACGCCATCATGAAGTATGTCCAGATATTATATTTATTTTGCACTTTTACTTTATAGGCATGATGAAGGAATGCAACAACATTCTGACCCTACATCCTACAGCTGTTGCTTGTTGAGGTACGCCATCATGAAGTATGTCCAAATATTATATTTATATTGCACATTTACTTTATAGGCATGATGAAGGAATGCAACAACATTCTGACCCTATATCCTACAGCTGGTGCCTGTTGAGGTACGCCATCATGAAGTATGTCCGGATATTATGTTTATATTGCACATTTACTTTATAGGCATGATGAAGGAATGCAACAACATTCTGACCCTACATCCTACAGCTGGTGCCTGTTGAGGTACGCAATCATGAAGTATGTCCTGAACAACATGAAGACGTTCTTGCCACAAGTTGGACTTGAAATCCCAGGTGAGATACAATATATTTAATTGAGGCCAATTGAGTATTTATTAATTGAACACAGTCTACAGTCCAAATACTTGTACATATATCTGAATTCTTTAATATATTTTAGCAATTGCTTATATTTAATATATAAATATATTTCTGTTATAGAGCTCCCAGTGTCATCCCCATTACTCCAAGCAGTGGTGAGCTCCCTTGGGCATTGGGAGATGAACTGTTTAGAAGAACTAGAACAGTTCCCTGGCCCTCCTGATGACTACATCCCTGGTTGCTATACTGACTCAACCAACACAGGGCCTGCCATACTGAAATACAAGGCCATGTTAGAGCCTATAAATACTCCATTCCTGTGAGTGTACACAATCTTTATGTATTTTATAAGATCATGAGTGTAGATATCTATGAGGCAGGCGAGGCAAGTGTCTTCCCAAATTTTTACAGACAAATTAATTTCAGTTTTTCAGTGACTCAAACAGGAAATTATGTACCTTAGAAGTGTAATATCCTATCTTGTTTAAATTTTGCCTCACCAATCTAATTTTGCCTCACCAATCTAATTATGCCTCACCAATTTAATTTTGCCTTGCCTTTTGTATCATGGCTGTGCTATGTAAGATTCAAAAATGCACATCTTTTAAGTCGTGCCAATTGTACCATTTTTATGTTGCACTGACAATCTCCTTCCTCATAATTCATATAAAAATTCCAGGTATTTTCATGAAAAATAATGTTAATTGTTAACCACTGTTTTAAAAGTATTTGATAAAGTAAAAATAAAATCTTTCATCAAGCTACATGCACAATTATAAATCATTGTTGTGTTTCAGGTGTGATAATCATTCCTCACTGCCATGTAAAAGACTCTGGCACTATCTAGTCAAGAAAGAAATATTACAAGATGTCTTCATTAGGTTCATTTTTAAGAAAAGAAAAGTTGCTGAACCATTGGTAGGTTTTTATTAGTAGAATATACATGTTAATAAAATGATACTCATCGCTCAAGTTAGCAAAGTAAGGGTTATGAGTAAGCCCGCAAGTGAGCGTTCAAATACAAATAAAGATAAATTCATTTTTATGTCACCTTTAAATTACTTTTATGTCACCTTTAAATTACTTTTTATGTCATCTTTAAATTACTTTTCATGTTGCACTTTTGTAATTGCAACTAGAAAGTGAATTTTCCTCATGTTAAAACCTTCATTTATGTTTCTCATTTCACGTCAATGTCTTATACATTTCCAGGGTGACACAGGAGGTGATGTTGTTGACACAGGAGTCCAGCGTATCCCAAGTCCAGTGAAGATCATACACAAAGACCAAGACATTATCACTGCATTTGCTATAAATCAGGTAGTCAATTAATTCACTTACAGCTACAAGTACTTTTAAAAATGTGTCCACATTACACACTTCCCTACCTGCAATTCTTTTTTTTTTATTTAAAGAGGTAACGTTTAAAGATCTAAAAGTTTGAGGTAAGCTAACAGAATTTATTGATTCCGGATATTGTGCTTCCATTTTACAGTTTGATAAAGAGTCTCGTCAGTACTCAGGGGTAAGCAGAACAAGCATGTGTGCTTTGCTTGCAACATGTAATAAGAGCATTACGTAGTCATTTTCTGCATCATCCTTGGCTCTTTACGCTAGCTAGATTTTACACTATTGATTCCACTAATAGATGGCAGCTGAATCACTGAGTTGTTCGATTATGTTATTTTCCTTCTTAAAATACATGGAGTATAGATGACAATATCGTGATGAAGACACCGTACAGTCCATTGTTTATAAATAATATTTACAAGAAGCAGAAATCGTGCGTAAAATTCTTGTTGATTATCTGACTTGCCTGCCATCGGCTTAAGTCAAATGATGTGCTGTGTTTTTGGCAAAGCTTGCACACATACTTTTTAAAAGGTCGGCACAGTATCCTTTAATGCCTTAACATCTCCTTAAGGGCTCATTCATTAGAATTTTTCATAAGAAATGTGTAAAAATGACTAACACAAATGAAATCAGTTATCTGGATATTACCCCATCATGGAAAATCATTGTGCAAATGGTACATACCATTTCACATTTTCTCCATAAAATTCTTTTTGATTTGAAAACATTTTTATACATTACATGTACATAACATAACATAACATATACATGTACATGTAAATTATTTGATGTATAGGCCAACTTGAACTGTGTTGCGCTAGCAGTACCCAAAGAAGTAATTGAAATGGAAGTTTCTGGAATCTTAAATCCACCATCTTGGCTAGAAGACGACACTGAATATGACATAGAGACAATCAAGAAGTAAGTCTGTTATACAATTTATTGAATGGCATTTATATTGAATTACTGGATAAACAAGTGTTTCATCTTTCAATAATGTCAAGAGTTTTACTTTACACACTAAACTGCACAAGCCTGATTTAAACATATAGTGTCCTCAGTTGAAACTCTAGCTCTTATTGGTCAAGGAGAGGTCAATAACTTTAACCATCCACCTTTGGATGGGTCAATAAAGTTATAACTATATTTTGCAGCAATGCCCCAAGCTCCCAACACCCTGATGACTTCTTGGTAATCCAGACTCCAAGCGAACAGCAGGAGACCAGCAGTGGTTCATCTGTACATACCCCCACAGCCCCAGGGGTAGTCCCTGCCCCCACGTACAACTCCAGTGGTATGACCGGTAGAGGAGGAAGTGTGGTAAGTGATATAACCTTACATGTATAATAGTTATTAATGCTTAATAATATGGTATTCGGGTTCATGTGGGACATGGTGATTCACGTCTTTGATACATGTAGTTAGTATAATTACCCTGTGTGTGAAGTTAAAGGGAATTTTCATTGATAAAATGGGTATCTTGCTCACATGCTTTGATTCTACTGCCATCTATAGCTGGGATTGGTATGTATCTGAATCCGCACATGTGGGTGTGTTCAGTATGTGAATGGTTCTGCTTTTTCATACAATTTCCATGCAAGACCCATCATACTGTACTTCTTGCAAATTGCAGTTTACTTAGACTGCCACCAATGTATTTTCTTCATAACCTTTGCCTTTACTAATTTCACTAGGCATATTTTTCAACAATAATTGAAAAAAATGTTCGAACAAAAAAATTAGGATTCAGGGCTAAAATAGAAATAAGATTTTAAGAATTTGTAAATTGTAAGTAATTTCCCCATGATTAAACAAAGGCCCTTACATATACAGTACTTACTCCCTTGTTTTACTATCTTTGTGTCCAAGAACATCTCAACATGACAGATAGTTTAGAATGGTGGTGTTTCTAAATGCTTTGAATTTATGTATTGTATCGGGTATAATGGCTGATCTGTGTAACCCTGCTATATTTCTTTGTGCTGCTTGGATACGGTTACCATGGTAACAGATGAAGGGACTTAACCTTCCTGGTATTACCAATGCTTACTACTCATCATATGTGGTAGACCGAAGCCGTCGGTTAATGCGTCGGGTGAGTGTCACTTGCGTGCATGTGACACTGAATTGCATGTGACATCACAATAGCAGATTGTAGATCCCTTGTCATGTCTTTGTTGTTATTGAATATTTGTTTTGTGTATATTTATGTATTCACTTCTGTATTTATTCACTTCTGTATTGTATACAAACATCAATTGCATATTGCAGCTTTTTATTTCAGATTTACATCATTATTGTGTCAGTTAAATTTTGTTGTCAATTGTTTCTTATCCATGTTGTGTACAGTGAATGTTTTTCAGTGCTCTTTATTTTATTCTTATAGTCCTCTCCACAGAGAGTATAGACTGTTTGTATAGACTCAGTTGATTTACATCGTTTTCATTTAAAGGACCCCTTTATATAATGTGTGAAATGAAAACCTCGCATCTATCAAAGTCATGCTTGTTCATTGTATCTCCATTTGATGTTTTTCAGCACTGAACATTTAAAGCATGGTCTACTTTTCATTGAATTACATAACATTACACTAATTAAAACAAAATACACCAATTAAATCTTAAGTTAAGACTTCAATTTATTTACTATTTTATTGCTTGTTTTTTATTACTTGAGTATGAAACAGTAGAACCTATTATAGTAAAACCTGTATAAGTGGAACACCTTTGGTGCCTCAAATATATCAATCTGTATTCATTCCATGTTTGTATAAGCTGTGGATCCAGAATATCTTTATAAGACAATATTGGCTAGAGACTCAAGTAAACAATGTCAGTTTATTTTTTAGAGTAACATAGTTGCATACATGTATTCATTAATGAGTGAATGTATAAGTTAAAACTATTTTCTAATTTCCAAAGAAACTGATCATATAAGTAACACAATGATCAGGAGACTGGATATGATATTGAATTTAAGCTGTCTGTAGAATGGTAAAATAAATTTATAAATCTGTTGACTAAGCCCATGATTTAATCCAAGAACCATTTGGTTCCCATTTTGGGATGCTTCTTGCACTGGTTGAAAACTGCTACTGGATTACACTCTTAATGCATCATGCTAGCATGAGAGTTGTAAAAGCATACAAATCTTATTGTGTGATTATTACATAATGTATATGTCATAATTTTGGTGTATTTTGTTGTATTTTCATTGCATTTTGAATCAGATTATATTATTAAGTACCTTGTCAATGTTTCTAAAATTCATTTATATGCATGTTCATTTTTGTGCTCTTGATATTTGCAATTTTTACTTTTATTCATATTTGTGTTCTCACTTCCTTCCAGATGTCCAAGAGGAACCTGCCCAACATCCGCAGAATGGGATCCCATCCACACCTGCCATATTGTGAGCCAAGTTTAATTGAATAAATATGATGTATCATAGATTTGCTTTAAATAAGTTAACACATATACATTACATTTATCCCACAAATTATAAAGGTTAATAAATGAAATAAAGATAGATGGAGAATGGAGAGTGTAAAATATTAGAAGCAATATTTTCCAAAATCGTGCATTTTTATTATTTGGCCAAATTACCATAGAAATCTGGATTTTCCAGGGATAAAGTCTGAACTTTCGAAATATTGACAAAATATGAATGACATTGAATGATGGGAGAAAAATATAATGAAAACTTGTATGAGACACTTTTCAATAAAACAATCAAAATGAAAAATTTAATTTCTTGCTTATAGACTTGACAGGAGGCACAGATGGCAGTGTGAAGCTGTATGAATGGGGACATGACCAGTGCATATCAACAGCCAGGGAGCCAGGCACACAGGCCAAGGTCACCAAGATACTGTTCAATGCACAGGGAAATAAGGTATGCAAGCCTTTGTTGTCATTGTGTAGTATAATGATATGATGATTTGTGTAAAATTGAACATACAGAAAATTTGATCCATTTGGGGAAAAGACTAGAATCAAGTCTCGCCAATGATGCTATTCGTTTCATATTGCTGACTTCGGTAGAATGTTGGAATTATCTAGTGGCACTGACATGAATGTTTGAATAACCACGTCAGTCAGCATGGATCTTCAGTTGTTTCACTCATTATATGGTTAACTATATTTTCAGTTTGGAGTTGCTGAAGGTGAAGGCTCCTTGTGCCTGTGGCAAGTAGGACTAGGTGTTAACATGAGCAAACCTTTCATGAAACTAAAGTGTCACACAAAGACAACTTATGATTTCACTTTTGTGGGGTCTTCGAGTTTGTTAGCCACTGCAGGGGCCTCTACAGATAATAAGAATGTCTGTCTATGGGATACCCTGATGTCACCAAAAAATTCCCTTGTTCATAGTAAGTTCTTATGTTTTCCATATAAGACTAGTACTTCAATCAAAACTCTTTCTATTGGCTATTTCTTGATGTATTTATTACATGTATGCATATATAGCTCGTAGTAATTTGAATGAAAAGTAAATGTTCATATAATGATTAGGCATACACATGTACTCTATTTATGATTTCTTCATTCAACAAATATGCGTACATTATCCTAAAACTATTTCCAGGCTTTGCTTGTCACGATAGTGGCGCCCCCTCTTTACTCTATGCAGCCCAGAACCAGTGTATAATATCTGGAGGTAAGCGGGGAGAAATCTGTATCTTTGACATTCGTCAGCGCCAGATTCGCCACACATTCCAAGCCCACGAGTCCTCTGTTCGTTGTCTCGCCATGGATCCCAGTGAAGAGTTCTTTATAACAGGATCTTCTGATGGAGATATTAAGGTGAGACGACAGTGCTTCAAAATATGAAATTGTTTTTCCTCACATAACTATTAACATTAGCATCAGATCCCATTACCATCTCTACACAAAATCTTAACTGTTTCCGTATTCTCCGTCACTGGATCTTCTGACAGGATATGTGAGGCGAGAAAAAAGTAACCCAAAATAACAAAGCTTTTTTCCCCACTTTTTACATCATCAATTCTCATTTATGAAACCTTAATCTTTTATGTATTCAAAACTTTTTAGCAGATAACTTATTTTGTTTATACCTGTTTCAGATATGGGGCCTAACAGTGCATCAGTTGATGGCCTCTCTTCCTGGTGAACATGCCAAATCTTCAATATTCCGCAACATGCATGGTGCCCATACAGGCTGTATACAACTTATGATTGGTCCCAGGGGCCACCTATACTCTTGTGGGGCAGATGGCTCACTTAAAGTTCGTCAGTTGCCCGATAGAGACATTGTGGTGCAATCTGTACTGTAAACATGTGGTGCAATCGGTACTGTAAACATGTGGTGCAATCTGTACTGTAAACATGTGGTGTAGTCTGTGCTGTAAACATGTGTTGGAGTCTTTACTTGGACTTCCAGATACATTTAATCCAATATCATTCTGGATGAACTGTATACAAAAGTTGAAATAGTTGTTATGTGTGAAAACAGAAATGTAATTCGCATTCAAAGAAATCATTGATTTTAAATTGATGAGCATCATGTACAGGCTGTCAACTATATGAGCACTCCTTATATTATATGGTGGACACCATGTACATTACTTGTAGATCAGTCTTACATCAAGTCTTTCAAGCTCTTTCCACACATCTACTTTATCTCATTGAAATGAAGTACATGTATGTATAGGAACGTTATAAGAGCTTGATGCAAGACTGCTTGTAATTGTAGATGTATTAATTGCAATGCAAAACTATGATACACATCGTCTTGAACATTGTTGTTGTTTAAAAATACTTCTAAAAGATTAAAAATTATGTATTTAAAATTGTGATGTATGTTTAGATTATGGTATGCATTTAGTAATATTGTATGCATTATGCAATATTGTATGCATTATGTAATATTGTATGCATTGTGCAATATTGTATGCATTATGCAATATTGTATGCATTATGTAATATTGTATGCATTAAGTATTACAGTATGCATTATGTAATATTGTATGTATTAAGAGATTTTTGTATGCACTTAGTAATAGTGTATTCATTAAGTTATATCGTATGCATGAGGTGCTATGATTACAATGGTTGTTGAGGATCTTCAAAGGTTATAATTTAATCCCCACTGAAATATTGATTTGCAGTATATTGTATTACATGTACACAGAAATTGTATTTGTTATTAGGGTAGTGTATTATTTTATTAAGCCAATGTATTGGAATTTCTTAATCTCAAACACTATTTGATTTCATAACCCATTATGTAGAGTAAAGTAGATGTCAAATATAAATAGGTTTATGATGGATAGCCACAAAAATCGGGTATTCATCTTTAACTCGGTTTTCTTAGATTTACAGATGAATAACACTGTTTAATTTAGCGTTTCCATGGAAATGACAACACACCTGTTTGTCCTGCCCTGATTAATACAGGGTGGTCCAAAAAAAATTGGAACATTTGATAATTAAACTCAAAATCGTTATTTTTTCTCTAAAATGCACCAAAATTTTACTGAGTATTGTTCAATCACTTATTTATCTGATGTAAAGTTTATAGGTCCAAACAACAAAGTTAATGCATTAAACTAGAGAATCTTTGATATGACCCCTTTTCTCCTGAATTACAAGTTGAAGCCTGGGACTCAGTTTTGAAATGATTCATTCACTTTGCTGTTCGTTTGATTTTGTCCACGCCATCTTGATTAAAAAATTCAGCTTGAACAAACTACTTATATGTTTGCCTTGGAAGATCAAATATATGAACATATTCAACATTTTTTTACCCAAATTGATGGGCATCAAGCATATTTTGATGGCTATTGTTGGATATATTACTGATTGAATATTCTCAAGAAAGATGCCAGGGCAGTCTGTTTTGACTGGTAAATGACCCCCCCCCCCCCCTTCTTGTTCTAATATGAATAATATTCATTGAATTTATCAATATACATATATCAATATCATAAAGGAGTTTCCCAGAACACAAATGATATGTTTTATTATATGTGCTTAGAGGTGGTCTTTAATAAACCCTTGTAAATAACTTGTCAGTTTTCCCTCTACTGAAAAGTGGAAACAATGATTTTGTCAGTTTAGTGGCTGTATGGGTTATCAATCACTCACCTCTGACATGTTCTTTCTTTCCTACTCTTAAATAAAAATAATGAGTTTGGGTATTCTTAAAATAACACAATAGTTTTCCAGTAAACCATAGATGTTAATACCTCATGTCAACTAAATATGATTTTATAAAATGAGTATAGCAATCAACATGTTCATTAAAGCTTTGAAATAAAGAATACTTAAAAAAGTAGCTGCGAAATTGACAAGTGTATATTTAAGAAAAGGGGGTCATATCAAACATTGACTAGTTTAACGCATTAACTTTGTGGTTTGCACCTATAAACTTCACATCAGAGAGATAAGTGACTGAACTATGCCCAGTAAAATTGTTGTGCAATTTAGATGAAAAATAAAGGTTTTATGTTCAATTAACAAATGTTCCAATTTTTTTTGGACCACCCTGTAGATGCTAATTCACCAAAGTAAAGTCCTTGTTAAATTGAATATGAATACAGAACCCCTATTGAGTGAATACTCTTTGTAATGAAAGATAAATGAACACTTAAAGAAAGCATTCCATGGTACAGTGGGTTAGATTGTGTTTGGAGAAAAATCAGGGTACTTGAAAACCTGTATTGTGGAATAACTCTATGAGTGAAACACCTACATAAGTGAAACACTTTCCAAAGTCCTGTTTCTCTTATTTTTATTATTGTAAAATTAACCTCTATAAGTGGAACACTTCCCAAGTGGAACATTATACCGACTTTGTTCAAATGGAACATTATTTCCACTGTGTTACACTTATACAGGTTTTTCTGAAGTTTAATAACATACATGTACTTGTTATAAATATTATTATTATGTTAAAATAAATATGTGCAATATTTCAAAGTTTAATTCATAATTATATGATAAATGTTTATTAAAGTATAATAGAGAATATAAACTATGATTGTTTGTTAATTGGTTTGATAAGCATGATTCAAAGTATCTTTAAAGTGACAGGAAGTTGGTCCATATTGCTGTATTGCCAAATGTAAAATGTCTGTACTATCTGGTACATTGCTACGTATTAATGTAAGAGTATAGAACTATATGTAAACTGTCCCATCTTAGTCCTGATGATTGCCCTTGGTTTTGTCTATCATTCTCAGACTCTGTGCCTGTCTTGATGATAACTTAAATACTGTTAGCCAGATTGGTGTTAAAAATAGATAAAGGACTTATCGACATACAATACAATCCATTTTTGTTTCTGTAATTTGATTGATTTGCTACACGTTTAATTTTAATTTAACTGCACATATTTTAAATTTTTGTAAAATTACATTAGTCTTGCTTCAAGACCACTATATAAGGGGAGGGGGTCCGAGGTCTTGAAGCAAGACTTGACTTGCATTACATGTACATAAAGTCCTTGCGTTCTTCTCCTACTTTATAGTCACATATAATGTACGAGTATGTCATATTTAAAATCACAAAAATATTTCATAAAATGTATCCAATTAATTTATTGAGGAATGACTAGGTTGTAAAATCAAGCTCAAGTTCAGTGTCACAACTGATGGAGTCTTTAACAGTACTTTCGGATTTGTCTCGTGCTGAACCTTGGCCAACGACGAATGGTTGTGTAGAGTCGGTCTCCAGGACATGCCGTACAACCTCCATCTCGGTGCCCAAACAATTCATAATTGGATCGGATGTAACCCTGCATAAAAAAACAATACGTTGAGCACAAAGTTCGATATGAAATTGATGTACCCATTGACTTTATATGACATGTGTGAATTGAAAACGTTACAGATTATATAGTTCTGTTCTCAGAATTTGCAGTGGGACCTAATATTACTGCATGATCAAAATTGATTGCCCTTTTTATAATATGAATATTTAGTGAATGAAATAAGGCTGTAGGCTAAATCTTCCTCACCCTGGAGATTCCACAAGCGATAACATCTTGAACCGCTCTCAGTGCTGCCGCATTAGGCGCTCTTGACATAAAGTTACCCATCACGGAAACGGCGATTGCTTGTGAGTTGTAACCTCGAGTGTGAGCACCAACCGTAGTCCAGCCACGTCCCTCGTAAGCGTTGCCATCTTCACCGACCAGGAAGCTGTATCCGATATCGGACCATCCTAGTTAACAGAATATATATTATAGCAATGACTGAACATAACCCAGTTACAAAGATTTAAAATGGGTGTGATGCTGGTCCAGAAAAAACAAGTGACGCAGTTTAAGAAACAAAAAGCGAGCATTTGATTTTCCTTCCAAAGAACACCTGTATCCAGTAAACTGAGCACAATATTTGGGAAACTTCATTGATATTTGTCTCAAAAAACCTGTAGTGAACTCTTGCTTACAGTTAACACTTTTGGTGGTCTACAGGTGTTCACTACATGTTTTACTGATAAACTATAAAAAAAATTTAATCGCAAATACCTCTTGAGTTCATATGGAACCTCTGAGTGTTTCGCACTGTGGCTGAGCACCTTGCCCGGCTGCTACAGAAAGCGCCTGCTGTGTGATGGACAAACACCATTGAAACGGGAGTCCTCATATTGCTCCTCTGCCTGGGGGGACGAGCGCCCCACCCAGCCCTGCTAATGATCCTTGCGCAGTTCTGCAATTCTACAATATTATGTTTGTATTGTGTAATGTTTCTTTAATTTTTTGCAATGTTCATTTTCGATAAGTTTCTGCGTCAAACTAAACATTTTGATGGGTCAGAATGTGTGTCTTTTCTAAAGTTTTGACGATTCAAGTACATTTTTGTGCGCTTCTTCATTCCCTTTAAATGTTGTAGTACATGTAAGTACGCCGTTTTATTCACATTTTATTTCTTCGGATAAAAATAATTAGACCTCTACATTTAGTTGACTCTGCTGTCAAAGAAATTGTATAGATGTATGCCCCTAGAGGAAACATTTACCCCATCTCGGTTTACAATGTTAGGATATAATTTTAACTGCCTCTACATAGGCAGTTAAAGTCGTGTTCCTAAAAATCGGATCAACCATGGCAAATTTATCAACCTACATAATTGATAATTGCAGTAAAGCTTTTGTCAAAATAACTATATTTATTTATTTTTTATTAATACTTTAATGAAAAAATGAGTGATCAAACTAGTAACGTATATTCTTCAAGAGTTCAAATGTCTTTTAACCTTGCTTTTTATACAAAGTTCGGATACTTACCTGGCCCATCATAAGTGCACGCCACGCCTACTACTGCAGTCAACGCCACAACTAATAGAGCACACTTCATCTTAATAAAATGATGTTTCGACTCTCGTGAAAACGTCCAACCAGCTATTTTATATCAAACGACTGCTTGTATCTTTATCTTATCGTTATGTATTTTTAAAGTTTTATCTACTTCCTTATATAGCCTTGGTTTGACGAACTTGCCCTCAATCAAAAGTAACCAGTCTTAGTTTTTATTTTATAGTGCAGCCCCTGACCTAGAGATATCCCTTTGACGTGTCGCAAAAAGGTGGCGCATTTGTTTTTTAAGGGTATCGCGTGAATGTAACTTTGATTCCCCGGAATATAAGATAATATTCTAATTAAAGTTATATATCATTTTAAAGCTGTTTCGATGAAGATTTTAGATCAACTACACTCCGTTCACATTTTTTGCGCGTTCGTTTTTAAAAAAGAGTTTTTTACCAAAACATCTGGCAAATATCCCATGTTGACACGTTACATTTTGAATTATTTTTCGTCTTTAAACGCTCATAACTCAAACAATATATGACTATTATACTTATTTTTCGTCTTGATAAAGGAAGATGGAAGTTTTATTTCAAAGGATGAATTTTAGTAAGCGTCCCATATTGTGACGTCATAGAGTCTGAAAAATAGAATATGTTGACAGCGACCTTTTTTGCTCATTTTTTGGTACCTTCAACTTTTCAGGTGTACATTAAACAAAAAATACGAGATCAATTTTTAATAAATCATATATGATTATTTTGCTCCTAAACTCTAGTTTATCAATAAATAGTTGATTTTGTTCACAAAAGTATGTGTTTTCTGTTGTATGTGGAAAAGTGGAGGACGAAAGGTTTTCAAAATTCATTAAAATAGGGCTAATTTACGCCATTCGCCTATTTTCAAGCACAGCAACACGTATATTTATTTCACCTAAAATATCAATTGATTCGTGTTTTATGATGCTCCTAGCCCATTAACAATATATGTATGATATCAGAGTTATTCGTCTAAAATGTTTTGAGATATAGAGGTAAATGTGGAGGACGAAAGGATTTTCATGTGTGTACATTTTTCTCAAAAACGTCACATTCTATCATGTTAAAAGCGAGGATCCTCTGGATTACGCCACAAAATGTGTAACAATGCGTGCGCGAGCTTTTTGCGACACGTCTTTATACTGTGCCTTCGTCCTCAAGGACATTCAGCACCTTTGAATCAATCCAATCGGAACACGAGAAAAGAGTAGGATATGACTTTGACTTATGATTATGTCTTTTGGACCAAAGGCGTACCCTCATACAACCCGGAAAAATAATATTGGTCGATAACAACGAGGAAGTTTTTGGACCATATTTCATTTCTTCTTCATCCTAATTACTTATTTCGGGAAATAATGACAGAATTCTCACATATTCTACCAGTTCTGGTAAATACTGTTTGCGTTTAACAGAATTAAGTAGATTGGATTACCATGTTATTGTACACAATTATTTATACTGCCTACTCTCAAATAAAACAACAACAACAAAATGCGCAGATGCAGGAGAGACATCCGAGATACTGGGCAAAATAAATAAGAATTGGCCCATGTCCTCCGAACATAGTTCCTAAGCCCATTCACAAATTGAGTATTAAAATAAAGTGGCCTGGATTTTTGTGAAATTATACAAAAAATCTTTGAAAAATTTGCGAACATAATTTTAGAGTAAGGGCTCAAAATTGTTTTTGTGTCCTTTCAGTGAATCCCCTTTCTCTTGGGTAAGTTAATAACCGATTTATCAACAAACACGAAAACTTCTGACGTAGATCACAGCAGGTGGTGCCTCACACGATATGCCATATTTCAAAGGGTGAACAAGTATAGAAGGAGAAAGTCTGTTTCGTATTGCTAAATAAAGACTATATTACAACGCCAACCCTGACTCACTTAAACGAAAATGATCTCATGGTAAGGTTAAAATTCTGTTAAAAATCTTCCACCAAAAGGCCCTGATACCTCAAAGCTACAGGGATTGTGACCAGACCAGATCTAGAGGTCACAATGCTACCTGGTTCCATCCTCATGAGTGGACTGTCACTCAGCAATATTCAACCTTCCCTGCAAGTCTACGTCTATGGAATAACTTTCATGCAAATGCAGCCATGACCAGCTCTCTATACATTTTTAAGACAGATCTTATCAAATAAAGCCGTAGCAATTTCAACATGATTAAAACAATTTTAATGTAGTCAAAGTTAAAACTAGAAAACAGAAACTCCACGGAGTATCAAATCCCACCGAACAAAAAAATTTTGATAAATAGTGACCATCTTGAAAATTTCTTCTTGAACAGAGCTCCCTTGTCCCTCGGGTATCGGAATATAAAATTTAAACCAAATCCGTCAATTACTATTTGAGTTATCAACGATTTTTACGAAAAATGGCAACCATTTTGATATTCAGGTGCCATCTAAGAAATTTGTTTTTGAACAGAGCTTCTTTGTCCCTAGACACCAGCATATAAAATTTGAACCAAATCCATCAACTGGTATTTTGGTTATCAAAGGTTACATTTCTAACGACAAATTGCGGTCATTTTGATAAATAGCTGCCATCTTGAAAATCTCTTCTCGAGAATCAGCATTTAAAATTTAAACCGAATTCGTCTTTAAGTTATCAAAGATTACTATTACTTTTTTTATGAAAAATCGCGACCATTTTCTTTAGTAGCCATCTTGAAATTGTCATCTTGAGTGGAGCTCCTATGTCTCTAGGCATCAGCATACAGAACAAATCCATCAGCTGGTATTTGAGTTTACGTTCTGTTACGAAGAATAGTGGCCTTTTGAAATTCAGCCACCATCTTAAAAATTCTTTCTTTACCAGAGCTCGAAATCTTGAAAATCTCTTCTTCAGCAAAGCTCCTTTGTCTTTTGTCATCAGCATATAAAATTTGAACCAAATACGTTAAATAGTATTTGAGTTATCAAAGATTAATTTTTTAAGAAAAATGGCGGCCATGTTAAATCGAGTGGCCATATTGAAAATTCCTTCTCGAGCACTGAGGTCCTACACTCAAGGTTTAAGACTATAAAGTTTAAACCAAATCTGTCAACCGGTATTTGAGTTATCATCCGCACAAACGGACGGACGACCGAACGAACGCACGGCTTCTCTATATCCCAACGAATTTCGTTCGGTGGGATAGGACGACCGAACGAACGCACGGGTTCTCTATATCCCAACGAACTTCGTTCGGTGGGATAGGACGACTGGACGAACGCACGGCTTCTCTATATCCCAACGAACTTCGTTCGGTGGGATAATGAAGGGTTGTATACACATCCGGCTATACTCATCACAAGCAGGCGCACGAAGAATGTAATCGTTAAGTATTTATCTCAATATCTATGCAGTTTTAATATTTTTCATCTTGTTCATCTTGGGATTATTCCTTAATTAATACATGAATTCAAGACCAACCCCGTTTATAAGAATTGGCCGCTGATCAGTTGGTAATCCTTTTCAAAAGTACTAGGCCGGATGTTGCATGCTAGTAGATACTTGCTCTTCCATAAAGTAAGTAGAATGGAAAGAGCCGTCTGAGAATGTTTCTAAAATTAAAACATTGTCACAATTTTACAATATTTTTGCTGTCGTCATTCCATGTCATGTCTATTTTCAATTTAAAATCCAAACGTTTTTACTATTAGACCGGGTGCTTTTCTGCAAAAGGTCTCTATGTAAAATGTGGTAGGCGTTTAGTGTTAAAAGTGTTCTGACAAGTGTTTCTTATGTAACTTTTTATGCTGAATCCAAAAAACCATGTTGGCAAGCTGAAATATGATTATTTAACCCTTAAAATACCATGTTAGTCCCCCTACACCCAAAATTCACCCCTATCAGGGGAAAAAAATTCTTCAACCTAAAATAACTTTGATTTTATGGTTTTTGTAAGTGAAATACATGGACATTGTATAAAATAAACATTTGAAGTATGAATGATACGGATTACCCTTAAGAAATTTGAATAAAAGCACAAAGTATGTACCCCAGGGGGCAAATTTATGACCCATTTTTTACTTTTACAATGATGGATGCTAAAAAAATCCATGTAAAAGGCATAATACCTGGTCTACTAATCCTGCAAGAATCAAAGTAATTCCTGTGACAATTGCCTTGAAAAAAATTAGTGAATTTAAGAAAAAATGACATTTTAGCTGGGACTGATTTTATGTGTGACTATAACTGACCCCTATTGCTTTAACATTTATCCCTCTGTGTTCATATATTTAGCATTTTAGAATAAATCTAAAATATAAAACTTATTTTAGCAAAGTTTTAGTAAGATTTAAGCTTTTTATCATGTTCAACTATTAAAAATTCATGAAATATGATGTCTAAAATTGATAAGTTATACGTATACCCTTGGAAGACCCTTATAATTTCTTATTTATGAACATATTTGTACCAATATTAGTTTTCTAGCTTAGAGAAATGATGTACATGTATGATATATCCTGGCTTGGCTTTATGGTGGTTTGAACAATCTTTTAAGTGTTATCATTGAAAATTCATTCTTAAATCATAGGTCTGCAAACGATTAAATTCATGTATACCACTAGTATCATTCTACTGGTATGAGCATAATTGAACTAGTTATGATTTCATAGATTAGTTGTTTGATGCATGACATATTCCAAGCTGACTTTCTGGTGATTTTAACCATCTAAGAGGCTTAATCATTGAAAACCATTACAAATAAAGGCCTAAACGGACAGTATTAAGGTAGACTATTAGAACACCCTTATTAATTCCAGGCTTAGAGTATATTGGTACCTACTACTGTCTCATAGCTCGGAGGTTTGATATATGACATATTCTGACTAGTTTTTCTGCAGATTTGAACCACCTAACAGGTCTAATCATTGAATATACTTAATATACTAGGTCTAAAATTGAAGTATTCAATAGAACCTTCTATGATAAAATTCAAAAAAGATTCAGAATGACATTAACCTCAACACTGGATCTGAATCAGAATTACAATTCTTCAGAGAGCTGAACTAGGAAGACAAGGCTAATTTCATTCTAAGCAGCCTGACAATTGCATGACGTGAGAGCAAAAGTACCAATGATTCATACAAATCTTCGTTTTATGGAGTTTTCTTCCCTGAACAATGTTAAGTCATATTTAAAAATCCCCCCCCCCCCTGTCCCCATTAACCTTTCTGTGTTACTCTTGGAGTTAAGGAAGAAATTCTTGACAAATGGCATATACTCAGTTTGACAACATTTTGAATTAGTGGGATGTTTCAGTTAATGAGAGTTTTTGCAGAGAGCAATTTTTGAAATTTAAATCCAATAGGACCATATATGGGAAATTCAAAAAAGATTCAGAATGACATTAACCATAACATTGGATCTGGAAATCAAATAAAGCAACTGATTGATGTGATCTCGGATGACTCTTGTAAATCAGAATTACAATCCTTCATAGAGCTGAACAAGGAAGACAAGGATTACTTTTCATTCTGGTAGTAATACATGGACATGGTCCAAATCTTGATACGCTTCACCATAGCCCAAAGAAAGGGAAATTGGGAGCTTCATCTCAATGTATTTCAATGCATGATCCCCCTTTTCATGAGATATGACCACCAAAAGTATGCAAGATGGGGCACAGTACACTTCACTGCTGAAGTTTTGCTTCCTTGAAGACTGTAGCCAAATCCTCAGATGTAGATGCAATTGATGCTAATTTGTAAGAAGGATCATATATTGGAAATATTACGGTTGGCATTTCAATACCATTTGTTAAACAGTTAAGGAGTAGAGTAAATTTGAGTTGGCTTGAATGTTTCATTCGTCAATGAGAGGGCTATTGGAAAATACATCAGCTCATGTTTCATGATTTCATTGATGCCCACAGGTCTGTGGTTAGCTTCATATGCAGTGATAAGATTCTGCAAAACATTCCTGTCTGCCTTAACAACTTTCTGCTCGTTTATATTGGGATTAGGCATATAGTTTAAAAAATGTTGGTGCTTGCTCAGTAGATCAAGAAATGTTGTGTCTTTCATTTGACCCTGTTGGTATCAACCTCTAAGACACAAAGACATCCAAAGACATTGTTGTTGGCCAAACTGTCGAGCCTGTTGATTGTTTCTGTGAGTACATCTTTTGTACATATACTTTGGAGATTAAGTAATAGATCTTCTGAAAACATGCCAAACTTCAGCAGCATGTCACATATTTTATCTTCTTCCAGAGACTGAATACTAGTATCTACAACTATTTTTGGTGTTATGAGTATTGGCTATCAATTTTTTCAATTTTTCTTCAACATGTATTGTAATGACTTCAGTATGAATGAAATGTCCGGGATTGTGATATTGGTTCTCGATTGGAGGGGGGGGATGTTAGACATTGTTTCTTTTCACGTTAGATTATGGTTTTGGGATATATAGGGTTGATTGAATTTGTAGAGCCTTTTACCACATAGTTCAATGCAAGAATCCCTGTTCAGCTCTATGAAGGATTTTAATCCTTATTCAGATCTAATGTTGAGGTTAATGTCATTTTGAATCTTTTTTTGAATTTTCATAGAGGGTTCTATTGAATACTTCAATTTTAGACCTAGTATATGAAGTATAATCAATGATTAGACCTGTCATTGGTTCAAATCTGCAGAAAAACTAGTCAGGGTATATCATATATTAAACCTCCGAGCTATGAAACAGTAGTAGGTACCAATAAACTCTAAGCCTGGAAATAATTAGGGTATTCTAATAGTGTACCTTAATACTGTCTGTTTAGACCTTTATTTGTAATGATTTTCAATGATTAAGCCTCTTAGATGGTTTAAATAAACAGCGAGTCAGCTCGGAATATGTCATAATATCAAACTAATCTATGAAATCATATCTTGTTCATGTTGATTATTTTGGGCAATCTTGCATATTTTGCTTTAATATTTCAGAATTATTTACTTCATTTAATGTGGATTTTGTTGTGAACATTTAATGATAATCTGCTTATAAAGTAAATTTAAAACTACAGCATTTTACAACACATGCCCCATGTGGCCACCACTCCAGCCAACGAAGCTGTTGATGACTCTCCTACACATACCAACATGGATTGAAGCTATCCACTTAAAATTGAAGAACATCTGAGAATTTGTCTGACACTAGTTTTACTTCTCTAGATAGATTTTAGTCACGCCATGGACAATTGAACAACTTCTTTCGCCAGATTTGATTGTGCATGTAGAGGAGAAGTGGCCACATTGGGCATATGTTGTAAAGTACTGTAGTTTTTGACTCCACAGGCAGATTATCATGAAACTTTCACAACAAAATTCATATTGAATAAACTGAATAATTCTGAAGTTTTGAGGCAGAATATGCAGGATTGACAAAGTTAACTAACTTTTCTTCGGTCCTGTTTTTTGGACACCCTGTACCAGTAGAATGATACTAGGCTAATGGTATACTTGAATTTAATTGATTGCAGACCTATGATTTAAGAATGAATTTTCAATGATAACAACTTAGATTGTTCAAACCACCAGAAAGCCAAGCCAGGATATATCATACATTATTTGTCTAAGCTAGAAAACTAATATTGGTACAAATATGTTCATAAATAAGAAATTATAGGCGTCTTCCAAGGGTATAACTATAACTTATCAATTTTAGACATCATATTTCATGAATTTTTAATATTTGAACATGCTAGAAAGCCTAAATCTTCCTAAAACTTAGCTAAAATAAGTTTTATATTTTAGATTTATTCTAAAATGCCAAATATATGAACACAGAGGGATAAATGTTATTTTTTCTTAAATTCACTAATTTTTTTCAAGGCAATTATCACAGGAATTACTTTGATTCTTGCAGGATTAGTAGACCAGGTATTAAGCCTTTTACATGGATTTTTTTAGCATCCATCATTGTCTAATAAAAAAGTTATGACACGAAAAGTAAAAAATGGGTCATAAATTTGCCCCCTGGGGTACATACTTTTTGCTTTTATTCAAATTTCTTAAGTGTAATCCGTATCATTCATACTTTAAATGTTTATTTTATACAATGTCCATGTATTTCACTTACAAAAACCATAAAATCAAAGTTATTTTAGGATGACAAATTTTTTCCCCCTGATAGGGGTGAATTTTGGGGGTAGGGGGACTAACATGGTATTTTAAGGGTTAAATAATCATATTTCAGCTTGCCAACATGGTTTTTTGGATTCAACATAAAAAGTTACAAAAGAAACACTTGTCAGAACACTTTTAACACTAAACGCCTACCACATTTCCTCTAGATGAAAATGCACCTTGTCTATATACAGCATAAACATATTTTCTAGCATAAAAACTGAAAAATACCTTTAATGCAAGAGTCCGAATCTGGCATTTTGCGTATAGTGATTACAAAAAAAAAACAATCACAGAACAACCTAAATTTTTATATATTACATTTGTATATATTAATTTATATAACAATGCATGTAAATATAATGTATTTCATGTAGAGTCTTAGGAACACGCATAAATCGAAAACTAAAACAAACATACATGTGTTCATAGAATCTATTAGGCATATAAATATTCAAAATCAATATAAACTGAGATCCTCTGCTGTATATGGTACATGTGTGATACATTCATATATGTGTGATACATTCATGTATGTGTGATACATTCATATATGTGTGATACATCCATATATGTGTGATACATTCATATATGTGTAATACATTCATAAACATTCAAAATTTCACACATCTTACTGCACAGTTACACAGTCTAACTACAAAATGAAAAAAGTAGACTAGTACATACTTTACCAATTTACACGTAAACAGACTAGAATCACACCACATAATGCTACTACACACCAAACAATGCTTTTATTTTAACAGTGACATACTCAATGAAACGACAAAAAAATGATCATGTGTGTCTTTCAGACTCGAATTATGTATTAATGTGACAAAATATCACCACCAGTTACAATTACAAGTCATAATGTAAAAGATGTATAGATGCTAAATAAAACTACATTGTAAAAGTTGTTGAAACAAAAATATTTCATCTCATGAAATAAAACTGATTGTGCATTTATTTCTCATTAAAAGTATATTGTATGTACATGTATTGTGCTGCCATCTTTCAATTGTTGCCGTATTATTATGTGTACTTATGCAACAATGATATGATCATGGTCTTGTTTCTCATGGAAAACAGAGTCTTGCCACAAATAAAAATCCCATGAAACTTGGGCTATATTATGAGAGAGTGTTTTACTGCAATTTCAGTATTAAATACATGTAATACAGACTTATGTTTACCAACACCACAAAGGTGTTTTAGTTAAGTATAACTAGTAGAAAACAAGTTCTCAGAAGTTCAAATCTGACATTAGATTTGACATTCTCAAGGTCAAAAAAGGTCAAAAAGGTATTTTTCAACTTACTTCAAATTTACCCAATTTTTTCATAATCATCTACAAATTTCTTTTAGAACATGTTGGGGATTATGTCAAATTGTATACACTGTCGTGGAAGTTAATTTTATTTTGCAACTGACATTTCATGAGTGAAGAATGTTGATATTCAAAAGGCAAATTTCATTATATGGGGAGAGAGGGGACTAAACTATAATAAAATAACCCAGATGTGAGTAGGCAGTTACCAGTTTCACCACCAGGTGGATCAGTGGATCAATTTTCATATCACCCTCTATATGTATCTAATTGTTATGCAAAATATAATATGTCCAGTAAAAGAAAATACTATCTGTCCCATACAAGAAAAGATATTTCACTTTTTGTGATTTATAGCATGGGGTCTATAGGGAATCTCCCCGAACTAGAAGTCACATTTTCAAAAGAGATTAAATTTTCAAAGTTAATAAACAATTTTTGAAACCACATTCCTGGATGTACTTTTACATGTACACTTTGACTGAATTTGAATATTTAATAGCGTAAATGAAGATTATTTCTACTCGCATCTAGTCTATTGACTTCATTTTTCCACAAATGTTTACAATTAGGCATCATCCCCTATCTAATACTGATATTCTGATCATCTTTCTTCAAGTCTGTGTTATTTCACATAATGCTACATTTTGCCTCAGGGCCAGTTGAGTTATCTATTTTATCACTTGGGTGAACTTTAACCTCAATCTCCGATACATCAGGTGCATCCTTGGGTCTTTCATAGTAAAGGTCTATCACGTTGGGAGAGTGAATCGTGTGCATTGCGCCATTGGAGAAACAAATGTCGTCGTGGAATGTTATCCCGTTACCACTATGCATGTGACCAAACATGTGAACCTTTGGCCTGGAGAAAACAGAGGAATTATTTGAATGCAAATCATTAATTCACGTTGCAAACTTTTAAGTACTTCTAAGTCTTCTAAGTACTGATGTTTGGAAAATTTTATAATGCAACCTATGATACCACGTAGCTAGTTTCAAGTAATTTCATATGTCCATAACAAATATGGAATTTTTGAACAGAACATATCAAAATTTTAAATAGGTGTAGTTACATAAAAACACTTACTTGATTCTTGTTAGGACTTCATTTCTCAGATCTTGACATCCACCTTTACTGTCTGAAACCAGATAACAATGTTAAATAATTGAGTTTCATTGACCTCTAGATGGCAATCCTATATTGGCAACCATTTGTTACAGTATTCAATAATAAAACAGAACTGGTTGACCCAATAACAATCACACATACTGTACATGTATTCTACTTTTTATCAAGGTTTTGGAGTGAAAAAAATTGCATCACAATTTTGCCGATCCTTCACAAATCACATTTGATATTTTTCAATCTCCAATTAACTTCAATAAATAGTCTGTATATCTTGTAGTTTCTAATAACACAGTGATTAAACTTAACTTAAAGCAGCTAATTTTTTTTCAATTCACTTTATTTCAAATGTTTCAAATACAGTATTTTACATTGACATGAAAAGACACCCCGAGGGGTGTATAAGTTCCATGTTTAACTAATACAATATAGCATTTATTAAATTAACAGTCAGGTTATATGGAAACAAAAAAAATGACAAAGCATAAAATGCATCACAATAAAATACAAGTAATGAGAAGAAAGCATTTTTCAAAGAAGATTTAATAATGGCTTAGCAAATCAAACTTTAACTTTCGTTCAAATGATTTGATATGTTTTGACTTTTTGAGATCAAGTGAAAGAGTATTGTAAAGTAATGGGCCACTTGTTTCAATTGATTTTCTTCCAATTTCTGTTCTGAATTTTTTAACAGTTAAATTCTTATTAATTCTCGTGTCATGATTATGAATTGCTGTTCCTGGAACAAATAAATGTTTGAACTTTTGAAAAGGAAATTCTGGTGATTCTGAAACAGTTTTCTGAACAAAACTAGCGGTTTGTAGTTTATGGATGTCAAATATATTCAATATTTTCAGTTTTGAAAAGAGAGGTCCTGAAGGAGCTAGACGATCAGAATAGGTCATCACTCTCAAGAATTTCTTTTGCAGAACATACAATTTTTGAATAAGAGTTTTTATGGCATTTCCCCATAAAAGGTTACAATAGCTTAAGTAGGAATATATCATGGAGTAATAGATAGTGGTCATTGTATTTAAAGTCAGTCTATGTCTAGTCTTGTAGAGAAGGCCTATCAAGTTAGAAATTTTTGTACAGATAGCATTTATGTGAGATGACCAATTCAGCTTTGAATCAATAATGACACCTAGAAAATTGATTTCTTTAACTTCTTCTATAGGTTGTTCATTAATTTTGAGAACAATATTGTTTTTATTAGGATCTTTCTTTTTATTAAATATCATATATTTTGTTTTTTCTACATTAAGAGTTAATTTATTAGATTTCATCCAGTTAGAAACAGTTTTTAATTCAGCATTCATATCTGAGACTAGAGTTTCAAAATTTTTATTGGTAAGTAGGATATTAGTATCATCAGCATATAAGACAAAGTTTAGTTTGTTTGATATTAAATGTATGTCATTTATAAATATTATAAACAAGAGGGGACCTATGACTGAACCTTGAGGGACACCATATTCAACTTTATTTTTACCGGATCTATATCTCATATCTGTAGTTGTAAATTGATCAATCAAGACATCTTTCTTAACAATTTCTGTGACCATAATTCGATTTTCGAGATAACTTTTGAACCAGGAAAGAGCTGTTCCACGAATACCATAAAATTCAAGTTTTTGTAATAATATTTTGTGATCCACTGTATCAAAAGCCTTAGTCAAATCAATGTATATCCCAATGCTAGTTTCCCCGATATCTAGTGCCCTACGAATATTTTCAATGAAATTTAAAAGTGCCATATAAGTTGAGTGCTTCTTCCTGAAACCATATTGTTGTAAATATAAAATTTCATATTTTTCTAAAAAAGTTTTCACTTTTACATGAACAATTTTTTCAAGCACTTTAGAAAATACACTGAGAATTGATATTGGTCTATAGTTGTTGAATTTATCTTTAAGGCCTTTCTTATAAATTGGAATTACTCTAGCTATTTTTAATGCATCAGGAAATGTACCAGTAGTTATTGATAAATTGAATATCTGAGTAAGAGGAATTGATAAAGATTCATTCAGTGTTTTCACTACTCTGGGTTCTATATCATCTATAGATGCAGCAGAGTCTTTTAAAGATTTTAATTGGGCCATGACATCAGTTTCAGTAATAGGTGTTAAAAATATTGAGTTATTATTTGAATTAGTTTTCTTTAAATTTACCATTGGATCTAGATCATTGTTTATCTTTTTTGCAAGTTTATGACCAATTGAACTAAAAAAATTATTGAAATTCTTAGCTATGTCGAGACCATCTGTGATTTGTCTATTTTCAAGATCAAATGTATCGTTGATATTAGATTGATTTGGATTTCTGTTTAAGATAGAGTTAATTACATTCCAAGATTTCTTTATATTGCCTTTATTTGTCTCAAATTTATTTCTGTAATATGATTTTTCTGCATTTCTAATGACATGGTTAAGCTTATTTTTATATCGTGTATATATTGCATTGTTTTCTAGAGTAGGATTCTTTTTATATTTTATAAAAAGTTTGTTTTTATATTTAGCTGAGATAATGATCCCGAGAGAAATCCAAGGTTTTTTATGATCATTATAGGTTTTAATTATTCTGGATCTGTTTGGTAGACATTTATTATAAATATCAGTAAAAATCTCAATGAAGGAGTTATATGCATTATTCACACAATTTGGATCAAGTATTTCTTGCCAATTAATATTTGCGACCTCATTTTGGAGTTTGGAACAATTTTCATCATTTATTATTCGATATTGAATCTTTTTCTTTTTAATTTTAGGTGTTTCATTATTATTACTTACAGCATATATTGGAAAATGATCTGATATATCATATAAAATTATACCAGATTGGGTGATATTATTTGCATTGGTAAAAATGTTATCAATTAATGTAGCACATTTACTAGTGATTCTTGTAGGTCTATAAATTAAAGGCATAAAATTATTAGTATACAAGTTACACAAAAAGTCATTTGTAAGGTCATGTTCATTTGATTTCAGAACATTAAAGTCCCCTAAAATATAGGCAAACTTATTTTCAGATGCCATTTTCTCTAAGAGTGAATTAAAAAGATTATTAAATTCATGTAGGTTAAAATTAGGTGGCTTATAAATAGCTGATACCAAAATATTTTTCCCTTTATTTTGTTTGATTTCTATGGAAACAGATTCACATTTATCAGAGTTTAATTTAAGATCAGATCTTTCAATGAAATTGTAATTATTTGCAATATGGAGGCAAACCCCGCCACCTCTTGAAAGTTTCCTCGAATCAAATACAGTATTATATCCATCTAATGTAAATTGCTTTTCAGATGATTCTGTTAACCAGGTTTCTGACATTGCAATGACAGAAAAAGAATTTTTACTAAGAGAGTTAAACATTTCAAATTTCCAGTTATTCTTTGGTAAACTTCTCATGTTCAGATGAAGTAAAGAAAATGAGTCATATTTAATTGTTGAGTTTAATTTGTCAATATTATCAAAATTACACTGTTCAGAAATGCTATGCATTTGAGTTTGAACGTTGTTAAACTGATCTTCCGTGGCTAAATGTGTATCAAAGTCAAGTGGATTTAATAGAAGATTATCATAATGATCAAGTCCATTTGCTAAATCCAAAAAATCAATGTTAGAACATGAATAAAATGGAAGGTCTTTTAAAAAGTTAGCCAGTGTCAAGTTCAAATTGCATTGAAAGTTGAATAGTCATTTTTTCCTTATATAAATATGGGTAAATGCTTCCTTTATCAATATAAAATGCTTTGAATGTCAACAGTTCGAATTCATTCTTTGATCCTAAAGTAACGAAAGAAAATAACGAATAAAAATAAAGGGGAGCAAGTGACTTGCTTGCAGAAATATGAACAAGAAATAGCAGCATATTGAGCATCTCTTGGCTCGAGATAACTGCTACAGATGCAAAAATGGAAATTAAAAGATATTTGCCATAAAGGCAGAAAAGTGAATAGTAATTTGTATAATGGAACATAGTTTAGTATTGAAAATGATTACCAAAATACAATAGCGAGCTAAATAACACTTTAAATTAATGGAGAAATATGAAAAAAAAATAAATAAACAATTGCAAGGACAATTTGATCAATTCATTTCCTCAAGAAAAGTAAACAACAACTGCAAGGGTAATTTGATCAAAAACATTTCCCGAGAAGTAAGTGAAAAATAATTGCGAGGACAATTTGATCAACACATTTCCTGGAGAAAAGTGAAGAACAATTGCAAGGGCAATCTGATCAGAAACATTTTCTGGAGAAATAAAAGAAAAAGCAATTTGATCAACACATTTTCTCATGAAAAGTGAATAGCAATTGCAATGTAAGAGTTTATTATGCAATACACCCCAGTCTAAAGATTAATAGTAAGATATTAGAAAAATAAATAAACAATTGCAAGGGCAATTCGATCAGTTCATTTCCTCGACAAAAGTAAACAGTTGCAAGGGCAATTTGATCAAAAACATTTACATGAGAAATCAAGTGAAAAAACAATTGCAAGGGCAATTTGATCAAAACATTTCCTCATGAAAAGTGAAAAACAAATGCAAGGGCAATTGTAAATGGTGAGTAAATTATAATGTGTAAATGTTCCTGTTTACCACTTTCAAAGAAAGCGCAGAATCAAAAATACAAGTAGATTCATCAAGTTATAAATGCAGGGGAAAAAGGTTAAATAACCGTATGTAATACATGTGCTTGAAAAACTATGTTTATCGTGTCTGAATAGAGCATTATACAAAATCTGGAAAGTTTCCAATTTTCCCTTGCAATTAAAAACTTTTAGAATATAAATGGTGAATTAATAGTAAATGTTCAATGTTTTGTTGCTGGAATGGATTATTCCAGAAAGCATACCAGGTGTTTTGATAGAACTACGTTGATAAATCAAAAAGGCTAATTGTCACCTATTTTGTCTTTGATAAGTTTTGAGACAAGTTTCCATTTTTCAGGATCATATCGACCATTGTCCCATCGTGATATTATGATCATTGTATCTGAGAGGTCAAGTTCTGCAATTGTATTCCTGATTGTACGTCCCATACCATTGTCTCCATCATCTTGAAAATCATAATATTTCCTGGCACCATTTTTGATCACAAATGCATAGCTATTGTTTGTAGCTTTTGCAACATATGGATCACCGCATGCTTCAAAAGCGCTGGTTTCACATCAGTCAGGTTTTGCACTCTGGCTATATGTACTTGGTAAGACCCTCCAGCGCCTGTCACCACTGGACCATTTTTCAGATTAGTGTCAAGGGCATCTTGGACAGTATCAGAGTTAGAGATAGGGGTCTTGAGGGGATATATCAATCTACCATTCACCAACATTTTATCCTTAGTGATGGTGCATCTTACGTCAGGATTCTCTTGTAGGATTTGCTTCTTTGTTTCATACATATATCGCTGTTTTTCAATCTGAGGCTTAGGATGCTGTTCTGTTATGAATTTGCCACTTCCTTTTAGCCGCCATGCATTGGCAAGGACTAATTCCTTACCCTTATAAGGATTAAATTTGGCAACGATACTTCTTGGATAAAGGTCTTGCTTCTGTTGTCCGATCCTGTGTACCCTATCAATCATAATCTCATCTTCAATTTTTAGATCATTTTTCAAGAATTCATTCAGTATTCTTCTTGTATCAGTTGACGACTCATCTTTGATCTCTGGAATTTTGAAGAATAATAAATTGTCTCGCATAGATCGGTCCTTCAGGCTCATAACTTCGTCTTGTGTATCTGCAAGTTCTTTCTCGGATCTTTCTGCTCTTCCTTCTGCAAAGAGAAGCCTATCTCTTAAGTCCTTATTGTCGAGTTTTAACGATTTAATGTCAGCGTCTTGATTTAGGACAGTTTCTTTCAGTAGTTTTAATTCATTTGAATGTTCTTCCTTCATGATTTGTATATCAACTTTCATTTTAGAAAGTTCAATAAAAAGCACTGAGTTTGAGGCATCAGACAACTTTTCAAGATCTGAATCAGATACTATTGTTTCAGGATCTAGTGTCTCTAAGTTAGACATAGCATCTGTGTTTTTTATCTGCTTTTTAGACTTTTTAGTATCAGGTAATTTAAGAGGCTCTTCTGTTGACAGTGTTTTTGATCTCAGTCTTTTTTCTCTTTTTTCAGAGTTTATTCTGTTTGAGCTTGGCATTGTTTGTAGTACTTGCCTAATGTTTACAAAATAATTGGACCAATATAATGAAGAAATGTTACTAATTATAAGCAAGACTCTCTTTAAACGAAAATTGTAACTTGCCCATATCATATTGTCCCCAAATAAAAAATTTTGAAGTTAATTAACAAGGTGTATATTCAAATACAGGGTGACAAAAAACAATAACCACTAGTTTTGCAATAACTTTCTCAACTATGAAGGAATCTTCATGATTTTTGCTTGAAACATAGGTGTACTTACATAGCATCTACGACTTAGAGATTTAGAAATATATCATATCTTCAATGGAGGCATTCTCTGACACAAAACCACTCAAAAATGTGTGTTAAGAAATCTGTCTTTTAGAAAAATAAATAGATATTACTATTGTTCTAATGAAAGTAATCCAGCAATGACTCAAATAGGCAGAATTCTCAATTTTAGAAAATGGCAGTTTTGAACATTTTTAGACGATGTAATATAAGTTCTATGACTCTGTTTTCTCTATCTACACAAAATAATCCTAAAGATACCATCATATTTGAGAAAGTTACTTCAAAATTAGAGGGTGGCAGTTTTTGGGGTCACATTTAGCCCAATTTAGCCAAAGGAATTTTCAAACAATTGACAAATATATTTATTTTAAGAAAGTTATAAAGCATTGCCTCTTTAATACCTTGAAGTCCATATGGAGGCATATGTGTCAACAGCACATCAACATCATCATCTATGGCCTTCCAGCGCCCAGAGAGGAGGTGTCCATGTATAGCATATGCTCTTGCATAACTGTTGCCACGGATATTAGTACATGGATCACCATAGAACTTTACTCCATCAATTTCTGCTGAATTGCGATACAGGTAGACGCCATTTGTTAGATGTTGCTGTATTTCATCTCTTTTAAAGGTATCTAGTGTTATTTCATGATTGCCAGCTATGAAGAATTTAAACTTATGAGGTAGCTTAGCAAAAAATGCATCTAGTTCTTTCATTGTATTTTTCATGTCATTTTCCTTGCGTACATAGCGCAATATGTTTAAATGAGAAAAGTCTCCAGTATGAACAAGGATATCTCCATCAGGAATCATGTCTAAGTAGTCATTATGACATAAATGTGTGTCGGAAAGATGAATAATTCTAAACTTTGCAGCATTGGGATTATTGTAACATCCAGCTTTCACAGGCTCTTTGGGGCCAGTTGGTTGAACTCTGAGATAACGTGCTTCATTCTTCTTTTTCCCCATCGTCACTGAAAATAAAGTGAAGTACATTTCAGTACTGTACATCCACCAAATGAATAAGTATACACAAGAGGTGTCACGGATACCCGATTTTGTTCTGATCCGTGGAATTATGCCCTCGGAACGGAACACAGAACACAAATTGAGAATTTCGGTTCGGTTTCGGAACAAGAACATTTTACCCCTTCACAACTTTTGGCCCTTAAGTCGCCACAAAACAGCATTTTTCTTTCAATATTTTGAACCAAAAGAGGCTCATTCTTTTCACTCATTCTCATTGAAGAGTTTTGAAGAGCTTTTCCCTACCAAATAGACCTAGATGATCAACTTATTTTAATCTTATACACGCAGTCACTCTGTTCCGAACCGTTTGAAATTGTTCCATTCCGAAGCAAAATGTTCCGAACCGTTCCGATTTTTCTTTGTTCTGTGACATCTCTAGTATACACTCTATATAATTAAATTTGAAATCTGTATTTTAACAAAGTTAGAAAGCAATTATTTTAGAAAATATGTTGATAGCTCAATAGACTATTGATAGTATCTCGATTGATAGTACAACTAATCAATTTCAATGATATAGGAAACAGTAGGGGAAAATAAAGTAAAGTTTATTTTTGTCTATAAATAACCAACAACTTTGTTCTGGGCTAAAATATGATTTATTAATTATAATATAAATCCAAAAACAATGAATACAAAGATACACACAGTAAAATTAAAACTATTAACCGCCCCCTGTGTTGTATTCCTAAATAAATTAAGGGTTTTATATGTAGGGTGCTCAACGCGCATGACAGAAACAAACATTCACAATACTAATTCACGGCCCCGGTCAAGGGGTTTCACTCCAATATACTTCTGAATACCTATGTGCCGCGCCAAAGACCCCCTTTTTGAGCATTTTTTCCATGTCAATTTCCCCTCAAGATTGAAAGTTTCCATGCACACTGTATATCAGACTTTTAAAATAGAGTAGATTTCCTGAAATATTGGTATACATGTATTAACTACAAAATCCACTTTTTTAGCGATTTGTCCCAGACCCCGCCAACTGATTTTACCGATTCATTACAATTTTTTGTAGAAAAACTGATTTTTGACTGAAAAGGCTCTCTCTTCGACAAATTTTCCATGTTTTTTTCCTCTCAGTTTCCATGGTTTATGCCCTAAGCCAAAATGGCTTGGCTGCACATACCTACCCAAATTATTTAGCGTGAACCCCCATAGGCCCCGGTCACAATCGAATCTTCGATCTTAATTCACAAGGTTTCAGTTGCTCCAACTTATAAAACCTTGCAAGTCGAAGATGTCACAATCGTATAATCTCTATAATAAAATTGTGGTTGTGTTGCATATGACGATGTTTCCTCGGGAGTTCGACTCTTGTACTGTAAATTCAATTTGTGCTCTCTCATGTGCTCTAAATTCTCACTCGTTAACTCCTTCGTGACTGGTCAATTTTTGGAAAAATGGAAAATATGGGCGATAATAGAGTACAATTAAATTGAATCGTTAATATGTATTCTATCTGGCATATGATTTCAAAACAAAGTTATAAAATGATATCATTGGATATACAAGAGTTTAGTTAAAATGTGATATTAGGAAAAATACTTACATTATACGTTAAAATTCACTTTCTTTTGGGAATATTTTGAAAAAAAAAAATTTTCCGAAAAATGTAAATCATGACACACGAATGGATTGATAAATGTTCTTTACAAAAAGTAGATTTCATATATCAAAAAGCTAAAATCTTAAAATGATAAATATCGTCCAAGTTTTAATTACAATATTAGTAAGAAATTATGATTAAATATGCTTTTTTTAGAATAAACCTCTTGAAACTTTGTCAATATTTTGTTCGTCACATCTGTCATGGCTGACGTGGAAGTTAACAAGAAAATGCAGCAGACTCCTCGAGTCGAGGTCTCCAAGTCAAAAAAATTACTGACCCTATCATATATCTGTTGATTATCCTGTTTATAAGTGATTCAAGAGCGTGGCACTGAACGAACCTCTATGCCTATTTGTTATTTGTTTAGTTGTTGGTTGGGTAACATGTTTATGACGTCACAAATGATGCGAAGAATCTTAAACCAATCAGTGAAGTCTATATTAATTGTTTGTTTAGTTGTTGATGTGGCAATACGTGTATGACGTCACAGGTGATTGCATCATATTCCAGTAACGCCATTTTACGACATTGCATAATTTTAGCTGATTTTGGCTTCATTTCACTTTGTTTGAAAGACTTTTAAAAATATAATAATGAGTCAGTATTTTTTCTTAAAAATATTAATATTTGAATTTGAGGTCAAAGTCCGAAAATTTGATCAACTGATTGAAATCACATTTTAAAGAGGTGAAGAAGTGAATAATTACAGGAGCAAACGTGATCAATGGTTCGAGGTCTCCCGCAAAGTAGTCGCTACGCTCCTACTTGCGCTGCCTTCGGCAGAGGAGACCTCGAAAAAACTAAGTTGTTGGAGTATTTTTACGTTTATCTCTATAATTTCTTTACCAATCTATCTATAATTAGATCATAAGTGATACAACTATATATAGAAATGGCAGATATCACTAATTTGTTCAAAGCAACTGTCAAGGCAGTGAAAACTCGACAGAAGTCACAGGGTCTTGAAATTGATAAAAATCATATCTTTCCCCATGCAAAAGTGAAAACTGAATTTTCTAAGAAATCAAAGGAAGTGGTGAGTATACATGTAATTTTAGTATAAAACCTTTCATGTATGTTAATAAAACCAAAAATAACTGAGTACAATAGATTTGTATCATATGAAAAATGCATTCATACATGTATCTTAGCCATCTTACACGTTTGTACATGTATATGATCTACAGTGTCGTTATAATTCAGACAGTAGTATTTCACATATAGTTCCAAAAATGGTGCATTATTTTTGTATTATGATCACCGAGATCTGGGGTTGACATGTGAAATTGAGAAATTTGAAATCCGCACTCTGAAGTCTGATTTTACTCTGCTTACAACGGAGATAAAAGGTCCACATTGTTTATCAAAAACACATGCATATAATTATATTCACGGATCCAATGTAAAAAATATATCAATCATAATTGATCATGTGACATTTGCATGAGATGATAATGCATCATGGGAAATCTTATGCAAAAAGTTGCATGCAAATCAAAGCAAATTAAAACACAATATTTGGGATATTTGATGGTGATAAACTGAAGATAAACACACTCAGGTTTGTAGTACATGTTGTACTCTACTTCATCACCATAATTAACATTTTTTAAAAGTAGAATGTTGTTATAAGTTATTTGGTAAAAATTACATTTGTGATCTCGTAGCTGAATTTCTTATTCAGCTAGCTACAATATCAGTAGCTAGATTCAAACCCAAGACTTAAAATCCAAAGCCTAATGTTATGACAGAGCTGTTTAAAAGGGCATACTCATGTGTAGCTACATTGTACTAGCTATGCTGTTGTAGCAACTTGCTATCCAAGGCTGCTACACATCTAAATGTACATGTATCTTGGTTCTTGGGAACTCACATTTGCAATTTGGTGTGACATTCATGTATACTGGTGTAACTCTCATGGCATCCAAGTCATGAAACTTGATAACCTATTCAGCTGATAATTGTTAAGCTTTTACATTTTTCAGAATATTCATATTTAAATTTGATTTTCAGATAAATAGCATAACACAACTTAGAGACTTTCTGCAGACCCATAGAAAAGATTATATCAACCCATCTAGGTAGGGCAGTTTAACACATGTATTTCATACTCATGATTTCAAACAGCCTAGTTACAAGAAAACAGCTTTTGTTTTCAATTTTATTGTAAACTGCACTGTCAAGTGACTGTGAAGTGACAGATTTTTAGTTTCCAAATTTCAACCAGTTTTTGCTAGTGCAAAATCCTAATCTACCTATCAGCATTATGACAGTGCGCAAACAGGTTTCCAAAAGGTTTGCATTTTGCATGTAATTCTCAAATTTTCTGCATGTTGGTGCAGTACCTGGTTGCTCTAATACTTTGGAGATCACCAACATTTCTTGCATTCTTGACAAGAATATATGGTTTAATGAATGCAATCCATAACTTACCCTTTTAGGATTGATAAAATGAAGTGCCATATCTCTCAAAATAATTCTTAATAATAAAGTCAGTTACTCAAACCTTATAGTTGACTATTGCAGTTACATAAAGAGTGTCAATGATTATTTCAGTTATATAAAGAGTGACAATGATTATTTCAGTTATATAAAGAGTGACAATGATTATTTCAGTTATATAAAGAGTGACAATGATTATTTCAGTTATATAAAGAGTGACAATGATTATTTCAGTTATATAAAGAGTGACAATGATTGTTTCAGTTATATAAAGAGTGACAAGTCTGGTATGACTGATGCTGAACGAGACCAGATAGATGAAGATGCCCAATCATTCATGAAAACATGCTCTGCTGCTATTCAGTCACTAAAACAATCAAGTAAGGAATTGTTATAATATTCAGACAAGATACAAGTGACAAAATATTGCTTCTAGGATGAGATCAAACAACTTTGACATATTGTTTACCCTACCAATTTTTTAATAGGCGACTTTGAATGGACCTTCATGCATAATTCGAAAATAGAATCATCAGAGAAAGTCTTAACCCATGAAATTGACTCTAGAGCCTGAAATCCACCTGGCTATTGGCCTTAAATATAAGGAATTTTGATGAACATAATGTATATGAAATTACCTTTATTTCATTTAGGTAATGAGAACAATGTTTCCGAGCAGACTAGGGATCATAGGCAAGCTGTATTTAAACTGATGGACAATTACCTTAAACGTATGTATCTCTCCTAATCATATTCTTTGGACTCTCACATATCCTAGAATTATGCAGGTTAGAGATTGAAATTATGCAGCAAAAAATATAAAATTATATGGTGGAAAATGCAAATTGTGAAACAAGTTATGCAACCACATTATTGCAAAAAATTAAAACAATGCATATTTCAAATAAATAAAAGCCATTTCCAATATGGGCGATTTTACAGCACCTTTATACCAATATATTGATTTACATATTAAGTAATAAGCCTACCACCAAGTAGTCCTGTTATGAGTTCCTACCAGTCATCCGAAACATTTTGAATTTTGTGAATAGTCAAAAGTAAAGAGTAATCTCAAATTTTCAAGGATATTATATGATTGAAATAAACATTGATTAGTTGTTGGCATGCGGGTGAAAAAGTAAAAAAGTTTTTAAGTCATGGAAAATATTTTACGCTTAAAAGAAAATTCCAAGTTAAGGATGTACATTGAAGGTTGTTTAGAGGGGCCATCCTGATTTACAAAATACTGCAACAATATACTGTACATATCATAAGTTCATGTGTTTTTGCCTTCAGTTGTATGTAAGATGTACAGTGAGCAAAGAGCAATCCGAGTCAAGAGAGTTGTGGACAGGAAACGTATGTAAGTAATAATGAATTTAATGCAACTAACTCGATAAAAGCCCTGCGCTGGCTTGAACTGTCTGTCGTCCTAGCCTGGATAAAGATACCAGTTCCTGTGAGATTAATATGGGGAGTTGTTTCTACCTTAAAATATCAAATTACATAAGCCTACCACATGTATATCCCTATGGTGTCTATGTGAGATTGTAACTCAAATGAAATGCAATGTTATGAGTCATTTTGGATTTTTCTTTATGAAAACATTTTAGTTAATAGATATTTGCACATGGCCCTTCAAAAATCATTTTTTAAATTAAAATTTCTGCTGTTCTGCAGCAAGCCGTTCGTAGAGGAGGTTAAGCTTCAGATTTTTTCATGAACTTGTAATGGTATGTCCCTATATGCATTTTCTCATGAATCATAATTCCACATATTCACATGCAAGTTGTCTTAAAAATCTGTAGCTGGACCACCTTAATATTGAATCATTATGGACCTATTGCAGTGTACTGTAATTTCTTTGCTTTCCATTAATCTGTTACCTTTTCACTCATCAAATATATCATATTTCTCTGGTTTTGTCCATTAGAGTCCATTATGATCATTTTGAAGAAACTTATTGACTACGAAAAAGGTTTTCTTTGAATTGCAGTTCTCGTTTGGAACCTGAGCACAAGAGGTCTAAGAAGTCAGAGTTGAATGAGGCTAAAACAGACAAAGAAACAGATATTAAAGATGCAGAAACTAAAGGTTTGTTGAGACTATAATGTCAAAATGGGCTAATGTTAAAATTGAATAATGTAAACCAACCTGACTGAGAATATTATGTATGGTCATGGGCGTAGCCATGATGCAAGTTTTGCAGAATAAATGATTCAGGTCTTTTTCGATTGAATCTTTAAATATGAGGTCATATGAAAGTGGTATTTCACTAAATCATATTTCCTCCACCAAATTTTAGATCCTGGCAGTATGGGAGTGACAAAACTAGAAAATATGCTTATTCATTTTATTAATCTTCAATATACAGTTTACATGTACAATATAAATAAAATTAAATTAAATTCTCTGAACAACATAAAAGTGAAATTATTTAAAGATGAAAATTATAATAACTAGGTTCAAGCATTCCAAAGTGTAAGCATTTGCATTTAAAGCAGTAAATTTCCCTTGACCAAACCCCTGGTTAACTTGATTGTCTGGAGGAATACCAATTTAGCAAATTTAAAAAGTTTGATTCATTTCCTCCCAAACCAGAGAAAGTATCCATTGTTTTTCTTTTCAGATTCAGAAGCCACTACTGAGCCAAAGAGGGTGCCCAGTATACCAGTGTTTGATGATGATGACAGTGCCAATGAGGAGGAACTCAGCCCTGAAGAAGTTCAATTGGTAAATTGCCTTCTTTTATTGGCCCATATCTTCCTATATATCCCTCTGTTAAGCCCGTTACCATAGGATAGCACAATCAAGACCCTCCTGGACTTTAGAGTAACACATATTCACTATAAAAGACTTACATGTACCAGTGAATAAGTCACAAATTCCCTGCTTTCAGTGCTATAAATTGAGAGTAACGTATTGTATACTGCATCTTTAATTGGGCATTTGTAAACCTCCTTAAATTGCACTCTGTGTATCTTGGTAAATTTCCCCACTTAACTGGTCAGATGTAAATGTACAAAATGTAAAAAAGATTGACAATTTTTGACCCACCCTGTGTATACATATTATTATTCAGCATTTCTATATCTCTTAGTTTCAGGCAGAGAATGAGCAACTCTTTGAAGAAATGAATAGTATGGTGGATGAAGTGAGGTAAGTGACACATATGATACTCATATTCAGTCGGGCTCAAACGTGTATATAATATGTAGATGACTCAATAAGGCTCTAATAGAATTGAATGTTGAGTAGTATGAAGTCCAGTGTGTGGTTTGCTGGATACCAACTAATAATAATTTTCATTTGCAGGCAAATAGAAGGGAAAGTTGTTGAGATATCAAGACTCCAGGAGATATTCACTGAAAAGGTTCTAGAACAAGAAAAAGATATTGATAGGATAGCAGACACTGTGGTCAGCTCAACTGAGAATATAAAAGATGCAAATGAAGAAATTAGAGAGGTATGAGCCCCTTATATATACAGTATTAATATTGAGTATATGTTCATGAAATTAATCAATATTGAGTTGATATCTTGGTTTTTATACAGTATGTCCAACTTAGCATCCAAGATTTATTACGTCGCCACAAGAAGCGTTGACATATTGTAATAGTCTCCAGCCTTTTTGTGGATGGTGTTCGATAGTTAGCCTTTAGCAGTATGTGTTCGATGGTCGATATTCGGCTTCTGTAACAGATGGCAAGTGGTGACATTTTGCGTTTGTATGCCTTCTTTACAATGTCATAATGTTATACAATTTTTATTATGTTTTATGTAGTCTCCAATATATCACAAAACACTAAGTGGCCATGCAATGCAGTGGATAAGGAACATTGAACAAGATTTAATTGTGCCAAATATGATTTCAAATCCATGTTGGAAGACAGAGTTAGTTTCATTTGTCTGGGTTACTTTTTTTGGCTCACCCTGTAATGAATTGCTAAATATATCAAATTCTATTTTTTCAGGCAATGAAAAATAATGCTGGTTTCCGAGTTTGGATACTATTTTTCCTCGTGGTGCTAACATTTTCGTTGTTGTTCCTGGACTGGTATAATAACTAGACTGATTATTTTAAATGCTGGATTTACAAAATGAAAGATACAATTTGGGGAAGCTGGAATAGATGAGACGATATAGTTTATTTAATGATGGTGAAATTTTTTCGTGATCTGACTGACTCATGTGAAACAAATTTTCAAGCAGTATGATACAGAATTTGTATATAACACTCAGACATATCTGTCTTTAAAATAGTTCATGCTAAACAAATGTCGAACATGCCAAGTACCATTATACAAAAATTTTATTTAATGATTTCTCATAAAAATTTTCTGATGTGGGTAACAGATGTGTAATGCTTCTCAATAGCTCAAAATAAGCTATACTGCCTGTATAGCATATATGTGAATCTCCTTTTTACATAGCTTGATAACACGTATCATTACTTTATAATACTTCTTAAAGTATGCACTTTGAATCCCTCTCATGAATGTGATTGAGGGAGATTATGTTTAATGCTTGTATGTACCAGCCTATGTGTCAGTATGGCCTTTCATGTGTATATATACACCGCTCATCCCCACTCTAAAATTACGGTACCATACGGTACATTAAGAGTATGGTCCCATATACAGTACTGCTCAAGTATGGTGTTGTACAGTGTTCACAGTACAGTACGGTACCATTTTAGTCTATGGTACCATAGATACCATAGATGGTTCCGTAGCCAAAACAGCACTGTATGGTACCATCAGACCCGAGCTGTGTATACAAGGGGGTTAATAATAAAAAAAACATTATCCTTTACATCAGTTGTTGTAGTCACAAATACCATTAAATCATGTAAGAGAACACTAGATTCTAATTCTAAGCTTCTGTTAATGAAACACAAGGAGATATAGAGAAAGGATAGTAACATACATGTGTCTATTACTGATATTGAAATTGTCACGAGGTGTTTTAGAGGATTATTCCCGCAACTCTAAAGATCCATGCTAACTGAATTTAGTTTACTTCAAGCAGAGTGAATGGTGTCCCTGGGTTTACTGCTTTTAATATCAGCCCACATAAATACTTCTATGTATTTTCCCATTTGATCAAGTCACTTTTTTCTGGGTATTAATATACTGATGTTTATCTTGATTAATTTAATATGGTCTTATAAAACATTGCAATTACATTATCAGTCAGTCACTGTTTCTCTATAATGAAACATGGCTAATATACCACCCCCCCCCTCCCCCATTTAAAATTAGTCATATAAAAATGACATAGTCCCTTTTCCAGTTGTGTATTAAGCCAATGTATTGCCACAATATGATGTAAATCATGATTCCATACATGTACATAATAGTACCCCAGACAGCTACTTGAGAATCATTTTATATATCTAGCTATACTTTCTGAAAAAGTATCTACATTTGTATTGCTCATTTTGGAGCTAAGATGATTTCTAACAACAAATGTTCACGTTGATATAACTGATACCACTGAAATAAATGAAATAACAAAACAATTATAACGATTCTCAAACTGCTCTCCGGGGTTATGAATTGACTCTAATAACTTTTCATATGTCAAAATGTGTGCAATATTCAAAGAATGAAACCTACTTGTTGATCCTTTCCATTAATACAGTCTACAGTACGAAACCTCATGCAATAATTGTTAACAGAATTGTTTAACTATGGTAACACTGTAATCTAAGACTACAAAGTATAAAAATCCAAAACCTGATTGGAATTAAAAAACAAATTATTTCAGATGAAACCAGAAAATGAAGTATGTACTTGTCATTCGATAAATGTATATGTGCTCAAAATAAATTATTTATGTCATCAAAATAATTATTGTTGATTTTAAAATATCAAATACATTTGTGTTTATTATTACCATATATGATCATTTTATGAACACCCCAGATTGTCCAAATAAGTAATCACTGAATTTGTTTGTCCATATATGTCATTATTTATATTCCCGTCAATTAATGGCGTCATATTAGTACAGCCACTACTCTTGTGACGTTACTCAGCGTCTTTGCGTGGCGTCTGTAACTTTTATTACAATTTTGTAACTGCAACCTCGTTGTGATTTTTGTCATCTTGATACCTAGCTGGTTCATGATCTTAGTCCTTCTCCTTGGATCATTGTATATGTTTGCAAGAAATATCAAATGACCCAAGAAAACTACAAAAGATCAAATGTTATGTGCAGACTTGAGAAACTTGCCTCGTGAGTTGTTCTTCATTTGACTGCTCTTCAGTAGAAAACATATTCATATTGATATGATAAAAAGAAACTAAAACGTTTGATAATGTTATGTATTGAATTTTTTTGTATTTTTTTTATTTATTATGATAGGGGTGCAAGATGTTGCCAGTCTCAAAGGAAATATACATTATTTATGCGTCAAGTATGATGTGTGGGCGTGCACTAGAAATGCAGGAGAATTGAAGAAAGTAATTTAGTATCAGTGTATTAGGCCTATGTTTCCACTGTGGTGTAACGTCATATTGCTGATCCAGCGTCTGTTTTTTTATATTCATTTAAATACCCCCTGCATGCGTTAGAGTTACTAAGTCGTTTTCTCAATATGACAATCTACCCATTTGCCGGAATTTAAATACGAAATGCTCCACTTCTTTTTTATAAAATGTTGCACACAGAACATGGAAATAATTTATTCCCAGAACCTCTGAGTTATGAGCTGAGCGAATGAACAGCTGTAAGCACTGTCGCCTTTATTTTGCAAAATAGAGGGGCTTTAAGACGTAAGCTTATGGGGGGGGGATGTTGCTAAACTTATGGAGGGGAGTGTATGTCAAGTTACCATTGGGGTCGTTGTTGCTGTCTAAATTAGTGAAATAATGCCACGGAATTTAACCATCTTTATTGATCAAAAATGTCTTTAAAATCATTCTATCACACTATTACTGTTGTTATTTGTGCATTGATCGACCATGGTCTACCAGGAATACTAAACAATTGATGCAACTCATTTCTAATCGATTAATGTGTGTACAATGCAATGCTATACCTCAACCATCTACGATCGTTTTACGGTAAACATAATACTGCTTTGTCTGTGGGTCTCATATTGGAACTATATATATTGTGCTTATAAAATCTCTACCCCATCGATCCAGTTGTTTTACCAGGCAGTTAATTCGTGACATGGCGGTACGAAATTGCGTACATTTATAAAGATCGACTTTGAATCTAAAACGATTTGCATTTTACGATAGGATCACATTTGTTCGATTGAGTGAATTTGGAGGATGTTGAGTTACGTAAGAAGAAAAGTGTAACTTGGATTTAGAACGTCAAAGTTGTGAGAGTAGATAGTCCAGGGTCTTGAAGCAATACTACATCAACAGATCAAGGTATGGATGTTACTGATCTAACATTATCACACTACTATACCCCCATACTGTATCCTGTACTTCTTTAAAAGAAATACAGGCTACAGCGAAGTTGCAAATGGAGGACGTTTGTTTATTTCCATAGGTTCTGAAGGTATACTAGATTTTAAATATATTCCAAGTGTTCGACTATACATTGTATAGATTCATCGAGTAGTTTGCAATATTATTAGTATTTATTACCAGAAAAGCCCAATGGACAGAGATAAATAATACCCGCTCCATTTGCAACTTAACTGTACCCTGTATCATTATCAAATGTGGTCACGTGGTAAGGTAGTGTGACTATTGCGTAGTTTTATTCACATGTGTTTATGTTATGCTTGACGAATACTGTGTTGGTAATACTATTCATTGAAAGTAGAAGGAAAGTGTATAATGTTGGAAGTAATCTTTTTAAAAACCATGTCAATGATTCCCTCATTACAATCCATCTATTGTTTTGCTGAAAAAAAGAATCGAGATATCTGATCAGCTTTAGAAACTATTGAACACTTAAGATGCAGAATGTTAAAACCTTTAAAATTGGAAGTATTGCGCTGGAATAAAGTCAGAACTGGTCGACGTTTTAGAAATAAATATGACATAGGATGATGAGACAGAAAATGTAAAATTGTGACTTTTTGAAACTTTTTTAAGAAACGAAATAATATATAACAATGGGGTGATAATGCTATGAATTTAGAAGGGATGCATACATATGAAACACCCTGTACACATACTAAATGAATTAAGAGATGAGATAGGAGCTTTCAGGCATTTAAAAAAATGATTAAACTACTGCTACTATAATCTTCATAACAGTTACCTCAATCTGATTGTAGTTTATGGATTTCATTTCGTTCATCTCTTAAAGAGAGAATCAGATATAGCGAGCAGGCTAAACAAAAAATTGTTTCAATTTAGAATATTTTTGGCTCGTGTCATTCCTTGTCATGTTTATTTTCTATAAATCAGTGCATACTTTATTCCAGGAAAACTAAAGATTTTTACAATAATGTATTATTTTTCTACCATTCTTATTATTTGGGAGAATTTAAACATTTTTTACTCATTTTTGCACTTTGAATAATTAATAACTTCACCAATTTATAACATATTGTGAATCTTTTGGGAGATATTGTATTTGATATTGTAAGGAATAGATTGGTAAGTCAATTATACATGTTGCTTGTAATTTTGTCACCCCCTATAGATCAGATTCTGCCTTTAATTTCAGCTTGGCGAGGATGATATATCGATAATGCAATCGATTATACAATGCCTAGAGTCAGACATATAGTGCGCCACTTCAGGTACAATTATCCCATTCGTTTTATCATTCAATAAAGTTATATAACACAGATTTTTTCAGTATTTTCGCTAAATTTGATTCGCTTGGCCAAAATGAAGAGAAATTCTTGATTTAACCTTTACGTAATAAGACGTCATTGTGTTGTTAATATTTCTTAATTTAATTGTCTCAATTCACATTTCGCCCAAATATTTTTAAATCCTGTGAATAAGGCTGGAATTTTTTTAACAAATTTAAAAGAATTGAAAAAACATAATCATCCTTAATACATCCCAAAGTCCTCGAAAGAACTAAAAAGGAATAAGCCTATCAGAATTCAACCCTAGACATTTAAAAGAACCTTAAAGTCCCCGTCTAAAGTTTGAAAATATTTTTTTATCATTCATTTACTATTTGTCAGGACTTAAAAAGTGATTTTAGAGATTTTTGAACAAAAAAAAATTTTGAAAAAAAAGTTGTGAGCATTTCATTTCTCAAATATTCAAATTTCCCGCCATTTTTTTTTGAAATTTCTTAATCATCAAATATTTCTTAATGCAGTTCAAAAAAGATTATCTTTTTAACACCAATGCAAAGGTTGAACAAAGGACAAACTATTTCAATAATAAAATGCCATATTTAATGGGCCACTTCAATGTTTTAACATATCAAATATATTTTGAAACATTAGTGATGTCACTAAGGTACCAAAAACTTTTTGAAAAAAATTGAAATATTTTTTTCGATGTCAATCTTTTCTAAATATGTTAGACTTTCATAAAAAACAATGTTAATTGTCTAACCAGGTTAAATAGAAGAATAAATTATGTGTTAGATATCATTGTACCATTGGTTTCTATGAGAACTAAAATTTTGAAATGCATTTTTCTCAGAACCATTTTCATGCACTGATAAGTTCATTTCTCGCTTATTTATGAACCGATTTTCTTAATTTTTTCGGCAAAAAACATGGGAGGATGGATGCTATGCATTGGTATGAATTGTGGCTAATTAGAAGATATGAGTGACCTCTAAAAGTTGGTTTTAAATAAATTCACAAATTTTGGAACAAAAAAATCTATCAAAAACCACTTTTTGAAATTTAAAAAAAATGTTTCACATATCACACTTTGATAACATTGGGTAAGACTACAATATAAGCCAAAGTGGTTTAAACTTTATATGGGGCCTTTAAAAGTAGGTCTGCATTCAAAATTCAAAAGGTTCCTTATTGGTTCTCTCCTGGGCATTCAATGAAAGCCCATGGTTCTCTCAAACTTCTGGGTGCAAAGCCAAAAGGTTGATACACCATCCCCAAGTCTCAAAACCAAAAGGATTGTTAGTTTTCAGCTCTAATACATCGATTTCGCTGGACCTTTCTGTCCCACCTCTGTCTGTGTAATGTCTGTGTATTATAATTATATATTTCTATACTCTATGATTCTGTTCCGGGTATACGATATTGATTATCAATAAAGACTCTGGTGACTATTGTCAGCCAGAATCGTTCACTTTTCTGATACAATATTTGATGTACAACACATTACGCATGGCATACATGTTTATGTATAAATGAACCTATAGTTAATAGACGCCTGAAATTGTTTCGAACATCCAAGAATTCATTCTCACATCCTCCATTCGTATGTTTTCGTCACGCCCGTATCCATTTGACTTTTTAATTGATTTCAGCTTTCGCCCCAAAGCTAAAGATATGGATCGTAAGAAGAAACATCGAAGCGGCCCGGGAGACGGTTCGTGCAGTTGGACCGTGGTATCATTGCTCACGTGTTTATTGGCCAACGGGATCGTCATCACCACACAGACGCTCAACAATGGTTATTTCTCCCATTCCACTAGGAAAAATATCATGAGTAAGAGGATAATTAGCAACTCAAAACCAACGTTTGTAATAGTTAAGGCAATACCACCTTATATGGTTTCCATTCTCCAAAGCAAGTATCCAGAATCCGTACCTCCTTCTTCCCTCTGCAGGGATAAAGAGAATACATATTCTGGATCTAAGAGCCCTAAGCTGGAGAATGAAATATTTCTGAAACGTGCATTTGCATTGCCTCTGTATCAGTTACTCCAAATGATCCCCTAACTAATCAATTGTGCTTTCATAGATTTACGGAGTTTTTGCATAATAGTCATACCTTTGGATATAAGGTCATTCTGTCGATGTACACGTCTTTTCGATGCAAGGAGTGGTAAAAACCTAAATTAGGTTCTATAGGCCATGGGTACATCGATTCTTAGAAAATATACTTGATAAATCAAAAATTGAAATGTACAAATTACATTCTTCAGGGGAATGCAAGGGCTGGTCCCTCAAGGCGCATCCACAATTTTACGTTTCTGAATGGATCCAATAGCCATGGGCAACACCATAAAATTGTCATTCATGTTTTCCAGTAAATGAACATAAAGACCTGTTTTGTCACAAAGGAGAATCGATGACCAAATCAACCACTGCTTATTCTGTGAAACAAGAAACACATTATGCAAAAGTAAAAGATAACCCAATTATAAAGAATGAAGACGGACCAAATGTTCCGCCAACCAACATGAATATTCTACATTCAAATGTATCCGGGTATGCAGAAATAGAGAATATGTTTAACGCTGTAGTGCAATATACTCCGTTCGCGATGAAGTTACTTCTCGCAGATAGCTTTACAATGGATGAATTAACGAATGAATTTAGGAAGTATTCCATTATACACGATATGGGTGAGTACATACAAGTAAACGATCAGTGTTCGCTGGTGTAGCTTCAGATTGCGGTGGTTATCCAAGGCCCGGGTATTCAGTCGTTTTACGAAAAGTTAAATTCTTTCAGTTAGAAAACCATCTTAACTTGAAGAGACTCCAGAGTCCTTAACTTAAAATGAGTCCCACCATCTTTGAAAATTAGTAGGAGTAGATATCAAGATTATTATCTTGGTTATTACATTTATAAACTCACTGCGTAATGGGTATTAGTGCCTTTTGGGACCCTAATTACGACGTCATCGTTAAATGTTTTTCCTCTGAAATAATTTGACAAAATGATATGAGATTAAGAGCACATATTGATAATGTTATCTTTTTGATTACACACAAGTTAATAATTCATTTTTTATAATATAGATGGAGATCCAACTCGCAATGAGAACCTGAACACCATTACTGAGAACGCTACTGTTGAAACTACTGCTATTGATAGTGTTAATCTTGTTAATGGGGATGTTTATGTCATTGACGTTTCACACCGTCCAACGAAGCGTACCACAAAATTAGAGATCTCAAACGACATTGACTCTGATTCAAGTGGACTCAAAAGTAACCACGAAGCTCTAAATAATGGCCGAAAGATACAAAAACCGAAGATACTGCACACTGCAATAGATGGCGAATATATCCACTGTCGAGTTTATACTATGCAAGTAAGTTGAAATATAATCTTCGCTCTAAATTTGAATTCTTGTTTGACATATTGAAATGCATGCATGAATATCCACCAAGCAAAAACCATTAAACAGATGGGTTTCATTAACTGGGCACTACGACGGATTGTATTACAAAATGACTACAAAAGTGTTCAAAGCGTGTTAACGCAACTAACCGTTGCAACAAAGATATGTGGCCTGATGGGAGTAAGGTCCTAAAACAGAGTAAGCCAAAAAAGGTAGAGGTATATCCAGAACTTGGGCAATATCAAAACAATCAAAAAAATAAAACTGTGTCAAAACATTCCAAAAAGACCATGAATTTGTGATGAATTCCATAAACACAATAAACTTGTGTGTCAAAAAAAAATAAAATAAAAAAATAAATTTAACCCCAACCTTAACCCTAACCAACCCTAACCCTATTAAACCAGGTGGGGTTTTAAGTGATTACCTAGCCCTGACCTACCTGCTGAGGACACAGGGCGCGTATTAGACCCTAATGATATATGGTCCACTTGGTAGGAGCGGCTATCGTATCAGACCCTAATGATACAAGGTGCACTTGGTAGGAGCGGCGTTGGCGTACCAGACCCCTGGGACCAGACTCTGATAATAGCGATCGCCGCTTCATCTAATTCCTTCATTCCAAAATATAAAAAGACATCATTTTTATTTTATAGACTAAACCACCAAAGAATACTAACAAATCCAAAAAGGAGCAGCGGACTACACGTTCTGCGCCTGTTGCTGGAAATCTGATGGCGTCTCCTGATGTTAATACCAGATGTTTAGTACATCATTCTGGAGTAAATGCTTCAGGAACAAATGTTCCTGAAAGAGAGAGGAAATTTGTCTCTTGCACGAGTGGAACAGTGCAAAATGGCATTTGGAGTCCTGCTGAAACTACAAACGAAATTTTACCAGAATTGGATACCTTAACCATATTATAAACATTAGTGAAATTTTCTTTTTCTACTTTTTCATGTGCCATATACAATTGTATACCGGGAAATATTTTCGCCTGGGATAGTGTTTTAGCGAATTTCGAGAACATAGCCACAACTGCCGCAATTTCTGGCTATGAATCTGTTTTTTACGAAACAGGAACTGCGCTACATTTTATCTTGATTTACAAAATTCTAGTTGCTCCAGCAGAAATAGCAGATTAGAGAATTAATTTTCGCGATCAAGTGACCAGTTCCAATTATTTCGTAGTGCTATATGGATACATTGACTCGAAATGTCAAAGCATTGGTGTCATTATAACAAAGATAACGACTGCTAAATTGACTCTTTCCAACAAAACAGTTGTTGCACCTGTCGTAAGACTGCCGTTGTATCAACCAATAATCGCGAAATTGAAAATCACCAAAAGCCGTGTAATTTGATCGCCTTACGAGATTTTTCAAGGTTTACAGTACGTCGTATATTTAATCTAGATGTAGTTTGTATGTTATGTTTGGTCCTAACAATTGTATCATGTTTTGTATTTTAATATAAATAACGACTTTATCTTTAAAACTACATGTTTTGTTGGAATTCTTGATTTATTTCAAATGTCTGTATGTGTATCGACGACATGAAAGACATCGTTGGATGTATAGGTTTTCCATGTTTCGAAGTATTAAATATGATAAACGTAATTTCCTTTGTAAACATTGGCATTTCATTTGTCAATGATGACATTTTAGAAACCAAAGATTGTTTTCTTTAAAAACATGCCAATTTATCAGCTCATTTTGAAATAAAAACATCGACCAATTTGATTTTGATTATTCATTAACAGCTCATAACTGATAACATTGGGGAGTTTAAGCATGCAATGTTTTATACAACCTAAACGTGAACGGAAAATATTTAAGCGATGCATTTGTATGGGTGATTGGTCATACGTAAAGGTTGGCGTTTCGATTTTATACGCAAGTTTAAACTCCCTAAAATCTCCTCACTCCGATTCAAGATTAGGTACTTATTAGGCTATGATTGTCGTCCAACTTTTAACTCCATGTTTTGATAGCATTATAGTTAGGTTGGTTGCCAAGGTTAATGTTGTTCTTGCTGATGGTCCAATGTATCTAAAATAGTTTTTGGATCAAATACGTTACACTCTATCCTTTAAAAGTGCTTGGTTTTGCTTCTTGTACTAAAGAGTTTTATCTTATAAATTACTAGATTCTGGGTAGAGTAGGATACGATAGGGTATGGTAGGGTAGCGTTTGGTTGCGTATCCCACTTTGGATTCAGGTAAAATTCTTGTTTCCATCAGAATGTTATACTGAAGGCTCAATAACTGAAAAAGGCTCGTTTATAAATGCGTTTTGAACTGGTTTGACTTGGCATCTTAAAGACTTCGTCTTAGTTTAAAAAAAGTTTGCATTCGGGGTATTTATCTAAGGCGATGCAACCGAGTCTGCCTTTATAACAAGGTACGGAACTCAGTCGCCTATTTCTTGTTTTTGTTTAAGCATACCAACGCTAATGAAGCAGCATGATATTTGAAAGTAAGTGACCAAATATATTTACACACGTACTTATGTCAAATGTCACCCTGAGGCCAAGAAAAACCGAAACTGAAGTATTGGAATACCAAGATAATGAAAATGCGTGAAAGAGCAACTGTTCCGGGGTGCCCAAGTGTTCTGACTCTTGCGCAACCAACCAACCAACCCAACTATTCCGAGTTCAATTATTTTATTGGAAAATTGAAATAGGGTGCTGGGAAATCAATGTTGGCCTTAAAATGTTGGTCCCATTTTGAAGATTCAGATTTTTGGAAATAAATCTAGGCCCATATTTTAAAAAATAGTCCATTTAAAAAGAATTAAGCATTTCCTATATAAATTGATATTGTATATTTTATCTTAATATTCTGTAGTTCAGGAATGTTCCATTTTGCATTAGTCGCACACCAAGGGATCTACATGTACCATTCCTCACCGGTTACCATGTTAGTTTATATAAATCAATGCAAGGCCTTTTATGCACGAGGCAGCCATTTTAAGTTGCACAATTTCAACAGTCATCTCTCCAAGAAACAGGAATTCGAATCGCAAATTGAAAAGCAACACAGTGTATTTGATGAAATGACCTCAACCCAGAATACTTGGGTTAAATCAGAATACTTCGGCAAGAGTTGGAATACTTGGGTAGTCCAGACCACTTCGTTCGCTTAACCAGTGTCCCGTACTAACTAGCAAACGCATATGATTCGGACAGTGTGTATTATTTAGATAACGCATATTTCAATATGATCAGTGCTATGTTCACTTATCAGCTTTAGATTCAGTGACAAATATGAAATCGGTAGGTATATAGTTCAAGTCGAGTACTCCATACGAGGACGCCTGTGTGTATGTAATAGACAAACATACCGAGTAGTGCTTTAAAATCAAAGTGGACTTACAGACCTTTTAAGAGTTTAAAACACCGAACACGGAGTTATGTGAAACGTAAGCGTGATGTCAGACGTGTGAAGTGACGGCAACCGTTAAAGCATGGACGTGGACGACGCCATATCCCGGCTTGGACGTTATAGTAAATGGCAGCTCTTGAAGTATAATTTATTAAGTTTTGGTTTTAACTTATCTGGATCATGGCAAATGGTTGTCATCATATTTGCAGGTAAATGTATTTACTTTTTTATTCAAACATTTAATAAGTTTCTGTTTGGTTCATTAACCTGTGAAAGTGGGACACCCTCGCCACAAAAAAATGTTCCACTTAAAGGAATATTCCTTGCCAAACCATCTCTCTCCTCATATGGTAGCTATAACCATATATATGCTTGCCATGTTTAGCAAAACACGCAAAAATGTTTTGATATGGTCAAATTTGATCACTTAGAAATGTGATGCTCAATTCCAGTAAGCTGCCATCTTTTAAAATTTCACACAGGAAGTGATGTCATCGACTCTCAACTTTGCATATAGCATTAGGTGAGGAGCAATTAAGAATTACAAAACCAGCTAAATATTCTTTTTCAACTTTGTATCTTATTTAATCCTTCTGAAAATCTCTTCTTTTATTCTAAGTTGACAAGCCCTGAAAATATTTTTGCACAGAAAGTAATGATCACTTGTCTAGAAGTGATTTTGTGCTACTTTCCTATACTGTTATGGGCAAGGTTATAGAAGTTGAGAGTTGATGACATCACTTCCTGCAAGAAATCTTAAAAGATGGCAGCTCACTGGAAATAAGCACTAGATTTTTACATGATCAATATTGACCATATTAAAACATTTTCCCATGTTTTGCTAAATATGGAAACTATATATATGATTATAGCTACCATATCAAGAGAGAAAGGGTCTGGCAAGGAATATTCCTTTAACATGGAATCAATGGGCCGCATGACTTTTAAAAAGCCGTTCAGCCTGTAAGGTGTTCAACTTACAGAGTTGTTTCACTTAAAGCAGTTTCTATTGTTGTTCGTTATGCACATTACTACGATTATATATGATTTATATTCTTTGTAACATTAGCCTAATCACCATTTTCAAAATATAAAAAATCTCGAAAATGAAGGATCATATATGGATTTTCCATGTTGAAATGTTTTGTAGTATTATAAATCGGTATACACCAAGATGACAACGTTGCATTGCATTTTTTATGTCACCACCAAAAGTGGTGACATATTGTTATGGTCTCCGTTTTTTTGCGACGGCGGTTGGCGTCCGGCGGTTGGCGTCCGGCGGTTGGCGTCCGGCGGTTGGAGGTTGGCGTCCGGCGTCTGTAACAATTTCTTACAACTTCCTATAACTTAACAAATACTGTTTAGACTGACTTCAATTTTTTTCTATATCATCTACATGTTCTCAGAAGTTCAAATCTGACTTTAGATTTGACATTTGACCTTCAATGACCTTCTCAAGGTCAAAAAGGTCTTTTTTCAACTTGCTTCACATTGACTAAATTTTTTTTCAAAATCATCTACATGTTCTCAGAAATTCAAATCTGACTTTAGATTTGACATTTGACCTTTAATGACCTTCTCAAGGTCAAAAAAGGTCAAAAAGGTCTGTTTTCAAATTGCTTCAAATTGACCAAATTTTTTTTTCAAAATCATCTACATCTTTTCAGAAGTTCAAATTTGACTTTACAAGTTCTCAGAAGTTCAAATCTGACTTTAGATTTGACATTTGACCTTCAATGACCTTTTCAAGGTCAAAAAGGTCTTTTTTCAACTTGCTTCAAATTTACTTAATTTTTTTTTCAAAATCATCTACATGTTCTCAGAAGTTCAAATCTGACTTTACATTTGACCTTCAATGACCTTCTCAATGTCAAAAAAAGTCAAAGAGGTATTTTTTCAACTTGCTTCAAATTGACGAATTTTTTTTTCAAAATCATCTACATGTTCTAAGAAGTTCAAATCAAACCTTCTTAAGGTCAAAAGGTATTTTCCAACTTGCTTTAAATTGACCAAATTGTTTTAGGTGGTGACATTTTGTCATGTTAATGCCTTGTAATCTTCATTGACATGCATACCGTGACCTTGAATAAGGTCCTTATTGTATGGTCAGTACAACTACGGCATTGTAGCTTTAGTGTGGGACGTACGATCAGGTTTTGGGATATTGGGTGTTTTTTTTCTTTTTTTATGACATGGTTCTTCCCCCTCTTCATATGTATATCATATCCAAAATAGTGCATTATGTAAAATATGACATTGATTTAACTTTTTATAGGGATGGAGCCATCCCACCATTGCAAAGTGCCAGACAACTCGACAATAAATGAAACAATCCCCATGGAAACAGACGATGACGGAGTATCTTCACTGTCCAAGTGTAGCATGTACTTCAATGGCACTAATGAGACGACGAGTTGCAGTAATGGCTGGGAATACAGTATGGAATATGGACCTACAATAATAACAGAGGTGTGTAAAAAATATGTGTTACGTATATAGAGATTATCCTATATGAGGTTTGGGATATTGGGATTATCCCGAGGCCAATATAATATATCTGCCCGAGGGCCGTAGCTCCCGAGGGTAGGTATATTATATTGGCCAAGGGATAATTCAAATATCCTGAACCGACTATAGGATGATCTGTTTATCGCATACAAATCTAGGTCATTTGGTTCACATTGTGCCCGCTACGATTATGACGTAGCGGGCAGATATACTATATCTACCCGCTCGGAGCGGGGCGTAAAGCTATATCTGCCCGCTGATGAAAATATAAGTTTTTACAAACCGGCTTTATGTACCTGTAACACGTCCAAGTATGGGATAAATATAGTTCTTGCATGACGACGATTACATTTACATGTATACAGTAAGGCCCAATTTTTGGTACCTCATTTCGATCTAGTCGCGGATCGACTTCGGTGGAACCAAAAGAAAGAAGTTAAATAGCCCAACATACCCAATTCACGTGAACATTAGATTTCCTAAAACACTGAGCTAAAAAATAAAAAATATTGTTCATGTTTTTCAAATTCTTTGACCTACTCTTCAAGTTTCTATTGAAGGTGTAAAATGTTATGAGGTACAAGTAGTATATCATTTAATTGATATAGATGTGCAAACTACCTGTTTTCTTATCAATGATTTAAGTATGTTGACCCCTTGACAAAATTTATTATTAATTCAGCATTTATAATTATTCATCACATTTTATTACGCAACGGGTTTCATATATCAATGATATCAAAATAGCTCCAACTATTACCATACTACTTTGACAATTGTACTCATTAGTATTTTACATTATCTTAATGTAGTTTCTCTCTTTATGCAAAGAATGTGCTCGAATGACTTTACAACTCTCTATTGGCATCGCTTACCAGAAATGGTGGTAAACAAAATAAACGAATTATTGTATTTTCACATTATTATGGTCATGGGCTTTCAATTAGTTGAAAGCCCATGTTATGGTCTAGTTGTGTTTGACATAGCACATCGGATTGTTTCGTATTTATTTTGCGAAGACTCACAACTTTTCAAACTAAAAAATTATTTCCTTAACATGGCTCCATAGATTCTTGTGACACTTTACATTAAACAATATAAGTTTTTATTCGCAAACCGTTTGGTTATTGATCTATGATGACGTTATCAACTCAACTTTCTCTTTTTGACCAGTGTCCCTTTTTGCCCCGGTCTCCCCTATTTTCAAAAATTTGCATTTATGACACTGAAGTCTGACCCAATACAGCTAGTACCCCAGAGAACTGCACAAGTCATGGAAAATGTTGCTCATGTTTAGTGTTTACATCTGCACATGATGGAGAAGACAGTGTACTTGGCCTAGACATTCATTTTTATTTCCGTACACAATCTAAAAATACTAACACATATAAGAACAGTGTCACACTGTTATACATCTTAAATGAGTGTATCCTCAGCCTGGTCTGCAAGCCTTGGCTTCTTTATTGTATACAAGGGATAATATTTCAAAAATAACCGTGATGAGGAATAAAAAAACAGGAAATTGAGACTAGAAGCCGTGTCGTTTTACTATGAAAATGACACATGTGTATTGTAGTGATGTCAACGAGTGTGGAATTGATGCTTATATCATTGAAAGACGTTGACAGAGTATACAACAGGTGTTGCTTTTATATTACCCTTTAGCTCAGAGCCTAGAATTAATGGCTAGCCTCTGACTATGATAGTTTGTTCAGATCTTATGAACCCAAATCTAGCTCTAAGGGCCTTTGTGGAGTTCATCTTCGACTTCCAAGGCTCTCAAGTTGGAGCAACTGGGCAACTGAATCCTTGTGAATCAAGATGTATGGGGTTTGAATGTGGTTAATGTAATGACATGGCTACCTACTAATGAAGGCTCGGAAATATTGATTTGATTTTGCTCTACCTTATATGAAATCCAATAAGTGTCTCCTTTTGAAAGAGTGTAGGGGTAGTATCATATAATCAGGGTTCCCATTTTTGTACATAGATATTTTTAAACTGTCATGTTTTAGTCTTGTGATGTAAAGAACTAGTGAGTGAAAATCAGTAATAATCTTTTCAAAACGTATTCCAATGTTTCCTTTATATCTTTTGTCGACTGATGTCATGACAATGACACATTAGTCACTATAGTGTACAATATACACAAATTGACTAAAACTAGACTAACTACAAAATACACAAATTTGGAATAGGTACAGCATGACAAAATATAAAAAATATAAGTCCTGTATCACGCCTAACCATCGCGTAAGCAGGCGTCACCGTACAGCGTCAAAAAATACAGTAGTACAAATTTTTGTACGCTGACGAAAATTAACAGAGTTGAAGTAAAAACTGTAATGAGGGTTTAAAAAAATTAATCAGATGAAAATAAATACGATTTCGGGTGTAATAAAAACAACATTCTCTTAGAAATGGTTTCAACTTTCTAATTATGATAAAAGTTTTTCGAGCACTTTTCGGATTTTTTCTGACTGGATCGGCCCACATAGTCGACTCGAAAGAAAAATGTTGTTTTTCTCACTTTTTGTTTGGTTATTATTTTCCCTGTCGTCTGAGAGTATGGATAATTTTTATGAGAATATGTATTTGTTATATACACATTTTAAAACAGATGAAGATTCGGCAAATATCCATTCACTGTATATGTTTAAAAAAGATCAGATCTGTACGGTGACGCATCTGCTGTACGGTGACGATTCCTTAGAATTTATGAAGTGTAATATATGAGCTAATTAACGTAAGGTTCCATAAATTTTTATGTGGAAATTCAAATGTTGTATCCCATTCAACATTGAAAAATATCAATTCTTATGTTTCCATTCATTCCGGATAACAAGGATTAAATACTGAAACACATTCAACTCGAAGCTTGCTGTTCGAACAAGTAAAGAAGTGTCAGATCTACATGTACATTATCACTGGTAAGTATCAAGCGAAGGTTACGGCCGTCACCTTTGCATTTAAGATGGCGGACAGGAAGTATTTATTTCGATATTTTCAGTTTTCATGGAATTAACTATTTGAAAGTTGACGTTATGCTTTGATATCATTTGAACTAAACCAAGCTTTTCTCATATGACTAACAAGCATAGCCTAGAGCCATCTTCACCCCATGCAAGATATTGCATCTTTCATCCTAAAAATTCACACGTGCAAGATGAGATTTAGTTGTGACATCACTTGTTTAAAAACATCAATAACATAGCAACAAATATACTGAGTTTTTGGTTTCATGATCCTTACCATATCATACATTTCCATTAACCTTCCATTAAGCGTCACCGTACAGCTGATGCGTCGCCGCACAAATCTGATCTTTTTTAAATACACACAATGAATGGTTATTTGCTGAATCTTCGCCCGTTTTAAAATGTGTAAGTAACAAATACATATTCTTATAAAAATAATCCATAGCAGGGGGAAGAAGGAGGTACGGATTCTGGATACCTGCTTAGGAGGATGTACTCTCAGACGGTAGAAAAAATAATAACGAAACGAAATGTGGAAAAATCAACTTTTTCACTTTGGTCGATTATGTGGGCCGATTCACTCAGAAAAAATCCGGACAGTGCTCGTAAAACGTTTATTATGTTTAGAAAGTTAAAACCATTTCCAAGAGAATGCTGTTTTTATTTCACATGAAATCGTATTTGTTTTCATCAAATTATTTTTTTTAAAACCTTTGCCATAGTTTTTGCTTCAAAGCAGTCAATTTGCGTCACCGTACAGAAAACTGTACTCTGCTATTTTTTGACGCTGTATTGAGACGATGGTTAGGCGTGTGTATGTCATATTAAAACACAGTGCTGCTCATGACAAAATATTAATATATCGGTGTGATGTATCACTGACACAATATTAATGCAATTTTTTAAACGAATGATGGATGAACATAGCTATATGTAAAATAACATAATAATATCAAATATAAAAGTGATTGGAGTTCACAAGATGCAGAAGTCAACATTCATCTTGAAAAAGGGGAACGCCTGCTACTGTACATTATAATTGCTACTAGATAATCTTATCAATAACGCAGATGCGAGTAGGTAGTTTCACCACCAGGTGGCTTGTTCGGGTCAGATAGCATAGTGGGTATAGTAGAAACTTCCCTTTAACTTAAATTAAATTACAGCTTGGCTGTAGTGTTTTATACATGTATTTATTATATAGCCCATGACACTTTAATAAAATTTTACAATACAATACAATACAGTAGCAACTTGCTATCCACGGTCGTTACACCTTTTTCATTTAAATAATAGTTGTATCGACAGATCGTATCATCTTTTTGAAATTATATGCTTTCAGTGGGACTTAGTCTGTGAAAGGAATTATTATTCGGAGTTGTCTCAGTCGGTCTTCAGTGGCGGTGTGATGGTCGGCGCTGTCCTTTTTACGTGGTTAGCCGACACATTTGGAAGAAAACCAATCCATCTCTTCTGCCAGTATGTGATGGTCGTACTTGGTGTTATTATAGCATTCTCACCAGATATCACCACGTTTATTGTATTGCGCTTCTTCATAGGCGCTCTGCGAGAGGTAAGCATGGATCATTAGGGAGATTAAGTTGCACGTTTTTAAGAGAACTTATACGTGAACGTGTAGAATTATGGTATTCTGGGTAGGCCATAAGTTCTACCCTTCGTAGAATTCATTTGCCCAATTGAGTATAAAGGTAAAAGGAAAATAGTTGGAAATTAGGTCCCTGGAAAAACCAACCAAGAGGTACAAAGTAATCCCGGGGTCAAAAAATGACACGTTCACGTACAAGACAAGTTCTCTGAGCAACGTGCACGTTAACCTCCCTATTGATTTGATATAATAATAAAAATCATCTTTGAATCATAAACTACGCGCTTTAATAACGTATAGTATGGGAAAGACTGGTCTCTGAAAAACAACTGAGAGGGCAACAACAGTAATTCTGGCCCTGGAGTCTATTCATAACGCGTCCACGTCCACGTACGTCGCCAAGGATTCTTTCAATATCCAACTGAAAAATAACATGTTTTCTATGTATTCACCTTCAGGGATCAGGACTGGTAGCTATTGTGATGTGCTGCGAACTATTTCCTGCCTCGCAAAGATCCATCGCTGGGACCGCATTACAACTCCACTGGTCACTCTGCTGGATGCTCCTGGCATTGGTCGCATACTTTGTACGCACGTGGAGATATCTGCTCCTTATTACGGGACTTTCGTGCTCCTTCACAATATTTTACATCTGGTATGATTTTTTTTAATGAACCTGAACCAGAACTTCTAAATACCATCTATATACAAAATTATTTGACACAGTTTTGATACAATGCAGAGCTAAACAAAAAACGATTTAAAGTCAAAATTGTAATGGTAGCTAACGAGTCTAAATTGTATCATAGTAATAATGTTTACGTTTACTTGTAGGTTTGTAGACGAGTCGATTCCTTGGCTCGTTGCTAATGGCAAACTGGAAAAGGCAGAGAGGATTATACAAAGTGCGGCAAAATTCAATAAGATACAATATCCAAAATATGTTTTCACCAAAAGCGATGCTACTTATAAAGAGAAAAATAATGAAAATGGCATAAAGAAGCTGATTTGTTACAGTAAAAATGATAGCAAAACAGTGGACAAATCCAGTGTCAAATCTTATACAATTCTGGATATACTCAAGTCAAAGACGCTTATTTTTAACACGTTAATAATGTGTTTTCTGTGGTAAGTTATATTTATTCAACATTTGCATGCTCATTTTCAAGTTCAACCTCCAAGTTATTACGTCGACTTATTACGGATAAATGACGACCATAAACGACGGAACAATTAGCACTGTTCCACAGCTGGATGCCTTTCTGCAGTTAGCTTCATCCAAGATGGTTGGCGAAACATCTGACTGACAAGCTAACTGCAGTTAGAGTCATTCAGCTGTGGAACAGTGAATAAGCATATGACGATGTGATCAGACGATGTGGGGAACGATATTGATATGTTCAACGATCCGGATATGGTCAATAATGACAACGCGGGACACTGACGATATGGGCAATGGCGACTATTTCGGAACGATTGCGATATTGATGATATGGTCAATAATGACAACGCGGGACACTAACGATATGGGCAATAGCGACTATTTCGGAACGATTGCGATTTTGAGGATATGGCCAACGATGATGTTGACGGTAAATCGACTGAGTCAATAATGACGACTGTTACAATGAGGCCGATCTCGATAAAATGAGGAAATGAACAACATTGACGATACGGAAAATGAAGCCCTCTGATTAGTCAGCTCTTGTGCTGTGCTGTGTGCTGTATCGCTACTGAGATTGTCCCCATTGATCACCTCCGATGCAATACAGAAAATATTAGTACGGAGGGGACAATCGCAGTAGCAATACAGAGAATGAAGAATATTTCCAAGGGATTATCTCGAAAGTAAAATTCATTGGCCTTAGATCACACGATAAAAACCTTAAAGAATGATTTGAAGGGCAATACTCGACTTCGCCTCGTGCCAATACAGAAATTCTCGAGCACAATATATTCTGTATTGCACTCCAAATCATTCGATAACTTATATTTCATTTGCCATTTGAAAACAACTCTTCAGTTATGTTTTCAGGTTCGTCAACATATTAGTATACTATGGCTTATCACTACAAACAGGGTATCTAGCCGGCAATCTCTACCTCAATTTCTTCCTCAGTGGGCTTGTCGAGGTTCCTGCATATTTAGCAGTCACGTTTTCTCTAAATAGGTTAGTTGTATTCAAGGGACTTTGGTTGTATAGAAGGGATCCACCATCCCAACATAGAGCATTAAAGTTTACTAAAGTTACATGTCAAAATTCGTCCATATTTGTTCTCTAGCAAGCTACAAATGTATTTTCTGAAACTTTAATTCAAAAAGTGTTTTAAAAGTCAAATACTAATAATGTTCGAAGTTTTGAAGCATGGACCGTGTAAGGTTCATTTGTGATGTTTGGCAAATACTCACCTTGACATTTACCTTGATCGATCACGAGTGAACTTATCATTTGGACGTGTACATAACATCATCAAAGTAAATATGAGTTAATCAAATGGGTACATTTTAATATCAGTAACGTAACCTCTCCTCCATATATTTGATAACCATAGTTCCCCCAATGGACTAAGTTCTTGGGGATGATCTTCTCCCAATGGCTGGAGAGGCCACAGAAAAAACTATATCATTTTGAGTCAGCTGCTTTGATTATAAACTGGCATCATATAATCCACCCCTCCCTATTCCCCATTCTCATGAGGGGATAGAGCTCTTACATATAACATGGAGGTTTTATTGTAGATATGGTAGGCGTTGGCCAGTATGTATCTTTCACATCATGGCTGGTCTATTTCTCATTGCTACCATTCTTATTCCGAAAAAATCAGGTAAGTCACATCTATAAACATTGATAGTTTCACCGCAGAAAGAGACTTTCGCACATAGCTATGCAAGGTGTGTCAAAATCCAGCCAATCAGAACACGGTATTTCACGTAACTGCATTCCGGTATATAACCAATAACGAGCTCAATGTCACTAGTTAAACGGTTATGATACATTGCCAGTTTGGCCCTTGCAAAAAGTTTCATTAAAATATGTTCTTTTAGTGATTTCTTATCTTTTAGATGATTTTGTAGAAAATATTTTGCAATGTGTGAAATGAATTTAAGCCCAAGACTAAATGCATTGACGTGTCGCAAAAAGGTGGCGCATTTGTTTTTTAAGGGTATCGCGTGAATGTAACTTTGATTCCCCGGAATATAAGATAATATTCTAATTAAAGTTATATATCATTTTAAAGCTGTTTCGATGAAGATTTTAGATCAACTACACTCCGTTCACATTTTTGCGCGTTCGTTTTTAAAAAAGAGTTTTTTACCAAAACATCTGGCAAATATCCCATGTTGACACGTTACATTTTGAATTATTTTTCGTCTTTAAACGCTCATAACTCAAACAATATATGACTATTATACTTATTTTTCGTCTTGATAAAGGTAGATGGAAGTTTTATTTCAAAGGATGAATTTTAGTAAGCGTCCCATATTGTGACGTCATCGAGTCTGAAAAATAGAATATGTTGACAGTGACCTTTTTTGCTCATTTTTTGGTACCTTCAACTTTTCAGGTGTACATTAAACAAAAAATACGAGATCAATTTTTAATAAATCATACATGATTATTTTGCTCCTAAACTCTAGTTTATTAATAATTAGTTGATTTTGTTCACAAAAGTATGTGTTTTCTGTTGTATGTGGAAAAGTGGAGGACGAAAGGTTTTCAAAATTCATTAAAATAGGGCTAATTTACGCCATTCGCCTATTTTCGAGCACAGCAACACGTATATTTATTTCACCTAAAATATCAATTGATTCGTGTTTTATGATGCTCCTAGCCCATTAACAATATATATATGATATCAGAGTTATTCGTCTAAAATGTTTTGAGATATAGATGTAAATGTGGAGGACGAAAGGATTTTCATGTGTGTACATTTTTCTCAAAAACGTCACATTCTATCATGTTAAAAGCGAGAATCCTCTGGATTACGCCACAAAATGTGTAACAATGCGTGCGCGAGCTTTTTGCGACCCGTCATTGTGTAATGACCATTCCTTTCAGGCGTTGTTTCCCAAAATTAACACTCGATGCTCCGCATCTCGTGCAAATTTTAGAAAGCAACACTTCAAGGAATTCCACATTGCACTGCGTCCAGGGCTTATATTCTAAAATGAAACTGTAACGTTGTTCTTTGTCTTCGATTTGGATTGTAGAAATAATTTTATAAGACATCTACTATTAAATATAGTCTATCAAATTCATACAATGTTCTCTTTTATACTTATTTAAATTAGCATCTGGTACGGACCTATCTGCGTTGGTAACGACTTTCTCTATGATTGGCAAGTTTGCAATCACAGCCTCATTTGCAGCAGTTGTTCTCTTTAGTCCTGAGATTTACCCTACCAACTTAAGAAATTTTGGATTTGGAATGGGCTCCTTCGTTGGTCGAATAGCGGGGATTATAGCTCCGTTTTCAGCCTACATGGTAAAACATTTTACATTGTGTTTGAGGTCTTTGTCATTGATCAGTATTAAACACTAAAGTGATAAACGCTCTTTACAGGTCGTGATAAATCCATTTCGTTTTTTGATAACTGCGAGTTATATTTTCTCAAGGCAAAAACTGTTCCTTGGGTACCTGCAACAGTATTTGGCGTTCTCTCTATTGTGGTCGGGTTAATGACACTGCTACTCCCGGAGACGCTGGGAAGACCACTACCTCAGACAATAGAGGAGGTTGAGACGTGGACAAGGACTCTATCGCCTGAAGAGGTGCTTAGATGGAAAGAGACACAGGAGAGACAAAGGAACATTCACCATGTTGAAAGTTTTGTCGCCAATGGCGACTTGGCCATGGAACTTTCTACTCCGCTTAAAACCTGATTCATTTTTGTATTGATGGAACAAGGTGATTCAGAAAGGGGAACATAAATCAAAATTTACACGCACATGCGTGTAATGAGACCTGTGTAATCTTTGGCGTCGGTTTGTCAAGACTGACGTTCAAAAGCAAAGGAATCAAAGCATGTACTTGTAGTACAGGGTTGGCCAGAAAACTCCTCAATTTATCTCACTTCAAGAACAATTGTAAAATTGATTGATGCATATCCTGTCAAGATTTTACTAGTGAAATCCATGCATTTTCAGTTATATCGAAATAAAAAATGGTGACGTTTTTGGCCCACCCTGTATGTTACGGTTACTGAACTTACTAGTACATACAATTAATATAAGGCTAATATTTAACATATAACAATATTATAAATATATGGTACTAAAATATGACTTACTTTCGTTACGTTATTCTTTTATGTAGTAAAGGAGTAGTATCGATATGGTGAACTTTTTGAACACGCGTTTCTCTTAAACCAGTCATCAAAACATTCTGAAAATTTTACACATTGTCAATTTAATGGCGGTCATCTTTTGGTAACATTATAATTTGAAATATATATGTATATAATTTTCTCTATATTGTTTTAGAAACCACACCAAACACTTCTCTTTTTCTTGATATCATATGTTCGGAATGAAATGAAACATCTATCCGAACCTCATTGGAACAAAACGACATAAACACAACGTGTTTATAGGTCTCTCAATATTGTAATTGTACAAAAGAAAGTTTGGTTGATTTTAAAAAAGTATATCTTGTTAATGAAATAAAAGGTTTATCTTAATTTTTATCTATTTAAGTTTTTGCACATTTTTTGTTTAAAATCAACCAAAATTTCCTTTGTATAATTATAATATTGAGAGGGATAAGAAAATGTTATTTTGTTCCAACAAGGTTCGGAAAGACATTTCATTTTATTCTCAAGAATTGGTAGAAAGGAACAAAAAACAATTGCACTAAAAAACAGTTATTAGAAATATTCGAAATATTAGAAATATAGTACTATATAAATGATTTTTGCAATAGATTGTTGCCAATCAGTCAACATTACATAAAGGATCATATTTTTTTTAATGTTTTCAATAATTGATTTAAGAGAAAACATTGTTGAATTCAGTTCACCATATCGATACCTATCCTTTAAACATAATAGTAATTGTAATTGTACCCAGCCTAGCCTAGCCTTCATTGGTCTACTTAGTAAGATTTCAACCATATTTTCACTTCTCAGTTTTTCTGAAGTAGTACGCGTGCACAAGGGTTGATCAATAAGGCATGGAAGTTTTAATTTTAAACAGTAAATATACCACCTTCATAAAAATTGCATGATGCTGTTTCTTTAGTATGAAGAAAAGATAGATATTGGTGGAATGGTTTCAATGGTATTTTCACCCTGCTATAGCATGACGGTTATACCACCTCTGAAAACGAGGTTGGACGGCTACGTTCACTGATTTGTCCAATAAAATGGACGCGATGGAACGGAAAACTTAGGTTGGTGCATTATTTTCTACTACTGTGTATCAATGAAAGGATGAACGATTTATGTAAGCATCGCATTCGGTGATGCATTTAGAAATGTATATTTTGGACGTAGCCTTTGCAAATTGATGCCCGGGGATAACATGAAATAAGCGAAAAGCTGTTGAGTTCAAAACTACACAAAATTTAGTTATTTCTTTATTTTTGTCGTTGGGGCGGTGTCTACATTTCCTAACGACCTCGGGGTATAGAGATGTAACCTACATACGATCATAAAAAGCCAATTGAGCATTGGAAACCACCTAATGTGTTCTACTCAAGCCATTATAATGTATTTTGATGGACGGTTACGCGAACCTCGTTCAAATATTATGTATCCCCGATTCATTGTTATTAATTTTGTCATATTCATCAGTACTTGATGCTAATTCGTCTTTTGCCTCTTCATAGCTATCTTTTTTACTTTCATTGGTTTCATAAATAAAGCAAGACACAATTTTTTCCTCGCCCTATAGAGGCTCAAACAAGAGCGTCTCCTGCGAGTCCTGAAAACAAATATAAGCAATTCAATATTCCATTTCTTACCCATTATAACAATAATATGGAAAGAGGCTATCAGCAACATTGCAACCTTGACTTGAAAGATGTACATGCATGTAACCGTCCGCTAAATATCTAATGTACATCTAATACAATACGTTACCATCCATAGAATCCATACGTAGTCGTCTAACGACATTGCGTTTGAAACCTTATTATTTACAATATACACCACGTTCCTGTTCTGGATTTGTCATTTCATGGCTTGTTTATACACAGTTTACTTACATTTAATAGTTTGAGTGGCTCTGAGGCACATATACTGAGAAAATACGAGAATGGATTAAAAATTATGAACTTGGATATCTCAATCGGTAAGTTTACAGCCTTATATTCTGCTTCTTGTAAACAACGACCTGGCAGATTTGACCCAGTCTTTATAACCATCCATATATACGTCACCGAATGGAACTAGTTGAAAAGGAAATCTTATCTGTGAATCTTGCCTACAGGCGAGAAATAGGACATGCAGTATTTCCCATCCGCCATTTTTTGTTATCGTTACCGCAAAATTTTGCAAATCGCCCTGACGTAACCGTAATGCTATAACACCGTGGTTTTGTGTAGTATAATCTATTAACTAATAAAAATGCATAAACTTTCTTCAAATGTTGCTATTTGGCATTCAGATACTCATAGCATCTTTCTATTTCACCTGAAACATGCTTTGATATTATGAGACATATTTTGAGATCTGAACACATCAGAAGAGAAGAGTTATAATTGTCAATAAGTGTGATAGTTATCATGTTATCATTTACCTAATGTCATCAGCAATAGTACTAAGTACCCTAGGTCTATGGACAATGGAAGCTCAGATTAACAAAGCCAAATTATCCTTCCTTCACAGATTATGTACGTCAAATCCCAATTCCATCATAAAAACGATTCTACTGATCAGAATAAGTTCTTGGCTATTAAACATCTATGACACACATTTAGGGTTCATACCAGATATTATTGAAGTGTTGTCAAAGTATGAAGTACTTTATGAAATATTCTCAGGCTATCTTCAATCTTTTACATTCCCCTCGAAGGCCAAATGGAAAAGCTATGTGAATGCTCAAATCAATATTAACGAAACTGGAAACTGGCAACGCTTGCTCTCCAATAATACAAAATTAAACAGATTTGCGCAAATTCAGACTGAACTTAAACCAGCAATACATTGGGTAGCTGGCAGGAAATATCCTCTTAAAACATGGGCATTTGCAATACTTCTACATTTGGCTTCAAGGGAACTTCCAGATGACGATTTCAATACGCAATGTCTGAGGTGCGGTAGAACCACCAATGATACTGTCAAACACATGATAGTAGAATGTCAATTTTTAATTGCATTAAGAAATGAAATGTATGAAAATATTATAAATAGCATCTCTGTGCGTCAGTCATGTGAACTCCTAAACAGTGAAGATGACATAATCCTAGAATTTCTCCTTGGAGGACGCTCCGATATTTTGCATACAATTGATGATGCCACATCAATAAAATTGCTTAACATATGTGCAACATACATCAATATGATGATGTACAGATTCACCAACACTTGTTTAGAATAAGACTGCACAGGTAGTACAGATCATCTACCTATATTTTTAAAAGAAAGTCACACATCTGTACATACTATGATACTATAAATAGTTTTCTTATATAATTTTATTTTGATATAATGTAAATTGCTGCTTATTAATGTTGTAAATCTTCATAATGAAGGAAATAAATCAATACAATACAATACAATAATGTCAATACATTACAGTATAGGCATTGTATCTAATAGCAGGTATTAGAACAGGCACATGTACACAAGTTTTATGACCCCAATAAGATGAGATGGCTGGGATGAAAGATCTCAAAAATTCTCAATTTGGGCTCTCCTGGATCGCCAAATCAAGCATATTATATCATGGCATCTCAGGCCTCAGATGAAATGAGATGTCATGGTTTATCATGATGGCTATTGGACTTCTGTAGTTCACTTAGTTTTTATGTCATGTACACCCAGATTTATTTTCAAGATCATGATGACAAATTGATTTAAAGGAACTGAGGTAATAATGAATAATAATGTGATTCGCATGAACGTTTATTTCCATCCTTGGGTGGTGTTTAATATAGAAGCGCAACAATCTGTCTAAATATTTTTGATTTTCCGACCTTATATACTTATAATCACTGCGTATAATGGAACCTTGGAGTTATGCCTTTGTCAGAGATCAAAAGCATATTGTACTACATTTTAGATGGATTTGATGCATGGTCAGAGTAGTGCATTTGGTAGAACATGGCTCTTAAACATGATGAAATTGACACACTGCAATTTTTAGAGTATCATAACATGACAGCGAATACACGTCAGAAACTGGTGTAGGGGTTGAATTAAAAGTTGATCAATTTCGCTAAAAAGTCAGATACATTCTCAAGATCCGTGTTACTCAAGACCATGTTCAAATTTATTGACTGATCCACGAAACATGGCCTTTGTATTTTGAACTTATAAAACTTAGAACTTTGGCTGCCTTTTTGGACTGCCCGCGGTGCAAGTCAATTGCGTAATATTCAATATTTTTTCTCCCTGACGAAAAATAACAAATTATGTTGAGGAATAGCAATACTGTCATAGAAGTTGAATATTATTATCTATCATACTCGTAAACTAGATACTCGGTCCCAAGATGAACTTTATAGATATGGAATGACCAAATTGTTTCACGCCAGGCAACAGAATATCGAGTTTGAATTTTGGTTTCCAATCCTGCTTGACATGTAACACATTTAAAATCATGTTACATCGATTGTATTTTATTACAAAACAAGTGGTAGATCAGCCCAGGCTTCATCTTCTATATGATTCTCAAGTTAAGCATCAATTTACACAAAATAAATTTGTAAATTGTACATAATACTACATATTATATATTCCATCACCAGTGACGTACATCTACGCTTGACAGGGTGGGTCCGTTGGAGGCCTCTCTTCGGGTCTACCACAAGGGGCGCATACCTCAACTGCTGGTCTGCAGTACCCTACTGAGGGGTCAAACGTCTGCTCTGAAATTTTAATATCAAGCGTGTAATTACTAATGTTATTTTCAAGGGGCAATTATAATTAGCCTTCTTTTTGTGAGCATGGGCCTATTTGGTTATTTTTGATTTATGCAAGAGGGAGGTTTAGCTACACATTTTTGAGAGAACTTGTACGCGAACGTGTAATATTAGGACCCTTAGGCGAATAAATACTACAAAGGGGAGAATAAATAATTATTATGTACCATTTGATATGTAGGCTTGTATATACAATATGCCAAACAAGTATTAATACATTGTCAATGACATGTCATCACAATGTTTGAGGTAATACAAAATACAGAACTACAGATACTGCCCCTTTAAACCACAATAGATCAATCAAGTAAATCATTTCTTCTATTGGTTATTTTTATTGGTTATAATTTGTTACTTTTATATTGCAGTTTCAGGGCAAAAAAGATACCTGCAAAGCATGGCATCATTTTAGACAATATACCCGTGTACTTGGTACACCAAGAGGGGTCAGAATTCATGGACATGTCTATTACCTTCTCCTCTCTCTTGATCCGGACATGTTGCCATGGCAGTGAGGCTTCCACCTGCGCATGTGTAGTAGGTTCTACAGTAGTCAAGGTCACTCGGGTAGTTTCCATTAGCAACCCCCGTACAATTGGGGTTCCAGTTACATGGGGGTCCAAGTGTAACAGGGCTAAATGTAATTTTCGACATCACCTTAATCAGCTGATTGGTCAAGTGGGCAAAAATAATCATTTTTAACATATTCACTCTTTAGCAATGAAGAGTATCTTAAGTGTTCAGGACTCGTGAATTGAGTTCAAAAGATTAAGACTCAACATCATCTTCACTTTTAAACATTTTGAACAGTCACTGGCGGATCCGGGGGCGCCATGGCCTCAAAAAGTGTCTTTTGGGCATAATTTGGCCTTTTTAAGCCAAATTATCAAAAATGGACCTTACATTTTCAAAGTTTGGGGTTTGGGGGCCCAACATTTTTTCTTGACTCAAAATTTGGCCCCAACCCCCTTGTTAGCTTCTGGATCCGCCAGTGACAGAGCTTGTCCCTTTTAAACTTACATTTTAATGATAATTTTCTCTTTTTATACATTTGAATGAATGGAAATCAAAAGTACTCACTCTACACAGTTATTATCGGCATCTAGTTTTCGCCCTGGTGGACATGAAACGGTGATGGTTTGTCCAGATTCACAGGCTCTGTAACTGGTACACGTGTAATCTCTGTCACAGAACCTAGACTCGTTATCTGCGCATGTGCACGCGTCTCCTGAAAAAATAAATTATACCATCTGTGATATCAAACCTACAAATGCACGAGTCCCACACTTAATGCAACTTCTATCTACGAGCACTTGTGTTGCTTAACAACAAGACATTTTGCAAAAATTACATAGGTAAATGTTTTGAGATACAGGCTATGCGATCATTTTCCTCTCACCAAACATACAAACTCAAATGGCTGTTGGAGACCATCACCTCCCGATAAGTTTATCAAACAGAGCCATAGTTCTTACTTTTCGGGAATTTGCACAAATAGCCGGCATAGTATGTGTCGCAATTCTTATCGTCCCATTTGCCTATCTCACTTTGCCACCACGCTGTACAATGTTGATTTCCTCCACTCGGTTGTCCATCGCCCCAGGCAGCTTGCCTACAAGAACACATGGAAGATCACAACATGTTTGCACTTTGAATCCATTATAATTTCACCAATTTATAACATATCTGAATCTTTTGGGAGGTATGGTATTGTAAGGAAAAGATTGGTAGGTCAATTGTACAGGTTGCTTATAATTTTAAATTTGTCACTCCATAGATAGTAAAAGCTGCCAACGTTGATATACTAATATGTAACTAACCAAAGTGGACAACACACAGGACTATACAAAACCCTCCTAAGCTTGATGATGATGTTGATACGAACTGAAAATGACTCACGCTACGGACGCGTTCCATGGTGTTCCGTCCAACCAATGGTAGGTTCCATTCTGAGCCCTCTCTGCAGTCCCTCCAAGCCAATGTGCTTCAACATAGTGCGTTTCAGCCAAGAAGTTCTGAAATATACATATGGTACAACGAAAATAAGGCTCTCACTCACATCTCTTCTTTTCACATTTTCTGCTAAAAGACTTACTGGTGGAAGATTGAATACAGTACAAATATATTCACTTGTCCTGTTTTCTCGGCAATGAGTCTATTAAAATAGCTGGGATAACAGTTAAACCCTCACTGACTTGCGCTAGTTATGCCAAATAAAATAAGGATATGGGAACAACAATCCCTATACACAAACTTACATATTCCTCAATCGTTCCAACACTAGCAAGATCTCCCCCAGCGTTAAGACATTGTTGCCGTGCTTCCCAAAAATTGTGTACACCGTCTGCCAAGATGCTCCATTGATAGCAAAACGCGCCAAATGACTCCTGATTATTTTCACATTCTTGGCCTAACGCTGATAGAAAAAGGAATAAAATTTGGCCAAATCTCTACTCTCGGAACATGGAAATAATTTGCATGGGGCCAGGCTTCATATTGTTTGTTTCAAAAGTATCTTAATTTCAATTGTAAAGGTCCATTCTAATCCCGGGATTCTGGTAAATTAGTTTCTATTTCTCTTATGCTTGAAACTCCAAAAAGTCATGGGAAAGTCCAGAGAAAATAAATCGATGGCTATGCTTAGATATTGAAGATGAGAATATCTCCTTCTTATACTTTAAGACTGTTTTCAAACAAACCCTCTTCTTGAAAAGTTTACTCTTTTCGGTGAAAACTTTGTACTCCTCAAAAATATGGAAAATGTGTTTAAAATGTTTTTGAGTTTTTTTTTATAGAATATCGGATGCATGGTATAAATTGATATTATAAAGAGAATGGTGCATTGTTTCGTTCAAAACATGTGTCTATTGTAATAGGCAGTCTGCAGAATCACAACAACAATCCAACTGGGTCAACTTTTGCAAGATTTTCTGCCACCCACTCGGCGACCAGAAACACTGCTTTTTCCCTGACCTGAAATATATTGAAATCCAGATAGACTTTGACTGGACTGCACTCGTTTTACCCGCAAAAAACTGCCAGACTTACCGGACCCCAAGAATAAGCCAAGGAGTATAAAGCTGTTCATTGTCATGTTTTTTGTTCACTATGCGCCCCCAACTGATACGGATTGGTTCAGATACACACCTTTTGTATGTCTTCGCTGGACCAATCAGCATCTGATAAGTTGTGAGAAAGGTCCATCGTCAATTGACACAGTGACAAATGAAACAAAGATAACTTTCTTTGCCCTAATTTTTGTGTTTTTATTTTGACTATGTCGAGGTTGGGAAAATGGCACCTGACTTCAAAATTCTGATTTCTTCAAATACTATACACACGGTGGTACATAGATGCCGTGTCAATAAAGGGGTAACTTTATATCAATGCATGGTCCCTATCACAGCGTATGGTAAATGTACTGTGTGAAGATTCAATATGTCACTGTATGGTGACTGTATGCAACTGTATGGTCGCTGTATACCAATGCATTGTCACTGTATGTTTGTGAATTGTCGCTGTTTTCCAATGTATGTCCTTGTATGGTTACTGTATTCCAGTGTATGGTGGCCGTATGTCAGTGTATGGTGACTGTATTCCAGTGTATGGTGGCCGTATGTCAGTGTATGGTCACTGTATACCAATGCATTGTCACTGTATGTTTGTGAATAACCCAAATGCGAGTAGAAATAACCTTGATTAATGTCATTAAAAATTCAAAATTCAATCAAAGTAATATCATATTCGAAATCTACATGTAAAATTGCATCTAGAAATGTGGTTTTAAAAAGTGTTTATCAACTTTGAAAAATTAATTTTCTTTGAAAATGGGACTTCTAGCTCGGGGAGATTCCCCATAGACCCCATGCTATAAAATCACAAAAAATGAAATATCTTTTAGTGGACAGATAATATTTTGCTTTACTGGACATATTTTCATTAGTATAAGTATCAGACACATAAGGGTTATATGAAAATTGAGCCACTTAAATTGATAATATTGAAGTTTAAGGGAACTTTCTTATATACCTGCCATGTTAATTGACCCGAATCAGCCACCTGGTGGTGAAACTGGTAACTACCTACTCGCATTTGGGTAATTGTCGCTGCATTCCAATGTATGTCAGTGTATGGTGACTGTATTCTAGTGTATGGTGGCCTTATGTCAGTGTATGATGACTGTATTCCAGTGTATGGTGGCTGTATCATCCCAGGATCAACTAAAATGCTCAACCTGTCACATCATCACTGACGGTGGTTCGGGGAAGCTTGGGCACTAGACTAGTCTCCCAGGTTCCAAAAACGAGACTACTCACCATTTGATACAGATTGCATGACTTAATGCGTGTTCATAATGGGCGATGTCTTCAGACATGGTCTAAGTCACCACTCCCAAAGTAACAATATAATTAATATCAACCACACAACACTTTCGGCGACAACCCGATACCTACTCGAATTACAACTACCCTCCCCTTGAGTTAGAAATAACATATATCAAGTGAATTTATATTGTAAAAATAAGTTATTTTAGGTGGTTGCTGGGCAAATATATGATATCACAAGAACAATCAAACCCCTAAGATAAGACCTCATCTTCGGGTCCAAGTTTGGTTCTTCAACTTCCATTTTCCATTGGTGAATTATAGTGAGATAAGGAGTTTGAAATTCGAATTTTCTATTAACATTGTGTTAGATAAGGGGTAACCTTTGTAATCTCAATTATTTTTCTAAAAAGTTCTTAAAAAAGGACACGATTCTTAAAATATCTTTTCAAACAGAAAACTATAAAAAAATCAATAACAAACTTTAGCATGGAAACGCAAGATCATTTACGATCGGGCTAATAAACAGAGCCTATAAACTCCATTCCATTGTTTAGTTTCATGATTTTGATGTGTTTAGTTTAGCATAAGTTTTCATAAAACATGTCAGTACTCTTTTATGAGAGTGAAACGGAATAGGTGATATAATCGTTTAAGTTGAAGGTTCAACGTCGCATTTGCAATTCCTTACAACTACCTGACTACTAACATGAAATGGTCATAAAAGATGCGGTTGCAACGACCCTTATACCTTTGCATCATGTAAACACAGCCTCTGCCCATTGTAATTTCATTTTACAATGTCCTTGATACAATAGTAATATTAAACAGACTAGAACTACACAGCCTTTAGCTGATTTCCTGATATTAACCTGAAAAAACATGCAGGCAGTTATATCAGTAAATATTTTGATCATCCTTTTTGGACAAAGGGCTGAACTTGCAAAAACTCGACCAAAGAGGCTCTTTAAACATGTGATCCACATCGGAGTAGATGGTTTAAAGCCTGGTTGTATTGCGAACGCTACGGGAGGAGCGCCAACCTTTCGAAAACTCGGTGAAGATGGCTCCTGGACACATACGAAGGCACGCACGGTGATCCAGACGTCGTCAGGTCCCGCATGGACAGCAGCATTGTGCGGTTTAAGTCCCAGGATGAGTGGGGTCAGGAATAATCACTGGAAGGTACCTTGGATCAAGTCTCTTAACTTTACTCCTCAAATCCCTCCAATAACAGGACTCGATGAACCATTTCCGTGCATCTTTGAGACGATTAAAAAACAAGACAAAGATGTTCAAACTGCATTTTTCTTCAGTTGGACATGGTTCCAAAATCTTGGTAATACCGGGATACGTGGTAACTACATAGACCATGAGGTAGATGTTGGCTATGGTAGTACACGCGCTGAATACAGAGAGTCAGATGAATTAGTTGCAGGAAATGCAACAGAATACATCAAAAATGTTCTCCGTAAAAAGGCAAAGAGTTACTCCTTTATATATCTCAACTTTATCGACGAGACGGGTCATTTATCTCGCTGGTGTAGTCAAGAATATGAAGATGCTGTCGGAGTCGTAGATAACCTTGTTGGAGATATCGTTGAAGCTATTGAAACAACTCCTGAACTTAAAGATGACACTATGATAATCGTACATTCAGATCACGGGGCAATATTCAACGACAGTGGACATCAATTTAAAGAATCGATCGAAGCTTTACTAATTCCTGTATATCTGACTGGATCTGGTATAAAGAAAGCATACGAGATGCAGAAGAACATATGGATAGAGGATATGCCTCAAACTGTCATGTTTGCTTTGGGCCTCAATCCCCATGATGTTTGGAGAGGGAAACCAATGGAAGAGGCGTTTGAAACAGAAGTAATTGATTTATGCCCCAGTTGTGGATGGCTTTCACATTCCAAATGGACATGGATAATTATACTGACTGGAAGCCTTCTGCTATTGAATGTTTAATCCCCGGAGCTTAATCATGTGAAGCATTTTAGGTACTAATTATCAGTACTAATTATCACTGGCGGATCCAGAAGCTAGCAAGGGGCCCACATCTCGAGTCCCCCCGCCTCCCTGGATCCGCCAGTGCAAAAGAGACTGTATACATTTTGCAATATAATAGATACAATTTAAATTGCAAAGTAAAAGTGAAGATTCTACAGAAATAGAGGGGAATGATGTGATTTACAACAAATGCTGCAGATTTATTTTTTCATTTTAAGTTTACCAGTTGAATAAATTGCTAAATAAATAGCTGCATAGCTGTAAAATTTTTATATATTTCAGATAAATTAGTTTTATGATTAATAAACACGTTGTCTTGTAATTTAGGGAGTGTCGGCCGCTTTGATAATTTTTCGAAAATAGCTTATCAGAGAAGCACCAAATACAAGATGCCACACATTTGTTAGTCAAATCAAAGACTATCCAAAATGTACTTGTAACGTTTTACATTGTCTGATTTAGTTTTCTTATTCCGTCGACATGACAGAATGTGATCTATGATGCTTCCTTTAGTATAATTTGATTGTAATCTGGAATGAATATTCTCTAATGGTTTGAAAGATGTTGTTCGAGTTTTTGTTTATTTTGTTTATATCATTTGCCATTACACGTCGCACGAAACTGGGGACAATTAGAGTAACATTATGGCGTCAAAATACCAAAACAATACAATGGGCAGTATAGGGCGCAATCAGCATTATAACGTCAAAAACGACAAGTGTTACATTTTGTCAAGTTTAGTCAACCTAAAAATAAGATGCTCTATTCTTATTCAATCCTGGTAAAATTCACAGAGCAACAAGATCTCGAGGACAATATTTCTAAAATGTTTTTTATTTTTGAAAAACTGTCAGGAAATCCACTCGGAGCGTTAGTAAAAATTGATGTGTATTGGATTTGTGGTAAAAAATCGATGCGTTACATTTTTTCAAGTCTCTAAAAGCTACTCGTATTCTCTTATTATTTGAAAAATAAAGAAATCGGTTATTGTTTTGTAAATTTCGCCATGACAATATTGTGCAGTTAAATTTTTTTTTAAATCAGACCTAAATTAGAAGGTTAAATAATGGTAAACTTATTGCTTGTCTCCTTCGCCTTCAAAACCTTTAGGCCAGTCAATTGGTGAAAAAAAACAGCCTAACCTAGGACAAATTGCAATAGTTTGCAAACTTAGTTTAAATTGTCGATCAATATTCACCTTATATCATATCAAAAATATAGGAAAATATAATTAGTGGACAAATGTCAAATTTTACTTCATAGGTACCCCCTACGACCCACCCTTAAATTTGACTATTTGTTTAAAAAAAAATTATTATCTATAATTGAATAGTTTTTTCAAGTTTTCTTGTTATATTATGATAATAGAATGACAAAACATAAATTTTTACCTAAGTAAACTTTTATTTGAGGCTTAGAATTTTTTGTTTCACCCTCGACGACCCCAAATGAGTCATTAAATGATTGACATTTCATGTATCTTTTCTTATATTTCTAGACTGGTGCATTCCAAAATGATTAAAAAAATCATGGTGATACATGTATATATGGACATAACATATATGGGATACCAGTATCATCAATGGCATATTGGGGAAGAAAAAAAATATATAAGTTTTACATTTTCGCCCCACCCACTTTTGGGGTGACCTTACTTTTGCTAAATAATTTTCAAACTATGCAGTATTTCCTAACAATTCTACAACTTAAAGAATGATTTGGACATATTTCATCCAATATTAACTTTCATTAGAGTTTGGGACTCCTGTTTTGGACAAAATTATAACTGCAATTTGAAAAATCTGGAAAATGGGGGGGGGGGTATTTTGTAAGGCTAATACTGTATGTTTTGACATATATTTATATCAAACCAAATCAAATGTGCCAATTATGGGCCATTGCACTTATTTATGTGCTTATGTGAAGGTATAATAGTGTATTTGTTTAAAATGGAAGTACAATAACTGATTTAGAAAGATTTGTGAAATCTTAAAATACTATTATCTCAGACTGCTACAGGGCATTGCAGATTTTGGACTTCAAGAGAGATTACGGTTGGCAATTAGTCATCGTTATTTATATTTGCACATATTCCTCTACATTCACCACATGCCATGGAACAGTCCATTCCATTCTTTCGACATGTGCAATGCATTGTTGTGCAACCTGTCTTACAATTACATGTACATTTGATCACTTCTAAGAGTGAAGAAGGTCCTGCCGGTAAAGTTGTAGCAACTGGGAGATAGTGGCCATTGTTCATTTCCCATCCCCATTCTTCTGGTGGAAGATTTACCCCCATCCATGCTTGTACTTGATGATATACCCTTAGGCTGTGGTGCTTTGCAGCATCAGATGTCGGTGGAAGCACTTTTGGATGAACAGACTCTTGACTAGAGGCAGCTTTCTCATGAAACTTTTGTAATCTCAATTTGTTTAAGGTTTGCCCAAGCTTACCTCCTAATAATGATACAAAGGCAGCTTCTCCTTCTTTTGATATCATGTTTTGTGTGGCATCATGCAATTTAAATGTACAAGCACTTTTCTGAAAGACATCAGATTTCTTTATCTGCCTTTCTGAGACCCGTTTCCCAACTCCAAATAGCCTTGATGTAGTATCACAGCCAAGAAACACATTAATGAATAGGATGTTGCTGCACACTATGTCACCTAAAGATAGTCTTGTATCTTTGATGTTCCATATTTTGGTTTTGTGTGTGGATTGCTTTGGTTCAGGCTTGAAGAATATGTTGTGTTCAATGTTGTGGGCGCGATGAATAAGCAGCACAAGGAGAATGGTCTCAGAAGTTGCAGCACATTCAATTGCAGTCTCTACAATGAGAAGGTCTGCATCTGCTCTGCAGGGAAAACCTCAACCAATGGATTCTAGTCGCTCTGACAGCAGAAAAATAAAATGCTGCTTGTTTGTTTGATTCATTAAGAAATCTTCTTTCTTACATTGGAGTTTCATTGTGTTAATAAATTGGATTACAGTCCTGGTGTTCCCTCCATTTCTACGAAGATGAGTTGCATCTTTTGTCCTAGGGCAATTTTTTGGAACCCATCAAATACTATTTTAGCATTTTGGTACCTCAACTGCACATAGTATACATATTGGCTTAAAATGTTCTCCTATGTAAAACCTTTTTGCCAAGGAATGTGATGAAGAACGGCGCCTCCATCAATCACATGTTGAACATCTTTGTCACTTGGCTCTTGTAAGGAAGATATTTTTGGTGTCCACAATGCTTCTGCCAGTTGTGATTCTACCGCTGGTCTCATTACACCTTTTGATTCAAACAAAGCCGGTGGAAAGGAACAAAGCTCATAACCTAGAGCCTCTGACAAATCAAAAGATCGTGTACCAGCTATGGTAAGGCGTTGAAAAAGCAAAATAGGATCTATGTGTATTTCTTCATTGTTAACCTTGACTGCAGTTTTTGATCCCATGGTCACAGCTTGGCTTTTTCTTTTGAAAGAACACTCAGATACCCTTTTCCCAATCATAGATGCCACAATCACGTTGCCTAATTATTTTGCATCATATGCATTGACAGAAGAAGCTGCAACTCCTGTTGCGATGTTACGTAATGATTGTTCAGGAAAAAGGGATTTCTTTCAACAAGGTATTTCAGGATACATTTAGCATCTGTTACATCTTTGGTGATTCTTGTTGGTGTTGCATCTTTATGCCGCTCACTTGTGGCATATGTTATATCAGTGAGTTCTTGCATTGCACTGCTTATCTCTCAACATGCAGGTGAGGAAAGAATCCACACCAGACGCTGAACTTCAGCCATACCCCGGCCTCTCGTGAGACCTCCTGTTGACTTGATGTTTCGCATTAGGCATTGCTCAACTATGAGATCTGCAGATAGTCCTGCCCTTGACCTCACTACAACTAAATCTTACTAGCTGGGGCTGCTGTGACCTATCTGATCGACGAATGACATGTAGCCCATTCATAAAATGGGCATATACCTCTGGGCTCTGTTTTTCAAGGTTATTCATTTTTTGGAGATAAAGATATTCAGACTTTAGGTATCGATTGTGACCTGCTGCTGCAAAATATGGCAACATATCATGCAAACATTGGAGATGAAGTGTCCAACTCCCAATCCTTTCTCCTTTTATGAAGTTCCTAAATAGGTCGATCATATCCATATATTGCAACCATAGCTTTGCTGTTTTTAGGTTTTGAAGTGAGTCCTTCTCAGCTTGAAGCTTTTCACCAAAGACTGTTGCAACATCAATTTTGTCATCATTGTCATGAATTACATGATTTATTATCTTATAAAGGACAAGATGCAATTCCTTCAGGTCAATATGGGTACTATCATTCTCTACTTCTACAAATGTTTGTTCTTGTGAATCATTTTGTTCTTCATTGGCCTGATCAATGTCATATATATGAGCTGCTAACATAGTATTCAATGCAATATCAATCAGAAGGTGGCCTCTAACTGCCCTAGAAACTGCCTTACCAGATAACATATGACCAACTGTATTTTCAGCATATACCAAGCTTAGGACAGCATTTAATCCTGACCCCTCCATGATGTGGCCTACACAGCCAAGAAAACTCATCTCGGTATGAAACCCCCCTAGTCTTACAACCATTTTGTGAAAATCACTGTCTTCTAGCTCATTTTCTACAATTTTGTTTGCTTTCCACCAAAGTGGCTGATCAAATGTGATGACAGGAGTGCAGTTGTACCGTCCAGCATGAGATGCAACAAACTTCAAAGTGGAGTAGATACATGACATGTCACCTGGGTCCATATCTATCATAGGTAGAAACATGACTGAAGATTCACCAGGATGTCCCCCTTATAAACCATCTGCATAAATCCTGACCAAAGTGGACAAGGAGTCTTAAAAAGCAAGGATGATTTCCACACAAGATCAAAGCCTGTTAAAGGTTTATCAAATGATTGTCTCACAAGCTCTTCATACCTCAAACTACTAAACATATCATTGTCATTTGAATTATTGATGCGACCAATTGCCGCTATGTCTTCTGAAGACACATCATGTCTGATCACTGGCCGAGTTGTTCTCACTTTAGGTGTGACTGTTGCAATAATGCCCATTCAATGAAACGTGTTCTTGCCATCGAGAGTTTGAATGTTGTGATCTACATTATCTGCAACATGATTAGGAGTAATGTCAGGTATGTCTGTGTTTTGCATCAATGCTGCACTCCTTTCAAACTTCTGGACCTCAGAATATGAGCAAGTAAACCCATGTTTGTCAAGTGTGTCAATCAGAAATCTTGACTGGAAATGATGATGGAGCTGCACACCTATACCAAGCTGTAATGGGGCCAAAAGGGCATTTGGACGAGTGGCCTACATCTTTACCAACAAAGAACTTGTTCAAAAACATTGACAAAATGTCAGGTAAAAAGTCTAATGACTCAATGATGGAGGACATTGTGTCATATTCAGGATAAGTTTGGGGAGATTGCCTTTTTTCCTTTATGGCACTTTCTATCAAACTTGCTGCAGTTTCTATAATTTTCTCTTTTTCATCTACTTGGTCTCCTTTGTATTGATGAAAAGCATGCAGTATTTTGGCAGCATTGTCATGAAAGGTAACAACATTTTGTATTCCTTGGATATCACTGATGATAAGGTTCTCACCAAAGAATGCTTTCAGCTCTTTCTTCATGTATTTAAAGCTATAGGGTTCAATTTCACTGTCATTTATGAACTCTTTCATCTTGCTAATAAGATCAGTGACGTTTGAAATCAACTTTGAAGTCGACCCTTGGATTTTAGATGGCGCTAGTGTTTCTAAGTTTCATTTTAAAATTGTTTAATGATTAAATAACTAAGAGTTTATGGGTCAGGAAACCATGTTGTATTCTCAAATTAGAGTTGATTTAAGCTATAGAGATGTGATATCTCAGTTGTTATTAAGTAACGGTAATTGGACCCTAATATTTCATCTTGCATCCAACATATTATGAGATTTTTAACAAGACAGGGGAAATAACTCCAATAAAAAGTTATGTACAAGACAGAATGGGTTATATCTGTATTTTGATATCAAATTTGAGGACATATGTGGTATATATTGGAAGTTATATTGCAAAAGTAAGGTCACCCCAAAAGTGGGCGGGGCAAAAATTGAAATTTTAAATATTTTTTTCTTCAACAATATGCAAGTTGAGAAGTCGGCATTCCATATGTGTATTACCTGTATATAGAAGTATTACCATGAATTTTCCCATGGCTCTTGGATAAAGCAATTAAGAAATATATACATTATTATCAAATATTTTGGCCATATGACAACATATTTTGGTGTATTTGGGAGGTAAATTGTCAATTGTTGGCACAAAAATGCATTAAAAGTAGATTTAAATCCACCCTGAATCTTTCCCCTGAACTAATACAACATAAAAACATGTAAAAACTATTCAAATATGGAGAAATTAATTTTTCCCTTACCCCTAGTCAAAATTGGGGTGGGGGTACCTAAGAAGTGAAATTTCATATTTGTCCACTACATATATTTTCCTATATTTTTAATATGTTGCTACATATATATCAATTCACCAATTAAACCATGTTTCAAAACTATTGCAATTTGTCAGATGTGAAATCACCAATTGACTGGCCTATTACACAATTTTGAAAATCTTAAAAGCGTTCATATAAGACGATTTGAACTTTAGCCGCTAGGCAATTGTGACGTCATAAAAGCACATGTTTCAATGAATAAAATGTGAAATTTTAGTAAAATTCTGATCAGTATTTCAAAAGTTATCCCGATTTCAACGAACCGTGTAAGCGTGAAATGTTACGCCTTACAGCGTATTTGACGATGTCGGAGTACATTTAACTTCAAAAATATGGTAGATCCCATCACACTTTTCAAGGAAAAATAATTTCAGTAAAATGCGAATAAAAAATACTTCAAAATGATATATAATGCACATAGTTAGTTTTTTAAATAAGCCAGACATTAACGCTTAAAGCTGAGATTAGCCCGTATTTCCCGAATTGTCCCCAGGTCCGTGCACGTCATACATACAATATGACATGTTAAAGGCACTTGCTCAGAGCGTTTTCTTTTCAAATGAATATACACTGAAACAAAAAGCAAACGGGATTTCTTTTCAAATTCATACCTGAGATTACTATGCTAGCTACACCATCTTGATTTTTATGTCACATTTTTATGGTGACATATTGTTATAAGCTCCAACTATTTTATGGGCGATGTTCGGCGGTTGGCGTTTGGCGTCTGTAACAAATTCTTAAAACGTCCAATAACTTAACAAGCACTGTTTAGATTGACTTTTAGTTTTCCGTAAACATATAACAGCCTCACAAATGATATTAGAACAATTTTTGATAAGACTTTGTCCTTCATTCATTGTTTAGAAATTATTTGCAATTGATAACAATCCAGACTATTTTAAAAGGGTATTTTTAAGAATTTACAGTATGGGCTGTTGTCACTGAAGTAGATATTTGTAGAACTTCCATTAATTGCCACATATAAGATCATGAGCTACGTTTGTGCCAAAACGGTTGTAATGATTTTGCCTATATCTCACAGAATCATGGAAAAACAAAGGACCGTGAGTTGCTTGTAGAATGAATCGGGGGAGTTTTTCGTGCATGTCGCTTGTGTTTTCATCTAAAAAACATCAATACAGGGTGTTCCAAAAATAACAGGACTGGTGCTGGCATTTTGTTGAATATGCACCAATCGTCTTCAAAATTTTACATAATGTACTTCCATGTATGGTAACTAAGAATGCAAAGTTTCGACAAAAATTATGAAATTGGGGTAGAGTTATGGTTGCTATGGTAACATGACATCACAATACCCGGGGCAACATTCCACGCAGAAAGTTACAGAGACTTTAAGCATTTTGTACATCCCATATCAAAGTTAGAATCCAACAACTGGTGGGAATTACATTTGCTAAATACATCATTTGATATTCCTATGTATCCTCTACTTTGAAAAATATGCTCCTCTTTGGTCAGTACAAGAGTAGTACTCTGTATCCATGACCCAAACACATGAGTGAACCCATTTGAGGACATGTCACGCAGGGTTGATTGGACAACTAGGATCAGGTCATTCTCATCTTTAAAGGTCTTACCGCGCTGATTAGCATTCCATTTTCCATATAAAAGTAAAAATAAGATATTGCATTATCAGAAGAGTATGGTGCATGGTCTTAGACCTTAAGACCTAGCTCCGCTATAGCTGCAGTGGTCTTTAATGCTGACTTGCGGGCAGACGCCTTATCAAGGTGGATGACTGGCTTCAAATTAGGTATTTTCAAAAACTCAACATTGAATTGTGCAGACTGTTATACATAATGATACTTCAGTAAATTGAATAAATATTATTATTATGAAATCATACTTGAATCTGAGTTGTATAGCAACACCATAACTATAAAGCAACTAATAAAACAAACAAGAAATGTTGTATTGTTATAGGTGAATTAGATACTTTCTTCAGTAATATAAAAATGTTAGATATTACATTTTCATGAAAAAGTTGCCCCGGGTATTGTGATGTCACGTTCCTATAGTAACCATAACTTTACCCGCATTTTATCAGTTTTACTGAAACTTTACAATTTTAGTTGCAGTACTTCAAAGTACAATTTGTAATAATTTGAACACACTCGGTGCTGAATTGACAAAATGCCAGCACCAGTCCTGTTACTTATGGAACACCCTGTACACTTTAAAACATTTTATTGACTTTAAGATTGCACCATATAATCCTTAAAAAGTATTTCTCATTTTCAAGGATTATCTATGGATTAGCACCCAGGTATTTTTATTTTTCAAACTTCAGAGGGCTGGGAATCATTATTACGAACGTTTTTGAATAATATAAATGCTGTTTTAAATAGGTTTCATGTATGCCAATAATTTCTCAAATTGTGTAAACGGTACCCATTCCTTAATCCCTAGAATTTTCTCTTTGAGAAATTCCCCATAGTAATCCAATGGTATAGTTCCAAGCAGTTTTTGAGATATTAGGAAAGTTAATCATTAATACACTTAACTTAAGACACCTAATTGGGTTGTGATATTTACATCTTGTTTTCCTCAATTCAAATACTTCTTGAATGTTTTTTCTACACTTTATCAACAACTTCTGAAAAGGGGATGTGTATTGAATGCGATTGAATTGAAAACCACATATTCCATTTTATTTTCCCATGGGGAAAACTCATGCTACAGCATAATTTTGGTCATCGAAAATTGATCTTCAAAACTAGACTTTCGATACGATTCTACTTTTATCCTTGAGGATTTACTTAAAAGATAACATATTGTGTAAATGAGAAATGTCATATTTAAATTGAAAGTACTCATGGTGAAAGATATGACCGTCTTAAAGCATTTGCCATACTATAGCTGGTCCTTTAAAAAACAGGTGGATACATTTTGTCATAGTAATGTCTTGTTATGATATGAAATCAATTTGTTATGATATGAAATCATATTCAGTACACATCGCCAATTTAAACTAAGCAAGATAGAGGACACCTTTTACATGTTTTGAGAACTGAGCAAACAGACAACATAGCACTTCATTTTCGCTATCAAGACTTACTTTGAGAATTGATGGGACGTACAAAGGTACAAGTGCGGATAACATGAAAGTTGTACTGTACACCGGCTTATTCCTTATTCTTTCTGTATCAACTATTGTTACGAAAACACAACCGAGGCGGTTGTTTAAGCACGTGGTTCACATTGGGATAGATGGTCTAAAACCTGACTGCATCGCCAACGCTACGGGTGGAGCATCTAACATACGGAAACTCGGCGAAGGTGGCTCCTGGACCCATACGAAAGCCCGAACTGTGATCCAGACTGTCAGTGGACCTTCGTGGACAGCGGCCTTATGTAGTTTAGGTCCGCGGATGAGTGGAGTCAGGAATAACCAGTGGAAGGTGCCTTGGATTAAATCAAACAACTTCACTCCCCAAATCCCTCCAATAACAGGAGTAAACCAACCATTTCCGTGTATATTTGAAATACTGAAGAAACAGGATAGTGACTTTCAAACTGCCTACTTCTTTAATTGGGATTGGTTACAAAACCTGGGCAACAAAGGAATACCTGGTGGCTATATTGATTATGAAGTTGATGTCGGGCACTTCGGTAAGACACCAGAAGATTTCAAAACAGTAGATGAATATGTCGCAGGAAACGCTACTAAGTACATTAAGGATACTCTCAAGCCAAAGCTAAAAAGTTATTCCTTCATTCATCTTGTTTATGTTGATGAGATCGGACATTTATTTGGCTGGTGCAGTCAAGAATATGAAAATGCCGTAGGAGTCATAGATAACCTTGTTGGAGATATCATTGGAGCTATTGAAACAATCCCTGAACTTAAAGATGACACTCTGATAATCGTTCATTCGGATCACGGTGCAATATTCAACGACACACGCCATGCTTTCAAGGAGTCGATTGAAGGATTGCTTATCCCTGTATATCTAAAAGGAACTGGAATAAAAAAGGGATATGAGATACAGGCTGATATTGTGATTGAAGACATGGCGCCAACTATAATGTTTGGACTAGGGTTCAACCCACACAAGGTTTGGACAGGAGCGCCAATAAAAGAGGTTTTTGACACTGAGGAAATAAACGCGTGTTCTGACTGTGGCCACCCTGTATGTGAAGGCATAGTTGTATTGTTCATAAACGCATTTATTTTACTAAAAAACTACATTAATTCAAATTAAACATTTTAGCTTGATTTACACTACCACTGGTACTGCACTCTTCAAACTAGCTACCGAAACACAAAACTTTCTCAACGATTTTTCTTTTTTTAGTTGGGGAATAAAGTGAACAAAGTGTATTGCTTCGTCCTTATAAGTTGAGAGTTATTAAGAAAGTATTTTACATATCTTCATTCAGTTCATGTTTATTTGTAAATGTAATGCATATGTATTTATTTACAATAAACGACGGTCCAAAACCTTTCATTTAGTCCGTTTTCCTCATACGCCGATGCTTCCATTCAATTGTTCGTTTCGTTAACAATTCTATCAATTGTGAGCTTTGTGTTGTTAATATTGATTACTCATACAAAATGAAATAATGTGAATGTGGGGTACTAACTCGTGATTTCTCTTATCTTATGAACTTGATATCATTCAAACCGTGTATTACCCTTTGGATTCGTTCGACTTTGCTTCTCAAAAGAGAGCTTCGTCTTTATAACTAGACTCGGCGCGCAGGGTAACCGTGTACCGTATTGAACCCTAACACTGTCATCAAAGTAAGGTATCCGTTACGGGGACTATAGGTTCCGTAACCTACAGAGTAGTACACACTGTGACATATACACGAACAAGTAGTGTCCAGTTGGTGCTTTTATAAAGAATTTATATTCCAGTTTATATAATGCAGTGGTACTAGGTACTGCTATTGTCATTCCACCTAAAATTAAATTAATATCCATAAATCTATGACCGATTAAATGAAACATTTGGTATTCTTAAAACAACACTAAAAACATACATAATTAGCTGTGCCCATTTATATTGTTCAACCATCCCAGTGTTCGGTGTGAATTCAATCGATACCTTTTCATCTTTGTATCATTCCCGTTTGTGACAATTTCCATTAATTCTTTTTTCTGGTTCCCAACCTAAAAATACAATGATTGTTTACTTGAATGACAATTTTTCAAAATGGGATAATATCAACCAAATAAAGCACGACGTGTGACTGTTAAATCAGTTGGTCGCAAATAAAGCCCCATAGTTTTCATTAATAAGAGATTATTTACATTTTCAGCAGAAATCACTCAATTTATCATACTGGATACGGAATAAATAGAGAGAAACATTTTGGATTGGGTGGGATCTTGAAAAAGGTGTACTGTTAAGAACAATTCAATGCCTGGAAGTGTGAGTTCTCTAACAAACGACAGTAATGCAATTAACGTCGACTTCTTAACTCAATTTAATTTTCAAAAAGTGCTCATACTTGACTGTTATTTTCTTTTCTACTCCAACATTTCAGCCTGACAGGTGGTAACGGGTCATCAATGTACCTCAGTTCTTTGGCAGTAAAAATCCTCTCCATAAATTTTCTCACGAGGCATAAAACTAACAACTAAAATTGAGTATAACAATTGAGATAGACGTCCTTGGTTTGATGAACATGAGAAGAAATAACAACTTTTCAAACTGGTCAAATGACCAAGATTAATGAACATATCATAAAGAGAAATAACAGTTTTTCAAACTGGTCAAATGACCATGAATAGATTAATGAACATATCATAAAGAGAAATAACAGTTTTTCAAACTACTAAAATGACCATGAATAGATTACTGAACATATCATAAAGAGAAATAACAGGTTTTCAAACTGGTCAAATGACCATGAATGGATTGATGAGCGAGCGTGATATAAAGAGAAATGACAGCTTACCATAAGGGGAAATATAATTGATATTTTCTTTACACTCCTCACAACCCAGAGGAGGGCAATGCAGATGACTTGAATGATCGTTAAAAGGTGAACCCTCTTCGTGTCTACGTGTCGTAGGTAGGCGTAATCGGGCTGATACTTTGATGGCGTAAACAGGAGCAGTAGCCTTTGTACCAGCTAGAAATTATCAATAAAAGTAACATTTAATCAATAATCCGAAAACATTCTGCTCAAGACTTTGATGGGAAAAGCTAACGACTGAGTGATACTTGTACAAATATATTTAAGCAATGTACTGACATTTGGATTAAAGGTCATAATAAGGATTATGATTCAATAACCATATATGGTCATAATAAAGGATATAATATGAGCTGAAAGGTTTCATCGAATGGCCCATTTCCTTGTTTTGAATTGTGAAAATAGTTCTAAAACTGCTAGGTTCCATCATGGGCTTTCAGCATCGTTATTAGGGATGTTGTTTTCTTATGTCACATGCAAAATAAATGATGATCCCACATTGGACACGTACACGTAATAGTAATATTTGCCATCTCATGTGAAATTAAACGAATGGTTAATAAAAGTGATCATGATCCAGTACCTGCACGTTTTTCAGGGAACCAATGCCCATGTATAGGAAAACACCATGTAGCACTGGTATGGGTACATACTAAAAAAACAATGTGATGAAGTGTAATGAAAATGACAAGAGGTACATTAAAAAACATACGCACGACAAACGAACATTTCAATTGAATTGGTAATAAGAGTGGGACTTTGCACATATAAGTGAAATTAAAGTTGAATACACATTTCACACTGACCTTCAATACGGGCCTAAAGAATACAGACAATCCGATGAATAAAAATGCCAATGTGCCTGTTACTCTCTGCTCCCTGCAAATATAAAGATAACTACGAATGGGATGTTAAATAGTCAGAGAGAAACCTAAACATGCTAAACGGTATAGCATATGTACGATGTGTCTCGATACATCTGAAAGATCATCTGAAGATGTCATAGGTATCATATTATTACTAATTCCTAAAACGAATATAACGTATAACTTCTCCACACACCTTACACCAAGGAACTTCGGTTTCTCTCCTGGAGCTGATGTCTCGGATTCCCTGGTAAGACTGAGGACATGGTTGATGGCCCTGGCCGTGGCTGCCACAATATAAGGAATACCCAGGAATGAACATACTACCACTTGAACAGCTATGATCAATAGGTCTAGGTGATAACCAGCTCCTTTCTATAAAACAAAATAGCTAATATACCATCATTAGGATCTATGATATATTGGCTAGATTGATGTCGTTAGTTGTACTTTTTTCAAAGCCAAACGTTGATTCTATTTTTGCAAGGACAGATTACGGTATAACACTAGTTCTACGTACCTTAAGTAAATGGTCCTTTTTATTAATAATAACAGCAGTGATCTGTTGGTCCATGAAGATGAGAATAGCAAGTAGTAATGCTGGAGGTATGGCTACAAGTATGCACCACCAGGGGTTCTCCCCCATTGGGTTGATTATCCAGCCCCTGTCAGGCCTGGTGGGCTAGGCGAAAATAAAATCACGGTGAAGTCCGCGTGTAGACATGAATTATAACGAAGAATGCTGGGAGAAAGTGTTTTGAAAAATGTATTTGTCCCGGCAATCCTCTGCAACGCAGGGATGAAGTCAGTGTTCCTAAACACAACTATCCCGTCACTCCTATAAAATGTGGTTTTGAGGCAACTTTATCCTGTTATTTCTCTGAAAATTGCTGGGATCGGGATAAAAATCAGATCTGAATCACATAATAATACCCATCGTTTAAGACATCTGACTCTGTTTTGATCTATCATTGAACAGTAAACTTGATAGTGAAATAAAAATACTAGATAGCTTCCGAATGTAGAGCTATATACAGGGTATCTCGAAAGTATGCCCCCCCCCCTAGGCAGACATATACCAATGTCTTCATAGTATGTGCCATATATCATTTTAAACCTCATCCAAAGTTACATTGATTTGCAAAGTATCATGGTTCAACTCAGAAATGGGAAAAAGTTACAGCATAACAAAACTTAGTGTTAGGCCAAAATTAAAGTTAGTCTTACACCAAAATAGTCGGTGCGTCTCCCTAGGCCATGTTCACAGAAGCAATGTTTTCCAAATAGGGATGTAGCAATTTGCAATCCTCATAAAACCTTTTAAGACATTTTAGAAAAGTTTCCTTTGAGTATCTAATGTCATCTTCATAGAACTCAATATCCATCCTCTCTTCGATAATAGCACCCATATCTTCAGTCACATTCAGGTCAGGGCTGTTTCCAGGACACTGAAATGAACTATATTTTTGGAAAGTGAGTTGAACAATAATTCTTGGTAAATCAATGGAACTTTGGATGAGCTTTAAAATGATATATGATACATACTATGGAGACTTGGTATATGTCTACCTAGGGGGGGGGGGGTCGTACTTTCGCCACACCATGTACAATAGCTTTAAGTGTTCATTCTTTTTTCCAAAGTAAGAAGGTCCACAGAATTCAGAATGGATGATGTCTGAACCCCTACGTTCGATGCATATTAATACATAAAAGTAGTCTAAATTGTTATAGAAAGTTCCAATTGATGATGCATATACAGATATACCAGGTATAATATTTTCTCATTTGTGTATTTTAACCGTCTAAGCACAACTAGCAAATCTTCACTCACTGCAAATGTTTCCGGTATGTGCATCTTGGGTGTTTCCAAGCCTACAACAATGTCCACTGCTGTCATTATCCCAATAGCAATTGGCATTGCAAAATCTGCCAAAGTTTTTCGTACCTAAAAAAATACTTTAGTAATAATTTTTATTTTTTGTCATTCTGTTGTATTCTGTTGTTTACAAAAAAGACGTCACCTAAGCAGACATTGCAATTGTGAGTGAATGCATTAATACACGTCGTGCAACCAATAATATAAAATCAAGAAGTGATATTAATTGTAAGAACACTTACAATATTTGGAAAGAACTGTGTCGTTCTGAAGCTCCCCAATGACATAGCAATGATAAACACGCCCAGAAACAAAAGGAACGACATAAGAAACACATCAGCAACGTAATGAGGAGTATCACATCCGCTACCAAATAAAACCCCGCCATATGTTTTACAGTACTTAGTGGGCAAACTACTGAAGTCTATGCTGGCGTTTCCTCCTGGGAGTCCAAGAGGATTCGTCTTGTAAGTATCCTTTAATTTAACATCGGCTGCCATATCAGTCGTGTTGTACATTGGACGATCTGTTCCCGGGTTCACATCTACATCGGGTGCTAAACACGAGCAATTGTAATCAAGTTCGTCATTTGGACGTAGATTGACTTTATACTTCTTCTGTACACCTATAGCTTTCTTGGAGGCTTCGACAATGGAGAGTGAGATCAGACAGGAATATCCCTCCTGTGTGAATCGTGTGATATATTTCACCATCGCACTCAGATCGAATGCAACTATTATAATAAGGACAGCCGAGGTCCATATACCTACCCAAACCCTGAAACTCATGTAGGTGAATCCATTGTCTCTACAATAGCAAAATCGAATGAAGAATATTAAATTGCAAAAATACATGAAACATAACCAAAATTCGACATACTTATGATCTGTCCAAACTGAAAAAGATAACGAAAACCTGCCAAGCCAGCAACATGGATTGGATGATCGGGACGTAAAAGCTCATACCAAAACACACTAGGAATTTAAAATATTCTCATTCGTTGGTGGTCAACAAAGCCAGACCACTCTTTTGTATGAAAGTAGAGAAACGCATAGTCTATGTTTTTACGTACATTGCAAAGTTGTACAGAATTGTCTCAAAGGCGAGCATAGGCCCCGTACATCCAAGTATTATCAAAGGCTGGCCTGCAAATATCGCAAATGACACACCACAAATTCCAGCTGCCATCATTGCCTCAATCGCTGCCTATAAATAAAACCATATTATTACCACCTTGCCGGGCCAGTTCTAGGGGTTTTAATGCTAGTTTAGAAGGCATTCATTTTACTATATCGAACCGAGCAATATTTCACTATATTGCCCTTCGAAATGACGTTATTCAATATTGTACTATTATTTATATTATATAAATTATTTTCTGAACGATATTGACTAGATACTTACCTGCTTTGTTATATATAAATCATTTTATGACTTTTCAAATTTCATACTTAATATCACTCGACTCACGAACAAGAACGATGTGTTGGGCATTTCATAATTAAGAGGCAATAAAAGATATATACATGTACATCTATGTATATTGTTTTGTGAAACATCTACCATGTGACTGTTAAGTTCATCCCCCATCATGCCACCAAATGTAATAACAGAGGACAAGCAGGCGAAGTAGATGAAGAATAGTGAAGACAGTGTTTGTATGTGGAGAGCATCTTTAATATCACTAACATAATACTCTGCCTTTCGTTTGATATCATTCACTAATCCTCCAAATATCCTGCAAGTGGAGCATAATAAAGCTTTATTTTATATCGTTTGGGACATTTCAAAGGGCTGGATCGATTTATTTGCTGTATTATTTTCTTTGAAACAAATCTTAACATCCCCAATCCTTCAGGCATGGCAGAATCCACTTTTTATTTTCTGTTTATTCGATTCAAATAAATTACATTTACAATACAATATGATTGTCTAGGTTTTACAACATTATCGCATTTTAAAAATCAACTACAAGGAAATTCAAGAAATACAATAGATAGAACAAAAAGTTAAAAGCTTGCTGGGGGAAAAGTATGTTCGCTAATAGTGTATGCTTAATAGTACCAAACAAAAAAATGGCCCAGTTTAAGAATATTATCTCAGGAAAACTCAAATTGACTGGGTCCCAACAATTTAAATATTGATAGAGAGTATTGCTTCTTTGGATTCCAAGTAGTAATTAGAAATGGGATTCTTAAACAGGATACTGGGCTTGATTTTTAGAACTTTTTGTTGACACTATAATATTGATTCACAATATCCAAACGGTTTGGTATATTATTCAGGTTTAACCCTGAATAATATACTGATAAACAACTTCTACAAGTATTTGTTCATATTCCCAATTCAGTGAATCTACTATCCCAAATAATAAAATTAAAATTTCCCATTTGAATTCAGGTTTTGGAAAAAGCAAATAACGTTCTATCTCCAGTTAATTCTCGAGACTAGAGTCGAGTAAAGACAAGCATGAGACGAAAAATGTACCTTCCTGTTCTTTTCAGTGTTGGGTCTCCGTGTTCGGCGTGAGTGACTTCATGTGTGTTATGGAACGAGTACGCCCATGTCTGAAAATCAAATGTTAATTATGAAATAATGTGATATTTGGAAACTAAAGATCTAGCTTTAATATGAATCGATATATTGTTTTGGTATTTCTTTCATTACAGAAAATGATCCAATGCTATGTTATTCCAGCGCCCAGTTGTGGTTGTGCCTCTTCATTTTGTGCAAATAATTACCTTTTCAGATATATTAGCAGGTGGTTCTATGCGGATAGTGTGGTCCCATCCAAATGCTGGTAAAACAGTGGAATCGTCCATAAAACTGGTGATTCCTTGAAGAATATCATATTTCGTCTTGGCACTAAGAATACTGCGTTGGAAAATCTGGAATATGAACCGAAGTAATAAAACTGGTCATATATTTTTGAGTCACTAAAACATTTGGCATTTGGATAAACTTGTAAACTTACTTTACAAGCAAACAGTGTCCCCATAGATCTCCCAACCTCCTTATACGCCGACTGACTGTCAACAGGACCAAGAAGCACAAATGCAAACTTCAGTGGTACGTCCACCTCTGTCAATTCAGGGACATATCTACTCTCAGAAAACCTGAAATATTACAGAGGAAATGTAAGTGAGATATGTAAAAACATAATTGGATCTTGAATTTGTCAAAAGTTTAGTCTAAGGATATATTTCCTTATGGTTCTTTCTCATTATGTTCAAGAGATACCTTGGGTTAATTACTTGACCAACAATTTGTCAGTTCTAATGTTGGGCAACGTCCATCGGCACTAGAAGTTCAAGTGTCCGTCGAAACATGTCACTTCTTCAAGAACGGATTGATACAAAAATGCCACCCACTTATTTTGGAATAACTTTCTCAATAATTAAAATTGATGAATTTTACAGATTTAGTGTTCAATGGAAGAAAGATCGGTATGATTGCATAGCATCAACAACTAAATGCGAATTTGAGATATCATGCTTTCCTTCCAGGTAAGCTCTCGACGAAATCGTCCAAAAATGTTCAAAAACACAATTTTCTGAAATTGGGATTTCTGTCTTAGCCATTATTTGAGTTATTCTGGATTGTTTTCACATGTGTTATCAATAATATGGCATATCTAGTATCTACCCATTTTTCTGAAATCATTTTGTCAAAGTTGATAAACAGACCCGCTTATAGGTTGAGTTTTAGAAAAAGACAGATTTTCTAACATTTTTAATGATTTTGTGCCAAAGAATGCAAAAATGAGATATCTCCTCATTCCAAAGTTGTTGATACTTTGCAAGCATGCCAATCGTTCTTCCATTGAACACGTTATCTACACAAAAATAATAATGACGATTCCTTGATTATTGAGAAAGTTATTCCAAAATAAGTGGGTGGCATTTTTGTGTCCCCCTGTAGGCCTACTCACCTTATAAAGACTGCTATTGGTTCCTCTAGGAAATCTACTCCTGCTACAAGAACGGTAGCTCCCAGTGCACCGCTTGGGATCTTCTTCATGAACCTCTTGTTTGATTCATTATCCTTTGAAACAATTACTTTAAAGATTAAGGTAAGTCTGAATGTTCGGAATTTTGCTGCAATCCTTAATTGAGTCACCTGTTATTTTTCAAATAGGAATCACCGGTCCTTTCCCACATTGTCTACACCCGTGTCTAAATCTTTCAATTTTACCCAAAGACTGCACTTACGTGCCTAGAAAAGACTGTAAAGAAGATTTTTTGTAAAATGTATAAAAAAGAGAAATTTCAGAGAGAAAATTTTCTGTTTTTCATGCATTTTACAAAACAAATCTCGTCTTTTCTAGGTTCATTAGTGCATGTAACTCATGAATCAGGTGACTCAATTGAGGATTGCAACAAAATTCCGAACATGCAGATTTACCTTAAATTTTATACAAATTAGATAATATTTGTAACCTTTGACCTCGGCCAACCAAACTCACTTCAGGTTTACACATGAGAAACTCGTTCTTAAATTACCAACAATACATCGGGTCCATGGTTTGATTATATCCTTTAATATATGTGGGGTTGATAAAGGGTATAACTGCAGGGTGTAGTAGGAAACGGTTGGTTCCAACATTGCGAGGATGCCTAGCCGATTTCAGTCCAGGTTATATACGTGTATTTTGAAAATGCTCAATTGACATGAGAATGACTAATACTGGATGAGCGTGGTGTAAAAGTGGTTTTGAAAAGTAGCAAATTTCTCTTCATGTAGGTTATTTGTGGTTTATTATTATACATTGATTCTGAAATCATTGGTGTCTAGTTTTTCAGCGTTTTGGAAATATTCAGATTTATACCCCCCTGGTGTAATTTTAAGGGGGGGTACTTGGAAAGCCATTTATCATTCCTAGAATATAGAGCCAATCATCTTGATTTTTCCAGGTAATCATGTACTTATCATGTCCTACCATTATGACAAGTTTCATTAAAGTTGATTGACTGGTTGCTATGGAAATGGAGATCATATGTTAAAAAGTACACATTTTCGTCAAAATGTAAGATACCCCATGAGACAAAACACATATTTTTTCATGAAATTGGAAGGAATCACCATGAAACCATTTAAGAAAACTTATTCAAAGTATATTTGATAATATTAAATCAACTGTTGTTTTATCTTATCCACACAGTGGAATCTATTGCTGATGATTATATGGCAATGCAAGTAAATTTAGAAAGGGGATGTGGCACTTTTCCAAAGAATTCTTTATTTGTGTTCAACTTTTTGAAGAAAATAAGAAACCATTTGTCCTGAAATTAACAGATATTATTCACATCATTATGTTTGACTATCATAGAAAATTTCATCAGTGTTGGATCACTGGCTACTATGGTAAACAGATTTATACCCCATTGGTATGACTTTGAGGGGGGTACAATGAAAGCCATCTATAATTCCTAGAATATACAGCCATTCATCTTGATATTTACAGGTAATCATCTACTTATGATGCACTACCACTATGACAAGTTTCATTAATGTTTAACACTTGGTAGCTATGGTGACATAAATAATTTATTAAAAAATACACATTAAGGAAATACTATGTATAATTCCTAGAATATTCAATTAATCATCTTGATATTTATGGGTAATCATCTGCTTATCATGTCTTACCAGTATGACAAGTGCCATCAATGTTGGTCAATTGGTTGCTATGGTAACAGAAATCATTTCTTAAAAATTGCACATCAACGGGGTACTATGTATAATTCCCAGAATATTTAATTAATCATCTTGATATTTACAGGTAATCATCTGCTTATCATGTCCTACCAGTATGACAAGTGCCATCAATGTTGGTCAATTGGTTGCTCTGGTAACAGAAATAATTTGTTAAAAAGTGTACATTAAGGGGGTACTATGAAAGCCATGTATAATTCCTAGAATATTCAATCAATCATCTTGATATTTACGGGTAATCATCCGTTTACATGTCCTACCAGTATAACAAGTGCCTTCAATGTTGGTAATTTGGTTGCTATGGTAACAGAAATCATTTGTTAAAAGAGTACACATTTTCGTAAAAAGCTAAAACCTTTGACATTAAGCACATAATATGTTCATCATTTTGGGAGAAATAAGCATGGAAACATTTCATAAAACTTATCACATCTCATCAATCACAACAGTGGACGCTTTATTGCCATCACTGGTCATCAACGGACATGTTTTACACTCAGAGTAATACATGCTGTTGTTCTCAACTTTTTCATGTCTGCTGGTTTTTTTCAACTGTTCATTGTTTTTAGAATTCATTAAGAAGCATTTCCAGTATTTTTAATTGGGTGTAATAGTTGTATATATCTCTTAGTTTGTTTATTACAAGTGACGTGGTAACTTGTTTATGGCAAAATAGAGCCAAATTGGCCAAACCAACCCATTCCACTTGATGATCTCATAGACATATAGTCACATAAAGATTGCAACGGATGCTTTGACAGAAGTAGACATTGAAAGATCTATGAATGAGGATTTTGATGCAAATGGTATAAAAGATGACTAAGTGAGATCAGCTCATAATTTACTATGTCCCTACGCATAATGTGACAGCCGCATTCTGCATAGTTTTATTATCATAAGCAAATACAATACATCAAATGGCCCAGATGAAATATCCATTGATTAAATATTATCAGACATACTCAAAATAGTTTTTTTAAATGTTTTCATGCTAATTCCTCCCAATTTGATGAAGATTTTCAATGTCTTAGGGTGTGTCTTAAAATTTTACGAAATGTGTACTTTTTTAACAAATAGATTTCTACCCACATTTGACCCACATTGATGAAACTTATCATCATGGTAGGACATGATAAGTAGTAGATTGTCTGTAAATATCATAATAATTGTTTTGATGTTTAAGGAATTATAAATGGCTTTCATAGTACGCCCTAATGTGTACTTTTTAACAAATGATTTCTGTTACCATAGCCCCGCATTTATGAACTTTGTCATAGTGGAAGAACATGGTGAGTAGATAACTACCTGTCAATAACAAGATGATTGGTTAGATATTCTAGGAATTATATATGGCTTTCATAGTACCTCCCTCAATGTGTACTTTTGAAAAAATGATGTATGTTTCCATAGCAACCAATTGATACACATTGATGAAAATTGTCATGGTTGTAAGACATGATATGTAGACGATTACCTGTAAATATCAAGATGATTGGCTGTATATTCTAGGAATTATAGATGGCTTTCATTGTACCCCCATTAAAAATCATACCAAGGGGTATACATCTGCATACTATAGTAACCAGTAAACCAACACTGATGAAACTTTCCATGATAGTCAAACATAATGATGTGAATAATATCTGTAAATAACAGGACAATTGGTTATTCATTTTCTTCAAAAATTTGGACACAAGTTAAGAATTCTTTGGAAAAGTGCCACATCTCCTTTCTAAATTAATTTGCATTGCCATATAATCATGCGCAATAGATTTCACTGTGTGGATAAGATAAAACAGCAGTTGATTTAATATTATCAACCACACTATGAATAAGTTTTCTAAAATGTTTCCATGGTGTTGCTTCCCAATTTCATGAAAATAATATGTGTTTTGTCTCATGGGGTGTCTTACATTTTGACGAAATTGTGTACTTTTTGACATATGATCTCCGTTTCCATAGCAACCAGTTGACTAACTTTGATGAAACTTATTACTTTTGTAGGACATGATAAGTACATGATTACCTGTAAATATCAAAATGATTGGTTGTAAAATCTAGGAATTTTACATGGCCTTCCTAGTACCCCCCTCAAAATCAAACAAGGGGGGTATAAATCTGAATATTTCCAAAACGCTGAAAAACTAGACACCAGTATTTTCAGAATCAATGTAGAATCATAAACCACAAGTTACCTACATAAAGAGAAATTTGCTATTTTTCAAAACCACTTTTACACCACGCTCGTCCAGTATAACCTTGTTTTCGCGAATGCAACTAACGCCTGTCTGCTACCGGATTAACCTACAATTTTATGACCAACTAATTTAAATATGAATGGAATAGTAGCAGGTACTATTCATATTTAAATGAGTTGCCCATAAAATAGTAAGTTAATCCGGTAGCCGACAAGCGTTAGTTGCATTCGCGAATACAAGCTTAAATAATTTAAAACTATCACTTAGTTTGTATTCGCGAATGCAAATAACGGCTACCGGCTATCGGGTTGATTACAGTTTGAGGGCAAAATCATTTATGCCTAGCTCACAAAATGCCTAGCTCACATTTGCCCCGATTCATCGGCCGGCAGCCGGCCGATTTAGTATTTCGTTCAATATTGAAGTTAATTTATGAAAATTAATAGGTTAATCCGGTAGTCGCTAGCCGCTATTTGCATTCGCGAATATAAGCTTACTTCAGTTGTTTGCCCCAATTCTTCTGCTTGCTCCTTAAGACTAGACTGAAAGATGGAAAGGGTTTTTACATTTACTAGACTATAGATGGAAAGGGTTTTTACATTTACATATAAAACTAGGTCTGTACTATATCTCTAAACTAGGTCACCTTGATATTTTCCAGCAGAAAGTATGAGCAAGAATAACTTTAACGGGAAATGACCAGGGTCTTTAGGGTCTTTTACTTGTTTCAATATTAGAATTAAAATATATTTCAATAGTTTGGGTTGGGCGCAGTTGTCTTGCAGCCCCATGACTGGCTACACCCCTCTCTTTTATAATGTTTATTCGTGAGTAGCATATCAAACCAACGAGGTTTTTTTTATTTGGATTATACTAACCCGGGTGTTGGATCTCCCATCAGCGGATGAGCTTCTCTTCAATAGAGGCTTATCTCTAAGTGATACAAACGACATTTTTGCTGAAATCAGGAAACGGATAAATCTTCTGTATTTGGAGTACTTGTCTTTCTGACTAAGTCAAGTTGACGTTGACGTTTACATGATCGATAACAATAGCAAAATTTAACTTTACATTTTGATAAGGGCCCTTAAAATTCACCAACATCTGATAACACCAAAATAAAATGATCCTCGTGTAAATATTCAAAATTCTCACACTATTAAGTTTTGATATTTTCAAACGGAGATATTCTCCTACGAGGAATAGAATGGATGAATTCTGGATCCCTGCATTCAAAAATTGAAAAAGAGAAGTAATACCATCACTCCTTCTAAATCACCTCAATTGATTAAAAGCTTCAAATACCCACTCACCCCCCCCCCCCCAAAAAAAAAAGACAATTCTTATAATAATGTCGAAAAGCAAGGGGAATCATTTTCCACCCACTTACTCCATTTCTGTTTGATGACTTGGTGTTGATGTTTGTGTGGTTTGTTCAGATAGCGTCTGATCTCCTCTATTGTTGCCACTTCAAGTTCTCCTGTCCGGTAGAGATCATCAGCAACTGCGTCTATGTTATTATATTGTATCATATTATATTATGTTATGTTATATCATATTATATTATGTTATATATTATGTTATATTATATTATATCACATTATATTATGTTATATTAAATTATATCATATTATATAATGTTATATTATATCATGTTATATCATATTATATTATATAATACTGTATTATATTATGTTACGAGTATATTACATGATATCATATTATGTTATATTATATTATATCATATTATATTATATCATATATATGTGAATTTAGATCCACAAGATAATACAGAAACTTTAGGAGACCTTTTGTTCCCATGGTCTAATTGTAAAGTTAGAGTAAGCCACGAGATACCAAAGTCTGCAAAGAGATATGATTATCTACCAATGTCTGACAAGGCAATATTCTATCAAAATAGCTTGTATCTTTCAGATAAGGCCATTTCAAAGATGCCCTCGTTTGGACAATTTAAAGTCACATACATTAACTTTACCTGCAGTGGTCTGCATGCTAGTGCCGATTGCTTCTAGAGCAATGGTATCAGCGGCGAGACACATTTTCAATTCAGTCAATGCCCTCAATGAAATGGATGCCACGTGTGGCTTGGACCACCTAAGTCCACTCGATTCAACCTTTTCCTCGAATCGTACCCATCTGGTAAAATGAGAAAATGAAATGTTGGAAATGCAATCTTTGGTGAAAAGGTTGTGGTGTTTAATGAGTGAATGGTACGATGACGGTATTAATTTCCAAAAGCCTCTTCTTATCTAAATGATGAACTATTTGAAAACAATTATCAATCATTTTCGTAGAATACAATAATATTAGAATAACAGTGTACCTGTATAACTGAACACCTGGCTAATCCGAACACCTAATCTGAACACTTTTGTTCACATTTCTTCAAAATTCAGAATCTCGCGAATGCAAAAACCTCGAAATGTGAACACCTCCCAATCCGAAAGCTTTTTGTATCTTTTATTCTTCCATATGGGAGAGCAATCATAGAAGATCATATTTATTAACAAAAATGATGAAGATAACTACAAAGGAACATACCTGGCCGTTTCACGCCATTCCACATCATTTTTATCGTCTGAGAGAATAATAAGTTCCTGCATCTCCGTGAATAACGGAGGGGTTTGGCCGAACCCGCCATCCTCGTCGACCAATTCTGGATCAACTAAGTCGGAAGGAAATCAATGCAACTAGATGTATAAAAGATAAGGCTTTTGAATCAAATTAGAAATATACTGTTATCCTTTTTATACGTAAAGGTCCTTGCAGACATGGATGCCTCTGGGCCAAGATTTTCCGTTTTACCTTGTAATTGCCGAAAATCATTTTTCTCCATCTCTGACTCCAAGTCCACCTCTCTGATTGAGAAAGTATGCCTCTTCACGTTAAAACTGTTTTTATCCATAAATCTCCTGTCATAAATCTTTCAATCCGCTTTTTTACATAATAGGAAAATACAATGATTAATAGGCTTAAATCCTGCATTAGTAATTTGGAAATATATATTTTGAAATCAGCCCTGTAGTTCTAATGTCAGAATCGAGAATCGTCGGAAAAGAGATTTAAACATTGAGAAAAAATTCATATTTTCAAAGTATTCGAATGAGTCCATATTTTGCTGCTTAAACTTCTCTATTTCTATTATTTTCTGGCGAAAATGTGAAACAATATGACAACGAAATATAAGAATAGAAAATTACGTTTAAAGTGTAAATATACATGTTTGCTGGCGTCAAATTAAAGTTATACAGGACATGACATGATATTATGTGATATGAGATGATTTTAACATTAGGTATCAGAATGTTTTGACAACTTGACCTTGACCTTAGCCTTCACCTAGAGTACTTGACATTATATTAATCAACCCCTCACATAAGAATCTCGATGTGAAATCTACTATTGTTGGGACTTGTGAGAATTTTTCAAAAATGTAATGAATAGAGGTTACATTGTTGAATGGGAGATATGGAATATGACTTTTATTCCGAGGGAAACCGAGTGAGGGGGTGCAGCTGTACTGTATACCGGGTATGGCCTCTGCTCCCATTCCGGTCACCTTAGCCTGAGGTCATTAGTCTGTTGGTCACTGCTCTGCGCCGCTTCGTCATAAGATCGGGGGTATTAGGTCAACTCAGTTCTGATAACTCTGATGCGATGGCATGGTTGTTTTATGTGAAAGAATAATAAGGTTACAGATAATAAAGATGATTGGATAGTTCTACGACCAATGGCATAATTTTGAGGCACGCATCGGTTTATGATTGACATATCAAAATATTAACGGGACCACGTGTTCCACAATATGATATTGACCAAGGAAAATATCAGATTGACCAAGAGCGACTGCCCGAGTGTCAATATGATATTTTCCGAGACCAATATCCATGATTTCTCGAGGAAAAATTCATATTCCATCACGACCATGAATAACCAGTGTAAGCCTACTGTATTCCATATTTTTCTGAAACATTCATTTTCAAGTTTGATTTGTCATCACCCAATGATGGTGATATGAAATGATGTTTGTTTAATCATGTAACATTTTCAACTTTTATTCATCTTGATTCACAAGGTTTCAGTTGCTTCATATTCAAAGTTTATTTGAAGTAAACTATTAGACAGTTTTCAAGTTTTGATACATGATAGGCCTATTCATTAACTAGAATTGACGAAAATGCTTAACTACAAACGAGAGAACTAGACTAGAACAACCTGTCATCCTTTCCAGTTGATCCCCAGAAATAGAAAAGCCGCCCGTTCGCGTGTCTGTTTGTCCGTCTATTTATTCGGAAAACAACTAAATAGTTTATACTGGGATACGCCTGACGTCTGATTAAAGAACAATTCTTGTTTCTGGATCCGCCCCTGAAACTCAGTCTCTCTATTTGATTAAGTTTCCCTTAGGCCTAAATGAGATCAATTAAGGTTCTTGTAATACTAATTAGTAATCAGATATTGTTCTTTGGCAAATAATTTATCAACTTTTATGAATGGAATAATATTTATACTTTACGCGGGTACTCTTCAGCTTCAGCAAAGATGCATCAGGTATCAGCGTGCTGCGTAACAAAGATGGCGACGAAATAACAGACGCCGCCCAGAAAGCAAACATCCTCAATGACCAATACAATTCTGTATTCACAGATGAGGATGCCACTCTACCGACAATGGTACCTAGTCAACATGGTCAAATTCCTGAAATGCCAAATATCAAAATTTCGACAAAAGGAATTCACAAATTGCTAACTGGCCTAAATCCATCAAAAGCCACTGGACCCGATCTTATTCCGACTAGGGTCCTGAAGGAATGCAGTGACAGCATATCACCATTCCTTCAAATAATTTTTCAACAGTCTATCGATGAAGGCTTAGTGCCTTTGGACTGGAAACATGCCAATGTTACTGCTATCTACAAAAAGGGACGAAGAGATGAGGCTGTGAATTACAGGCCTGTATCTCTGACGTCAGTTCCATGTAAAATAATGGAACATATTATATTCCATCATGTTATGGCCCACTTTGACCTCTATGAAATTCTAGTAAAATTCCAACATGGATTCAGGTCAAAGCACTCATGTGAAACACAACTTGTCAATACAATAGAGAATATAGCTCGGGCCCTCGACAACAATAAACAAACAGACATGTTGGTATTAGACTTTTCCAAAGCGTTTGACACGGTGGCTCACGAACGCCTCTTGCTCAAACTCGACTATTATGGAATTCGCAATAATAACTTGAACTGGTTCAGATCCTGGCTTGTGGGAAGATCACAACAGGTAGTGCTCGATGGTGAATCAAGTTCAAAAACTCCAGTAAAATCAGGAGTTCCTCAAGGAACAGTTCTTGGACCACTCTGTTTCCTTGTTTATATCAATGATATGGGCAATAACCTATCATCCTCAGCCAGTCTTAAGCTTTTTGCCGACGACAGCCTTTTATTCATGACAGTCGAAAGCAAGCAAGATGCATTAACACTACAGGAGAATCTTGATAAACTGGTCTCCTGGGCATCAACATGGCAAATGAAATTCCATCCATCAAAATGCTATGTGCTAAATATTCACAAAGGTAAATCCCCTATCATGCACAATTACACCATGCTAGGGGAAAACCTTAAGTCGGTAACACACATCCCATACCTAGGAATTGACATCACAAATAACTTACGCTGGACTACACATATTCAAACTATTGTATCCAAAGCCAATAAGGTGCTTGGATTTCTCAGGCGCAACCTCCATCAATGCCCTGAAAAAGTGAAGGCTCAGGCGTATAAGTCACTAGTCCGGCCTAATTTAGAGTATGCCAGCTCGGCATGGGATCCATACCGACAAAAAGATATTGATATGTTGGAACAGGTACAGAGAAGAGCAGCCAGGTTTGTAACCAAATGTCACTCAAGGGAACCAGGCTGCGTCACCAAAGCTCTTCAAGACCTACAGTGGGAGCCACTGAAGGAGCGTCGAGAGGCTGCTAGAGTTTTCCTTTTCTACAAAGGAAAGCAGAACCTAGCAGCCATCGACGTGCCTCCATACTTCCGCCAACAGATCAATACCAACACTAGGTTGTATCATCCTTCTAAGTTCATACAACCATCAGCTAGAACGGATGCATACAAATTTAGCTATTTCCCTAGGACAATAGCTAAATGGAACACTCTACCTGGTGACATCTTAGACTGTGACAGTCTAAGTAGTTTTAAATCATCATACTATGCCTATGTCAATAACTGCAATTAAATAGGTGTGTTTTTAATATAGATCTATGTTTTAATGTAAAGGGTCCCCAGTGCACAGCAACAAGCCTGCACTACTGGTAAAAGGGGGTGATGTCAACGCGGTAGCCTGACAGTTTCCCCAGGGAAAATGAGTTGTAAACCATAGATCTATTTTTAAATGTTAAGGTTTTAAATTATATTATATTCAAATTCTATCACTGTTAAATTATATATCTGCTTTACATGGGCTTATTAGCCTTTTGCAGATTATTGACATAGACATAGACAATTCAACTAAAATCCCGCTGAACGAAACGCTCAAAACATTAACCCGGGGATTTTGAGGAAGTGTATGACGTCACATCGAGCAGGTGCGCCATCTACAATTTCAAAATGGCGGTCATAAAAGATTTAAAAAATTTGGAAATAAATGCAAACAATGGCCTCTAAAATGAAGAACAAAGGCTTGATCGATAAAACTCTAACAACAGTTGATAAAGATGTTCTTAAATCAAACGGTAAGTGATCATATTTTACTCTGAGTACCCAGATTTGGGAGTTGTTAGCTTCAAATAAGCAACTTCTCTTGTTTCATTTTTCAATTTTTTCAAAAGTTCAACAAAAAGTCAAAATAATTCAACATTTCTATCATTTTACCCTGAAGTAAGTGTTTTTGATTGTTATTCTGCTATTGATATCAGTAGCATGCAACTGTTGCCACCGGTCTTGCAGTACATGTTTATCTTTTTTGTGATGTGAACTCAATTGACCTAGAAAATCTGAAATGAGTCACATCCAAAATGTGTTCTAGTATTGGTTGACTGTGCAGGGCTCTCACGAGGCTTTCAAGATGTTGTAGAACACCATTGCCCACAATTTGTGCATAGCACTACCAAAAGTTGAAAACATTTGACCACAAACTTGGCATTTTTGATCTCTAATATGATACTTTCAAACACCCTACTTCTAGACTCTAGTTTTTTATTTTGGAAACCAGTTCATATGATTAAAATAAGGAAATGATGTGATGTAACCACGTATCTACTTACCAGTGTGTTCTATGTCATCTATCGGACTATATTACTTATTTCACTGCATCATTTCAGGTCTTTATGATTCATAAAATTAATAAGTTTCCTAGCGTTATATCTTGAATAAAGTTGATTTTAAATAGTCAGTAGCTTCCGGGGGCCTTTCTACAATATTTGACATCGCTATCTTGGAATATTGTCTTCTATATTTAGCATCTGAGATGTCCGAAAACCATTTTCTAATAAATAAATAATCTATCTTTGAAGACATGGTTGAATGACACGTCACAAGTCACGTGATATCAACTAGTAACTAGACACGTGATCAGACATGTGACTGGCAAAATGGAGGATCTAAATTTCAACGAATTCGGCTAAGATCAATACCGATATGTTGTTGCCGTTATTGTCGTGTTTTGCCGAGTTCCACAATGCAACTTAGTCTGATAGATTACATAGAACATACTGGTAAGTAGATACGTGGTTACATCACAGCATTTCTTTATCTTAACCATATGAACTGGTTTCCAAAATAAAAAACCAGACCTTAATATTTTAAATGCAGCTTAAACATACATCAAGGAGGATTGGCTCACAGGAATGCAACTCAATATTTTCTAACAGTGTAAATGTCAAAATGTTGTTATTTTCTGATATTATAACCAACTATAAATTTATAATCAACATTCCAAAAGATTCTAATCACAGTGCAGGAAATAGATGTCTGACATCGGCCATTGGCCTGCGTTTTCGGCTTATTCCATGACTTTTGTTGAAAGTTGAAAAAATTCAAAATATATTTGTTTTCGTACTGAAGCGCAAGATATACCACGACTTTTGATTGACTTTTGTTGTTTGTTGAAATTACGATGATTTTGATTGGCTATGAATGACTCATCAAGAGGTTCTACTCCCAGCAGTCATTGACGTACAATAAATACTGGGATTGTTATGTCTCCAACTTAGTTTTGTTCGCAGGGTTTTCAGATTTTTAAAGAAATAAAAATCTAAAATGATAGATTTAGGTTCACTTTTCCTCTCAGATAATCATGCCTAAACATCCAGCTGAGCCCCCCCCTCATTAGAAAATGAATCAAATATAGCATTCGTGGACTGTCATGAATTCAATCGTCTTCATACAATGATAGTACAGGCCAAGTGATATATATAGTCTAAAATTCGATAAAAGTGTACTTACATTCCTGGAGTGCAGATGAATCAAACAAATTCGAATTCGCCTATACAAAAAAAGATCATGTGACAGACTATGCATAGCATGGCACTGGCAATGAAACTTGTTCATTTCTATAGCCTTGTATTCATGTTGTTATGATATTCCAAAATTTTATGTTGCATTTCCCAAGCACATTGGTTCGTATCCTTTTCATACATACTATTACATACATAGGTCATGCATTTTGTCCTAGCAGATAGCACTGAAGAGTGAAATTTTGTTCCCAGTTCTGTTTGCAAGTGGTTTTATGGTCATTTGCTAAAAGCCCAGTTTGTAACAGTATCAAACAAATACGTTTGTTCTAAATTACATAACGAACTGGAGTATTCATTTTAAAGGAATATTCCTTGGCAAACCATCTCTCTCCTCATATGGTAGCTATGTATATGCTTGCCATGTTCACACCCCATTCTCTTATACGTCGTAACACCGGAAGTTTACGGCGACATACAAGCATTTCAGGCGGGAGATTTGTAAGTACTCATTTATTTCGACGTTTTGACAGAATATGGACATTTCCCTTTCGTAGAGACATTGCCCATACCATGCAGATATACCTCTAGTATCACTACGTCTCGACATCTTACCTGAACACGGTCTAGTACTTCTCAAACCTTCTAGAAAGCACGACATTTTCAAGAAAAAACTGATAATTTTTCACGAAAATCTTCATAGTTTCTTCAATTCTAGCCCTATCATCTTGAAATATTGATAAGATTAACAAAACAATTTTTATATATCATCCAGATACTTCAGTTTCCAATATTATTGAAAGAATTCCGAGAAATTAATTTTTCTTTGGAATCATACGACATCAATGAGGTTTATGGCGTTTAGGGAATTTTTGGCTACATATTTTAATGTATGACTGATTTATACGAAAACAAATTTACATGAAATAAAATGTACAAGATTGAGACTTGATTTTCCAAAGGCATAATTCAATATCTTTTGTTTTTAGTCGTAAACATCATAAAACATACACTACAGCTAGCCTGCACACAGATCTTGTGGAGATATGAGTGAAGTATGTCTATCTTTAGCCTCATTGTGTGCATGCCATGCACATGCAAAAGCCATGCTATATGGTTGGTGTGATAATTTGCATTTGCATCCTTGAATTAAAATTAAATGTTTTAAACCATTGTTTCGGGTCATGGTTCATAAGAAGAAAACATGCACATTCTGTGGCAAGGGGTATACCAGTCAAGTAAATTTGTCTAACCACATGAAGTTAGTCCATGGCGCAAAATTGCTCGAATGTCTACAGTGTGAAGTGGAGGGTTTTATAACAAGGGATGCTCTTGTATTTTCAACCGAAAAGCTGACAAATGTAGTTTGATACACATCATTTTTTAAATTTCAACAATTGTCACTTTCCGAAACAAAAAAATACAATACACGATCATGAACACTATATAAGATTCAGAGGGAGAATGTAAACAGTTGTCACAATCATCTGTGGATTGAAATTGAGATGTTTTTTATGAGAAAATGTCTGAAAATAAAGACTGAAAGCCTCATACCCAATGATACCTCATTATCTTTTGGAATGTGTAAAATAATCTTTGCCTATCAATCAAAACATTTTTGATATATTCTCAATTATTAGTTTCTCATATACTTTGCATTATGGTGCGCATTTGATGGAAACAAACCATTCTTAGGTAATACATCTCAAATGATACATTGAATTCCTGGCTAAAATCCTGATATACTAGTAACCTGTAAGTCCAGTTTAATTAAACAGCTGTCTTTTAAAAGACTTTGGAAGTGGGGACTTCAAGTCAAGAGACTTATTAGGTGCATATGGCGAATACTTTCTTTTCCGAAGTGGTAAGGCCTTTGGGGTGGGTAACCCGGTTGTCTTTGGGGAGAAGTAAAGCCTCTCAAATTTATTCTTTTTCTTCTTTTTGCTCCCTCCGAGGGACAATTTTAGTCTCCATGGCTTGGAAACCCTCATACTGACCCGACTAAAAGAAAATACATTTATATTACCATGAACTCGTCAATACGTTTAATGCTTAATCAACTTTAATAAGTGTTTAGCGATGAAAGAACAAGAAAATGTAAAGAAACAATGTCATGGTGTACGTCGTAAACCTCCTTGACGTCGTATGATTCCAAAGAAAAATTAATTTCTAGGAATTCTTTCATTATTATTGGAAACTGAAGTGTCTGGATGATATATAAAAATTGTTTTGTTAATCTTATCAATATTTCAAGATGATAGGGCTAGAATTGTAGAAACTATGACGATTTTCGTGAAAGATTATCATTTTTTTCTTGAAAATGTCGTGCTTTCTAGAAGGTTTGGGAAGTTTTAGACCGTGTTCTGACAAGATGTCGAGACATAGTGATACTAGAGGTATATCTGCATGGTATGCATATGGGCAATGTCTTTACGAAAGGGAAATGACCATATTCTGTCAAAACGTCGAAATGAATGAGTACTTACAAATCTCCCGCCTGAAATTCTTGTATGTCGCCGTAAACTTCCGGTGTTACGACGTATAAGAGAATGGGGTGTGATGTTTAGCAAAACACGCAAAAATGTTTTGATATGGTCAAATTTGATCACTTAGAAATGAGATGCTCAATTCCAGTAAGCTGCCATCTTTTAAAATTTCACACAGGAAGTGATGTCATCGACTCTCAACTTTGCATATAGCATTAGGTGAGGAGCTATTAAGAATTACAAAACCAGCTAAATATTCTTTTTCAACTTTGTATCTTATTTAATCCTTCTGAAAATCTCTTCTATTATTCTAAGTTGACAAGCCCTGAAAATATTTTTGCACAGAAAGTAATGATCACTTGTCTAGAAGTGATTTTGTGCTACTTTCCTATATTGTTATGGGCAAGGTTATAGAAGTTGAGAGTTGATGACATCACTTCCTGCAAGAAATCTTAAAAGATGGCAGCTCACTGGAAATAAGCACTAGAATTTTAAATGATCAATATTGACCATATTAAAACATTTTCCCATGTTTTGCTAAATATGGAAACTATATATATGATTATAGCTACCATATCAAGAGAGAAAGGGTCTGGCAAGGAATATTCCTTTAAGGCTCTGAAAGCCAGAGGACTATTTAGTCCTATTTGAATTGATGGCTAATCTGTTTAGCGAGTATGTAACATCGTTCAATCAACACTACAGTTCGGATCATTTTTATGTGCATCAATCAAACCTAAAATATGCAATTGAAGGACCACAGTGCAATATCATATGGAAAAAAACATTCATATTTTAGATGCAAAACTTTTGTTTATATTGGATTGCATGTGATTTGACTAATAAAGTATGTGGCCTCTTGTATTTGATGCTTCTCTGACATGTTATTTTTGAAAAAATTATCATGGCTAAATTACAATAGACACATAAAACTAGGCCTGACTGACACAGAAAGGGTGATTCAGATTTTTTTCTTAAACTGTTTATATTTCCTCAGAAGATAAAAAAATTCTTCAATGAAATAGAGGTAGAATCAATATGTGTGGGTGCTAATTATAAATTTTGATTTAGTCGCTAGAAGTTACATAATTGAGGAATATAGTTTTGATATCGAAATAATTATGTATATAAGATAAACTCTGACAAACTGCGCGCATATTTCAAAATGTGAGACGGGGAGAACACGACTCCCAAAAAGAGCCGAAATACGAAAAATACAAGGTTAGTCTCGTTCTAAAGATAGTACCATTCTGCGAAGATGAACTTAATTTACTCATAGTATTCAATGTTTTTCCCGATGTAAACCTAGTTATCTCAATATAAGGGTCTTAAGTAACTTCTGTGTTCAAAATTTACAGTGTAAAGTTATATCTATGTCTTTTTATCGTCATTTGCCGTTTATTCAGCCATTGTGTCTGTGTATGCTAGAATATATAGGATCACTCCATCTGATTAAAACAGCAAAGTTTGTGTTCAAAACGATAATACGCCATAAACCTGTTTTAAACATTTTTCTTGTCAAACTGCGCGTCTATATTCACATGTATTTCCCAAACTGCGTGCCTAATATTTCAAAACTGCTTGCCTATCCAAGCTTGTTTTGTATTATTAGAAAACATAAGCGCCATACAAGGCACATATGTGTCTAATAGTAGAACCCCATAATTGAAACACTATGAGAGTCCATCCACCAAGATGGTGATCTGAAAATAAATGTTTTTTTCGTTCCCAACTTAATTGTCACTTCTATTATACATTTTGACTTTCAATATGAAAATCTCATAAAATCTGACGATAAAGCAAAATTTCCAAAGCTACATCGAAAACACCTACACGTACCTCTGTAGAAATTCCAATGATAATATGTAGTTTTAATAGTGTATGCGCACAGATTGTAATTTCTGGCTAGAATAGGCACGCAGTTTGTGGTTTATTTCTTTTTAATCTCCTGATTATCTGTTTTATTTCGAAATATTTTGAATTAAACATGATAAATGTGTAAGGAATTAAATATAAAACGAGTCTAAAGTATTTGTCATTGATGTTTAAAGTGCTAGATCGATTTACGTATAAATTCCCATTAAATCAGTGACGAAAATGCCATTAATCTGCTTATGTTTTAAAACTAAGATTCATTTGCACACATTTTTTGCTAGTATTTGCAAGATTCATATATTCGCCACAGAATGAACGCATTGAACAAGAAAACAATGCAGGATAAATGTCTTTAAATAACGTTTCAAAATACAGACTCCAACTTAAATGATCCAATGTTCTTCGGCACGCAGTTTGTGATCGAAACAAACTGCGCGCCTAAGTAGGCGTGCAGCTTGACATAGGCACCGTGATACAGTTCTCTCTAGTGAACACCTACCTACTTGGTAGCACAAGTACATCGAACATTTTTATGTACAGGTTTTACTGTATACAGTAATAAACTTCCTATCAGGTCCATCATCCAAGTGATTTGCATTTATTATACCATTCTTTTTTATAGGTGATTTCTATACTCAACTAGGTTACCTTTTTATAGGTGATTTCCATAATCATTCAGGTTGCTAATACAAAGTTCTTATAATATGCCTGTGCATATAATATACGTTTGTATGCAGCAATACATACATAAACAAAGTGTTTATATGTATAGGGGTTTAGTGAGTTGGATTTTAGAGTTAATTCATGGTGAGGATCTAACATCCAGTTTCCCTCATGAGGATCAGAAATTGAGATCCTTATTGAATAAATAGAGTAAAAATGTAAAAAATGTTAGTAACAATGAGTTGTATAAAACCTATATCTGCTTTTAAATTAGTATATATCAGGTGTCAACCCTAGCAGTATATTGTCATAGCAACTCAGAATCACTAACCATTACCAAATTAATGTTTGTGGAATGTATATCTAGAGTCAGTCATTAGTTACAATGATGAACATTTGACAAATCTATGATATATCATCAAATCGGTTTAGAATGAGAAGGATCACCAAATACCAAATTAGTATGGGTCAAACTTCCTCAGGTACTCTTGACCCCTGAATTAGGAATGCACCAGGCCTCTCAATGAGTGCACTACTACAATCTAGATTTCAAGTCAAACCCTTGTCTCAATCTAATGCAGCAATGAACAAAATGCCATCTTGAGTCTAAATTAAGAAGAGCATACTAAAGACAGAGAATATATATAATATTTCAAATAAAATGACCCACATTTGAGAAATCTCTCATATGGTATAACAATTTGCAAAACAAATAAAAGCACGCCCGGTGATCGTACAAAATGGATGGAGGGGGGGATTAGGCGATTTCTGCAAGAAAACTCAACAAATTTGGAAGATTTATTTTTTCAAGAGAAAATTTACAACTGAATTGCCAAATGAATAGGCGCAGTGCATGGCAAAATATGTTAGGTCATCTAGTATTTTTTTTGAATTGATACCCTTCAAAGATATGAGATCTATTAAAAAAGGCGCATCATCACCAACGTGCAAAAGTCAATGTTTTTGCTATAAATCGGGCAACAATGGTCTACACAACCTGTAATAAATAGGTATAAGGGACATTATTATCACAATACTAATGACATTGCTCACTTTTAAAAGTTAGCGTCCATGCGTTATACAAAAAATAATCGAAATAAATTAATTTTGGATGGAGGGGGGGAGTGGATGGAGGGGGGGATTAATATGTCTTTACGATGGAACAAATTTACAAGAACTCATGTATTTGAAAAAACTAAAATCAGTACCCCTTTAAGAAACTGGATATTATGTCTCTGGAGAATGAAAAATGCGAAAATTTGGAGTCACAAGAATAAATTCAAGTAGCATGTCTTATCATGTCTTACATACATGTGATCCCCCCCTCCATCCAATCCCCCCCTCCATCCAATATTAATTTATTTCGATTATTTTTTGTATAACGCATGGAAACTAACTTTAAAAAGTGAGCAATGTCATAAGTATTGTGATAATAACGTCCCTTATACCTATTTATTACAGGTCGTGTAGACCATTGATGCCCAATTTATAACAAAAACATTGACTTTTGCACGTTGATGATGATGCGCCTTTTTTAATAGATCTCATATCTTAGAAGGGTATCAGTTCAAAAAAAATACTAGATGACCTAACATATTTTGCCATGCACTGCGCCTATTCATTTGGCAATTCAGTTGTAAATTTTCTCTTGAAAAAATAAATCTTCCAAATTTGTTGAGTTTTCTTGCAGAAATCACCTAATCCCCCCCTCCATCCATTTTGTACGATCACCGGGCGTGAAAAGATTGTCTAATGTTCAGTTTTTGGTGGTGTGAAGGGATCGTGACACAATATTTACGCTAGTCTAAAAATTTGTGATTGGAGCAATAATTGACAAAGGATGTGCCCGTGACCGTAGTATTCCATTGATATTACACCTCTGTTTCACTTAAGAGGAGGGAAAACCCAAGAATTCAGGAGATGACAGACATAATTATGTCTCTTACTTACCTCCTTCATTTGTTTGAATTATCATTGGCTAGTTCTCGAATACCACACATCTTTGTGATGTTTTAATCAGAGTAAGCATATTCCTTACACATTTCTTTGTTTTGATACAAAAAGCTATGATGTGGTTTAACACGCCATAAATAAATATAAAGTTATTTGAAGCATTTTCAAAAAACTTTGAAACTGCTATTGAATGACATATGTCTGTCGATTTGACCAATCAGTGACGATGTCATCTCAGAACATTATAGATGTATGTCATATCTGAACCCTGTGGTTTCCCCTCTTGTTTAGCTCTGGAAAAAACAATTCCCTCTCTAAGGTGGCAACTTTTTGCTATGTTAATGGGTTGTTTATTATCAAAGTTATGCGACCTTGAACGAAAATCTTTTCTTGTTTTTCAGGCTTTACACATAACACAGAAGATGATGCAGAAAATACTGAACTAGAAATGTAAGTGTCTTGCTTCTTTTTGGCTCACACAGAGAGCCTATTGGATTAGGTAGGAAGGTAGATTCCTTTCCATCTGTCAGCTATCCATTAGCCATATATAAATTAGAATAGGGAATGCCTCCGTCTGTACGTCCATCCAGGTGGTAACTCAAATACCATTGGCCCGATTTCATATTATGGGTTTAGAAGTTTTGCTTGTAAGCCGATTGGCAAAATTGTCGCTCCTTTAAAATGGCGGCCATTTTAGTGCCGATTTCACAGTAATTAAAAAGTTAAAGTTATATAAGACATTAATAAAGCTAGAAATGTAGATAATTAAAAAACATGTGGCACCCATCTTGAAAAATGGCAGCCCTTACACGCTATTTTACAATTTTTGCTGTAATTTGAAAAGTAGCAGAGCAATTTTGTTCATATTTGATATGTGAATACTCATAAGCATGGCACACTGTGAAAATGGATACCATTTTTATGTGTGTTATTTTACATTTTTTACTATGACTCAAAAAATAATAGAACCATTTGGCTAGTGAGGGACCATTTTGAAAATGTTTGCCATTTTCATCTGTGTTATTTTTGCTATAACTGAAAAATTAGCTAAAATGGCAGCCATGGCTGTTCGATGGAATGTGCAACTCTTTGGTGTGGTAATTATCACATAACATAGCAATAGCATATTGTTAATTTATTAAAATAATGTGCTAATTCTACTCAATGTCCTAAGAGGAGCATTTCTTTACATAATTGACATGTGTATACATGTATGTATTGCTTTCGTAACATTTTTGATAACAGTAATAGAAAAAGTAATCTCATTTTTATTTGTGTAGGGATCCAGAAGCAGTAAAGCTTGAACGCCAAACAAAGCGTAATCAGACGGAGCAGAAACGAAAAGTGAAAATCCGGGCTCTAATTATGCAAATGGGGGCACTGTTGCCAGACAGTAGTAAAACCATTGAAAAAAAGGTAAGACTCAATATGATCAACTTTTGTGATACTGAAATAGAAAAAAAACGAAAAACTGAAAAATTATGATATCTGTGCCTTTTGTATTGTATCATATCTGTACATTTCCTGGTTGTTGAATTTTTCTCAATACAATATACGTAATTCATAGAAATTCATAATAATTGCTGACAACAGGCAAAATGGATTTCATGGAAATAGTAACATTTCTCATAACATCAAGGAGTTTTGGTAAAACAGTTGGAGAAAATTGCCCGCTGTTGGCTTCTTATTGAATCCATGAAATTTATGACATTTTGTTATACTCAGGGCTCGCGTCCAATGACTGAAGTCCTTGAAGAGTCTATTGCTCGTTTGAAGTTCCTGAATGAAAGGGATGAGAATTTTCTGATGTCACATGTCACTGAAATTCAAGGTAAGTTCAAATACTGACGCAGTGATCTCCACAGGATTTTTTCTCAAGTGGGTGCAAAATTCTCATTTTCACAATTCAGACCAAAATTGGTCAAAATATGCCAATTTTTCATGATTTTTCTCATTTTCAAGTGGGTGCAAATGGATTTGCAGGTGGGTGCAAGCCACATGCTGAATTGTTTCATTTAGATGTATATGTATATAAGGGGTCCCGCGATTCATCGATATATTTATGCATCGGCTCGTTTGGTGACGATATGAGGGTATCGATACGAAGACTCAAATATCGATACACACAAAGTATTATTAACATACCTGAAATCCATCATATTTTGCCGAAATCTACTGAATATTTGACTTTTTGAGAAATTGTTTTTATATTTTTTGTTTGGTTTCTCACTGGACATGACACGCCCAAAATGCTGTATAAATGCAAACAGAATGCTTAGCGGACTGACAGTCAAAATGGGAACAAATAACTCGTGTCTTCTATGTCTTCGTATATCAACGTACTTTGTTTTATAATTCTATATACTTTTTGACAATTTAGTATGAATAAATGTAATCTTTGAACTTTTTATTGGATAGAACGCGTTAAAAAATTGCCTACTAATATTGATAACTCTAATAAAAAACCGAACAATATTTACGTTCGGAGTATTGATGTTGACCGGAGTTTAGAAATTGAAACTTTTTGAAAGTTTTGAACACACTTGATAGAATTATGGCCGTGTACGCATCAAACATGGGTAGTTGTGTTATCCTTATATCCCCCAATAGAAAATCTACTGTAGTACTTTGAAACATTCCTCAGTAAAGGGAAAGCAACGCAAAATATGCATAGCTGACTAGTGATCGACTACTACACAGCAGGTAGGCTGATACTTGACTATAGTTTTTATGCTGCATCTGAATCAATCAACGTCAGTGTTGCACCCCCCTCCCCCCCCCCCCCCCCCCCCCCCCCCCGGTTTAACTACACTATTATGTATCGTATCGTTGCTCGAATCGTGACCTGAGTATCGAGATACGTATCGTATCGTTTCATAATGTATCGTGGCACCCCTAATGTTACTTATATAAGAGTAGCTACTATTAAATGAGCTTATCTTAATTTTACAATTTATTTCAGAAATCTCAAAATATTTGCAATGTCCATATATATTTGTGACTCCAAATTCAAAGGGTTTTGACATCAATCTGAACACTATTTTTGATTTAGGAAAATTGGAAACTGGGAAACAAATTTCCCATGTTAATCTCCCATAGAAACTTTTTCCCAGAAATATGAAATACAATACCAGAATTAAAACAATTTCTAGTCTATAGTCACAAATATAAAATTTATATTTTTATTAAACGTATATGTAACATGATATGAATTGTGTGTCAATAGGATGCAACCATTAAGGGTAATTATCACATACTACGTCACCACGTCACATCCTACTGTTATGTTTTCTGATATATTTTTATTTCATATTACCAGCTGAGGAAATGACGAGATTGAGAAATGAGATTGATTCATTAAAAGAAGAGAATACGAGGTTGAAAAATCTGTTTGAGCAAAAAGGTAAGTTTTTTGAATTGGTTGGCTCAAAGTGTTTCAAACGTTTTTTTCTAAAATTCAGATCTTTCCTGAAAAAGAATTAGGTGAATGATATACTGATGTATAACAAAATAGGTGAAAATTAGAAAGATCGACCGTTTGGTTATTTCTTGAAAAATATTTGAATTTAACATTGGTTTCAATGAGAAAATGCATTTTTTTATTAAATAAAAAAAATTGCACAATTCAGATTCTCTTAACAAATTGTGATCATTCAATGGGAAAGCAAAAGTATTGAAAAAGATATTTATGAAAATTCACTGTCTGGATCTTGAGAAAACTTTGAATACTATGAATCAATGGGATTATATTATTATTCCAAAAATGACTCATATTGCCCAAAACCATGAGTGTGTCATATAAAACAAGATCAAGAAAATGTATTGTGGACTGTTAAAAATGAAAAAATGTGGTTTTGAAACCACTCTCTCTGGGTTTAAAATTTTTCTAAAACCCAGCACTCTAAGTGATTGCGCCAGGCAGCATTTGATAAATTAGATGATTTTTTCAAATCAACAAGTATTTGATGTTTTATTCAGTTTTCGTGATTCAGCATTAGAGTTGCACAATGAACAGTGAAGTTCTACCTCAACTCAAAATAATTTCAAGCCTAGGTTTTTCAATTATGCTGTGAGTCATAGTAATAAGATGTGTGTCAGATAAAGTGACACTAAATACAGAAATTATGGTTACAAAAATAAAACTTTTCTCTTTTTATGATATGTGGAGTACATGTATAGTACATTCAATCCCAATCTTTTTCTTTTCTTTCAGACTTTCCCACAGACAGTTTGGAAAATCTTGAAAAGCTTTGGAAAGAAGCTAAATTCACAAGATTAGAACTTAATTCTGACTTCGTGAAAAAACTAGGGACTATAAGACCAGGAAAAACTAAATCCAGTAGAAAGTCGAACATCAGAAATCTGGTTGTGGCGGAGGAGCAGGCAGCTCTGAATGAAACTTTGAATGAAATTACTTCTGCAGAAAACTTTGCATTTAAACCAGATGGGGGCATGGCTGGGCTCCAGAACTTTACAAATACTCAAACAGCTGTGTTTAACAATGGTGCAATGTACATGTCCCCTCAGGGTCAGATTCAACAGGGGATGCCACCACAAGGTATGCTTCCTCAGGTGTCTCAACCCCAAGGTATGCTCCCTCAAGTGTCTCAGCCCCAAGGTATGCTCCCTCAAGTGTCTCAGCCCCAAGGTATGCTCCCTCAAGTGTCTCAGCCCCAGGGTATGCTCCCTCAGGTGTCACAACAACAAGGTATGCTCACAATTGACACAGGTAATACCCAGGAAACACAATCGGACACAGCGCCAGCTTCAACTACAATGACAATGAGCTCGGAAAATCTTCCCCCTCAGGGAGGACAGAATTTAATCTCTACAATGCCACCAGGGATGATCATGCCTCAACCTACCCATCCGGGCCAGGTTTTATTAATTAACGAACATGGCCAGCCTATCGGCTTTGGAGGCCCAACTTTGGAAATGCCAAACAAAGATGGCACCAGTGAACAATCTAGTGGCGCTCCTGGTGGTATGATGTTTCCTCCAGGAATGCCAAATCTGCCCCAGAATTTAGTTCAGACAGGTCCTGGTCAGTTTATGACAAATAATAGCCTCCCCCAGGCATTGATTCTGCCCAATGGACAAATAGTTCCTGTTGTGACTCAGCCTATTGTCATGCCTCCTCCGGGTCAACCAATAAGTAGTAATATGATGATTCCTAACTCACAGGGAATCTTGGCTCATCCTGGTGGAATAAACAATGAAATAAATACCCAATTTACTATGAAGCCTCCAAATCAAGTATCACAGCCACAGACTATGGCACCTCAAGTATCGCAACCACAGACGACGACATCTTCAGATTCTGATTCGACTGTGACATCACAGCCTACATCACTATGCACATCAACTTCAGTGACTTTTACAACATTAGCACAGAACTCACAAACTTCACAGCCCATAGCTATTGGATCATCTATTGCGACTTCTGCGGGTCAGTTAATATGCCAGCCACCTATAATAAGTTCTATGGGGCATCGACCTATAATGCACCAGGTACCAGGCCAGCCAAATCAGGTAAAAGTTTTTAAAAATTCAATTTTGCAGCCTTGGTGTGTTTTTTAGGAAATTTTCCAAATTGTGACTTTGTGTTATGGTTTACACTTAAAAGATTGATTTTGACTCATGGTAAATAAGGTATTTTTACATTAAATTTCACAAATTGAGTAAATTGCATCAGACAAAAAGGGATTGCTGTTTTCCATAAAGCAACTCTCCTACCCTATATAGAAATCATTACAACATTCCTGTGTGTGTAATGTACCTTTCCTTTTACCACAAAGGAGTAAATCTGATCTATCTTCATTAGGTATTCCCAGTTCAGTCATTGATAAAGGTCGTGAAAATTGTTCTTAAAAACTTGTTTTTTTGTTTTTCAGGCTCCTGTTATGATGTCAACCAACAATACATTGACAACAACAGCTACAAGTGATGGCAATGCAATAGGCTCAAATGTAAATTCGGGCCCTGGGCCCAATGCAATAGGCCCAAATGGGAATATAATTGGTCCTGGTGGTCAAACAGTAGGCCCAAATGGAAGTATTATAGGCCTTGGTGGTAATCAGTTAGGCCCAAATGGAACTATGATTGGTATACCTGGCAACATACGGCCCCCAGGGGTGACTGTTAATGGACAGGGGCAGTTGATAGGCCCCCCTGGAGCTATAGGCCCTCCAGGGACAATGTTCAATGGTCCGGGTCATCCCCCATCAGGAAACACAGTAACAGCAACAGTGCTGACATCTAATGGCAAAATTATCATCCAGTTACCACCTGGAGGTCAAATTGACCCAAATACAATAATCACCACCCCTGGATTGGGCCTCCCTGGCAGCCCACTAGGGGCACTGGGACAGAAAAAAGCTGCTGGGCAGAGACTATTGATGCCTAAGCCAGGTACAGGGTCAGTGGTGCGACCTCCAATAGACAATAACACACCTATATCAACATTGTGGAATACACCCCTTATCTCCAATTCTGATAACGAGACAGTGCAGAAGAATCTAAATGAAATAAATCAGAAAACACCAAGTAAAAGTAAAAACGGTAAGAAAAAATCAACCAAGGCGAAAATTAAAGTTGAAAAGAAGGATCCAAGTGCAGGCACTAAGGATGATGATATTCTCGCAAAAGCAACGGCATCCATTTTCTCAAATATTGAAATATCACCTCCTATTGGTGGAATCCATGACGGAGCTCCAGATGAGGACAACCCACTCCAGATTGACATGGGAGCCATGGAACATGACACATATAATACTACAAACTCTCAGAATCTTGACAACTCTCAAACATCTCAGTCAAGTAGTTCACCCAACAAGTCTAAGGAGAACAACGTGAGTGTTAATAACCCCTCTAATCAATCGAACGTAATGATCAGTATCAGGGGTGTCACGACTCATAGCTCAAGTATCACATCTGATGAGGTCACTAATGACGACTCACAGTCTCAACCTGTAACCAGTTGTGAGCCGACAACGACAACTATGACAACCACGTCAAGTGTTTCATCCACTGCCAGTGTGACATCAGTATCCACCCAGATGACATCAAGCACTTCCAATGTGACATTAAGTTCACCCAGTGTGACGTCGCCTAATAAAAATACAAAGAAGGAATCATCTACTATGAGCACATCCCCAAGTACTCCACAGAAACAAACATCTGATACAACAACAGGGATGAGCTCTCATCAAAATAATTCTATAACTACCCCTACAACTGTATCCCCTTCAAGTAAAACTGCAGCCAATGTTCTACTTAGTATGCCTATGATTGGTGGCAGTCCCCCATTAATGGGAAACCCAAGTCCTAATTCATTATCAATGGTCAATACTTTCAACAATACTGTAGGCAATATCAATACAAGTGGAAGCACGATTCCATCAAATATGTTTGCCCATGGACTTAATATGCCTAGTTTCTCAGATCTACAACCAAACCCTAATGCTTTCAACAGAAATAATAAAGAGTCTCAGAAAAAGAAGGAATTTCCCCCTGCTGAAACCCCTAAGAAATCCAAATCAAGACATCAAAGTAAATCTAAAAAAGCTCAACACACAGAAGAAATAAAAGACTCTAAAACTGAAACCCCTCCCAAACCTGATGAACCAAATGAGAGTAATGATGATTTAACTTACAAAGGCTTTTCACCTCTACATACATCAGAAACAAATAAGAAATCATCAAAATCATCGAAAAAAGGTGATAGATCACAGAGTAAACATGAGAAAGTCGAGCATGAAAAACCTTCAAAGAATAAATCTTCAAAGGATGCTGGGAAGGTACCTCCTGTGAGCACTGACATTGTGATGGATACCATTGATAGTGTTGTTAGTAGTTACACAATGCATGACGAATCACCAACTAAAGATTCACCCGAGAAGCAGACCCCAAAGACAGAAACTCCTCCAAAATATCCAGAATTGAAACACTCATTCATACCTGAATCTGATGATCTAGATACAAAAAAATCAAAACGAAAATCAAGGAAAAGTCGGCAAAAATCTGCTGAAAGGGAACCTCTAACAATGCCACCCCCGCCACCACATGAGGAGTCCCAAGAAGAAGTATTATTACCTTGGCAAATTGCTGAAGATAAAAACCAGAATCACATCAAGTCTCCTCCAATAGTAGAACAACCAATGGATTTAGCAATAAAAAATCATGAAGAATCTGTTGCTAAAAAACAGCAAGAGTCACCTATTAGTAAAAAATCCAAGAAAAAAGATAAGAGAAAATCTGTTGAACTTCCCAATACTATAAGCTTCTCAGAGAATGATCTTGAAGATGTCCTCGATCAGGTTGAAAGTTTTGGAAAACCTGAACCAAGAAAATCAAGAACACGTTCGAAACATAAATCAAATACAGACACTGACCAAGAGCCAGCACCAAAGAAGCAAAAGGTAGAAGAGAAGCGTCAAAGTTTGACTGAAGAATTGAAGATCTCCACAGGAACGTCTGATAATATCATAGTAGGGGAGTTGACTCCAGGTACATCAGGGTCTGATCCTAAGAGAAGAACAAGTATTGATTGGGATACAGAGGTGCTTGGGAAGTCAAATGTAAATATGCATAAAAAGTTTAGACCTGAAGGAATTAAGGCTCCATTGGAAGCCAAACAAGCTACGAGTAGAGATGTGTATGATTTTAATGACTTTGATGACTCCCCTCCAAGTGCAACTCTCAGAAAAGAGCCTGGTTTATTTAAATCACCAAAATCTCAACTAAAAGAACCAGTTGAGAAACCCCTTGATCTACCCAAACCCAGGTCACCATTGAAATCTCCTAAACCACCAAAATCAACTAGTGAAACTAAGAAACAGGTGGATAAAATCCCAGAGTACAAACCCCCTCCCCCTCAGGTCTATACACCACCTCAGGTGAAGCGCAAGGACAGAATCCATGAAAGTGAGGCAAAGCTGAAACTTAATGAACACACACGTTCTGAGGCCTCTATTAACCATCCACCCACATCCACGCCAGTTAATAAAGGCAATCAGAGTGATGTTGGAAAAGAAATCAAGGAGAAAGAATCAAAGGATCGGGTACCAGAAGTGACTTCTGCAGGTCCACAGCCCCATTTGTCAACATATCCAATTAAGAAACATAGAATTCAAAGAGCTTCTGAACCCAAGCCCCAGTTAGTGTCAGAGCCTCCTATTGTCACACCTGATGTACCTACTTATAGTGAAGGTAATTCTTCAAGTAAGGCATCATCAAGTGGGGCTCCTTGTACTAGATCTACTCCGCCTGTTAGTGTGGTTGCCTCTGTAAGCACTGTTACTTCTATAAACACTGGTCCAATAAGCAGTGCTGCTTCCCTAAGTAGTAATCCTATAACCAGTGTCCCTTCCATGAGCAGTGGAGCTATGAGCGGTGGTCCTATAAGCAGTGTACCTTCCATAAGCAGTGGTCCTATGAACAGTGTACCTTCCATGAGTAGTGGTCCTCCTGTAAGTACTTTGGCAACAGTAACCAAGACACTCTCCTCAACAGGCATGATCTCTAGTAGTATCCCCACCTTGAGTAGTGGCCCATCTCTAAGTGGGGGGCCACCACTTGCTGTAGTCTCAAAAGACAGCATGCCAAAACTTATTCCAGATAAAAAATCACAAGAGGCTGCGGCACTTGCTGCTGCTGCTCAGAATCGTCATGCTGAAAATAAACTTGAGAAACCAGTTTCAAAATTGCCTCAATATCAAGATCATCAGCAACCACAGGGACAGGATATGAACAGATATCAACAAGACTTCCCAGTGTCTGTGAATAATACAAACACAGCAAACTCACAGTTTGTAGCTCCTAATGTGCAAACGTCCACACAGGCTGTAATGGGGAATACCAGCAAAGACAACATCAATGTGCCATTTTCATCAAACTCAAATCAGTCATTCTCATTTAGTGTAACATCTGCAACTTCAACTCCACCCGCATCTACAGCTTCTAACAGTGTTCCCAAAGCAGTTAGCAGCCATGCAATGGTACCTGCTGCCTCAAGGGTTAACCCAACACCACCCCCTCCAGTTCGACATACAGAAAGACACAAACCAGCTTCAAAACCTGGTGAGAACAGACCAGGCCCATTCCCCTTTTACCCCCTCCATCCATCAATTACCTCCCCTGGTGGAGGGGCTCATAATCCACCAGTCTCCAGTTTTAATAACTTCAGCGGGGAGCGACCTTTAGATTCCAGTATTCCTCCTCTCTCATTCCCCCCTATTTCATTGGATATCCCCAGTGTTGGTGGACCCCAGAGAGGACAGGGCAATTCACATATGCTGCCACAGACCACCCAGATGAACCTTCCCTATGGTGGGCTAGGGGAGGATCAGAAACATACAAGTCAAGCATCATCTCAAATGCATCAACCACCTGGTGGTCTAAACCTAAATCCTCCATTCTCAATGGATATGTCTATGAATAGGCCTCCTAATATGTTTACTTCTAACCCACAGTTGGCACCTGGTAGGGGCTCTACTGCACCACCTTTCAGAAGTATGGCTAATGATATCCCTGCCCAAACCTCAAGGCCATACACACAGAATCCACAGAACATGGAAATGCCCAACTTCTCCATGGGCAGGAATGATGGTGGGAACATGAAGAGAATGTCTCAACAACGCTCAGCGCCCCAAGCCCCCATGCAACCCTCACAGCCTGCCCCACCAAGCAATATGCCCCATCCCAACACACTTACCTCGCCACAGCCCCAACAACGAAGAGGATCATACCCTAATTTCCCCATGCCAGATAACATGCATCCAAGAGAAGGCCATGATTTCCGTGATCTCACTCCATTAAGTGGCCCAGACAAGTCTAGGACTCCACAACACCAAGCACATAACAGAAATGAACCTGGGTACTTCCCTGGTATGCAGCAAAGTGGCCCCCCATCTGGCTCTAACTTGCCACCATCCAACCTGAGGCTGCATCACAACTCTGATGCATCCTCTCAAGCCTCCAATTTTGACCCCTCCCAGAATACCATGCCCCCTATGCCTAGCTTCAGTTCAGCAACATTTGATCCACCAATGCTGCAGCTACCTACTGATACCAGTCCCGCTCCCTCCCAGCCCCCTCCCCCTCAGGCCCCTAGCTACCCCACAAGCCAGCCCCCAGCTCAACCCATGAGGAAACCCAGCACAGATAGATCAACAACCTCCAGGAAAGAGACTACCCAACCTCCAAGCAGTAGCGCTCCAAGCAGTAGGAGCTCATCAAAATCCACAAAATCCAAAGCTAAATCTAAAAGTAAATCAAACAATGCAAATAGATACCATGAAGTTGACACTAATCTCTCAAACTCTATATTTGAGCAAGGACGTAGCATGACACCATATTTCTCACACCTTGGAATCCCATCACCCCCTCCCTCAAGGAACATGCAGAGTAGTGAGATTCCAACCTATTTGCCTAGTAATATATTTGGAGGTCCTCCTCGACCTTTATCCAATGCAAACAATAGTCAGTTTAACAAGCAGGACCTTGGTAACCCATATGCACTGTTTCCCCCGCCTCCCCGACACCAAAATGGTATGGGGTCCCTTGGGTTCCAGCCAACTGGGTTCAGCATGAATCCGATGCATGGGCAACCCTCGAGTCAATCTCTACCCACTCACTCCTCTGTAGGTGTGACCCCCCATGTTCCAACATTCAGTTTGAGTAACATTTTCCCAGATATCAACTCACAATCAAGTGACTCCATTAACATATCTCCAATAAAATTTCCCCATGGCAACCCCATGTTGCCCCCCTCCCAATCAAGTATGGACCACCCTTCTATCCCGGCCCACCAGCCAGGGTCCCTCTATCAACATAGGCCCTCACCTGGGGTGCTTCCTGGGGGGTTAGGACTCCTAGGGCAGCATCACCATCAAATGTTTGACCCCCGCGTTCCACAAGGCAACCCAAATATGGGACCCCATACATTCCATGGTCATCCAGGACATCCGCCAACTTTTGGATTTCCACTTTAAAAATTGCTGATAAGTGATCCAATTCCCTAAAGAAGATTACTCCTGCCCCATAAGGATATTGCTTGTTCAATGTTCCTTGGGAAATATGTTCACAAAATAGGCCAGTTACTCAAATCGACAGTGATATGCTCATATAGTGTGTATTCACTGACATGTTCAAGTAGAAACTGCAATTGTAATTATGCATGTAATGAATTTCAAAGCCAGAAATGTTTTTGTTCATATGAAACAGGACATTCACTTGAGAGCTTTGTGCAGCCTGGAAATAGAGTGTACAATCTTGTTAAAATATAGTTATAATTTTTTGATCAGCTGTAAAGTTGGCTTGGTATGAAATCTATAGAAAGTGTATAACATGTACATGTACTTATCAGTTGATCCATTCAGAGATATCGATACTTATTAATCAAGATTTAAGCATAATTTAAGAAATATATATTTATTGCATAATAACCAGAATTCCCTCATAGAATTGTATATAATCTAAAGCAATATGTCTGAATATGTCGGATTAAAATCATAGATACCTATAATTGCAACTCATTGTAATGAAATTTGAACGACATGGAAGTTCAAAATCTTGATAACATGGAAGTTCTTGGAATCTTGATAAAGCACTCTCAATCATAAACTCAAAACGAGTGACACTACTCGCCTGATTTATTGTACCGCATAATATTAGTTGATTCATATTTATCTTATTTTTGTATGGGGTAAAACCATATTGTCTGTGATACAGTCCCTTCAATAGTATGAGCTTAAATAGGACAAAAACAGCGCAAATTACCTATAGTCTAAGCGCTTAATACATATAAACACATTTCACGCTTATTTCTTACTAATTTTGTAAACTTAATTTCAGCTTCAGTTGGTGAGCGAATGCATTTTGACTTTATAAATGCAAATTCATTCACACAAATCAAAGCAAAAATCTAACATATTTAGGATGATGATTATTATTCATATTATTTCTGAATCTTTGGGATCCATAGAGTGTTTTATTTAGATATAAGCAATTACAGGCATCCATGATTTTTTATTTATTTTGATGAAATAATGTTTTGAAAGGAGACAGCTTGCTTTCAGGTTTTGAATAGAAAATCCTTAAAGTTTGAGTGGAAAATTTTAAGGTTTTAAGTATAAACCCTTAAGGTTTGAGTAGAAAACCCATAAGGTTTTAAGTATAAAACCCTTTAAGGTTGAGTAGAAAACCCATAAGGTTTCAAATAGAAAATCTTCCTTAGTGTAGGCTAATTATTAGTGATTTAATAAAACAATCACGTAATTATGTGAGACATGCATTGAATGTTAAAAATGAAATTATGTGATTTAGAAAGGAGAAGTGTTTACTAGGGAAGGGTCTTTAAACAATGTCATATTAAGCCACAATTATCCATGAATTTTTAGGACCCTTCTCTGCAATATTTACCCTAAATGTACTAGTATTTAGTACTTTGTAGGGTATTTACATGTCAAAGAGAATCATGGTTGTACTTTGTAAAGAGAAAGAAAATGTAGTTGTTAATGTGTAGATGGTTAGACATAAAATGTAGAATGTAAAACATGAAGTAGTTAATGTACAGAAAAACTTGTAATATGTGAACACTTGTTAAGATCCAGTTTTGGATATCCAATTGACTTGCATGCTAATGTTGGAACCCCTCAATGCGAACGCTTCACTTTAAACACGTTTTACAGACAATACAAAAATGTTAGTTTAAAAGTTATTGTATTTTGACAACCAATCAATGCAATGTTTTAGTAGTCAAAATCATGAAAATTAATTTGTGAAATTTTGTAAAAAATGGGTGTCTATTTGAACAGGTAGTGGGGAATGATACAAAAACTTGATGTAAGACTGAAAAAGTTGCTTTTGTCTCGCTAGAGCAGAGCCAGTATTTTACAATTAATACAAGACTGTGCATTCATATTGGTAAAAGGGATATCTTAATCAAATACACATCACATTTTGAATGCATGATAAAGCGTTTAAGTTTGTCCTAAGCAGCCCAAAAGTAAACTTTTTTAAAGTTGTGTCATCAATTAATTTAATGCAAGGTGAACATCTGTAGAACACCTCCCATGTAGAAAACCTTCCAAGTAGAACACAATATTGGGGTACCAAAGGTATTCTACTTACAAAGGTTTTATTGTAATTGTAGTTTGCATACAGTCTATGCACTATGCCTCTGTTGCAGACATAGTGCAAATGGTCGTATTTGGTAGTGTAACTGGTATTATGTCAAAGTGCAACTGGCCATATTTTAGTTCAACTATGCATGGTGCTGTTTTGTGTTCAGAGAATGGTTAGTAGATTTTTAAACTTAATTGAAAACATTTGACTTAATAAAAATCATGTCTTAACACCAAACTGAAGATTTAATATATATATAGTCAAAATGCAAATATGTTAACCTGTATATTTAAATGTTTTGGGACAGCCTGTATAGTTATACAAATGTATATACTTATGTTAAACCCTATAATGTGCTAAGTGCCATATTTTCTTTGTCTTGCACTTGTGGTTGGAAAGTTCAATTTTATAAAATGTGTTTAAGTTGGTCAAGCTTAATCAACTAGACTACCTAACTTATTTCAATATAAACAAATACATATTTTGCTTTTATATTGTGCATGATTTATTGTAAATATTCCTATATATATTATATATATATATATGTATATTGTACATATTGTAAATTTGTGTATTGATAAAGAGATATAGTTTTCTAAAATGACATATTTTAATGTACAGAGTAGCAGCTGCTTTTATAAACAAACAATGTAGCCAATAAATTGACTGAACAAAACTGTTAAAATTACAATTCATATATGGTTTGTTGGTTGCATAAGACATAATAAGACACTCCTGAGTCATTGAAGGTAAATTCTACCTGGAGATCATGAGGCAATACTAAAATATAAAAACATTATGGCTTTATTCATTTCTTCAGAGAAAAAAAAATGTACTATGTCAAGACTTTCGACCCGAATCCACAAGTCAAAAGGTTGAAAGCCTCGATGAAATAATTCTCTGAAGAACCAGAGATGAACTTAAATAGCACTATATCAACATATACAGATATAACTTTTTATGTTAGGCCTAACCATGGGAGATTTTGGTGGGCCAATAGAAATAAGTCCAATGGAATGTTTTTTTCACAAAAAGAATTTAAAGGATATATTAGCCCCACTTTATTCATTTGAACATGATGTAGCTGTGGACTTTTATGCTTGCTCATGCAGACTCCATATCCGTTCATGGATAGAAACGGTAGAACTCGTGAATTGAAGGATATCCTCTATTATTTTGGCCTGCGACTCAAGCATTCTCCTTCAATCTACACTTTATTATTACGAGACGTTTATTTGTCTAATCATCATTTGATAAAATATGGATCCTTATTCAGGTATTGATTTCGGGATTGTGAAGGCCATTTAAATTGCTGATAGCAATTTTGTCTCATTATACCTCTTCAGTCTCATTCTTGCTTTACACAGACTAATGATCATATATCTGTCCTAGTGTTTACTTAACTGAAATAGAATTTTAGTAATATAGAATTTGTAATACATATTGATCACATTAAGAGTACATTGCAGCAATTAATGCTCAATATTTTAAATGGCCATTAAAAGTATTTGAACGCTTTGAGAATGAATCAACTTCAAACCTTTGAATAATTTAAAACACAGAAACTTAACTGAGTTGCAAATCCCAACTAACAAAATATGATTCCCAAATTATTATGGAGTTTTCCGAACGATTTTTACGAAATGTTTTTGGGTGCACTCTTGAATATTTTTCATTGGAATGTCCAAGTCTTGCATTTGGATAGCCATCTTGAATTTCAAAGAGCATAAATCAAAAAACAATATATGAAAGTGGTAATCTGCTGTTAAATATCATTGAATTACATGTAATAAAGGCATTATAATATATGATAAAATAAAGTTACACTTTTGAGAAGTTTTAAAATGTTCTTGAGGTCGGCATCAAAAACTCAGGATATGCATTGATGACTGTTCATCCATCCATAGCCAATCCTTTTATTACCTATATATCTTAATAAAGCTTGTTCAATCTTGGAAATATCAGACAAATATTCACATGATTTATAGTAGGGAACATTTGATGAACCTATGTTTGGTAGTCACTAACACCCTAATTTGCATGATTTATGACTACTATTTCATAATATATCTAGGATTTGCAGTTGAGGGGGAAGGTCATTTTGAAACACCCTGTATAAATCACATATTACAAATTAATAAAGCTAGATTTTTTAACTGCCTCAATTTGAAAAAAATTACTTTTAGGAAAATATATTTGATCATTAAGTCCATCTTTGGGATTTTGACAGATGGAGTGAAAGCCTCGCTATGTCCCTACAAAACTCTGTAACTTGAAATTCTATCCATAAGAAGCCATCTCAACTTGCTGAGTTTAAAATGGTGTGTTATGGAAACCTTTTAGTCAATTTGACCAAACCTTTTAATAAACTAAACAATTGATGTAATGTAAATAACAAGGAGTCTGGTTAATGCAAAGTCAATTGTCAGAAGTAAAACATAGCGCTATATCATTGAGAACCTTTTAGTCCATTTAAGATTTAATCAATACAAATAATGGTGATACCAATTTTACAAAGTTAATGTGAGCTAAAGGAACAACATCTGATGTAGTAAGAATGATTCAAAGATTTTAAAAATATTGAGATTTCAGATTTATAAGGATTATTGTATTATGATCTTATATACATGAACAGTGTGTAGTATTAAGTTGAATAAAGATTAGAGAAGGAATCAAATTGAAGCAGAGAAACCAATATCATTTGACAGTGAAAGAATCTTAAAGAATCAAAAACAAGGAAATACTATAAGTAATTTCACTTTCCAAGCAGCACCAATGGATGAGGAAAGAATTACTGAGATGAGTGAAACAAATTCTGACAAAAACAAAATTGATATGAAGGAACTGTAGAAACCACTACTACATAGCAATGGTTTCTATTAATGCTACTAGATAACAATGGTTTGTTGATTATAATCACTACATAGGTGACTTTTAGGTACAATAACTGGAATATAAGTACATGTAGTTTTCGTGTAAAAACAATAAGCTAAAATGTCACCTTAATTATTGAAAAGATTCAAGAGACGAGTTCCTTTAGTGTAGCCAATCCTTCACGATGAAAAGATTAATTAGTGACTTTGCAAAAACAACAACTGGCCATGGCTGGGGAAATATTCATGAGAGAAAATCAAAGTGTACAAAAGTAGCATGGTTAATTTTCTGCATAGCAAGCACAATCGCCTCTATGGGCCACGTTACATCTATCATCTACAGGTACAGCCTCTTTGAGACAAAGGACAGGGTGTTAGTAGAACGCCAAGATCTTTTATTTCCTTCAGTCACTGTATGTCCACTGACCCAGCTTTCTAAACAAGGCATTTCGAAATTTGTTCAAGATATGATGAATGGAGAAGATGCAGCGTTGCCTATATCAGTCTTGCAACGATTATTTTTTGAGATGGTTCAAATAGACCGTAACTCAACCTTGTTCACAGAGGTATCTTCAGAAAAACAACAATTCTATGAAAAGTTCTACAAGAAACTGTACAACTATCAAGGTTTTTATGAAAATGTACCAACGATCACAGAATATGGTCATAAGAAACGTGACTTTATCTCATCCTGTATGTATCAGGGAAAACCCTGTTCAGATGAAGATATCCATTCAGTAAAACATTACTATTATTTTAACTGTTTTACATTTAACAATGTCAATACCACACTTTCTAACCCTTACATCAATTCAACTGGCCCAACAGGTGGTCTTTCACTGCAGTTATTCTTAGACAAAGATGAGGATTTGTTTGCGATATTCAACGCAGAGTACCCAACTTCTGGGAGCCAAGGTGTCAGAGTTGTTATACACGAGAAAGGGACACTACCAGATCCAGAAAATGAAGGATTCGAGGTGGAAAGTGGTCACTCTGTAAATGTAGCATTGTCTGCTAGGCGACGTGATTTGATGAAACCACCCTGGGGAGAGTGTACTGATCACCCTCTATTAGATGAAGGGGGCTTTGCATACGACTCACAAGTTTGTCAAATGAGATGCCTCCAGAAGATGGTTTATAAATCGTGTGGATGTAAACTTGGATCATTACCCATGTACCCAGATATAGAAGATGTCCAATTCTGTAACAAAATTCAGTATAACGAATGGTTAGAGAAAAATCCAAATATAACTGCACTGCTCAATGACTTGGAGAAGCTACAATGCGGGATGAATGAATACAATTGGGATGTTGTACTTGACCAGGATGACTGTCAATGTAAGGACAACTGCAGCTTCCACACATATGACATGACACTCTCACAATCTCAATGGCCAAAACAGGGGGTAGAATTCGACTTTTATTGCGGGAAGATTGCACTCCTTCCAAATTATAACAACTCCAGTGTTTATAAAGCTTACCATGACCAAATGAAGGAATTTTGCCAAAAATTGTACGTGGTTTATTCAACCAGCTGGAATGAAGTGAAACAAGAGATAGGAGATAGCTTTCGACAAAATTTTATCCGTTTGAATGTGTATTTCAAAGATTTGAAGACAAATATAATCAAACAGGAAGCTGATTTTACGCTTGGGTCAATGGTATCAGAGATTGGTGGAAGTCTCGGAATATTCATTGGAGTATCGATAATTACAATGGCTGAGGTTTTCATACTTTGCTTGGACATTATAAGGGTATTAGGAGAAAAGTCGAAAGTCAAGTCATCACAAGATCCAAAAGGTGTAAATCATGGTTCTAAATAAATTCATCTGGTTAGTCTTTCTAAATTAATCATATTTTCCTTTTGTCTTAACCATACCTTGTTTTTTAATTTGTGACGTTTCGTCCAGCATGGTCGCTTGACTTTTTCGAACTGCTTGAAGTTGATACTTGATCTTGAGAGTTAATTAGCACTTTATTCCACAAACTTGATAATTCGTGATTGCCTGAGTCTCTGATTGATGTCTCTGATTGTGGACTGACTAGGTATACAAGAAGTGTTAGGAAAGAAGCCCAGTCATCATATGGGAAATCAGCAGTCACTGATCATGTGCGTCAGATGAACCATGTAGTTGATTGGGATAATGTCAAGGTTATAGACAATGAAGGTCAGAGAAATAAACGGTGGATAAAAGAGGCAATTTACATAAAGAAAGAAAAACAGTGTATGAATAGAGACTCAGGCAATCACGAATTATCAAGTTTGTGGAATAAAGTGCTAATTAACTCTCAAGATCAAGTATCAACTTCAAGCAGTTCGAAAAAGTCAAGCGACCATGCTGGACGAAACGTCACAAATTAAAAAACAAGGTATGGTTAAGACAAAAGGAAAATATAATTAATTAAGGTGTAAATCATGGCAAACAGGGGCCAGAAGACAACCAAGAGATTAATAGTGTCTTCACTGTACATAAGTAAAACACAGTTTATATCAGCATATGTATACTGTATAATAATATGATCTTATGTACATGTACATAACAATCTCACATTTCTATCTTGAAATCTTGAAGATAATTTGGTCTTGAAAGATATTCAATGAAATATGTGATTCTATACAATTAATATTATTCTGTAAGATGTAACATAGTACTCTGTTTTATTAATGTACAAAAGTTATACATATTTAATTCTTAGATATTAACTAATAGAAAGACTCATAGACGATCATATCAAGTCTTGTAAGCCACCATTTGCTGGTTGTATTTAACTAAAATCTATATCTGTATGTGTAACAAAATGTATTATACAAGTGAAACTATATTAAAATACATATTAAAATAAATAAAGATTGTTTGGGTTGTTTTACATGCATTTCCTCGCACTCTTGTTCAATAGGTTAAAGGCCCCATATAAAAAAACACTTTAAAATGAATAAATTATCTTTTCAAAATATATAGGGCGCCTTTAAGAAAGTGTCTTATACAAATTATGCCAATGTTTCTTACATGCAGAAAATGTGTAACTACCAATATAGTTTTTTAACAACATTCATTCTTAAGAAGTTTAAATATACATCAATATCCTAGTTCAATAACTTTAATTCACTAGCATATAAAAGTAATAACAATATAATAGATAAAATACACGGCATTAACATGACAAAATGTCAAGTCAGATTTGAACTTCTGAGAACTTGTAGATGATTTTGAAAAAAATTGGTCAATTTGAAGCAAGATGAAAAAAGACCTTTTTGACTTTAAGAATGTCATTGAAGGTCAAATCTTTTTTTACCTTGTGAATGTCATTGAAGGTCAAATCTATAGTCAGATTTAAACTGTTGAGAACTTGTAGATGATTTTTTTTTTAAATTTGGTCAATTCAAAGCAAGTTGAAAAAACACCTTTTTGACCTATTTTGACCTTGAGATAACTTTGAACTTCTGATAACTTGTAGATGATTTTGAAAAAAATTGGTCAGTTTGAAGCAAGTTGAAAAAAGACCTTTCTGACCTTGAAAGGGTCATTAAAGGTTAAATCTTAAATATAATGTCAGATTTGGATTTGAACTTCTGAAAACATGTAGGTGATTTTGAAAAAAATTGAAGTCAGTCTAAACAGTATTTTTTAGTTATTGGAAGTTGTAAGAATTTGTTACAGACGCCTATCTGCAACCACCAACAACCAAAACCAGAGACCATAACAATATGTCACCATTTTTTTGTGGTGACATAATAACAATGACAGGAAAAACATGAGATGAAGCTATTAAGTTGTATTCTTAGAATTGGCAGATCCTATACATATATGTATTCTACAACAATACAGCATCGCATTCATTGTCAGGTGCTGCCATCTGTATTTATCAAATGTATAAAAACCAGAAATATAGGTTTCAACAACTAATTAATTGGCATTTATAAATTGCATATTTAAGATGGGTGAGTAAAAATCAACACTCGGTGCTTTTATCATTTTCCCAGATACCATTCAGTCCATCATTACACCCTGCGTTTTTCCGCTATGCCATTTAATAATTGATGGATTTTGTATATTTACTAACTAATCTTGACTCAATACAATTGATGTAATTACACATCTAGGGCTTGATGACTGAAAATAAAAAGCCATCTTTTGTCACTGAATAAATACCTTGAGCTCCTTTCAGTTTAGTTATGTCAATTGAATGCTAAGTTAGAACAAGTTAAATGATTTTTTTTCCATTCACTGGTATGTGACCTGTGGGTGGTGAAAACCTCTGATGGCAGGTGGAAAATATATATGCCTGTCCAACATATGATTTAATATTTTAACACATACAGTATATTAACAAGGCATTAACATGCAAAATGTCTCCATCTGCAATTTGTTACAGATGCTGAACACCGAACACTGCCAATCCCTGAACACCATCCACAAAAAGATGGAGAATCACAATGTGTCAACACTTGAGGTTTTGACACATAAAGTATAACATGGCTATATCACAAAGTGGATTTTGCTTCAATGGTGGTTAGATTTGCTCTCTGCTGTTTTCAAACGGGCATTTGAATTAGCCAGCTTACTGAACTGTTCTCTGCCCTATCTTAAGGTAGTTTTACACTCACAAAATTAGTTGACTTTTCAGTTAAATTTCTTCAATTTGAGGGCTATACCCATTCAAAGTATTTGTTATTGACAAAAGAAATTAGTTAAATCTGGTTAACAACTACACTGTATTAAAAAAACAAAAACAGAGTTCTGTTTTCAATGAGATTCCATGGCAATGTTTTAATCCATTCATACTTTCTATAGATTGATTTACTATATTACATAACAATTATCAAAAAACATATATTCTAAAAGAAAATAACATTGCAGCAGCTAAATACCGTATTTCTGGAGAATAATCTAGTACTAAGTACATACAACAAGTCTTCTCGAAAATCACAAAGATTCCCATACTAAAACATAATGCTTGTTTGTATGAGTGCTTCCTGGGATATATATTACCATATATAGACATCACTATTCAGCAGACCAAATATGGAAGTCACTATTCAGCAGACCATATATGGACATCACTATTCAAAAGACCACATATGGATGTCAATACTCAGCAGACCATATATGGACAACACTATTAACAGGCCACATATGGAAGTCAATACTCAGCAGACCATATATGGACAACACTATTCAGCAGAAAACATACAAACTGCAATATCATGTGTGCACCGGTATAAAATAAAATACTGTTGTAAATGTACATTTATGTGTACGAGGTAGAAGAGTGTATAAAATATGCTTAATATTAATTAATATCATATATATATAATGTCTGAGATACTAAAGATTTACATGTATTTGTATACTAAATATACAGTAGTCCCTGGATTTCTCTGTACTGGAGAAGGTACATGTACAGTAAAACCTGTCTTGAGTGAACACATCTTTGATTAAGTAAATAATATGTTAACCTTGAGTGAGGTTGAGGAAACTTGGGATGTGTTATAAAGTTCACTGCAATTTATTATAAAATCCATCACAGTACCCATAACTAAAAGTGCTGTGGTGGTACATTGGGCCAAGGTCTCGCATTCCCTTCTTTTCCAAAACCTGATCTAGCTCTATGAAACTCCAGAACACTTGAATTTTCTTTCATGACTTCAAACTCAGATTTGTAAGGATTGTAGCATGTTGAGTTATGATTGGACATAGACTTTGGAATGAGTAATTCCTTCTCTTGTAATGTGCCACCATTTCCAGGAAACACACCACTAAAAATACTGGGCTTGATTTTTGAATTTATATGACTGTTTTCCTCAGGTTTGATTTCTCCATTCGCCCCTTTCATATCGTCATTTCCATACTTGGACTGTTCCAAATTGGTTGATTGGTTGAGTCCATGTGGTAACATAGGGGTGATGAGTCTTCCTCCCTCCGTGAGAAGGTGCCTAGCTCCATCTATTAATGGCCTGCCCCCTAGAATGAACTCTCCTCTTGATATGGCTTGACCTTGTGGTACATGAAGGCACTCCTTGCACATACCCTGGATGATCTGTCTATGTAGGGCTAGGAACACCTTGCCACATTTGAAGCATTCCTCCTGAGCCTCCCCTGAAATACAATATACAATGATGAATTCATTAAAGTATCACTTTGCATCATTTACAAATAATCAATAAAGGGATCATCTCTACAAATATAAAAAAATAGGAAGGACAATTTTTTGTTACACTTGATAACGCAGATTGAAGCCAGAAAATTGTGTGTACTGGTTCCTGGTACTGGGTTGGCAATAAATGTCATTTAATCTCTGCATGCAAAGATGGGTGAGTAGCCATGAGAGTGACCTGTTTTACAATGTTCTACTGGACTATATAAATCTGGATTTACTTATTTGATATGGTTTACATGAGTTTTTTGTGTGTATTTATGTTGTCCAAATGGCATTTTGATCCTTTAATAGGAGATGGTAGCATGACCTTGACCTCAATGGGATTGACCCACATGAACCTTGTAAACTCAAAAAAACTTATACATGCTGACTTTAAATCCCCAGTAACATAATACAATAAAATAAAACTTAGGAAATTCTAGTGTTTCACCATAGTAAAGAGTGACCTTAATAAGGTAAGGTATGATATAAATCTTAATTGAGTAAAGCTCTTTCATTACAACTTTAAGCTTAATTTTCCTCGTCAATTTAAGTTTTGCCTCTCCTAATATTAACCTCTTGAATCCCAGAATCTAAAATCGGTTGAAACCAGAGAATTTTCATTTTTGCCACTTTTTGAGATTTTACTACATAGTACATACCATGGGCTTTCAATAGATTATTGAATGTGCATGTACAGACCTATACAACTTAGTTCAACTTAGTTAAATTAGATGGCAGAGATCATTTCAACACATTTTAAAACAATTTTTGTGCAAACAGGATGAAAATTGTTCAAATACATGTAAGAGCAATTTTAGTGATAAATTGTGACTGATTTTCTCGTCACTCTGGGTTTCAAGGTCATTTCTGAGGTGACGAGAAATCTTGTCACTCCAGGTAGTCAAGAGGTTAAATACTGGCTACACCCCTGTACACATACCTTGATGAGTCTTGATGTGAGTGCGCAGATTGCACTGCAGGGCAAACCTTTTACCACAGAGGACACATTCATGTGGCTTGTCACCTGGAAATATACAAATGATGATGTGTTAACCTAACCGCCACAGTCAAACATTACATTCTGATTGGTCCACTGGAGGAATTTGATTTTGGAATCTACTTTGTGCCACATTTGACTTTACTTTGAATATTTTAAAAGTAACATTTTTGAACCTAGTAGAATGCAGAATGTATCTCAGAAGGTTACAGTTTGTAGTTCAATTTTCAACTTTTCAATTTCGTTTACTTACGTAGACTTCTCAGAATTCTAAATTCTGAGAATTCTGAAGAATAGACAGACACAAGTAATTTTATAGGCTCACCAAGGCAGCCAACAAATCACCTTTGCAAATATGATATAGTACTTTAGTCCATTCTATCATCAAATGCCTTTACCATGATATTACATGAAATACTTAGGAGTTAACAGAAAACAGTGAGACATTTGTACATACCAGAATGCAACAATAGATGGTTCTTCAGGTTGGTTTGTTTGCTGAATCCACGGTTGCAGATATCACATTTGAATGGCCAGGACCCATTGTGTACATACATGTGGCTCTTGAGGTCTCCAGGTGTGGGGAATGATTTTGAACACAGCTTACACTTATGAGGCTTTTCCTGAAAAATAAGGTATAGATTCTGCAGAAATCATAAGTGAAATGTTAACAAACAGTACCACTGTTTGTTTGACTACTGGCTCCCAGCCACCTTGACAGATGCCTGCATGCCACGTGACACAAGACGACAACAATACAGTACTTTTTCATGCGTGCAATAAAAATGCTGTAACTTGGTTATTTTTCTCAAACTTTCACAGTACATTAGAATATTACTCAACAATATACATGTACAGTTAAAAAGACATTCAGAAATGTAAAACAACCGATTAAGGTAACTTCATTTTTATCAGTACTTATTGCATGTCCTGTAAATGTACATGTTTAAATCTTTTTCCATTCACTAGATCTAACTAACATGGTTTTGGAATGAGCCCATGCTCATACCTATGTAATTGTGCGTCACCTCTACGTTTTATTGTGTATCATCCTAACATTATTATGTGTCATCACTTATTGTGTGTCATCCCTACCTTATTGTGTGTCATCCTGTGATAATACAAATTAGAGCTGGCGGTGAAACGTTTTCCGCAGACTTGACATTGATGTGGCTTCTCCCCAGAATGAATCCTGCGATGTGTGTTGAGGGAACTTGATGTTGAGAATGCCTTGTTGCACACTTCACACGCATGTGGTTTTTCACCTGAAAAATAATCCAATATAAGTACCTTATAATAAATATAATAAATATAACAAGGAATGGCAGACCGGCCAAGCTGCTAAGTCATCATCAAAACATTATCATTCAAATTTTTTCACATTATCTGAATCCATCACAACAATTCCACCTTGTGAGCTGTAAAAATGAAATGAGGAAACCATGAACATGTAGGCTATTCACTAAAAACAGAATGGAATTTGTAACATAAATGTACATTATATCTGATTAAATTTGCATTTTTAAGTGTAGCATTGGGAGCACTTACCTGTATGAACCCTGGTGTGACGTCTCAGCAAAGATGGCCTATCAAACTTCTTCCCGCAGACCTCACATGGCAGCCATGTTCTCTCCCTGCCCCTTCTAGCAGCCAGACTGTCACCTATTGTAACGTCACTGTTTGGGCTACTGGGTGCCTATTGAAGAATGTGCACTGTCAGTGGGTTGAACAATTTGCTACTTTTCATACATATTTAAAGAATAATTGAGTGAAGATAATAGGTTTGCAGTACATATTTTCAAAGTATATGTCACATTTGAGATGGAGTAGAATAACTGAACAATAATAATTTTAATAATTTTTTTATTTATTTTTGTGTCATACCTTAGATAAATGTGTGTCTTCACTGGTAGATGTGACATCACCTACTGATGTCAGGTCTATTCCAGGAGGTTGCATCTCATCTGGCTTTGATATCAAACTTTGTTGGGATGTCACACTTGAAGATGACATCAGACTTCTTGGTGATGTCATACTATGAGGTGACATAACACTGTTAGGAGAACCCATAAATCGAGGTGACATCATGATTTTGGGGGAACTTGGCTCTAGATGAGGTACAGCTTCATGTTTAACAGTGGTCGCCATTTCTGGAGATTGATGACGCATCATGATGTCAGATGACCTCAATGGTGACATGACATCTATCTTTTTCCTTATAAGGGGCTCAGAAGTATGACGAGATCTTGGTGCTTTGTCATATGAAAGTAGATCTCTATGTGAATATCTAGGATGTGTGAAATAAGGGTGATATGCATATCCAGGGTGGTCGCCTCTATTGACCAGTAAATTGGCTTGATCAGGTGCTCCATAAAACAGAGGCCTACCATGGTGATATGATGAAGGGTATGGTGCAAGTCCCGTAGAGAGATGAGGTAGATAAGGTGGGTACCATTGGCTAACAGGGGGTGATGTTTGACTAGTATTGCAATATAATGGAGACATGGCAGAAAATATCTCAGGATTTTTATCTTTATCGTGAGAATCATTTTTTTCTTTGTCTTTAGTTTCGAGTAAACTTGAGATTGAGAAACTGCTTAAATGTTTAGGAGCACTGAGACTTTTGCTCTCAGTTTTGTTTTCATTAAATGCCTTCTGGCTTGAATCATCTGTATTCTTGTCACTTTCTATAGCATTGTCATGTGTTATATTAATGGCTCTTGATTCTTCCCCAACCATGCCCTCTTTTCCCTTGATTGTGCTTTTTTCTCTGACTCTGCTACCATCTTTGATTGTGCTTCCATCATTGATAGTGCTAACATCTCTAACTGCAATTTCCTCTTTGATTGTGCTTCCATCATGGATTGTGCTAACATCTCTAACTGCAATTTCCTCTTTGATTGTGCTTCCATCATTGATAGTGCTAACATCTCTAACTGCAATTTCCTCTTTGATTGTGCTTCCATCATGGATTGTGCTAACATCTCTAACTGCAATTTCCTCTTTGATTGTGCTTCCATCTTCAACTCTATGTTTGATTGTGACTTTACTTGTACTCTCTCTCTTGCTTCTATTTGTTTTCATAACATTTTCATCACTTTGAATGTTGTCACTGGATTTGTTCTCACAAGAGATATTACTGTTTAATTCATTATTGCTGCTGTACATTTCTCTATGGCTGCTATCATAATTTATCAAATTGCTAGGTCTGTTTATAATACTGCTTTGGCTAGTGTCAACTGTTTTATAAATATTGCTGTTACATTCTACATTGCTTTCTTGTTCCATATCGCTATTATGCACTGTATTGCTGTTATGTTCTATATTGCAATCATGCTCTATGTTGCTATTATGCTCTATGCTACTACTATTATCTACATTACTAGCTATTCCATTTCTGGCAAGATTTGCATTGTTAGTATTTTTGACAATAGTGTCCTCCTGGTTATTCATGTCATTATATTTGACAAAAGTCTTCTCCTGAGAGTGAGATTCCTGAGTGTTGCACGCTGACATGCGTAATACTGAATTTGAAGTATGAGGTAGAGAAAGACCTGAAAAAACAGGCGTGAATATAGAGCGACCCATAAAACTAGGTGCTCTTTGTGCTAATGAGTGGAGCTTATCCAGTGCCCCAGGGCTGTAAGGAGCTTGTCTTGATCCTAGAGCCAAAGTGGAATATAGAGGCCTGTGTGGCTCTTCGTGTGGAATATACACAGGAGGTCTCACCATATAAGAGGTATGTGCTTTGGTATCAGACGACATAAATGAACGATCCCTCACAGTATTTATTCCAGCATCTTGGCTTCTTTCTGATTGAGAAATTGACAGGTCCCTCAATGTTTCTGTTTGTCTTCCCCCAGGGTTGAGATGTGGGCTAGGGCTTGGTGGACCCATAAGGTTGGCAGGGCCTGGTGGGTGCATATTAAAGGTAGGGCTTGGAGGTCCCCTATACTGCAAATGTTCTGACATATATTGAGCAGTTGCCCTGTGTTTTGGCAAATTGCGCCCCTGAGTATATTTGTGAGAAGTAGAGGTAGAAGTGTTGCCCTGAGTTGCCATGGAGGAAATGAGATTTCTGCTTGGAGAATCAAGCCTGGAGAATGAATCTGATTGGTCGATGGCATCTGTACCTGAAACAGACACATATCTGAAAATATCAATTACCAATCTCAATTGACTTGATAAATTAATAGAATAATTTATTATAAGAAGGCATGGAATCATGGGATTTATTTTTAACATTTATTTTTCACTTTATACATATACTGTATTTTTTGCTTTTTTCAATAGTTTTGATACTGCTGCTATGTTTCACATTTTTAAAGTAAGATACGTTTATAATTCTTTAATACAAATAATCATCTACATGTATGTTGCTGTTGTGACTGAAATCAATGCAATATGATAACAAGGGACTAATTTTTTGATAAACTGAACTTAATTGAAAGAAAATGAGAAAGAATAGTTTGTGCCATCTCTATCTGAATTATGTGTCAATCCTATCTTGTAAAATCAGAACATTTTGAAGTAGTATGTAAACAATAATTTGTATTCAGTTTTTTTAATCAATCCGTTCTATTTTATTGTCATATATCATACAAGTCATATTGAACTGTTTCTAACCTTTCTTAAACGCTGATACACTGAAATTACAATAATGTTATACCATCTTTTACTTATTTCTTTATATTTCATTATTCATACATTGTAATTAATGTAGTTTTTGTATTTCATTGTATGTTGTCTTGCTTATGAGAATCTCTAATAATCTTGAATCTCTCGTAATAAGAGTGAACTTACCTTATTGCTCTCCAAGAGGGATTGATTGAACAATCCCTGTGTTATACCAATAGACTATCTTTCTTGAGTCATCGTTCTCATACACACGGCCACCTCCAACACTGATTGGTGGAATGAATTTAATAATTTGGAAAATGACGTCACTATGTATGTTCGCAACTCACGTCTATGATGTTGGCATGGTATCGGCAATGAGTAGAAGCAATCGCAGCCGATTGGTCAAATATGCCATCTATTGCAGTTGCAGTCTGACGGAACCTTGCCCAAGCCAAGTCTGAAACATAAAATATAACAGGGTCTATTAAAATCAATATTTTTACAAACTAAATATTTTGAAAAAATCACGATTTTAAGATTCGGAATTTTGTGTTTTTTCTATTTAGATTTTTAAACTTCCAATTTTGTGATAAATATGTAATTAACTATTTTGACTGTTATACTTGTATGTCACATTAATCATTGAACAACATAATCATAAGAGATCCCAAAACTATAAATAATACAGAAGAAGAAGCAATTAAAACTTGTTAAACATGAGTTCAGTGATATGCCACCTAAATTATTAAGCAAGATATAGGTTTATACAAATAATTACAACTGGACTCTGAAGATAACTCTCTATATTTGAAAAAATCTACCAACCAGGCTATAATACCACGAAACACATATGGTTAAAATAACTGCAAAACCAGTAACAACCATAGATGATAAAGGTAACAAGAATAAATTATATGATAAATATAATCTATTAAATTGAAATTATAATCTATTAGATAATTATGATAAATATAACTGTTTTTCAATGTCATCTAATAGCTTAATTTTGCTCATTCTTATGTACATTCTTATGTACAGAACTTATGTACAAATCCTTGTAAGCCCCCCCCCCCCTCAACTACATACCTTCCCACATGTAGTGTGTTTATGAAAAATATAAGGGTGTCCACAGTATTGAAGCAACATTAGTACTGAACTCTGACACTTAGGGGTCTCATATAGCAATTATAACAGTTATTTAATTAATTAAGGCCATTATCTAAAACATAAATCCTCTTCTAATATACAAACTATGCAATATTCTCATCAAGATTATGGTAATTCACCATGAGAAAACTTATAGCTGGTGTGACTGGGGCATAAAGAGGAACCCAAGGGAAACACATCCTATGCTTAAATCACACCTAAAAATATTTGCCATTTACTGGAATTGATCACAAAAATATGAAATAAACTTCAGAATTTGGGTTTTTATAAGGTTTAAAATCCAAATATCTCTCCCGTGTATTTAATTCCTTGCTACTTCACCATTTTCCTTTATTCTACAATTTGTTAAACATGATAACAATGATATTTTATTTGAGGGAAACAAGATAACAGACACCCTGCTGTATGCTAATAAGATATTAATGAGTTTAATAACCAGATGCTTGTTCCTGGATTTATAATTAATCTGCTGAAATTGATATTATGATGACTTTAATTAGTTAATCTTTACATTTTTGTAACCTCTTCCTCTGGTATGTAAGACTGTCTCAATCAATTAGTGTCTGCAACCCCCCCCCCCTCCTCCTCGCAACTCCCCTTCTAGATTTGTAGAAGGGGAGTTGAACAAGGAGTTCAATTAAAAATATGTTTAATGACTTTTAAAAACTTTGAAATTAATTTCTAATTAGTTCCTTTTCTGTTATATAAATTATATTGACTCTTTGATGTCAAGGCATTAACATGCAAATTCAACCACCTGTCATTTGTTACAGGTGAAAAATTCTGAACATCGAACTCTGTGTGCTGACCACGGAATACCATCTACCAAAAAAGACTATAACAATATCACCACTTGTGGTGGTCACATAAATGTCTTTTAAATAATAATTTTAATTTTGATTTACAAGATATGACCCAAAGGTTTTGTATACATCTGGAAAAATTGTTTTTGCTGTTTTCAAGTACCACAAAGAAAGATTAATAGAAGCTTAAAGTACTATACTCATGCAAAGCAATAATAATAGTTATCTCATGTCAAAGGTAAAAAGTAGGCCACCTCTGAACAGTGAACTGGGCTCACCTCAAATTCAATATAAAGAAAACCCATTCATCAATGACACGATTGTCCTCAACTTTTGTTCAATGTTACATTATATTACCCAACATATATAAAATGTTTGAAAATGTTAAGCAATACTTGAGTAATTTCACAGAGTGTGAACAAGGAATGCTGACAGGCCTGTGTTTAACATGTGAAATATTGGTTTATTTTCAATATTGTCCACTATTATGTTATATTATATATACTTTGGTTTATTGCTCCATTCATATACTTTTACATATTAATAATAATGACAATCAGATGCAAGGCCTATATTTGAGATCTTGAAAATTATCATCTCTATATAAAGTAATTTTACATATTATTTGAATAAGATTTGTTATTTTCATCCATTGGATGTTTATTTTTAATATCATCAAAGTGAGGATAATCCTCACATGGGTTCAAATAATCCTCCCATGGGTTCAAATGTTATGTTTTTAAAATGAAGCAAAACAGAATTCTAATCAAATGTGAGATTTTTAGATAAAAATTTATTAAAATTATAAAGAAAAAAATAATTAAATAAGGGAAAAAATTTGGATTAAGATTTATAAATCATACTAGTGAGGAGGAGAAAAATGAGAGAAATAAAAAAAATTGGGTTAAAGATTTATAGTACTATAAACAGTAAACACAATAAATGGTGTACAACAAATTAATTTAGTTTTTGTTCATGCTCACAGCCTTTAAACCTCCTGCCTAAAATACCTGCAATTATATATAATATTGCAATGTATGCCGGTGCAGGGTTGCCTAAGGACTTGATGTGAAACCATCTTAGTCTAATTTCAAATGCCTAAAAAAGATAATCTCATTCTAATACCTCATTTAGTAATTGTTTTAACTGACACACAGAGGCAAAAATGATCCAATGTGAATATTTCATCCCTACTCGTATATACAAAATAACTTGAAAATGAGTCACTAAATAAAAGTAATTGTACAAAAACAAAATAACTTACAGTTTCTCTCCTCTGAAAGTAATCAGTCCACTTTGATAAATAAGTTACATCAAATTCAAGTAGTCTCCCTAAACAACCACACTATATGTTGCTTTAATTCTCCACTTTGTTAATGTACTTTTAAAACTTGAAGAACTCCTTGTGTATTTCAAACAAGAAACATAAATGTTGCTAAATGTTTCCTAAGCAATGTTCCCTGTTTCTACACCTCTATGATGACTGACTGCCTCCCTTACACTGAGAGACTTGATAGGGCCATCTGTAGATATATGACAGAAGGAAGTTCCTACTTTGATGTCTGGTCTATTATCTATTATCTATTGATTATCTATTATTAAGCAATGATGATTATATGACACTACTGATCTTCAACCATCCTCCTGCTGATCTAACAAGTGTAGCTATTCTCCAAAAACATTCCCTCATGTTATTACAGCTTAACCAGTATTCGTGAACACTTCTATACAGTAAATGCTTTTTCATGAGTTAGTGACCACTTTCTAAAAGGCCTCAAAAGTAACAAAACACTTGAAGTTCAAGTAATACCTTAAAGTTCTAACTCTAGTTTTAAGTTTATTTTTATCTATTTATCCCAGTACAAGTTTCTTCTTCACAATAACTTTAGTAGTTCACTATACATAAGTTTTACTGTATATCCAACTTAGCTACAAAGCCATTCATTGGATGATGCTAAGTGGGGTCTGTCTCCTAATAAACCACAATGCTACAATCAACACTGAATTATTATACAATCCAATCATTGATTGCTTAATTCAATTGAAATTTTAGACCTGTGGTTACAATTATTAAAATTATTAGATAAACCCAACTGCTTCATAAAATTTATTTTTACATTGTCAGTTGAGGGAGGGGATCCT